GATCACGATCCAAGTCAGCTGCCGCTGACTGGCATCGTATCTTCGAGTACGTTCTCGTACTCGCTCGGGATTGCTATCCCAACACTTCTCAGTTGGAGGGATTTGAAGACATCGCCGTTGCCGCTCGAGTAATAGTATTGATATCATGTTCTTCCCCTCTTGCTCTGCAACCTGAATTAGGAACACACCGCTCTTGCACACAAATCTGTTTTTGTCGACATCTGTCTGTTCATAATGTTTATCGACAATTCATGTATTTGGTATTTAGTCAATGCATATGACGTCAGCATGCACCCTCTTCACTTTTGCCGTCATGTCCAGCAGTCGCAGCACGCGAGGATCATGGCATGGACGGGCCACGCGAAGCGTTACTGGTGACCTGAAACGACCGATGGAATATATACCTTCTGTCAGCCGGAGTAGCGGTCTGGACAAGGATGGAGACGCGTTAGTCATTACCAGGATTCTCGTTGCGATAAACAATAGACTAAATGGCAGGCTGAAGGACTTCAAAATACAAGAAGAATATCGGGAGTTTATACAGGAAAAGGTGTGACTCGAGATTATCTAGTAGAGCGTGATATCTCATGCTGCTCTGCAGCTGAATGATGTTTGGGAACGGTTCATTCCTGGGGATAAAGAGACAGATAAACCACGCATGGACGCCCAAGAGAATGTATTAATTCTCTTCAGTGCGACTTCTCACCACTTATGTGTCATTTTGCTAATGTAGAGCCTGCAGGGAAGCTCAGAGAAGGTATATATGCAAGCGGAAGAAAAGACGGCTTTGCATCGGAAGGTACGACGACATTCCTTTTCCTCTGGCGTCAAACTTATACTCGCTCTGCCTCAGTATACGAGACTTCCTTTCATCTGGCCGTTCTCTTCAACGTACACCGCCAGATCGGCTCCATCATCCCGCATCTCTTCGTCGACCTGCTACCTGCCAACGCATCCAATGAAAAGGATCCTTCGATCACCATCCTCGTTTGTCTTTTATACCACCTCGTCACCGAATACCCTTCTCAGATCACATATCGGCATTTCCTCCATTCTCTACCCTCAGCCCTCAAGTTCGAGGATACACCGGCCTATGCTTGGATCAAGAATTTATCCCAGTCCTTACGAACGCGCAACTATGTCAATTTTGATTTATCGACTCGCCATTTCGCGCTGGCTGATCTTATTGGGGACAGAAATTCAGATCCAACCTCTATTCAGCACGTCCCGCGCCTAGCAGTTTACTCTCTGATCGATTCCCTGCATTTTTGCAATCGATCTACAACATGGACAGTGCTACGATCTGCATATCGAGAGCTGTCCTGTCACTCCGAGTCAGAAACGCGTGCGTGGCTAACCAGGACTCTTGTCCTGCACCCTGTCGCGTCTCCGAAAGCTGTCGCTGACTTGGATAGCTGGTTGGAATCTGAAAGCGCCCTAGGTCATGTTTGCCGGAAGGAAGGTATCGCTGGACGTTGGATAGTTTGTAAAGTTCGATAACGCAAAATATTGAGTGTACAACAAATTCTATACATTTACCTTTTTACTTATTGACCGGAATGCCCCGGGGTATACCCAAACGATGTAACTAGATGCGGTGTCCTCTATTGGATTTCAACTTTGCTCATCAAATCTGCCAGCTCGTCCGTCGTGTCGGGCTTTTTAGGCGTCGGCTCTTCGATTGTGCTGGCAAGGACAGCCTCCTGTTCTTCCTTTACCTCTTCTTTCTCTTCCTCTTCCTCTGCCTCCTCCTCTTCTTCCTCCTCCTCTTCGTCATCGACAATCAATTTACCTCCTCGTTGCTTCATACTGAGCCGCACAGTTTCCAAACTGACATCATCGTCCTCAGCATCGTTCCACTGGAGCTCTAACAACTTCAGTCCCTTCAGGTTCCCCGAGATGTGCTCCGCGAACAACGCAAAAGTCTCCGCCTCCAAATTATTGTTCTGCAGCTGCAACGTGTGAAGTTTCGGGTTCGAGCCCTCCGCGATGGCAGTCACAAGCTGTGGCAACTCTCCTTCCCCCGACAGCACGCAGTCCGAAAGGTTAAGTGCCGTCAGCTCTGGCCACGATGCCAACGATTCTGTCCAAGCCTCCACGCCCTTCAACTGACCATCATCCGTAAAGGTGTTATCCTGCAGATCGATGAACTGCAAACCGGGATTCTTTGCTAGCCCGCGCGCCAATGCAGTGATCCCAGCCATGCGTATCCCATTCTGCGGCATGCGAACCTCGGTGAGGGTCCCATGGGCCGCGAATGCCTCAGCCCATGATGGAGCCGACCCGTCTTCCAGACGGTTACGTCCACAGATGACCGTTCGAAGGTTTGACTTTTCCCCTTTGGATTTGCTGATCCTGGCTGATTCGAAGAGAGCATCGGCAAGGACTTTGCCACCTACGGGACCGAGACCGTTGTTGTTCAGCTTGAGGACTTGGAAGCTGCGGTTGTTGGTGAGGAATGGGACCATTGGATCGACTGATCTTCCACCAAATGCATTATCGCTCAAGTCGAGCTCGATGAGAGACGTCTTGTCGACTAAGGCATTGCAGATGGCGGTGAGGGCCAAGGGGATTTCAGTGATCAGACGACCGGTGAAAATATCAGCCAAGTCAGCGATCTATGTTTTTTTTTTGTTTGAGCATAGGGAGAACGGTAGGGATTCACAACACGTACTTTGAGATTTGTAGCCTTCGACAAGAATTCAGCAAGCGCCACGGACGCGTCGACCCCGATTGTGTTGCCTCCCAGGTGGATCTCTTCAATCTTTGTGGGATCGATGCCGGCTAATAGAGGCTCTATATCGGCTCGACTGTCAAGCTTAAGTCCTTGACCATGTAGAGAAAGGGTATTGGCCATTAGGGCTACAGAGATACAAGTAGAGAACAAGACCGTAATGAAAATGAGCAAATCAAGTCCAAATACACTGATCGGTCCGAAAAGGGTAAAAAAAAATGCGGGAACAAATTTTATGCTGGCTCGAAAGCAGCCAACAGAACACGCTTCCATCCAGCATATGCATCCGGAAAAGCGGCCACATGTGCTTGTTCGATATGAACAAATGCACCAGTCGAAACTTCTGCAGTGGCAGCCTCATTACAAACATTCGACTCATCCACCCCGTTTATCAGCCTCCCAAAAACATTGTTCGTCGCTGTGAGAGCACAAGAACTATCTGAAGGAAGTGAGATGTTCCAGGTGCGGAATGAATCCTCTGATTTCAACTCCCTTTGAATTCTTTTGATGGGTCTGTCGACGTCGTCTGTATACCATGTAGAATTCCCTTGACGAAATTTCAATGTGAGTCAAAACAAGTAGCAGGAGGACTTACTCAGCCCGCTTGATAGAAATATCTGATCATAGAGGCAAGTAGTGGGAGACTTTCCATGAAACTGGATGAAGGCGCAGCGACTCGTCGGGCAACCACCATTGACGTTCTGCCACGCCCATATGGCTCTGTTTGCGTCGTTGAAAGGCTCATTCTGAAACAAACATCAGCGTTCAATTATTTCAATAGCAATGCGCGAACTCACAACATCATGAGTGGGATCAGTTCTATAGTACGTAGTCCACTTTGTCGACGGGAGGCAATCCGTAGGCGAATTATATGCTCTCCGATGCCTGCCAGAAATCAATAAACTCCTCGCACCCATCATTTCGAAGATTGACACGGCCTGAGCGGGGGTTATGAAGTCAAATAAGGGATGTGGCATGGCGAGGTGAATATTACGCTTGATGCCAGTGCGCGAGGAAGGAACGACGAATAGGCCCCATCCCTTGTTATAGAACCCCATCTCATTGACAGGTATCTCAGAGAGTATGCAATACGAATAAAAGCTTGAAACGGTGTAGATATCCTCGAGGCTCGGCGGAATGACAACAGAAGTGCAGTTGTTATCGACGTATAAGAGCGAAGTGATCAAGTTACCCCACGAATTCAACTGTGTAGTATTTGGCTGTGCTGCTGAGTACGTCGCCATGTTGTAATAGTCCTTTTGGACCGTGTACTTGTTGAAGCAGTTAGCCAAGTCGACTAGAGTGGTAATGGAAGGGTTGGCTAGGCACTTTGTCTCATTGGCGATGTAGCTGAGGCCAGCATATAGAGCAATTTGCACAAGGCTACTCTTCATTGACGCGAGACTTGACGGTGACTGGTAAAGATGAAGAGCAAAAGTTCGCGCTTACTGGTGGAATCGAGCTCGAGCATACCCAATGCGAGACCTGCCGGGAGATGCCGAGCCGTTCAAACTCGTATCAGAAAAATCAAATCAGTCTCGACAAGAGCCTTTGTTCAGACTACGATAGAAAGGAACGTGAGATATAAAGTGGAGGGCCTACTTGAAAGGCTACATGAAGTATAATCCGAAGAGATAGAAATGTTCTGAGAATCATGTTCACTCATCCACCCCGAAGTATTCTTGAGATGTCTTCTGTGCCATCTCCAACATATCTCGCACCGTTGTGCATCCCTCATCCATGAACTTCAAGATGCCACCTGCTGCCATCATGCCTACTTCTGTCTCCGTAAAAGACTCGTGGTCATCTGTATCAACAGATTAGCGATAAATGGCGTCAATTCTATTGGTTAGACTCCTACATTCATCTTCATCTAGAGGCGGCATTTGAAGATACTGCGGTGGCACAGGCTTCCCTGTTTTCTCATAGTGGTCCTGCAGGTGCAATAAAGATGAATACCCAGGAAATAGACGTCTCAAAAGTGGAAAATATTCACCCTGATGGACTCTTGCATAGAGACATTCAACTTTTGAAGATCAAATGCTTGTGCAATTTCTGTCACAACTAGCGCTTGCGCCATTTCCTCCGTCATTCCAATTTGGAGTAAGCTGTGGCACATCGTTTGAGCAAAGCCAGATAGCACAAAGACTGCGATGTACTCACAGATAGTATTTCCAACAAATGTTTCCCGCATTCCTTTCGGAGATTGTTGGATAACCAAGCTTCGTGTTCGCAATTGTAATTTTTTCATGAGGAAATACCTGCACATTCGTGTGGTCACAGGAGAGCTCGGTTTCGGTGAACAAAGATGTCCTCAACCGGGGGATGACGGCCTCGGAGGCTCGGTGAACTTGTGCAAGAGGACTTTCTGTAGTCACATCGTGAAGAATAGCAAAAAGGGTCTTGTAAGGAGACGCGACAGACATGTTGGTTTAGATAAGTAGGTCGTGGGGGGATAGGAGCAAGTCTCGATGGACGGACCCGCGTACTTATATAGTGGTCGTGTGTGGCGCGGTTTCCATACAAGAGACACAGTGGCATTTTGTTTTTCAAAGACACAAACGAAAACAAAGACTTAGTCAAAAGAAGAAAAGACCACCTTTGCATGAGATGGACCGGTAAGTAGGTAAAGAGGGGTCCTCGTGATGAGCCGGCATTTCCCGCTCCGGGACTAAATGAAAAGGAAGAACATACTTCAATTCGACGTTTGACTGAATCGTAGAACGCAATGCCTACTGCTTTTAACATTGAACTACAAAATTAAAATTCCTGAGATATCATTCAACAATATTCTTTACATGTATTGGGCTACCCTGTTCGAGTCGTATCAGTCTCTGACACTTTACTGTAATAATACCCTGAGCTCGAGAGACATCAGAACGGTACGCTCAGCGAAAGAAAATGCCCAACTCACATTGCGAGGTAAACGCGTGGTGATGCCTGCCGTCGTGCCTGCCTCATTGACCCTTATCAAACAATTCACCTTGTCTCTTACCATCGTGTGATGGAAAAGAACGCGTCGCCTCCGTTGCCTAGGGGGCTACGGCGGGCTCCACGTTCAATTGTAATCGTTCTTCTTGTCGTCTTCCTCGTTCCAATTGCTATCACCCAGACATTCCTAACTAGACCCCAGCTACCTGCCCATGCTGCAGCGACACTTGCACGATGCCAGTCCCTGCAACAGCCTGCAGGACCACCCACAAATTTCTACGATAGGACGGAGAACGACCGGTTTGTGCCCGGAACCAAGCCAACCCTCATCAAGAACGCAAAGATATGGACGGGGTTGCACAACGGGACCCAGGTTCTGGAGGCGGATATTCTCATTGACAAAGGCCTTATTATGGGCATTGGAAGCTTTGGGTACACTCAGCTCGAGGCGTATGGTCGTAGTCTCGAGGTAGTCGATGCACACGGTGCTTGGGTCACTCCTGGCATCGTGGACCTCCATTCTCATTTGGGTGATTACCCATCGCCAGAACTTGAGGGTGCTTCCGATGGCAATTCTCTCAAGGGAACCGCGCAGCCTTGGCTTCGAAGCTTGGATGGTCTGAATACCCACGACGATGCATACCCTCTTTCTATTGCTGGCGGTGTTACGACAGCCCTGATACTGCCTGGCTCAGCCAATGCTATCGGTGCGTGTGTTGCACCAGAAAGGCTCGCATACAATCTGACGACATACAGGCGGTCAGGCATTTGTGATCAAGCTCCGTCATACTGAAGAGAGATCTCCGTCCTCAATGCTTCTTGAACCGCCTTATCAAATCAATAACTCTTTTCCTGACCCTCGCCTGCCACCAAGATGGCGCCATATGAAGTGCGTCGCCAGCTTTGATAATAGTGGAGGGTCTGACTGGTTATGCGTTACACAGACACGCCTGCGGTAGGTGACTGATGTAAAACTGGCTGCCAGCGCGTGTTTATGATTATTCGCGTTAATAGGTGAAAATCCCAGTAGGTTTTGTTTCGTAAACGTTGGCGTAAGTTCTATTGACTGTCTCGGATAGGTAGGGTTTACGGTGTGACCAGAATGGATACCACTTGGGCATTTCGAGAAGCGTGAGATCCTCGTGGGCTTGTATACACTTTGCAGCTCACCTCTTTCCAAGGTACAACACTGCTCTTCAGATCAAACGCAAGCAGGACGCGTACTGCTCGAAGGCAATGAGCGGGCAATGGCAAAGCCTTGGGGAGTATCCAGAGGATTTGCAATGGGAAGCTTTGGTCGATGTCATTAGAGGACGTGTCAAAGTGAGGATTGCAGTTGTCAATTGTGATATCGTGTTTACAGAAAAAACATTACAGGTCAATATCCATTGCTACGAAGCCGTTGACCTGGACGACATGGTCCGCGTAAGTTGCTGTCATCTTGTTAGACACTGGTATTGTTGCTGACCCTCGCTAGCTTTCCAATGAATTCAAATTCCCTATTGCTGCGTTCCACCACGCTCACGAAACTTACCTTGTTCCAGATCTACTGAAGAAAGCCTACGGTATGCAGTATCTAAACACAGATGGCAGTTAACTTACGAGTCGTGTACAGATCAAACACCTGCTGTGGCTCTGTTTGCCACTAATGGAAGGTATGCATTTTTACGTCTCTTTCTACAGTCACCATAAGTATCCCATCCGAATGGCAGGTATAAGAAAGAGGCCTACAGGCAGTCAGAATTTGCACCAAGAATTCTCGCCAATAACGGGTTGCAAGTTGTCATGAAGGTTCGTCCAACGTCACTTTACATTGTATCAAGCATCATCTCCTTTCTCCGATAGAGTGACCATTCTGTTTTGAACTCGCGATTTTTGCTGTATGAAGCCCAGCAGGCCCACTACTATGGCTTGGCCGACAACTTGGCCATAGCTTCCGTGATAAGCACTCCCGCCGAAATCATGGGGATGGGTCACCGAATTGGGTATGTCAGAAAAGGTGAATGCTGTAAACGCTCTATCGCTTGGATGCAGCATCTGACAAAACTTTAGGATGGGACGCCGGTGAGAATAATTGTCAGGCTCATACGCATTCGGTTATAAAGTACTTTCTCAGATCTCGTTATTTGGGACAGTCATCCATTATCTTTGGGAGCAACCCCATCCCAGGTCTTCATAGATGGCATCCCTCAGCTCGAATCGGCGTATGTCGCTCACAAGCCCCAGTCCTTCCAGGAAATCCCCAGGGTGCCCAATTTTGATGATGAAACTAAAGACGCTCTCAAATATGATGGACTACCGCCTCTGTCTCCAAGCAAAAGTGTGTCAGGCATAATGGCATTCATCAATGTCAAATCCGTTTTCTCTCGATCTCCCGCCCAAACTATCCAGCGCATCTTCGACTTCCCCGAGAACGATGGCGTGGTCCTTGTGCACAAAGGAAAGTTGATATGCTCTGGGTCGCATGCAGAGTGTTTTGGCGACAGTATTCTTGATGGCGTAAAGCCATATCTAGTCGACCTCGAAGGGGGGTCGATTTCTCCTGGTCTAGTGTCCTTTGGCTCGCCTCTAGGTTTGGAACATATCGACCAAGAACCATCGACAAACGACGGTAGTGTTCCTGATCCGTTGATCAAGACAGTACCGAAAATAATTGGGGGAGATACCGCCCTCATTCGTGCCGTGGATGGACTACAGTATACCACCCGAGACGCACTGTATGTATTAAGCTCATCTCCTGCCTATCCTTTACGACCCCTGATTGCCTCATTGCTCCAGTCTTGCCTACCGCTCAGGAGTGACATCTGCCATTGTGGCGCCCAGTGCCCGGAAGTTCTACTCTGGGCTAGGCACATTCTTCTCCACTGGGGCCGAACACAAACTCGAGAACGGCGCTGTTCTACAGGAGGTCACGGGTTTGCACGTTGCTGTGAGGCATTTTGGTGCTCCCAGTATCAGCACGCAAATAGCTGCTCTTCGTCGGCTCTTACTCGGGCCATACGAAGGTGAATCAGGGAAATGGTTCGAGAAAGTGACGGAGGTATGTCAATCGGATTTGTGTAAGCAGCGTGTATTGACTCTCATCCAAACAGGAAGCCATCCCACTTGTTGTCGAGGCCCATAGCGCGGATGTGATTGCTACGCTGATTTTGCTGAAGAGGGAGGTCAAACGCGCAAAGGGAACGGACATACAGTTGACAATATCGGGTGCAACTGAAGCTCATCTGCTCGCGAAAGAACTCGGGGAAGCAGGTGTTGGTGTCGTGCTTACCCCATCTCGTCCTTTCCCTTACACTTGGGAGGACCGTAGAATGTAAGTTCTCTTAGTCCGTTTCGGTCATGCATTCACGGGAGAAACGACAGATTACCAGGCCCCCCTCTGACCGAGCATAGTGCCATTTCCTTGCTCTTGTCGCACAACGTCATTGTGGGCATTGGTATTGAAGAAATTTGGAGCGCTCGTAACACCCGGTTTGACGTCGCTTGGGTAAGTGGACCATCGATCATATGGTCGTCGGGAGCTGCTAATTTATATTCACTCTAGGCATCTCTTGAAGCTGATGGAAAAATCTCCAAGGAGGAAGCCCTCGCATTGTCTTCTATAAATCTTGAGAAACTGCTTGTGGGGAACGTTGGTAAAGCTGCTGATCTCGTGGCGACGTGTGGGGGTGATCTTCTGGAGCTGGAGTCGAAAGTTGTTGCTGTGATCTCCCCTCTGCGAGGATTTGTCGATATATTTTGAATATTTTTAGACATTTTACATGCTAATTTATCTACCGAACTACCAGGACTTTTTTTACAGTGTTACTCTTTCTGCTTAAGCGTGCCGGGCTTGGCCACAGATCATTTGATCTCCGCTTGAAGTACGTCCTTATAAGGGTCGCGTCTTAATTTTTTCTTTTCTTCCAGTGTCCGACTCAACCATCGAAGCGTCAGCTACGGTTGCAGGCGTTAACTCGTCTGTGTGACGTTTTTACCTTCATAGTTGAGGGAGCGAAGGTGCGCCTTTCGGGGTGGCACTCATGAGAAGGAGCAACACCATCTAGCTCGTTCTGTGTCTGAGTCCACCTTGGTGTTGACTTGGGTACAGAGTTTGATGTAGGGTGGTGCGTGCGTCGTCATATTCCTGTATCCTGCCGTACCCCATCTTCCTGGTGTGCTACTATGTGGCTTTGACGGCCTGGTAAAACCATGACGAGGTCGGTCATTTTTTCAGCTTTTTGGGTCGTCGAAATATTTAGCTACAGTGTCGCCTCGTCAATTCTTTTTCGTAGATTATATCTTTGGTCCTTGCGCAAGACAGAACATATGGCTTCTCATCGTCCATGTACATCCAGCGCGACTGTTATCAATTAGTGTCTGAGACCATCTGTTCCCTATCAGTGTACCGAAGAATTCTCAATCCTGGGTGTGGTGGTCCCATAGACCATCAGAAGTGATACAGGCTCAGGAGGATAGGCATCCAGTTGTCCATAGGAATAATGGAACGAATAATTATTCCCTTGAACTCCTGGTCAGTCAGAGCCATTGTACAAAGGTTATTAATGGTCTATTGCTTTGTATGCAGGTCAGCAATGTAAGTATTGATATCACTGTTCCTGTTGAACATTGTGGAATTCAGCAATGCCTCAGCCTCTAAGAGAGCCATACCAGTCTTCTTAGCATGCTCTGCAATAATAGAGTCTCAGCACTCTTTTGTCATCTGGGATGAAAGGATTTGGGTTCATGGAGCCTCTGATAGCTGTGATGACTGAGCCAGATCCAGTAACACACATCAAAATTGATGAAGCTGTCAAGAAATTTGCACTCATTGAGAAAGGCGATGACTTTGAGATCTCAAGTCATCTATAACACTGATTTCACCATCTTTCGACTATTCAAGGCTGTTAGACACTGGGTGTAAACACCGGGGCTCATAGCATATGGAATACCAGTCATTCCTAAGCCTTCACTGCAGTGAATCCTTGCCTGTTCAATTTCATTTGCTCCTGTTTGAATCATTTGCTGTCACTGCTCCTGCCCTTCATCTATGTCTTGGAATATATGTCCTTTCCTCTTACTTTGGCATCTCATTGGAACTTCGATGGTAATATCTGACAGCTAGGTATCTAGTGTCCACCTTTTTCTTGCAACCAACAAGCCGATCGTAATCGTACCCCCTTCTCACGCCATAACCATCCGGGCTTGATTCAATGATCAACAACAAAGCGAGGCGAAGAATAGTCTGATTCGACTAACACCGCGTCAATGCCCCGGACGAATAATCAGCATCCTCTGAATATCTCCATTGTGGACACCTAAGTGGACCTACAACTTGTGCGTGCATCATTCCATTTACCCTGTAATGCGAGTGACATCTTAGATACCAAATATTATCTGGCCATTGCTGTACTACGACGGGACCTTTCTTCGAACTCACTAACCATGGATGGGGATATTCAAGAGCCATTTTTTTCTCTGATGCCTACGGAAACAACATCATCTCTCGAAGCCTTCTTTCAATATCTGTCTGAGTAGATTTCCCTATGGCAGAATATATCACACATCCCGGTTATAACGCAGCCCTTTTCCCTCTATTTTCTTCAATTCGCATACTAATCATCCTTTTTCCCTTTTCGGCGTGGCAAACAGTAGACTCATACTACTCCTTACAGTGCGAATGCTCAAGACGCCGGCCCTAGCCTCCGGGAGTCATTCAATGCGATTTGACTCACACATACGGGCCTTGTACTTTTTGTGCCATACGATCACTACGATGGATCTTTTATTTCCGGACGCTCCTCATTGAGGCTGATATCAAGGGTCTGCATATACTGACAAGCTGTCTACCAAGTTTCAGGATGTGCTGGAGAAAGACAGTGCCATGAGGACCTGGTAGTCATATTGACGACGTGAGCTAGGAAACGTCCGGCGTCTTCAAGTTTGTATACAGACTCATGCGTAATGCATTCCAGAGATTCAGGGCCCAAATGTGCTGGGAATGGCCCAGCTTTAGCCTCACCTAATGGACGAACGGCTTGTGACACCGGGTGGGCGTCATCGGTTTGTCTCAAAGAGTGCGGCTGCAATGTACGACCTCGTCTTCAACCAGACTGGACGCCGTTTTGGACGGGTACAAACAAACTGTCCTTTCTATGTGAGGACAGTGAACGAGAAGCCGCGTGTTCATCCAGATATTTCATTCAGAGATGTTCATGGGCATAGGGCTTCTATAATTTTATGGATGCCATGGAGCTTTCCTCTGGAAAGGTGGTCGCGCTGAAACTCATCAAATATTTGGATAACCCTCGTGAGCTGGAAATTGGCCGCTCTCTTGCCGAATCTACAGATCTTCATATTCAAGCCTAGATCTATACGCTAGTTGCCAAGCTACTCGACGCTAGTACACCTACAGTTATGAATTAAGTGTGGGTTGTTTTATTGATGTTCTGTCATTGACCACGATCGTGTGGTTCGAATCAGCGAGGCGTAAACCAGAAGGCCGACTACTATTATTCAGCTCTGGGAACTGACGAGAACGATTAATATTTGCGCGACATCATAATCAACAACTATAATGTTCGCACATTCACTTTGTCTTGTACCTTTCTGCGAAGGACTCCGGCGTACACCTTTGAAGACTACAGTACCAGATGCTACGAGTCATCATAAGGCAGAATCGGCATGATAGCGCATTTGAATATTTCAAAGGGATGCTAGTTGGAGTTACTACGAGCAAAAAGTGGAACATAATTGTACAGCTGATGTTCTTGTGTCCTAATGTCCGCTAAATCGAATCTCGATGCCGGTAACATTGTCCCGCCGTCAACACGAAATGACCATTACAATCCACAAGCCGATGCGTCGACTTGGGTCGCTGTAGCCTGCACCACTCCCAACTCGACTGCGTTCCCGTTCGTCAAAGCATCCATTGCGGCCTGCGAGGTGTAAAACCCTGATGCCGCATGGTCAATTGCTAGCACCGTAATGGTGTTACCAGTCCCACTGTATGTCAACTCCCAGCAAGTCCCACAGTTTGGGCTGTTCCATCCTGCGATGGCGTCGGACGATGAGATGTTCGGGAAAGTGGGAAGAGAGCTGTATGTGGTAAATCCCTTGGTCAAAAGACCATTGACGCCGTTGGAACAAGCGACGTTGGCGAGCGAGTTGCTGCCAACACCATAGCCGCTGTCGTAGCCAACGGTGGTTGAGAGGGCGTAAGACGGGACGAGGACAAGAGCGAGGGTGGAGAAGAACTTCATTGTCGTAGTCGTTGGTTTATAAGCGGATTGAAGTGCTCTTTGACTGCTTGGGTTAAGCAGGTAGAAGTGGAGAGTTCGTACAAGGTACCACGACCGTTTTTATTGCTTTTGCAAAGACAAACGTGCAGGTCATGAAGCTACAGCCATTCGCACCACGGAAGAAGATGTCCGTCTAGTCCATGTGAACCCAATGGCTGAAGAATTAAAAGATGGTCTCGTGTCTCCGATGCAATACTGTCCTGAAGTGGTTCTAAAAACTAGAACAGACGGTTTGTGAAGCCCGAGTTTGAAGCCAAGCCCAAGGCAATTGAAGGTATTGAAAACTCGCATCCAGTCCGCCTGCTCGTTAAGTAACCGCAATATTTCTGCAATATAATCAGTGATCACGGCCGAAGAAAGTTCGGCAGGTTCTGTCAGAGGAACTCCACCGTCATCTTGTCGATGGTACCCGAGAACCACTGTATGCTGCTGATGGACACTCGAAGCCTCTAAGTTGTATTGGGACCAAAATAACAAGAGAGCTAGAAGCCACCAGAAGCGACCGAGTAAATTAACATTTGTCAACTCCATGGTAGTCGCAGAGCGTGTGATAGGATGAGGACGGCCAATTGGTTCATGGACTCTCGAGCTTCCGGTCATGCAAAGAGACGGGAGAACGTTTAAGAGCGTGTGGGTGAACTAGAGATAGTCTAGAGTCTTGATGATCTTGGAAGCCAGACCAGGGTCAGGTCCGAACCGCCATTTCCCCGAGTCCCGTGAGCGCGAGATGAAGTCAGCTGTTGTTCCTTACCGTTTCAATGTTGTGCAAGACGCGCCTCATGATCTGTCAACCTCGAATGTGATCGCGGTGTGTTCTGTTAAGTGGCGTAAAATGTCAGGGACGCAGATAGCGAGTAACCTCCGCATTTTTATTTCAAAGTTCTGTCGTAAATAATCCATCGCCTGCTGCTAAGCTCTCTGAAAAGTACTGTGCTTCCGGTACTGAGGTCTGAACGGTTTTCGAGATTATATATTACAAATCTGTCACGATGCATTGACTTTTAAGAGCAAAGGGTCTGCTGGTGTTACGCGTCGGGATCTTCCTTTCAAATGGTTATTCAATTCGTAATGTTTTCAAAATCCGATCACCGTTGATCTTTTCACTGCAGATCTGGCCCCACATAATAGCGCTATGAAATTTCAAAGCATTACAAGCTGACTACCGGAAGCACTGGTTAAGTAGAGAGTAATTGTCCAACTATGTCTGCGTCCATTCCGTCCTCAATCCCAATACCGATGGCGGTGATATCCCTCCATCAACATGAAATATCGTGATGTGTCCATTACAAGCCGCAAGCCGACGCAGCGACTTGCGTCGCTGTAGCCTGTACCGTTCCAAACGCGACCGCATTCCCGTTCGTCAAATCATCTAATGCGGCCTGCGAGGTGTAGAATCCAGACAGTGCATGGTCAATTGCTAGCACCGTAATCGTGCGACCGTTGTATGTCAATTGCCAGCAAGTCCCACAATTCGGGCTGTTCCATCCTGCAATAGCATCGGATGAAGTGATATACGGAAAAGTAGGGAGGGAGCTGTATGTGGTAAACCCCTTGGTCAATAGACCATTGGCGCCATCGGAGCAAGCGACATCGGCAAGGGAGTTGCTGCCAACATCGTAGCTGTTATCGTAGCCGACAGTCACGGCAAGGGCGCAAGAAGGGATGAGGGCGAGAACGAGGGCAGAGAAGAACTTCATCGTAATACACTGGTGGTTTATTAACACTATTTTTCCAGCTTTTATAGCATGTCGCAAGCGAAATCCAGGAGCCCATAAAGCTGCAGTTATTCACATCCCGGAAGAAATTGGCCGTCCTGTCCATGTGAAGATAGTCAGTCTAAGCAGACGCATAACTTCAAACACGGCCCCGTGTCTCCGACAGTAGCCTACCGCAAGTATACGGTCTGCAAAACCCGAGTTTACTGAATATTTATCCCCACTCGATCGCCTGAAGTTTGAAAATGAACAGAGACACATACTCAGAATGTAAGAGCTCAGAGTCTAGATGACGTTCATCTAAAACGCTGGAATATAATCACCGCCTGAGCCTAGTTCAGCAGGTTTTACCTCGTCCAAAAGAACGTCGAGTTCTCTCTCAATAACAAAGCGCCACTAGCATATGGTTGATGGTACCCGGGAACCATCGTATACGAGAGACCGGAAAGCACCTGGGGTAAACCGAAATTCCTTTAGTCGTTGAGTGGGACGGATCATCTGAACTCTCCGGCAATGTAAAGACGAGTATTTCGGTGGAGCTTGGAGGTCCTACTCCACTGACAAGCTCGAACCCAATTTCCCCGATGTCGTCTGTCAGCTGAATCTTGCGAGCAGAGTGGAAGTCAACTGTACTTTATTTGTCATACGTCAACCACAAATATGTCCGAACAAGTGTGCTGCTCTATTAAGTGGTGGTATAACATGATAATCAAAGATTCCTTTGAGATAGCGCGAGGAACAAAACACCTAATTGGGTTTTCTGCAGATGGCGAGGTACATCGGTGTGAAGAGCTGTGGAATCAATATTAGAATGCACCACGAATTCGAAGATGCAACACTACCTTCGTCTGTCCACCTTTGACTAAGGAGTCACCAGCCACCTTAAGCTCCTCGCACACCTCCCATGTACCTTTAGGAATGATACGGAGGAACTCCAACAAGCGCAGACCATTATGGCTGACGAACTTGCCGCTAGTGCTCGTTCTCCACACAAGTATCAAATCCCAAAATGTTTGTGCTTTCCGGAAATCACCCTCCAGAGGATAATACCACGTAACTGAATCAGGACGCTCAGCGAGGTCCTCTTCGTGGAGAATCTCAAATCCAACGGTCTTCATAGCTTGGCGTGCAAGACGAAGGGGTCGCATCTCAGGAATGCCATTACCGATCTCGATGCCGTGCGCCAGCTCCTTGTGGGAGGCTATCGAAGGGTCCCAGGCATCGGTCATGCACCATTCGTAAACACCGAACTGTAGGAGGAAATCTTAGTCGTAACCAACGTAGCAAGGCAAAAAGAGAACGTACAATTCCTCCAGGCTTTAAAACTTTCATTATCTCGCCGTACACACCCTCCCATGTAGGTGCGTGCACTGTCGCCTCAATAGCATAGACTAAAAACGTGTCAGATACCTGCACAATGCGACAGAAGCAAATCAGAAATCACCAGCATCGAATGAATTCTCCCCAAATTGTTCTGTTAGCTTCATGAAATCTCCCTTGACAAAGGTAATCTGGTCTTCTAGGCCGGCGTTTTTAGTGTGCTTACGCGCCTTGGAAATTTGATAGTCGTTATTGTTGAGACCGACGATGTTAACATCGGAGAAACGGGCAATTTCACGAGCGGGTCCACCGACACCACATCCAACGTCAAGGACGCGCATGCCTGGCTTCAAATTCATCTGGGCGGCAAGGTAATGCTCATGACGCGCAAGCGAAGCTGCGAAACTCTCGCCCTTGTAAAACCTTGAAAAGTGGAACGACTGGGACCACGCATACTCATAAATCTGAGTGACGGCGTCATAGTACCCTATTGCCTATTAGAATGGATGGGTTGATACAGAAAAGGTGAATTGCACACCATTCACAACATCTGTGTATCCATCAACCCTGATGTCCGTGTGCGCTTCCTTCTCCTGAGACAAGTCCTTTGACCAGAATTTGGTGTAGTTTTCGATACGAGCACCAATACGACCTTCTGCATCGGGAGCGGGGGCAGCCATATTTATTGAAAATATGGAAAAAGGAGACGTTGAAGGAAAAGAGATTGGGAGGAGATAACAAGTTTAGAAGCGAGGAAAGGAGGTTTTATATATGTATCGCCAAATGGTCTGATCATTGAATTTTTTTTGGTGCCAAAAACGATCCGGAAGCGGATCAAGTTCTCACGCGATGTGCAGTGTAGCAATGTTATATACATGGACTCGGTCACGATTCTCCCTCCGAAAGACAAGACTTTCTTGTGATCAAGGCCATCCTTATGGCATCGTATACACGACTTGAGAAGCACAGCTTTACTTGGATAACGTTACTTGTGGACACTTGACTGGCGCATTACTAAGTTTTAGATTTCTAAGTCTATCGGGACGTACCTTCTATATACTTGTCAACACCCGCATCTCACTAGAGCCATTTTCAGGTGAGTTATTTTGCCCAGCTCCTTCTCAAACGCCTCAAAGCGGAAGCCAGTTCCTAACGCTTAAAATAATGTACGCCTTCCGGATGCTCAGAAGGTCAGACGTTTATTATAGGTGAGGGTGATACATAGACGGAGATGTAGCTCCACTTGTCTCTCTATCTTCTTCGAATTCTCCCTTCAAGTCCACCATTCTCTATGACACCGTGTCAACAACTGCATCATGATACATTTACCCCAAATATCGATAAGGCCAAGTTCTAACTTCGTTCACGCATATTTCTACCATCTTATTCGAAGTTCAAATCGGTGCATTGATGCCGACATGAATAATCCTGTAGAATATTGAACATCCAGCGACATGTACAGCAGGACAATTGCTTACTCGTCTGCAGAGGTAAGCCAATTAGCTGTTTCTGGGAACATGGTAGCTATAATGGCACTGAGTCAGAACGAATCATGATAGATGTACTATGATTCCGCACCTAAACGACGGTAAATCTCCTCAATCAGATATCTTCTTAGGAAATTGACGATGACAGAGAATTTCCCGACGTCCACATGTCGACTGACAACGTAGTAATGTGGCACTCTATTTACCACAGATGAGCAGGACGAACAGAGATGATATAAATTTTACGAACATATGGGTAGTGTTCCCCGCCACCTCTTTGATGCGTTTAATTATACGACCGCAGTTCTGAGGATCTGCATGGGCCTCCAAAGCACATATCCTTTCAAGTAAATCATCAATCTATGCATAGCCGTCAGTGCACAATTAGGTGACGCAAATTCTGGAAGTTCACCTTCACGTCGAAGTTATCCCTATACCCAATATAATATGTCGCACCATAGAAGCCTACAAAAGAGTAAGTATTGGAAAACACGTGGTGATCTGATGCTTGCCTTCAATTGAACGAACCCGGGATATAATATATCTCTCCCCCACGGGAACTCTGGGAACCGGTAATACGGAGACGGAGAGAAAGATCTTCTTTCTATAAGTTTATTGAATCTCACCGTAACTGAAAACACATACGAGGACTTCAGGAAGGCCAGGCCATTGTCTTATAAGCCCTGTGTTTTGGAGAGATGAGCCCAAGATGATGATATTAAGACCATGCCAGCAAACGATTTACCGATGAAAGTGTGCGGAACACCTTGCCCCTCCGCAATCTTATGAAACACAGCGCATGTCGGTATGCGAACAAGCTCTCGTTGTTCTATGTCCACAGCGCTGCTGGTCGTCTCGGACGGATGCGAAACGCAATAGTACCTTGTTATGGTGTCGCCGTCATCCTCGCCGTCATCCTCGTCTTCAGCGGCGTCATTTTTGGCGTCACCGTCCAAATGGAAAGTAACTTGAGATTTCTCGTCCTTGTGGATAAAATCTTTCAGGTTCTGTCGATTTTGACCGTCGAATGCGTCCTCCAGTCCCTTCGATACGTAGTCAGTATATGTTAAATCTTTGCAATAGTTAATATGAACCTTCCCCCATGTCCATAACCACATCAATATGGCTCTGAAAGAAAGGATGCCAGTAAGAATTTGAAAACCCCGCATGAACGTAGGCTAACTCACATGCATATCCCTATTGTCAACGGTACCCAAGCCCCATGGGGAATTTTCTTGAGCGAAGCGCCCCAAAAGAGCCCATCGAAGAAGCCAAAAAAGACGAAGTACAGCAGAGCAATGACGACTGGTAATTTCTTCACGTAATGAATTTGAAACGAGAGTAAAATGGTGGTGGAAAACATCACAGTTGCCACGGCAAAACCGTACGCATTTGTCAATTTCGCAAGGTCAGAGAATGTGGCCACCAGGATGATAGTTCCAATCATGAGGGTCCAATTGATGGCTGGGATGTAGACCCGTCCTTGGATAGTTTCGGATGTATACACCAGACGGAGGGGAGGAAAACTCTTCATGCTGATGATCTGTTGTAAGAGACTGAACGTAGCAGTGATCATCGCTTGAGATGCAATTATCTAATATGCCAGCGTGAGTGAGAAGTATATTTGATGGTATAATATGGGCATACCGTGGCCAGAATGGCAAAGGTAAACATGATCCTGCAGGGTTGTCTTAGATGATAAGATAAATTTCGCTGACAGCTGCGAACTGACCAAAAAAGAGGGCCATTCAGTCCGCCTGGGATGCTTCGGTAGAAAACATTTTGTATGACTTGTTCGCCGTCGGTGATAAGTGCTGCTCCCTGACCCAGATAAGCCAAAAGAAGAGCTGGGTATACGAAGCAAGCAAACGAAATCTGAGAGACAACCTGTCAGGATACACTCGTCAATGGATGCTAGATCTGAACCTGAATAGACAATGCGTTGAACTGCCCGACACTGAAGCTCATCAGCGGGTCTGATCATCAGCGGGAAGGGCCTTCTCTTACTTTGCGAAAATAGCCTCACAACCCGTGATGGCTAGAAGCACACCGGCAAGAATATCGTAGTTTTTCGTGCGTACAAACACTGAGACCATGATCAATCCAATGACACGACATGAGTTTAGGGACACCTACAAAGGACACCGCGAGAAGGGTCAAATGCCCTGAGAATACCCGGATACAGGGTGATGTTATATATTCCGGTCCCCGCTAGTAGAAGAAACCAGATGCATGATACTAAGGTTTAAATCAACATAAATATGTCCACGCAAAACAGCCAACGGACTGAAACTCACTGGGACCGAATGTCACTGCCAATCTTGCTGTCCCGAATTGCTGTACAAAGAAGAGTGCGAGCAGGAAAGCCTATAACTGATGAACACAACAAAGCGACGCGAGAGGAAATAACACTCACTATTGCTATAGGAATGATATTGTTGGTGACAGAGGATTTGGCTACCGCGATACCTCCGACAGCACTAGTGACTGACACCGCAGGCGTAAACATGCCGTCTGCCATAGTCAATCTATCAGAAGAATAAGCTTAAGAACAACAGAACTGTCTCAGAACGTACGCAGTTCCAAAGAGACACTTTCAGGAAGTGAGAGGTAAACCAACAAAAACGCAATGAGAACATACCCAAAGAAGTAGAGGCCATCGTAGTTTCTCCTTCATTGTTGCTTTTACAGGACTGGGTGACATCCGCATAAGTTCTCTCCCATAATCACCCGTAAGCGTGCGGTCGGCATCGTAGTCTTTCTCCTTTGGAGGGTAGAGGCCTTGGTAGAGAGCAAACGAACCTCCTTCCCCTGTCGCTATGATTAGCACAGGAAAGTTATGATGCACCGATTATTGAGTACGGACCTTCTTGCGTAGCGAATCTAAGTGAAGTGAAGACATATTTGACCAATGGGAGGATAGTTATCGACCATATGATAGCACTGATTCCACCAATGATGTCCTCTTTCGATGGTACCTCGCCAGTCGAAGGCCAAATGCCATTGAGAACGTACAAGGGTGACGTGCCTACAGCGAATTGTGAGCATGGTGTTCGGTACACGGCACGGAAAGAAGACAAGTAGCTTAACCTATATCTGAGTAAATAATCCCTGGATCAAACGTTTCGTATCAACATGCGACATGATTCTTGAGCCGTATATAGATGCGCACCCAACGTCTGGAAGCTCAGTTGAAGAAGAGCAAATCCTTTCAAATGTACAGCCGTTCGCTTCTGACGCAGTCCCGTTTCAAGCGCTGAAGGCATGACCATTGCTCAACCAGGTAAGCTGGGAAAGATATTGATATTGATGTTGCAAGAATTTATAGCGCAAGCGCCGGGTGCATCGCCATAACAGACATCGTGCCGTCACTCCGTATAGATCCAGGAATGGCGAATTTCGCGCACGGCCGGAGGATATAGTACCATGTTTTGATCCTGATCGCGAGCAAATGAGGGATTATGGCCATTGAACGATATAGGTATGACAAGATATCAGACCACTTGAAATAGGCCGAGCACTTGATTTTGCATTCAAGTTGTCCGACGGCCTTCCACTATATCCGCTTCACCATGCCGTTTCAATACCCACGTTCAACCTCGCGTACTCCCAACTTCGATGCTAAAGCTGAAGCAGTCTACGACGTTAAATAGTAACGGCAAGGACCAGGGAGATAGGAACCAATAATAAGACAAGCAATCGAAGGGATTTTTCCCGGAGTTGCGACAACCGCTGGAAAGGTGAGAGATCGGATAAGGTTTTCAGGTTCGAACTGCCCGGCGGACTTCATCCTCAACATAATTTGGATATGAGGGTTGAAATTGGGGTTACCCGTCTTCAAAAGACAGGGCACTCGGCCTATTCGAGCGTGCAGATAGCCAGTTGACAATAAATTTAATAGACAAGCTTACTGCATGGATGAATTTTCCGCAGTCGAGGATGCCAAGGACGCCTAGGGGTATGGAAAACGATGAAGCAAAACTATTACCGGTGCTGCGATGTAGTATTATGTTTCTCCGCAGACTCTAGCGAGACAAGAGGGGAGAATACGACAGAGGGCCACAGTAGGGAACTGACTCGAAGAACTTGAATTCGGCAGCAGAAAAGGCTTTGGGAATGCCACATTCTCGTGGATCGTGATAGACTGTACTAAGGCGGACACAGAACCTGCTTTGGTTATAACAAGGTTGGTGGAACAATAGCGAAAAGTATTGATGGATCCGCGGGACCGGGCCGGTCAAGATGAACATTCCCTTGGCCAAGTCCAATTCTCACGCCATCACCTGTTCATGTCGACAGCGTACTGACCGTGCCAAGTGTTACCCTGCGACGACTGTTTCCCGGACATTCAAGGCGTCGAGTACCTCTATTTCTCGCTTCTTTGATACCCCACGCTGGCGTAGCTCAGTACTATGTCGTTCTTCAACTCTATCGGGTGTGTTGACGATTGCAGCATGCTGGAATACTTGCTAACTCGCACTATGATTCAGTCGTTCCATGACCCGTGCACCACGAAGTGCTAAGCGGTCCCCAACTCCAACTTCAGCGACGTTCTCTCCTGTCGAATACACATCGAACTCGACACCTCCATCTCCCATCGTGGCAACACCGAAACCCCTTTATCTGTGCAGTCCATTCGTGGAAGCGGCCTTGGTAAAGGGAAACTTCAAGACCATTGTTATGTTGCCAAAATATGTTGATATCATGGAATGGGTGGCAGTGAATAGTTCGTCGCTTTTCTTGTCGACGACGAGTGGCTACTGATGACTGCAACCAGTCTTTGACTTTTATACCAATCTCAATGAGTTTTACGGAGTCATCACTGAATGCTGTACCCAGCAGACTTGTCCAACGATGTCTGCAGGGCCTGTGTATGTTTTTATCGTGCAGGTTGGTCTTCGAGCTGACTATATCGCTGTAGACTGAACTATACGTGGATCAACCAAGATCGCAAGAGCGTACATCTTCCGGCACCAACTTATATCGACTATGTCATGACGTGGGCTCAAAATCTTCTCGACGATGAATCCGTGTTTCCCACCAAGTCGGGTGCGTGGCCTTGCTTGTCACGGGTGACCCTTTCGTTATTCCGGGCTTGCAGGGCGTGACTTTCCTCAAAGCTTTCCGTCTACCGTAAAACACGTCTATCGTCAACTATTGCGCGTCTTTGCGCACATATACCATGCGCATTATCACCAAATCCTTCATTTACGATCGGAGCCGCACTTCAACAGCCTGTTCGCGCATTTCCTTGCTTTTGGTCGTGAATACGAGTTGCTGGAGATGAAAGATCTGAAGGGATCGTCCTCGGCACCCGTAGGAGTAGGTGCCCTATGGGAGCGCTGGAGGGACATGGGTATATTGGATGGTTAAGATGCTTTCGAAGTATATCTGTCCTGTGATCTGGTTATCGCAGGGAACAGTACGATTTATTGCTATCGATTCGCGTATCTTTTGTAACAGTAATAACAACGGACGTTCTTTCTTCGAACGAGTGTGTTTACTTGAGTCGTGGGAAGGAAACAAATGAGATCCTTTGTCGAGAGCCACCATCATCTGCCCCATTATTACCGTCGGAGCCGTCGTTGATTATTACGCGTCGTTCCTTGCCTTGTCATCGCTTTAAGCGCCCAATAAGCGCCTATACCCATTCAGAAATATGTCGTTCTTTGGGTATGCTTTTTCCGCCTACCGCCCACCGCAGCTGCCGCTGACGCTGAGAATGACAGAAATAAGAATAGAGCTCCCAGCAGACCCAAACGTTCACCTACACCCAACTCTGGCACCCTTTCTCGCACAAATTCTCGCGGTTCTGCATCCAACGAAGAGGGCGCCATCTCTAAGCCTTTGTACCTATGCAGTCCGTTTGCGGATTCCGCGCTTGTGAAGGGAAACTTCAAGACAATTGTGATGCTACCAAAATACGTTGACATAACAGAGTGGGTTGCTGTGAACAGTACGTGATTCTAGTTTCTAGTATTTGTGTCCATTTTGATACTAGTCTCGGAGTATTCGATTTCTATACCCATCTCAACGAATTCTACGGCGTCATCACAGAATGCTGTACTCAACAGGCTTGTCCTACGATGTCGGCTGGTACAAAGTATGCACTCCATCTCCGGGTCATTGCATACCTAACATAAAGCTCAAGCCTAAACTATCTCTGGACGACCCAAGACCGGAAACAGGTTTTACTTTCTGCACCTACGTACATCGATTCGGTCATGTCGTCAATACAGACGCTTCTGGACGACGAAAACGTTTTCCCGTCCAAATCAGGTGAGTAGCTCTTTTCTGATGTGTTCTGATCGACAGTTGACTTGGATACAGGTCAGCAGTTCCTTCCCACCTTCCCAGCGACCGTCAAACACATATATCGTCAACTTCTTCGTGTTTTCGCGCATATCTATCATGCTCATTATACTGAAGTGTTGCATTTGCGTTCTGAGCCCCATTTCAACTCGCTTTTTGCACACTTTTTGGCATTCGGGTGGAAGTATGAGCTATTGGATGTCAAGGAAATCAAAGGGGATATAAATGCGCCCGTTGGGGTCGGACTGCTATGGGAGCGATGGAAGAATACCGGTATTCTGGAAGCATGAGTGTGAGTCATTTAATTTAGAAGTCATTACTTTATCACTGTATTACGCGCCAAGGCGTAAATGGAACTTCTCTACTACTATGCGTACAATATCGCGCCATTCAGTCATTGCACCTAGACCTGCGCGAGTAAATTCAGCAGCGTGTCGGAACAATCATGAATCAGCCACCCACCAACGTCTCCGCATGCAAGACCCTTCCCTATCGGACCAACGACATTGTATTTGACTACATCACGAACAATCCGAAGATGCTCGGCTGTTAGGGGATGATCATACATCAATGTATTCATTGCAGGAAAGATGTATGTCGGTGTGGTGGGTGCCAGAGCTCGCATTAGCGAAGTCTTGCCGTCCTTTATCAGTGAAAGCAGGGACTGTTCATGGCAAACACACCGCAAGATTGTCGCACGAACCGTGCGCGATTTTGGCTAACGTGTTGGCTGAGCAGGGCGCTACTAGCACTACATCAGCCCAACGCCTCAATTCAATGTGTAAAATTGGATCGCCAATTTTGAATGAGGCCTGTCGCAATCAATCAGAGATACGTTTCAACGTTTCAACGGCACGCAAACCGGCCATTCATCCTTGTCAGTCCATACTCTCGTGTCTCCGTCCTCGATGTCCTCCCGCTTAAAAAACGCTAGTGATGGGCCAGTAGAGATAACTTGGACTTTCACTTTGTCATACTGAGAGACATATTCAGCAGTCCGGGCTGTCGCGGAAAGAAATTAGAAGTACCTTTAAGAGTTCCTTGACGATGAGGGGGACTTTGACAGAAGCGACGCTGCCAGTGGTTATTAACAATACATGCACATAGCCTTCCACCAGGTGATCTTGAGCAACAAACATCATGATCAAAAGGCAACTTGCGGCGATCGGATCCGGTTGTTGATCGAAACCATAAAAATCCCTCACCCTTTCTTTCCTTCGTTCCGCCATCTTCTCTTTCACCCCCTTTCGTTTATTTTCAGAGCAGTGTAGGATCCATCGTATCCCCTCTTCATTTCTTCATCGCTGACCATTTTTACTAGGCTCTTCTTGTCTCCGGTAGCACCAACTATTCTTTTTCATTATCTGCCTCGCACTGTTCCTGGTTTCCCACCGAGAAAAAATGCGTTTCTTCGTTGTGATCGCTGCTATTGCTTCTATCGCTTCTGCCGCCAACATTACGGTCAAGGTTGGTGAGAATGACGGTCTTACCTATGACCCCACAAAGTTGGTGATTTCCTTGCTGTTGTTGCACCGTCTCCTGATGAACCCTATTTCCTGCCACCTAGTGTCACCGCCGCCGCTGGTGATATTATTCAGTTTGAGTTGTCGGTATTTTCTTCCTATTCACATCATCAGGTCACACTGACACGGCGCTATAGCGTGGCCAAGAACCATGTAAGGGGCTGCCCTGTGTTTATATCGTGAGTCAACTAATTTGTGTCGTAGACCGTGACGCAGTCAACCTTTGCGGATCCTTGTCAAAAAATGTGTGTATTACCTCGTCCTGCTTATCGGATCATCGCTCATATCTGGAGGGTAAAGGACTACACCAACGGAGGGCGTTGACTCAGGTTTTGTCCCAGTCAATGGAACAACATTCCCTGTATGGTCTTTCACTGTCAACAATGCCTCGGCTCCTTTGTGGTTCTACTGTGCACAGACCGGGTATGTGCTTATTGTTCTCACACCTTGTCGGACACTCAACTCTTGTAATCCAGTCATTGCGCAAAGGGTATGGTCTTTGCTATCAACCCAACAGCCAACAAGAGCTTCGCCGCGTTCCAGGTAATCATCGTCGGGCTATGCGAAAATTAGTCACATGCTGATTGTATCTACAGGCAGCTGCATTGGCGACAGCCTCTAACTCAACTTCGTCCTCATCGGCGTCAGGATCCGGAACTTCTATCACTACTTCTGCAGGTGCATCAGCCGCTACAGCCCGCGCCAGCGCTAGTGCTAGTTCAAGCACTGCTGCTAATGGTGCAACGACGATGGGCCACAACTCAGTCATTCTGGTGGCGGCTTTGGCTATTGGTGGGGTGCTGCTGTAGTGGTTTACAGGAATGCGAATTTTGTTCTCCTTTAAGGGAATCCATAAATATCGTGGGCAGGTCCCTCTGGGCATCTTTTTTATTGCGTTCATATGGCTAGTCCAATGATAGAAGATGTTCTGCATGCGCGTGATAATCATACGGCGATAATATCCTTGGTCTGTAGATAAATAAGCCGGTAGAAAACACTCAGTGCTTCAGACGTCTAGCGCTTTATGTAAGATACAAGTTTCGGTCTTCCTGGAGAGGGCTCAACAATCATGCAAAATCATTTGTGTCTTGCGAAAACATGGATATGTGCTAGTCCCGGTACACTCTGAAGTCTCTATCCAACGACATGAATACTCGGCCTCTTACAAACAAAAGAAATCTTACGAAAGGGTTCACAAACCATGCGGTTTCCCACTCCTCTTCCATCCAGCGCTCCTTAACAAAGTCGTTCACGTTCTCACCGGCCCATTTAACCAAAGCTTCTTCCTCCTCGGTGCCTCTGGTAGAGATGATCATTTTCTCCTTAGTGATGCCCCACTCAGAAAGCGCGGGCAGACAGAGATGAAGAGTCGATGGCGAAGGGGGAGGGGACGTATTCCCTGTAAAACCCCACAGGCCGTCTTGGGCGATCCGCGCCGATATGCTGTCTGCGATTATGTCGGGATGATAAATTGGGATACGTGTCCAAATTAATGTATGTTCGACATCGGACGGTACTGTACGCAACAGCAGGACATCAGGTGTTTCTGAGGGAAGACAAAGACAATAAAAGCAGAACTCACCGGAATAGGGCCAGTCGTTTTGAATGATACTGATATATTCGGATGGAATATCAGCTGCAAAGTATGACGGCGCGTCTTCGGGTAAAGGGGGCAGATCTCTTGTAATGGAGGTGTCTGCGTGTAAAGGATCTATGTGGTTCCTAACTAGGTCGCTGTCATCCAAGGCGGAGGTAAGTAAGGACAAAGTATCTGGTTTTCCCCACTGGAGGCGGAAGTTCAAGAGGTAGTTGACTGTTAATATAAGGGTGATGGTCAGGAGAATCCTGTACATCACGTATGATCCTTACCGATAGAGCCGTATTTGAGTTTGATGCTCTTGGCCCAGAGCTCGTACCGTTCTTGAAGCTTCTTGTCGCGCTTCAAAAGACCAAGATCCCTTTGAGCTCAGTTAGCATGAAATATGTAGCAGTGTTGTCTAAAAAGCACCCAGAATTGACGAAGGTCTTGAGCTGGTTCCACGTAAACTTCGCTGGGTAATACACTATTAGTTCTTCTTTGGTCGGTGGACCGGTACGCAGAGGAACGGGGGATGAATTTGAGAATGGCGTCTCTATAGTCATGATCAACAAAGGATGAGCTGTAGGGATGAAGAAATATCCGATGAAAGGAAAAAGTAATCTGGCTTGGAAGATCGGGAACAGAAATGAGGAAGACTGGAGAATGTGGTGGAAAGGACGCGTCAGAAATTACATAAAATGGGCAAGAGTTGTCGGGAACCGGGCCGTTCAATCCCCGACACGAGCGGAATAACTGTTACTTACATTTGACCAGATGTGACCGGAAAATCTTGGAACAGGCCACGGAAAACTGGCAGTTCTCTGTTTATATAATAATAAGTGGCAAGAAATCTGGCCAAGGAAGTCGACCGAGGTGGCCACTGGCCAGCTGCATTGGAGATTAAGAGGCGCATCGGCACTCCAAAAACGGCAACGGTGGCGGATCCCGAAGCTTATGTAATACAAAGACCGCGTCCAAAACCGGAGTGACGTGAGACTCACGTTCAAAGAGCGACCACCATCACGACGACGAAATGTCGACTATTGTCGAGCGACCTCCTTCTCTCCCTTTGCAGCATGCACCAGTGGTTATACCGCAACGACGACTTAGAGAGCCTGATGTCGAGGTCATCGATGTTGACCTGTGGGAGGATGCACCTTCGCGACCTGCTCAGCGCCGACGAACGTCTCCTGACTTCATTTCCTTGCTTGATGACAGCGACATAGAGGAAATAGGCCATCCAGCGGCGTCCGGGAGCAACCACACGCGTCGAGGTAGGTTTCCATCGTTTTGCAGGTTCAACAGTCGTATTGAATGGTGGCAGGAACAGCCGCCATGCGCCGGCTGTTCTCACCACCCCCACCGGATCCTGATATTCAAGTCGTTCCTCCTGTTCCATCTATTCCTGCTCGCTTTTCCATGTTCCCCATGCGTCGCGAGCCTCCTCCGCATCCAATAGCCACTCCGGTATTAGCCAGGCCCGACCCGTTCGATTTCGAAGTCAATCTCCACTCGCCATCGACCCCGGCAACCGTCCAGAATTCTTCGGACACAGGTCGCCCACATCGTCTGCCCCGAATCACTCTCGGAGGTGCTGTCATGTCTACGGGACAAGCCCGGAGTGCGGAGGTACGGCGGGAACGTGAGCGGCGTCTGCAGGCACAGGCACAGGGTGGGATACCGCGCAGGCGGGATCCGCGAAGAATACAAATAGGGAATGGTTACCTCGCGTTGGATCATGATGCACATGACGACAATACTATGCGTCACTTGAACTTCCTCCTCTTCCCTGCCGAGCTGCACGATGAATACGCAATGGGGGATTCATATTTCAGAACTCGTCGGAACTTGATGACTCATTCGCAACCGCCTGAGGTGGACTATAAACCTCAATATACACATCCTGGTCTGCCGGAGCCTGGTTTTACCTTTGACTTCGCCCCGCCAACATCCGAATCTTCTCCATTCACGACGTCCAAGTCTAACCCGATTGTCATTGACGACGATGAACCCATTGCCAGCAGTTCTTCAGGTTCAGATGCAGCACTGGCTTCTATTTCCCCCCCCTCTTCGGGCCTCAACTTGCAAGCGACTCTTGTCTGTGCCAATTGCAATGAGGGTTTGTACCAAAGTGGCAGCGGAAGTGCGGAGGACCAGAGGAGGCGAAGAATTTGGTCACTTAGATGTGGACACCTGATCGATGGGAAGTGCATTGACCGGCTTTCGGTGCCTCAGGTTCCACCTCAAGATGTTTCTGAATCAGGGAAAGGGAAGGAAAAGGCAAAAGAAGGTGCAGCGACGGCCAACGCTGCGGAGGAGACAAACACCATCAGGTCAAGGTTGCGGTCCAGCCACAAGGCAAATGCTGAGCTTTTACAACGAATTATACCTTCAATACTCAAGCGGAAGGGCAAAGCCAAGTCAGAGGTCGAGGCGGAGCACCAGTGGACTTGCCCGGTAATCGGATGTGGGCGAGTGCATACAAGTGTAAAAATAGGTGGCATTTGGGGACCTGATAAGGTAAAAGGTGAAGGCATCATTGGTGTATTTGTATAGAGTGGTCTCGCGCCCTCGGATTTGCTGGCCGTAATAAAAGTTGGATTTCGATGGTTCACTGGAACGCTTGGTTGCAGTCGACGTTTCGAATGGCACTTTCAACGGCGGTACTTTGAATCAGACCTCTGAAGGAACCATACTGAGCCATATTATGTAGCTGGGCTTCTGATTTGCCCCACTTGTCGAGCCTCGTAAGTGTTAGCCCTAGTCGGCCTTTGTCCCCTTTACGTGTCTAATTATGTCTGGAAGAGCTATCTGAATCATGCGGACACAACAGGTGCGATACCTTAAACACAAACTGCAGGAGGCAAAGGCATACAGACATATTCAAAGGTGGTACGGTAATGTCATTAGAGGAAAAACGATCTACCTTTCCTTCTCCCAGAAAAGTGGTGGAAGGAGTGTCATGCAGCCCATCTCGACCTGAAAGAATTTAGATAGAGAAAATTGAAAGACGTGCTCAGAGCATCATTCGCAAAATACGCTACTTTTTCTTCTTAGCCTTGTTTGCGCGTTGGGCCGCTTGGGCCGCACGGGCCCTCGCTGCAGAAGCGGCCCGTTTTGCCGCTGCTGTTGCAGATTTGGCTTTTGGCTTCGTCCCTTTGGTCGTCGCAGACGGAGCTAAACAAGAAATGAGAATGTAAGAAAGACCAACGAACATCCAAACATACCTGGAGACGGTTCGTGCATCTCCACGTCCTCGTCTTCAACATCCTCCGTTCCTCCATCAGTTGCGGTGACGACACTTTCCCTTGGAGTCGGAGCACCCTCATCACCACTCTCCTGTGTCAGCGCGCTACTATCACTATCACCTCCCACGAGACCCGCATAGTTCGCCTGTGACTTGGCCATCTTTCCTTTTCGTTTACCTTTCGGTTTTTTCTGGGCGGTAGGAGAAGGCGTCGGGGATGCAACCGACGGTGTGGCACGCATGCGACGCGTAGCGATCATGTTCTCGATATATTCATCATAGGGAAGAGAATATTCTTCTTTAAAGAAAGTATGATTCGTGAAATCGTCACCGGGTTTTGGAGACGGAATGGGTATTGGTGTTGAGCTGTTAGATTTAGGCGATTGGTATCCGTCTATCTCGGCATCCTGTCCGTCCGTAAGTTGGGAAGTAGACCAGAGAAATGCGCGTCTTACTATAGCATTAAGAGCATCTATGTCGTACAGTGACCTCAGTTTGGTCCAGATGCCCTCTATCGATACCCATTGGCCCGAGTCTTGGTGAATTGAAAATCGCATAGCCATGACATGGAAGTGGCAGTTAATGCCCACCGGCCTTGTCCTCATCAAGGAACGGAAGAAATTTATTTCTCCCTCGACGGTGTCCAGGTAGGAGTCGTAGCTTGGACCGGCAGCTGGCTCTGGAGAAACGGCAGTCATTGTAGCATTGGAAGGTTTGCCTCTAGACGCGTCTCCGGCCGTGATTGGCTCTTTGCACGTGTGTCTTTCCGGACCGTATCTACCGGATTTTTATACATTGTACAAAAACACTTTGCATACAAATCGATTGGTACATCGTAATTAACCACAAGAGATGATTAAAATGGAGCATCGTACTGTTAATGTTACATTCCAAAGAAAAACAACAACAAAAGGTATATTAGGTTAACATCTACTCCTGCCCGAAACCTTCCGTCTCTCTGCGGAAATAAGTGACGATTCAGACGTGAACCAGTAAAAGAGACGAAACACATACTCGATGGCATATATCAGTTTTGTCTCCAAACTTTCATAATCCTGGTATGGCGGCAAATCCAATCGATTAAAGCATGTGTGGCTCCTGGGCAATCCTTGCGGGTCACCAGACTTCTCAATGGTAAATCGCCGCGGGCCATCCGATCCCTGAAGGTCCTTGAATCCATTAACTGGTACGCGTGAAGTACCAGTCGTGAACTGCAAGAGCCGTGATTTACGTTCTGCGGGCCAAGAGCGAATGCACTGCCAGAACCACTCAATGACTTGGTCAGTCTTCTCGTATCCACGGTAATCTGTAAACTTAGTCCAGTCGTCCCTAAAAAATACAATGTCAGTCCCGTTACGAAAACAAGTATCCGAAAAACGTACACATCAATTTCGGCCATACCACCTATTAGTAGCTCTAGCTCCCGCTCGTCAAATACACTAACAAGGTCGACCGGTATCAGTTCCAAAAGGCCTTCCATAAAGGCTTGGAACTGATCCTTTACCCGGGTCGATATACGGTAAGCAACAACCGCATCAACGTATTCAATCTTGTTCGCTTCTGTAACCGCTATGTTTTCCCCTCCGGTCTTCAATTCGATAATCACCAATTCTCCAAATCGGTTTTCAGTCATAGTGAAAGTCTCGTCGAGAACATCAGTGATATCATTGTCCCTGGGCCATATCAGTGAACGGGATACTGGATCACTAAACTGGATAACTTACAGCATCCAGACTAGTGAGCGATGGAGATCAGCGTCCACGCTCTCCAAATCCGCTAATGTCATATGCTTGCCCAGCATCATTTTGTAGAAGCTCGGAACAAAATACACATCTAGGAAGCGACGATGGAATATTGCCAAACCTAAACAGCGCCCAATAAATTTGAAGTAGCTCAGATGGTCTGGGTTGATCCCGGATACTGGGTTGATTTGGAGAGTATAATTGTCGTGTGTCGAGTACTCGAACAATCCATAGCAAGGATTGAAGATCTCGTGCGACAGCAGGAAAAACCATTCCCTGCAGGGCCTTTTAGTCCTGAAAAGATGAACAGACAAATGACGAAAGTTACCTGCCAACACCACCATAGTCCAACCCATCCTCACCCTCGAAGCTAACGAGAAGCCGCCGTTTCAGATCTTCCGGGTTTTGTGCCATCACGGCGGTGTAACTATCCTCCAATATCCGCGCACGTCTAACCCTGATGTCACATTTGCCAGTAGATACCCGCATCTTAGGCTGACTGCGGAAGTAGATCACCTTCCGTCGGTAATCTCGTTTGTACTGAGGCGCGTTATCGTCCACAACACCAGGAAGTCTAGGATCTTCCCATGACGTCGTTCGCGTATTATGATCCACGAAATAAACACGTCCTGTGGAGGTCAATCGCATCTCCCATCCCGAAGGAAGGGGTCCAAGCTGATGAGCATTGGTGGGTGGAATAACAGGCTGGTTGGCACGTCGAGGATCAACCCACGTCGTTGTTCTAGTGTGATGATCAACAAAATATGGACGTCCTTCCGGCGTCCGACGCTCCTCCCATCCCAGGGGAAGGGGGATATCGGTAGCAGTGGGTGGGTTGGATGCAAGAAGGGTGGTGTGTCGCACGGGTGCTGTCGTCTGTGGTGTGGATTGGGTTTGGGTTTGGGTTTGGGTTTGGGGAGAAGTAGCGAGTTGGCCATTCGGTCTGGGCCGATGCCAGGTCGTGCTTCGAGTATTGTGATCGACATAGTATGGACGACCTTGAGGATCATGTCGACATTCCCAACCTGCAGGAAGGGGACTTTCATCCTCGACATTCCGTTGCTGTACAGCAGTCTGAGAAACGGGTCGTTGGCTTGCATCTTGTCGGGAGAATCGAGGGGAAGCATCCAGTGGAGCATGGCTTGCAGACGATCGAAGAGACAGTGAAGATGAGAGAGGCTGCTCCTGCTGATGAGCCTGTGGTGGCTGCTGCTGCTGCTGCTGTGGCTGTCGCGATGTCGATGTCGATGGCCTCAAGTGATCGTCATCTCCGACATGCGCGGCAGGCCGTGGCCCTTGGCTACTGGAAGCAGTGGCAGACAACTGCGCTGCTTCTGATGTAGACATGGTAAAAGTATCTGTGTCAGTTGCAGCGGGGGCTGATGGGACAGGTTCCGTGGGTAAGGAAAAACCAAATATCAGTTTTCCATATACAGGCAGGTTGTTGGATGACATGGTTAAGTCTCTTGATATCATTTCTGATGCAAACACCAAACAATGAAAACGTAATCAGAAAAAGACGAGGAGAAAGATACCGTGGTGGTTCATAGCACAGGAAATGGCTTCAGAGGCTGGAATATTAATTACGCCAAGGAAGCCTTGGAGAATGTACCGTAAGCAGTCAGTCAGAGTCCATGGATGCAGTAAGCCGCACCTTGATCTCGTTTTTTGAATTTTCTGTAATCGAATACTTGTATTGCGATCATGGATGATTGGCGAACGGTTCTGCGACAGGTAAATGGAGGTAGGGATGGACGGGAATACCACCTACACATCGAAGCTATTATTCCACGACGGACTAAGCGATTTTTTGGTTACTCTTGTCGAGCTCGTCTGATCCCCGTCAACAGTTAGGACCGCAAATGGATCAGGCAGGCCCAGAAGATCCCTCTTGGCGAGACCATGGGCCCCAAATACTGATTCAATGGTAAGCACATCCAATGTATCGACCTCGTATGAGGTGAAAAGGCATACGGGTTACACGAATCGTCCGCTCCGTATCATTCAATCTGTTAAGATGAGCGCCTGGTGACGGTGAGACGGATACGAAGACCGACCTGCTGGAGCTGGCCATGATGAAAGCAAAGTAAGCGGTAGCACTTGCTCGCCGTTGTCGTCGTGATGGACGATGACGCGGAGATGAATAAGCGCCGACGAGGAGGCGCTTGAGCTCGTTCTGTGCGCAGAATCGACGTTTGGGTTAAGCCGCTCGGTTCCAGGTCTTATCGATCACGTGCTGCACAGCTTTACTGATTTCCATCGACAAAAGTATGTAGTCCCTTTGAATTTCATTTTTCTTTCTCGACACCATCTTCGACTTCCAAGTCAAACAGGATCTGGCACAAATCCTGATTCCAGATGGATGTACTCGACCGTCAATATAAAGGATCCTAACTTTCGATCAATTACAATTAAAGTGCAGCTTGGAGTCATCGCCGCATTGTCAGCTCAGGTTCCAAGTTACAAAGTACTTGTCTTTAGCGACGTCTGCGGCCACCATGACTTTTGTTCGACCTTCACGCCGGCGTGAAAAGGAATGTCTGGTCAAAATATTACTGCACCCTACTGCACCAGTAGCTCGCGCGCTCAGAGGTTCAATAAGCTTGAAGCTTAACATAGAACGCTGAAGCATGGCAGGGCGACAAACGACATGAGCTCCAGTAACTTTGCCAAGGCTAAAGATAAATCGATATTGGCTTGATATCCTAAAAATGGCTCTCCTTATGTCGAAGCTCGGAATGTCATGCATCCAGCGAGAGCAAGCCAAACAATGAGCAGGATGAATTGTTGTCGCTTAAGGCTAATGATCTATGGAGTGTGGCAGCCGGGCACCAATTTGTCAGATTGCCCCGGTGGTTCAAATATTCGGCTTCCTCCTGGTTTTTGCCTTGGTTCACCCTATCGCTATCGTTTCATCTTCACCAAAGCTTTACCTTCCGTCATGGCATCCTTACAGATGTCCAAGCCCAAGAAATTGAAGAAGATCAGCGACCGCAAAATCTATATCCCCACAGCAGGTCCTGTGGCATCTCTGGCTCTTTCCAGCCCACCAGATTCTAGCCTTTTCAGCAAAGAGCCTGCGTCTCCTTCACCGTCATGTTTCGCCCCTCCTTCCCTCGCCGCCAATGTCCCGATATGTATCCAACGCTATCCCTCGATCATCCATGTCATAGAAAGACTACGCGAAGTGTCAGAAAAGAATCAAAGTATCAGCGACTTCGAGGCCTACGCTGTGGTTTTTTGCACATGCCTTTCGACAAATGTTCTCTACTCAATGGAAAAGACGCCCCACCTGGACACGAACAACTCCAATTACCGCGCTATGTACTACGATGTCGTTAATTCTGCGGAATACTTTCGCTCATGGGCTTGTAAAAAGGTCCAAGAGGAAGGCGAGCTTGCCATCGACATGCGCCTGGCCACGTCGATGTTCTGGTTCAATGCCACACTCAAGGCTCTTGATGACCTCCACGGGATCGTGACACGTATGGTAGCGGATGCGAAACCGCTTCCTGGCATTCCTGTCGATTTGTCTGAGGAAGACGGCATCGACAAAAGTGGGAGCCCTGAGTCTCATAGGCTTCGGCCGCCTAAGCCTCGCATCTCCCCTCTGAGCATAATCGTAGAAGAAGTCCTTAATAATGACAACCCGGCTTCTCCAGACACCCCCAGCGACACTGTCGCTTCTGGTTCCACTTTGGGTCTTGGCCGTGTCAGGTTTGCCGACGAATCTAGCAGTAGTACTGACACGCTGGTGTCGACGCCGACAAATCAAGCGGCTCTCCCTCCACGATGCAAGAAGCTCGCTCAGCAGATTCGACGTGTCGTTAAGCTTGCCAAGGAGCGCGGTCACCGTATTGTTCAATCTCAGAACTCGACTTCGACACTATCTTCAGAGCCAAAGACAGAGTCCTTCAAGTCACTCGACCGGCGTCAAGCTGTGCAAATCACTTATGCGATTCGTCAGTCCGCCATATACCACTTCGAGGATCCTAGCAACCGCGTCGACATGCCTATGCCTGAGGATTACGCGGCCATGAAAGTCGACGAAAAAGGACAATTGACGAGTGCTACATTGCAGGCCCTCATCTTGCAAGTCACCTCGCGTGAAGTCACACAGGAAGGTGTTCTCGACACTTTTTTCCTTGGTTTCCGGTACTTTACGACACCGGCTATACTGGCCAGGGGCCTTTTAGACCGCTTCAAGGTGATGAACGAACATGGCTATCAGTTCACTGAGCAACAGCGTGTTGTCTGGGCGGCTTCGAAGGACATCACGGAAAAACGCGTCGTGCACGTTATCTGCTTGTGGCTGGAGCGTTACTGGAACCCAGCGTTCGACAGTGAAGCACTCGAGATCTTCCAGGAGTATTTTTTGAGACATCCAGAATGTCGTCCCGGCAGCGAGATGCTGAAACTCTACAGACGTTTGGACAAAATCGGCTCAAGTGGCGCCTCGCGATCCAAATGGTTGGAATATAGATATCGTAAGATCGCGCCCGGAAGCTTTTCCCCTAATCCTGAGGAAACGAATTTTCGTCTCCCAACGGTACCAGACAAGCCAGTGAAATCCAGGCTGCTCTGGTTCATGAGTAACCCTGGTATCCGGGAGTTTGCGCGACAGATCACTATCCAGTCATTCAAAATTTTCAGGAGGATCGAACCGGAGAGCGCTGTCCGCTCATGGATGGCAAACGAATTGGAGGGAAAAGAGACCAGAGCGGACTTTGTGAATTGGGGAAGGTCGCTCACATTCTGGGCCACCATTTCTATCTTGCACGAATCGTCGCTGGAGGGTCGTGTTCCAATGATAGAGTTCTGGCTCGAGGTGGCAATGGTAAGTCTTTTGACTGGCAAATTTTGTTTGATTATGTTGAATATGCTCCTTAGGAATGTCTCAAGCACTACGACTTCAACTCCGCCTTTGCCATCTACAATGGTGTTGTCGCTTCTCCCGTGAACCGACTCAGACGTACAGCTCTGGTAAGTGGCGTTTCAACTTTGCCTTGTCTGAAGTACTCACGCCGTGAATCACGAGGCGTTGTCCATGAAACATAAGGGTTTCCACTGGGTATTTGAAACAGTGTTCGACAACTTCAGGGAATACCGTCGCATAATTCAAGCTGTTGGACTCAAGTCAAGACCCATGGTTCCCATCCTTGGTGAGGAAGACATGTCACTGTTACATTGTGGTAGTTATCAATGATCGTCAATGCAGACCCTCTTGTTCACGATGTAACTCAAATCAAGTCAAGCCTTTCAAGGGCAGTTACCGAGGGAAGAATCAACTTTTTCCCTGTACGCACTATCTGTGCTACAATCCGAAGTGAGTACGCGCCGGATCTCGCAAGAGTTTTCATTCTGACACTAAATAGCATTGGAGCAAGCTTGGCTGCCCTACACGTTTAGAAGCAGCCCTGCTTGCCAAGAATGGCTAACAAAGAAGATGCAGTGGGCCGTAGAATTGAAAGCAAAACTGGATGTCGATGACACTGATCAGTACAAATGGAGGTCCGCGTCCTATTCTCAGCCTGGGTTTAAGTGCTAATAGTTGTTCCTTTGATAGCCGTGTCCTTGAACCGAGGGACCCGGAACTTGACAAAATACACAATAATCCTGCTATGTTGTGGAACCTTGTCGCCACCCGGAGTGGGTATCAGAACGTCGCCTCAATAACGACGTTTGATCTCGATGCTATTCTCAACATTCAGGCTTGCCAGGCCCGATGAGGGGGGTCCTTCCTGTTTCATTTTCATCCATCTCAGAGCCAGAGCATAATGCATGTGACGTTGGATATACTACCCTCCTACACTCATTTATCTTTCCCCAGTTATTTCTGCATCACTGATGCAACGTTACATTCATTTCATCTCGCTATCATCATCATCTCTCCTTTTCCCCGTGCCTCTTGTCGTCCACACTTTCTTTCACTTACAATCTTCTGCTAAAAAATTATGTCGAAGACCATAAGTTGAGTGTAGACACTAACACCTCAAGTTAATTGTATATACCTATTTGGACTTCAAGACGGCGGATGTCGTCTTCAAGTTTGGGACACGTAATTTAGATTTTAGAATATCCTATGGTTCCAATAACAAACACCGGGAACGGAAACAACAAATGCTACCACTCTAGCCATATACACTGGCACGACAACCGAAATGCTGAACTGTCATTTGACTGCCGTCTCATAGCCTCGCATATTGCATAGCATAAGTACATTGGCAAACAGGAAAGAACGATCCATGCATCTAAGCTCGAGCAGCCTCAATCCTCTTCCTAGCAACTTGCCGCCTGTTTAATCCAACCAACGAGACACCAGCCTTTTCGGAAGCCTTCTCGACCTCGACATCGGAAGCAGTGAGGATGATTTCAACGTGCGTGGGGTGTCCCTGGTAAGGGTTTATACGACCATGAGCACGGTACGTACGGCGGCGGGTTTTCTACGGATCCCCAAATCAGTCCTCTGAGGCAAAAGAATGTGTTCAGGACGAACGGGGGCCTGTTGAACAACAATGTTCTTGATGGTGAGGTCCTCAACATCGATGTTTTTAGCATCCGCATTGGATTCGGCATTCTTCAGCAGGCGTAAAATGAATTTAACAGACTTCTCCGGCCATCGTCCTGCATACACAATGAATAAAATTGAGGATGAATGAAAGGCAGACGCACCCTGAGTTGCCTTGAATTGCTTGGCCTGGCTTGCTCGTCCAACACCGCCGGAGAACCGCCTGAAAGGAATGATCTGCTTGTGATCTTGGACGTCAGCGAGGTATGTGTAGGCCTTGGCCAACTTGAGTCCTATATATGCAAATCAATCCTCCAGCACAAGCCTATTTGCCAACAAACGAACCGGTAAGAGCAGCGGCGACCTCCCGCATGTTCTTGAAGTGCGTTCGCAGGTACTCGCCTCGTGCGCGGGCAGCTGAATTGTCACCATCAGTCTTGGCCAGCAATAGGACCAATAACAAAACAGACTTTTTTCGGGGTTCGTAGCAGTAGCAGCGGCAGCGTAACGAACTAAGTGAGCGGTCAGACATTGGTGAAGGAGAAGAATGGCAGCATCGCGTACCCATCTTGAAGTCTTGAAGTTGTCGGGCTCGACACTGAAACTATTTTGTGAGTGGATGCCGGCCGCGTGGCTTGAACTTTATCTGTATAGTTTCGGGAATAACCGAGATTACGTCAGCGCAGCAGTTTTCAGTACTGACCAGACAGAAATTTACAATAGCTAGTTCCAAATCGTTTATTTAATCAAATATGCAGTCCAATAATACAAATACAACACGCAAGATAACGATATCCGAGTCCATCAAACCCTCCAGTCATACACATTCACTCAAAGCCAATAATCCTGCTCATAGGTCGACAACTGATAGGTGGAGGATCTTTCGACAGCGGAACATCCTCCGCCTCAGGTCCATCATCCTCGCCTTCATCGTCACTTTCTTCCGGACGACGAGTTCGTCCCAGTCGACTTAAGATGCTTACCCGATTTGCCGCAGACTTTGGGGGCTTATAATCAGGATGGGCTTTCAAGGCTTTCGCAGCGTCCAATAGCTTCGCAACAACATTGGCATCCATCTCAATGGTGAACAGGTCCATGATGTATCTGCGAACAGGCAGACGATATCGTTGCGTTGATATCATATGAAGGGCTCGGAAAAACATTGTTAGTGAGGAGAACACCGAGCGGTACTCAGGTCGTGATTTCATCCTATGGCGTAGGGTCAGCCTCAGACGACAGCTAGAGAACAAGGCATACTTAGTCAATGTTCGAGACGCCGCGTTGGCAATGACCGAGTTTGAAAGGTTCTGAAGAGCTGTAATCACTTCGAGCTCGGCCTCCGAAGTTGGGGGTATGAGGCGAGTCTCGCGAGACTCGGGTATACGTTGGGTCCAAGGGGGTATCTATACAAGCTATGAGCAGTAGAATGATTGAAACAAAGAGGTGCCTACAGATATAAATTTCTCAACATCCATCGGGATGCATAATCCAGTGGGTAATCCGAGTGGTGTCACTGTTGCCTCCCATTCATAATCATCAAGGATTTCCGCACCTTGGGACGTCGAGGAAATTAGTCCCAAGATGAAGAAGCACGTCCTTAGATATCTTTCAGATACGAATGAATGAAGATAATTTCAACAACGTACCCACGGACTGATGGTATCGGAGAGTTGTTTGCTATGTCCAGGACCGCAGGAATGATGTCTTCTTCCTCAAGACATGACAAACCCCCTTCAGTGGCTCCGACGTTACCGACTGCCCATAAAATACTCTTTAACTTCATGATAATCTCCGTATCCTCTCCCTCCAGACCGTGCTGACGTATGAATTGAGTGAAATCGGAAAAATGGCCTTTCTCTTGCAATATTTGACAGCCCAATTCGGTTTTCGACATCTCGCCATAGAAATGAGGCGGTACGGTACCCTCGAAAGCACTCATAAAGAACTCAAATGACTAGTCGATGACACCAGCGATCAAACTTACAGAGATTCATCTTCCTCTTCAGCAGTATTCGAACCATGGAATACCTTGGAAAGGAAAACTTCTACTTGTACCACGTAGTAGAGGTTTCGCTCCTGGAAAGACCGTTAGACGATATCGACAAAAGATCATTAGTGAATACGTACATTGAACCACAGGTCCAGTTCTCGGTCGATGTATCCAGCGTCAAGCAAGTATCGAAAGCCCATAGGCGTGGATGTGAATCTGGGCCAAAGTGAGCCTTGATCTCGCCACCGCAGAATAGAATCCTTACTTCAATAGTAAGGGATTCCCAATTTCACCCAAATGATCCATGGTAGGCCTCATTTCGACGACAAGCTGAAGGATTTCCTTGGATTCACAGGCCTCTTCAAGGAAGCGAGCGGCCATTTCGCACACCTCGGGGGCAGGGTCATAAAGTTGCGTCAGGAGGAGTCTTAAGGTCCACACGTTGGCATTGTTCGCCGAGCCTTGGATGAGATCACCTAGATGCTGAGTCGCGTAAAGACGGACGTGCTTGGAAACGTTCAATATCAAAGTTCTGGACATGGCGAAGGTCCTAACCTTATAGCTAGAAGTAAGGGCTTTCGACAGGATGATACGAGGGTGTCCGTCACTGGTATATGCATAAAATCAAAAGTTCCGGTCAAAAGAGAAAACACGTACATGCTATAGTCAAGGTTCTCTATGATACCTTTGATGAGATCCTCTCGACTTCGCAACTCACTTAAGTGGTAGAACGCGGTAAATATCTTGAATTTCTCCAATAACCTAAAATGAAGTCGCAGTCAGTATATAGGCTATTATTGCGAACATGTAGGGGCGTACTCGATGCCCTCCTTATGTTTACTGAGTGTCCCGAGCATCTCCAGATACCCATAGGTCAAAGTTTCGGCGACTCTCTTTTTGGAGAATATGGGATCTTGGTCAGGAAGACCATTGAACTTTAGAGGATGAGTGTGAGCAGGGCAGCGTTTGGAAATGGCCTTACCGGATCAAGCTGAGCAAAGCTCTTGACAATCTGTGTAAGGAACTGATCTTCCGTAGACAGGAATCTCACTCCATCAGGACTAGCTAGCAAGGTTGTCAAAAGCGAACATCCCAGCCGAGCCCACCGAAGATTAGCCTAAAGAAACCTCAGAAAAGCGCCGATACAAGAAAGATGAATCACGAAACCTTAATTTTCGGTATCTCCGAGAAACGATGGCTGAAAGGGTGGAAGAATGACATAAGACGTCGGATAAACTTCGCTGCCCTGATCGCCTCCTCCATCCGCTTCGGATTCAACAAAGGTCCTTCAATGAGCTCTTGCAACACATCAAAATTCCATTTCATATAGTCCCTTGTAATCATTACCTGTTCATAGAAGCATGAACAACATGGAATATAAATCGCATACAACCCTACTTGAGTTTCCAGAACACAGGACTGGAATGTTTTATCATCCATCTGCATATTCATTTTCAGCTTCGCTTGCTCTACCTGACGTTGTCCGCGGCGAACAGGGTCCTCCACAGAGTTAGCCCTACAAAACCAAGACCGTCAGGTCAAGATCATTAAAGGCGTCGGGTACTCACCGTACACGGGTTTGTTTGACGGGTCCAGGCTGCAGTCGTGCACGGTTTCGGTCAAGACTGTCAATAGCGGACATTGCTGACGTCCCAATGATCCGATGTTCACCGTCACCAAAATCTGCCGCCATGTAAAAAATTTGCGGGATAGCCTGTACCGAGGACATCGACTCAGTACATATCATACACTTGGAGAACGGTGCCAAACCTGTATTCTCGCCGCTACGGAAAGCGGCAAGACTCGATTTGCAATTTGCAAAACCTCTGCCATGAGAAGCGTCGCCTTTCTCGAGAGATTCGTACCAGTGGTAGTTTCACTTAGCATAGAAGTCAGCGCCTATGCGTGGATGTCAGAAATGAAGACAGGTTGTTATTTGACCAGACATACATCAAGCAACCCTGCGTTTGTGAAGATGAGGACTAATAGGGCGATATAGTGCTCAGTCAACCTTGAAGTCGGGGACGTCCGATCCGCTTGTTCGACTTCCTTGCTTTCATCGATACTACTCCGACTCTTCCTGTACACTGCAATAAATAATTGGTTATTTCCTTGAACCATATGCGTATCACATCATACTTGTTAATCTTCTTCCATCGATGAAGGTTTGGTACCATTCCGGTGTCTTGATCTTGAGCAGACTGAAGAACATGTTTAAAATGATTTCCTAGGTCGAACATGATACACTGATAGTAATACCGCTAAGAACGTAACGTACCCGTGTTTCCACAGAGGGAATTCGAAGGGTCTCGATCACAGATCGCAGTGCGCGCATATCGTTCATACAGAAGTACATGAGACCTAAGATAACATGTCAGCACTGGAAGAACCAGTCACTGAAGAGAACGCCCACCGCTCCAGGTTCGAAGCATGCCTTGTATAACTTGGGTGTAACTCTTCATCCGCTCAGCATGATCAGGACCTTTGCCGTAGGCATCAGTGACGGCAGACAGTGCAGTCTATACTGAAAAGTTAGCGTGCTTTTTTAAGAATACACATTCAAAAATTATTACTTCTAGGTCGGTACCAACCGTAAAGTAGGATCGAGTTCGAGGACTGTCCACTATATGAAGGAAAGCCGCAGATAGGATGGGAGTTAATTCAACCGGTCCTTCACCCAGGGCATGTAGTAGAAAACGGGTTCCACCCGTTCTGGCGACGAGATCAATATCGATGAGAACTAAGAAGACGATCAGACACCGGGAACTGGAAATAGAGTATCGTGCATACGAATTTCAGTTAAGGTTAGTATACAGATGGGCCTGAAAGGATCTTCAACATGTTCCGCAACTGCGATAAACGCTCGCATGACGGGCTCGGAAAGAGGGACTACACCCACAGAACCTCCTGTGGACGAGTGTGAATCGTGGCGAACCGTACCAATGTCCACAATAGTTCGGATGAGCTTGATGACCTGCTCTTTCTCAACGGCGTATTTGCTGTCGCGATTGAGAGACCTAGAACTTTATCCTGAGTACTGACACTTAAAAATAAAATACACTACTCACTTTACAATATACCAATCTAGTGCCTGTTCTTCCAACCGTTTGACTGAGTCGTGATCTACCAAGGCATGTCTTATGACACGATAGGCAGCTGCACGACAATGTTTGGAACGTCTGTCTGCAAGCGCCGGTATGACACTATGACCAAAATAAGCTAAACGGTATGACAGTCTAGATCATGGCCTACGCTGGGACGACATCTGCTAGACTCAATTCATAACGAACACGCAAATTCTTCTGAAGAACAGCTGTGAGCCTTGACATAGCATCGACCCACGGTCTATCCGCATCGGGAATATTGGAGGTCGGAGGGTCGGTAGAAGAGGAAGCACCCGGTGTGGTCTGCGGTGGCATGGTCGGACGAGCAAGGGAGAGCAGATTCAACACGCAATTCGATGCATTCTGAAGCATAGTACGGAAGTCGTCCCCTACTCAACCGTTTCAATGTTAATGAACATACACGTTGAAGTAGACGAACCCTTGTCATCGACGTCTTCTTTAACCTGTTTGACTTGAGATGAAGAATGGCCTGCCTGGAAAAACTTGCGTTTCACTGCGGCGGCACCGTTGACTTGCTTGCCCTTGTCAATCGAAGACTCTGTGCGTACGATTCGGTCAGGACTCCGAAGGGTGGAAACTGAGTACTTACGTATATCCTGCCGCTTATTGGTGATAGCCTCAATTCGACTTCTAGCCATATCCAATTCAGACTCGACTTGAAGTCGTAGAGCATCCTATATCTTTATGTCTTGATAAATGCGTACGACGAAATGGACACGGGTACTGACAGTCAGCGTGACCTTAAGCATATTCTCTGCGCCCTCGAGGATACGGTTCTGCATCACGAGTTGGTTGTCGAGCTCCGCAAGCTAAAAGAAAGGCATCAAATCTAGCGCTTGGACGTATGCTCAACGTTCAATTCCTCACCTTCTGAACAGGGACCTGCCCCTCCGAGCCCGTGAACGAAAGCGCGTCATCAGTGTCAAGCGGTCCATTGACAACGGTGATAGAGGAGGATATTTGAGAGCCAGACAGCGCAGGAACAGCAAGATTCGAAGGCATAGCTCCGGGCCAGTGTTATCGCGCCCCGATGTCGAGCAAGTCGTAGCGTTACCAGCTTAGCTCAATCACAACGGGATGTCCGGCAATTGTAAATTTCGGACCTTTGTTTGGCTTCGTCCACAGGAATAAAGTAGCCACTGCCCATCGACTGGGGCGTCAAGAATTACTGCAACTATACAAATGTAAGTTTTAGCTAGTATACATTACTAAAAAGTGTTTCGGTGGAATTAGCGGTCAAATTTCGTTCCAAATTGATGTTACGATAACTTTGTTCTATGGAATATAATGTCCCGAACTGTACGTGCTCTTATACTGTACTGTATGCATAAAGTTAACTACGCTGAATAAATTAGTGTACAATCTAATGCCTCCGCGACATTGTAATGGATCAGAATGTGCAAGGAGGAGTTCTATGACAGTTTTCTCCGATAATGCATCGTCAGCTCTGCCGACTGCTTCCACACATAGTAGCGCACAGCTGCTAGGCTCATGTCTAATGGCAGAAGAATATCGTTGCACAGAATTTCGTACAGGTCTTCTGCTCTAGGTCGTGGCGACCTTGTGCGTTCGTGATGTCCGGTGCTCTCTACCGAAGACCGTATTGATGCCGCTCTTGAATTGGAATTCGAAGTTATCTTGTCCAGCTTTTCCTGCACCTACACGTGAGAGAGAAGAGTAAGCATCAGACCTGCTTTGAGCAAGGAAAAATGCGAACATGAATTATGAGCTTGCGCACACGAAGGAAGCGGTTGGCGGTGAGCTTTGATTGAGCACTATGAGGTATTCGTCATCAAAATATATCACTGAGAACTTGAAGAAACGAACTCACGTATTGATGAGCTCTGGAAGAGGCTCTGTGTCGGGACCCTTAGAGGGATAAGGTAAAAGAACAAAGCTGATTTTTACTTGAACAGGTGCAGGTGCTTTGTTCAAGAGCAGATATTCGATAAGCCACATGGGCATTGCCTCCTCTAAGACTTGTGTATCATGAGCAGTGGAAGCAGCGGTGCTATGGTAAACAACATTATAGTTAGGGGACCCTTCTTCTGAAATCAAAATGATGAGATTAGACGGCAGACTGTGTGGTGGCGCTTCAGTCGATGAAGGAGGTGACCAAGTCCCCGAAAGGAGTTTCTGCAACGGTGTTTTCACGACTTCTACGACGAGTTCACCCAAAGACTTTTGCTGGAGTATCGTTAGATTGGGACTTTGGGCCTATTACAATATCACTCACCTCGGGCGAGGGGGTCTGAGTCTCGATTGTAGCTGCAACAACACTAGGAATGGGGGTGGTAGAAGGACCAACGTCGCTGACAGGCCTCTTGCTCTTGCCGAGATTCTTGAAAAGGCCTATGAACCCGCCAGGACTCGGGATTTGTGACACTGGGTCTCCAGACAACTCATCCGATGTTTGGGAGGAAATTTGCCTTCGCACGGAAAAGTAGTCCCCTTCTTTAGGCATTGAAGACCCAGTAGGCATGCTACTGTCGATGGTGGTGGATCGAAGCCGCTGGTGCATAAGAATGCGGGGTGTAGGAGTAATATCATCGTTACCTAACGCAGGAGACTGGGGTATGACAGACGGAGCTATGCTGTTCTCTTTCCCAATCGGGTGGAGAGGTATCAGTGGGGAGAGAAGAGGAGATGAATACGTCGAGGATATAGTTGGGGATACTGCTGGGATCATATGTGGTGATGAAATGACAGTCGCACTTGGTCTCGTTGATCGCCGGTGATGATCAGGAGATGTGGACTGATGGCTGTCTTCACTTCCACGGCGGTCACGATGACGACGCATTCTTTGCTCCTCTCGAATGAAACCAAGAAATAGGTTTCTCAGCACCCATTTCCCAATATTCACTGTCCGAAACATGCTTATGAGTAAGTAAGAAACTCAATAGTGTCGAACAAATAAGCCTACATTTTGACTCGTCATTAAAATGTCGATCATGAACGAATCCGACTTCGTCTGCATATACCTCAGCCTCGAAACATTTCTCATCCATGTTGATCACCAGTACACCAGCTTTGGTATCAGCAGTAGCCCATGGTAACGCAACGCCTTCGCCCTCAATTCGCTCTCGAACGCTATCCAGCACTTCTCGCGGGCTGCGCTCTTTCTCTCCGCCACTGCTTCCCGCAACTGAACTGCCTTGATGGCTAATTGCAGCGACATCCTCCCGCCTAAATTTTCCTCGGCAGAAACACCTTACTACATCCCAAACCGCTACTTCGCCTGACGTATCAACAGTTAGAGCATGCAACCGGTCATTGAGTATGATACACCGGACAAGCCCGTGATCGCCTTGAATTACATTGTCGGGTGTGTTATAAAGAGGCACAGCATCTGTTGCTATCTCTCGTTCATCGTACTTTGCACGTGCAGTGGGTACAGGCTGGACTGTATCCCCTGTCTTCGAAGTTCGAATAGGACTCGTATGGGCACGTAGAACTGAATGGATCGGAAGACTGGCCCGTGGAACAGACATGACAGAAGCGGCGGAGTACAACGTTGCAACCTCGGGATCTCGTCCTCGGGTAGAGGAAGAATACGTGAAGGGGTCGCTTGCAGAAACAAGCTTGACCAGGCTCACGAAAGGAATACCGTACAAGGTCGTTTCATCCTCGCGGTCACGCTGCGGAAGCCAGTTGTCCGAACTAAGAGATTGAATAGAGGGCGTAATGGAATTACGGGGTGGTGGCGCCGGTCCGACGGTATCGACCGACTCTTCAGTACTGTTCTGACGACGTTGCCTTCGCACTGCAGCCACTGGACTGCTGTCGTGACGATCGTGTTCAACATCCACTAAGAGTGCGTTCGCACGAATTGAACGTCTCTGGGGTACCCGCCACCGATGGATACTCGAATTACCTGTGGCTGTCCACAGGAGATTGTCATCCATGGCTACGATGCTATTGATCCCCTCAGAAGATGGCATGCCTTGCTCTCCGTGATCTTGATAAAGCACAATACATTCTCCTTCAGCAACATCTGAGCAGTCCTCAACGTCAACTTTACAGACAAGTCCCGATCGGTCACCGGAATAAAATATCTCCAGCGTGGGGTGAGAAGAGAAAAGAGACCAGACGGATTCGGTGTGGTGCGTGAATGTGTGTAGGCACTTCTGTGACGTTAAAGACCATAGTTTGACGGACGCTAGAAAAAAGTTGGTCAGACGATTGATAATAAGACATCAACAACATACCATCAGCCGAGCCCGTAAGCAGGTACCTCGAATCCTCAGATATCAAAATAGCTCGGATGTTATCCGTGTGCCCAACAAGTTTTCCTGTCCTCTTACCAGAACGGGGGTCCCATAATCGAACAACACGCTCTGGGGACCCAGATGCGATAGAATGGCCATACGGATCCACAGCAATCGCATAGACAGACGACTTTGGTGCCGCAGCAGCTGCAGGGTTTAGTGTAATCAGCGGATCCGAGTTCGACCGCCCAAGGTCCCAAAGCTTGATTGTACGGTCAAAAGACCCAGAGGCTACCCAGTTCTGTTCTCGACTACGTTTTGTCAGCGGACCATGCCGAGACAACGCTAGCACGTACCAATGAGTTAGACAACGTACATAATCACTGTGGACCCCAATTCTCGATGGCTCGGAATCAGTGGGGGAGTGAGGATTCCATGCTTTGATCGTGCCATCCGAGGATGCGGAAACCACTGGAGTTCATGAGATGATGATAACACGCGGGGAAACATCAAGTGCTCGCCTGTCTGGTTATGGTTGCACAGGGCAATATCGTTGATCCAATCCATGTGCAACTGAGCAGACTGACGGAAATGGCTCGGCTTGAGAAAGGTTCTTTTGTTCAACGGTCACACAAGTGTAGCTGAGGATAGACTTACCTGTCCCGGCTTGAATAAATCCAAGTCTGTCTCCCACTGTTGCTCATAGGGAAGAGAGGACTGAGACTGCCGCCGTCTTCTACTAGAAAACGCGGTGACATCTCCTAACACGTCGCCGTCGCTGGTGGGTCGGTCATCGGCGTCCTCAGCTTCCTCTGCAATAATATCGTCGCCCCAGCCTGTCATGAGCTCCCAGCGTCCGAAACCGCGACGGAAATCACCGACATCTTGCTTCAGCTTCCTTTTCTTCATTGACATCCCTAAGTCCCATGAAATTACCATTCCATCTCTGCCACCAGAATAAAGAACGCCTTCCGGACTACCCCGGCCGGTAAGCTGAGTTGAAGTGTCCAGTGCCAGAGAGGCAACACCTAGTCGATGGCGTGGATGTCTGCCACGCTTCGGTATGACTTGGTCCTGTCCATGGCCACTGGCCTGTCTGAGCAACGGGCCGGTGCAACCTAACCGCGATACGCCATGAGGGGGGAGTTGCAGACGAGGAACAGATCCGTCAGGGGGTAATATAACGTAGGATACGCGTCGTCGTGTCTGGGCCATGGATACAGAAAATGTGACATGAAGCTACCCAGCAAGGTAACTAGAAAGTGTCCGTGCTCGTCGTTGGAGGTGATGAAGCGTCCGGCTTCCTAAACGGGTTTGGTATCCAAACACACGCAACTCCCGTGTTCGAATTTCTTGACATTATACCATGTCATTCATTCGTAAGTACGCAAGGATGGCCTTGGTCGTTAGAGGTGCACGTCTGGGACAAGGGCGCCTCTTTACCCGAGGCGTTAGCAGTGAATCAACCCCAGCTACGAAGACAGAGGAATCGTCAGAGATCGTAGCTCCCGCTCCCCCCCGAGATGTTATGGTTGCAGATGTCGTGAGTGGCGCTCCAGGTGCGTTCCTACTACTCTTGTATGAAGACCTATAGCTCATGTGTCTTTGCAGAGGAACTTCGTCACCGAACGGTGCGAATATATCAGCCCACTCGGAACACTATGCAAAGCGGGGCGGCGAAAACGGAGCGCTGGCGTATAGATTTTGATACGATGTTGACCGGTGGTCATTGGGAGAACCCCTTGATGGGTTGGGCCAGTTCGTAAGTTGTCCTTGACCTGATGTGCCGACGAATAGTACTGATGCAGAGAACAGGGCTGATTACATGCAAGGAACAAGGGTTTCGTTTAGGTCGAAAGAGGATGCCATGCATTTCGCGGAGAAACAGGGTATGTTTTCAACCTATCTCACACAAATGCGCTTTCTCATGGCAGTTCACATCTTCCAGGATGGGATTATTATGTGTAAGTGACCAGACAGCCTATGAATACGTTCCTACTCATCATCGAAATAGGCAACCTCCCGCAACTAAGAGAGTTCCTCCTAAGAACTACAGCGAGAATTACAAGTATCACCCGGACACTCTTCGTATTATGAAGACCAAGTAAAGCTGCCCATCGTTTTCATGCACTTGTCTGTATATTGTTAGCCTTCAGCGTGCATCAAATGTGCGCTCAGCAGCGACGTAACAGTCAGGGTTCAAAGGAATCAGATGAAGCCAGAGATACAGTAATAAAGAACAAGTAGAAACTGTTTCGTCTCGTAAGATAATTTGCTGTAAATCATGTAGAGAGGAACGGTAATTCTCCACTACACAGGCGAAGGTCGTCGTCATCGGTCTACTTATTGGTACGCTAATAGGAGAACAAACGAAGAACCCAACTGCGACACTTGTCATTTCAATTTCAACCGTAAAAAATGTGACTGCCTCCTCGAGGAAACGGGGGAAACTCTATGACGCATACCACGTGCCTATTGCATGAGAACGGACCGCGACCCTCAGTCCGTGGGGTTGGGGTTCTCCATGCCACGCTAGCATCAACTCTCTACCACCTCTAGTTGACCTCTGCGCGTTCCTCGATTATTTGACACCTGACTCTACCTTTACGGCCAACACGCAATGGGCGACATTCAAACCCGGCCATTTTCCAAGAATTACAGGTATGGTGCTACCCTCGTCTTACTGTCTCAAATTGCTAATACTATCACCACAGCGGTTTGATAAATCAGTCTGTAATTGCCGTCGGGATCACTGTACTATGCGTCGGAGGACATGAGTACATGAAAAGGAAGCGCAGAGGGAAGAAACAATATGAAGATGGGCTTGGATCCAGGGAAAGTTGGCAATTTGGATAGTGAGTTTTCTGTTTTCAACTTTCTCATGGATCCTTCAGGCATTGAGCGTCTATGCTATTGAAGTTTCCTTTAACTTCATTTTACCCCTGTACCAACCGATGCTGATCTCGTGCTCTTACAGTCTGTACCAAGGCAGATCCTGGGCTCGGTGAGCTGGTCGAATTACTGAATTGACAGTCGTTTCTTATGCAATCTTTAGGAAGCCATCCCCTCCTTCGCCAAAAGGATGGATATTGTCGTGGGTTCCGCAAGCCGTGTGGTTTCCTGAAGCGAAGATGAATGAAATTCGGGGTATTGATGCGACACTGTATATTCGGTTTCTTCGCGGTTGCTGTGCGTTTTCGTCATCCCTGCAAGAGCAGAACGTCTGACACAGTTACTCAGTTTGGTTCGCTCTGCTACACACACTCACCACATTTCCCGTGCTGTTCCCCATTCACGTCGAATTCTCCGAGCCTTCAATTGATCCTAAATCCATGACTCGCGCCTCAATTTCTTCACTGGTCAGTACGGAAGAAGGTTTGTCCTTGCTATGGATTCATATATGCCTCCTGTTCTGGATAACCTTGACCTGGATTGGTACACTGTTTTGGATAGCCCATGGCGCATTCATGTTACGCGCCGAAAACATCAAGCAGGCTTCGAAGCGTGTTCCTTCGGGACCAAGCGAAGGCACTCGCCCAGAACACCATCTCCATCCTCATCCACAATTCAATTTCGCGTCTGTTCCGTCGCTGGACTTTATACATCCAACGAACGGTCTTCGCCTTCGCACTATCATGGTATCAAATGTTCCTCCGCAATTGAGAGATGAGAAGGTGCTCAAAGAATATTTCGAGTACTATATGTCCCGAAAACTAGAGCGTCCGGCATTGGGTCTGACCGCGACAACACAACCAGGCTTCTTCAATAAGTCATTCGCTTTCCTCTTCAACCGTGCCAAACGCCTTCCAGTTATACAGAACGAGTGGAAGGACAGAACAGATCACTCTTCTGCTTCTGACCCAGAGAAAGTGCCCGCAATAGACCGTGTAGTGGTCGCAAGAAAGATGACAGAGCTGGCTTCGCTTCTCGAACGTCGCGAGGACATTCTTCGACTACTGGAAACCGCGCACATCAAACTGGCCAGAACTACCCTCGAGGCTGTCAAAAAAGCCATGCAACAGAAAGAGGCGAACAAACCTTTTTCTCGGAGCAACTCCAGGGCCAAGCTTGTTGCGAAAGAGAGGAAATCGGTTGCTGGTGCTGAACAAGGTGATGCCGAATTAGGAGGTCCTATCAGTGAAGAGGAGCGGATGGAGCAGCTCATCAAGGTTTTGGGTCCATTTGTCGACGAATTCGAGCTAAGGCGACATAATACCAAGCTCAAGAAGGCCTCCCATGATTCAAAACATGCTTTCCAGCAGCTGCGAACAGAAGGATCTGCCGATTCTGACAATGGCCCCATGGAGAGCCCCGCTGGCTATCCTCCCACCTCTGCGAATGAACGGCGGCCTAAGTACAAAATTACCATCTGGGAAGCGCTCCTCAGCCTACCACGGAGCAGCCTTGATGTGTACCAACCCCTTGTCAACCTTTCACATCTCTTCCGCGGAAAGACGGTACCATCCATCGACTACTACACAGCTAAACTCAACTTGCTGACGTCCCTCATAACGGAGAACCGTACGAAGCCGGCGACAAAGTTCGATCCCGTCTCGACAGCATTCGTTACTTTCGCCGATCCAGATGACGCGAGAAAGGCATGCAAGTATTTGGCAGTCCACCCTCATAACCCGCTTACGTGTTCGGTCACGATGGCTCCAGAGTACCAGGATTTGGACTGGATCAGGGTTATGAAATCGTCTTTTGATGCAGAGGTCAGGCTCCTTATTGAATCTCGTTTTCCTATCGCCTTAAGTCTTTCTGTACTAGTTCGTAAAAGACTGGGTCGTGAGCGTGGGTGTATGGTCAGTACCGCAATTTTCGTATTTTATTATATGTAGCCAAGCCTCTATCATAGGGCATTCACCATCTTCTGGTTGTTTCCGGTGTCATTACTCGTTGGTTTAGTATCCATTCAGAACATCAGTGTTTTCTGGCCTAGTCTTGTAAGATTCTTTTTTTCCTCCTTCGCTTTATGCTCACTCCCGAACTTAGAAAGCGTACTTGGACAAGCATGCCTGGGAGGAAGAAGTGATCCAATCATTTCTTCCTACACTTCTCGTGGCTCTACTGGCTCTATTGATCCCTCTTATCTTGTTACTCATCGCTAAGAAGGCTCACACGATTACGACCCTTTCGGCTCTTCACGACCGAATCATGACTAGATATTACAAATTCCTCATTGTCAACGTTCTTGTGTTTTTCTGTGTAGGCACGGCTGCTTTACAATCTATCCTTAACTCCTTTCGAGCATCGGCTACGACTCCCGACATTCTCCAGATTGTGGCAGATAGTTTTCCGTCGGCTGGACCCTTCTACGTTGGTTGGCGTGAGTGCTTCAGACAATTCACAAGAAGTCATTGTTGCTGATTGTCCTTTCAGTCATTTTCACGACTGCTATGCATGGTGGTTTTGAAATTATTCTGCGTATGTCCCATGCTGCTCCAACTTTTTTTTTTGCGCAGACTGACTGCTTCTATTTGAAGTCGGTGTAAGATCCATTTACTTTCTCTCGCAAGGTGTGGGATGATTAAAGAGGGTTTTTTCGAAGTTACCTCTTATTATGTATCCCACAACTAAGAGACAACTTACTCCGTGAGTTGCCCAGTTCAGAACCTTGACAACGTCTTTAACTTATCTACAGGCGTAAACGAGCCATTGGGATACGTCCTCGAACATTTAACTTCTACTGTTAGTATAAGGATAAACTTGCTACTCGACCGCTCTGAAGACTTTATAGATTGGCTTCCTACACATTTATTGGTAATCCACGTTTTGATGCTATTCGCGGTGCTCAATCCTGTTGTATTACCCTTCGGAGCATTTTACTTTTTCATCGAAGCTGGTGCGTTCTTCTCTTTATCGTAGCCTAACAAGGAGAGTGACGATCTCTTTGCAGGAGTAATAAAAAACCAAGTGTGTTATCTTTTTCCATTGTTTAATACCTTGCTTACCTCTGTTCCAAAGTTAATTCACGTCTATGCTAAAAATTACGAGGGCGACGGAAAGCTCATCTTGATACGAATGCTGCGATATTCATTAGATGGTGAGATATCTGCACGACTACCTGAGACTTGGTTTTGACGTTAGACAAGGTCTTATCTTATCTCAGGTTCGTATATACTACGTGGGCGGAATTGGTTCCTAAAACAGTCCTAGGCTGTCTTTCTTGCTTACATGGTTGTCCTGAAGAAGAATGTCAATGTTGCCCTTTCCGCTGTGCTCATTGTGTTCACAGCTGTCGTGAAACTTATGTGCGTGCATTTGCTTTCTTTCACTCTCTCAACTTCATCCAACACATAGCATAACACGAATGTGCCGAGCACAGTTCGAACGTGACGATATCCAGGAAGCGCATATTGTCTGCGGACAATCGAATGCGGCAGGCATACCTGACATTGAGAGAGGAGAGATCGGAAACACAGAACAGGACATGAACGGCCTTCTCAGTACGGATTCGCAGAGAAGAAAGTCCATCTGGCAGTTACCAGCTTGGGTGACCCTCTCTTATGCGACGATCCGTCATCATCCGAATAATCCTTTGGCACGAGGACCCAACCCTTTCCGTGCAGTGCGTCCTTCATTTTCACACCGTGGCTCCAGGCAGTCACAGGCAGAGGAAAATCAACGACCCTCTCGACTCGCGACTGGGAGCGCAGTTGAGCCTCCGCTTCTTGTCCCATCGTCACCAATTGCCCCACCTTTACGAAATGAACACGATTTCGCAGGTCCAGTTGTTCCTCACCCTTCGCCTGTAAGCTGGGATGACTTAACAACTGCTGACTTGCCTTATGACAACCCATACTACACTCGGGCCATTAGCAATGTTCTCTGGCTACCACGAAACCCATGCGGTCTACTCGACCTTGATGATACCATTGATCTCAAGACGTCTATCACAGTTGAGGCTTCTGCCGGCAAGCTAGGAACTTGGATTGGGATACCCGAAACAGATTCTCCATTGCAGATGTCTACATTATCACTGCATCCGTCGCACGTTTCGTTGCCGCCTTCCGAACGCCGCGCTTCTAGCTTTGCAGTGGATGGTACGGAGGAGATCGATCTCCCACCTGCAATCGCGAGGCGCATAGAATCGAAAGAAGGTGATATTGAGCAGGCGACTGGACCTCGAAGGCCCTCTACATTACGAGTCCGGCATATTACAAGCCAGAAGCAACCGAGCATGTCCAGTATGCGACCACCGATTAAATCATTTAGATCATATTCCGAGGTCATCGAGCCGATGAAGAAGAGGTCCAACTCATTGCTGTCGTTCTTCGAGTCCCCCCAACTTGGATCTACCGGCCGCCCGGGGTCTTCCAACCGTCTTGCGTCGCCGCATTCTTCACCCCGCCAGCTGAGCCTGAGACCCAATATGCTTGCTCAGGGAGACTTTGTGACAGCTAATGCTTCACGAATGTCTATGGGTGCCCCTCCTCAGCTGAGGCGTGCGGAAAACATATCGGCACATCATGCAATTCTTCGGGAGGTAATGGCAGAAGAAGAGTCTGCTTTGGTGAACAGACTGGAGGAGGAAGATGCAGATGCGGAGAAAGCCACTACAAAATCAAGGTTTACCTCGTGGATGTTCAAGAAGGCCCGGAATAATCTCGTTCAGTGATTGTCAGTACAGGAACTTCGTTTCATATTTCTCAGTGGTGATTTGATACCCCTCCTCGGAGTAATTTATCTTGATACATATTTTACTGTATAACAGTAATGATGGGCATGAAGAGAAGTGGATACATGGAATATCTCCGTGCCTCGGAAGTGCGTTGTCGTCAAGTTTGTTGTTTTCCCGATGGCCAGCCGAGACCGATTATTTCCCTCGTCAGCAAGTGTCATATGCTTCGAGTGTTTCCCGACATTCACCAAGAGCGGCAGCCGTAGCCGTATATATAGCAACTATTCTACTATGAAGAAGCTTCACTGCTCTTCTGCGACACTAAATGTTCACAAATAAGTTGGTCTTTGGTTCTCTTTTGGTCGGAGCTGTTCACGCCGGAACAACCGTCTGGGATGGAAGCTTCAATAACTACAGCACTCCTTCAGACTTTGACAAATGCAAGCCGACCTTCTTGCCATATCCTATTACCGCTATGCTAACATACTCAATGCGTAGGGTCCTGGGCTGATGAAGTCGGCACGTACCAATGGGTGTGATTTTTAGACAGACGTCCGACTATATGAACTGATATTTGCGCTGCTAGTACATCCATGGCAGCCAACCAACCGACAACTACCTCAACCTTGACCCCTCCTATAAAAACCCCGCAATGACTTCAGAGCTACACGGCTTGAAAGTCACCATCTCCACTAACGCCACATGGAACTCGGACATGGAGCGTACAGAACTGATCCCGCAAACCAGCCAGAATTTGGGCACTGGTTCGTCGTTCCTTTGCAATCGTCGGGATATGTCTCTCATTTTCTCGTAGGCACGATGTATTATCATTTCTCCGTGATGCGTTCCGAGACAAATCCCCCTAATGTGAGTTTCTCTAAAAAGAGATGATATGATCGAAGGTCATCTGAAGCTTTGACGCTGCCGTAGTCCACCCTTGAACATCAGGTTCTCTTCTTTGAAAGTCACTTCACTGAGGTACTTAACTTTTTGGAGGAGCAAATAACTTACGACTAACCAAAAACTTACGTACAGATGAAGTATGGAGTCTCCCCAACTCCCACTGACCTCCAGTGGATGGTCTCCAGCCAGCGTCAATGGGGCACCAATTTCGAAGCCGGCGTCTGGTTCAATTTTGCCTATGACATCGATGTTAGCCGTGCTTCGCTATCCAGCACGATGTTCACTAACTTGGTGCCGTAGTTCGATGCCGAAACTGTCGGTCTCTGGGCTTCCACAGGATCTGAAGACCTGACCAAAGTTGTGGACAACATTTCCGCACCGACCTCCACAAACTCTGAAGACTTCCATGTTGGAGTTCTGCGAATCGTCAACCAACCTCCCCAAGAAGATTGGTATATCTCTGGGGTGTATGTAGAGACCGGAGACATTACCACCAGCATCTCGAGAGGCAGCAGCAACTCGACAACAAGTGTTACTGCAACAGCGAGCTCAACGGTGACGAGCACCGCAGCGGGGACAACATCTACTGTAGTAAGTTCAACAACAGCAGCATCGACCACCACTTCTGCATCGGGAGCGACACAAACAGAGTGGGGCCAGTGCGGAGGTGAGATATAGTCGTCTTCTTCGTCGCTTGCTGAAGATGCTGACTATTAGTTAGGGATTGGCTGGGCGGGTCTCACTCAGTGTGCCTCGGGATTGACTTGTGTTGCCGTTTCTGCACCATATTATTACCAAGTGAGTGACTTGGTGTAATTCGAGGTCTCACAAGATCCTGACATTAAAATAGTGTCAATAAGTGACGAAAGGATGCGCTGAATACATACATTTATTGGATACGAGCTTTCCGAGTTAGTAGTTTGATTACCGTCTCTTCAAATCTACCACCCTCACAAGGTGACAGTTTCATCGCTCCAAATATATCTGAGTCAGCTTAACAACGAATGCCGACATCTGAGGTCTCATGATATGGAACGAATGTCGTACGAAAAGGTATAACAAATTCTAGAAGGAATGGCCATCGCTCGTTATCAGCCAGTCATAAGTCGTGGGAGTAAGTCTAGTCCATTGTTATCTGAAGCAAAAGAAACATGGTTCAATATCTGAAATACACCTTGTGCATATAGTTCAATTATTTACAAGAGACCTTGGGATATCATGAATAGTTGAGTCTCAGACCGCGAATAAAACGCACCAATGACACCGCAAGCAGCACGACCGCCTGCATTGCCAGTTTTAAGAGACTCTTCGTTACCTCCTTTGCCTAGGTCATCAGTGCCCGCGTGTACAACAACGGCACGCCTGTTACCCAAAGTCAATCGCAAAAAGACATAAAGAGTGACGGTAGTCAGACTGACCCAATGATGCTCAGAGGACCATTAAGAGAAATGAGACTGTCGCTGAATGAAAATACTGCTGCTCCGACTTCGTCAGACTTGATGTTGCCCAGATCACCAACGTGCCTGTCCGCATCAGTAGGTGCGCCATGATTTTTCCCAAAAGGATTAAAATGAGGCCCGGCAGAGATGCATCCTTCGCTCAGGTCTCCGAATTGGCTGAAGTTACGGTCAGACTGTGGTGGTACGGGACAAGGACCGGTAGGGTGCTCACTGAATATGGAACCCACGCGACGCTGACGGGTCGAGGCCCTCCAGTGACCCGGTCACCACCATTGGCGCATCCGGCGAGGCTTGCTCAAACGTAACCTTTCCGGTAACTTTGGAGTCCCCACTAACGAAGACGGTGGCCTTTTAGATAATTGTTATCCGCTAGCTAGTAGCTCAGAGCAGCTAAAGTTACCTTCGTTACTGCCGCGGGGGCTGATGAAGTGAAGCCATTCCACAAGAGAAATACAATTGTCGCAGCGAGGGCGCCCCCAATAAAGAGGCTTTTTGTTGATGTCTTTTGTTGATGGTACGGATCCATGGTTAGCAAAACGATAATCGGTGTTCAAGGTGGTCAGCAATGCGTCTTTAATGCCACGGTCTGCTCTCGGCCCGTAAAGCCGCAAAATTGCCTCAACTTGGAGGCTTTTTTTTTTTTTTGTCCTCAGCATTTGATTAACCGCAACAAGTAAGCTAACTACTAAGACGCGGTGGAGGTACAGGGCCTCAGGATCCTCTTTCCCTCTTGTTCCAGTCCCTCCGTTCTTCCTTCTGAGTTCCCCGGGTGTTTTGGCGTGTAGTGTGGAGTAGAGTAACGGACATGTATGGTATTTTGTGCCCTCATGGTGGGCTAATTGGTTCGTTTGATCCTGCGGTTGGCTGAAGCCTGGGGTAACTTGGAGGCTTGACAAGTACAATGGCAGTATAATGGCATTCCCGATGTATTTCTATGTTACTTTGAGAATCCTAACATCCTACAGCAAAGCGGAGAAAGCTATATCACATTTTTCAGGCACATATCGCCAATGAAGAGCATACGATTCTTAACGTCCCAGTACAATATCATTCCTTATTTTGCCCGCGCGTATCTTCAACCTCAATGCCGAGAGAGGCAAGAAACTCAGGAAGAAGGACAAAGGTAAATACTAGACTTGTCATAGTCATGCAGGGTAATTACTAGTTATGATTCTCAGATGACTCTTGAATCTCCCATCGCGTCAGTCATGAATGCAAGAGGACGGTCACTTCATTGACTCTAAGCATTGCTTGATCTCTCAAGTTTGATTGATTTTGGTCGGCGTTCGTGTATCAAGCAGAATGATAGTGCTACACGATTCTGTCTGGATGTGCTGCGATTTAGGTGGGTCAGACATGCAAAACCCACGAGGCCGCAAGGATGATTCATCGGACTTGCGACTGTCTCGAAGGTCGATGCCCCTTAAAAACTTGAAACTCGTTCTCGTTATCATTCGTCGAACTTTCGAGTAGACGATACCTAGCACTATTGCGACCGCGTTCGACGAAATATGATAGAGAATACAACAATTTGCAAGCTACCATCACAAGACCGTATTGGAGCTGAAATCATGTGCAAATTGAATCTCAGACCTCCATCAGAGACAGATCTGTGTGAAACTCTCCGTACCACGCCCATTATGAGAAGCGGCCTCAAGCACAGCACGTCTTGTGCCCGCAGTATCGGGGAGTGATTATCGGTATCATGCGCACCCAACGCGAACGTCAGTAATGATCCAGTAAATTCCAATAGTATCGTACTGAGGGCAGGATTCGCACAAGCGAAGCTAAATATTAGGAGGAACACCGATCGAGTCGGTAACAACAATGACGAAGAAATGAAAAGGAGATGATGACAAGTCTAGCACGTGGCAACGTTGAGGGCTTCATCAGGCATCTCCACGCTCCTTCTCTCTTCCGTCCTCCTCCCAAAAAATGTCGGTCTACCTGAACCCGAGCAACACCCTTGGGTTTACTCGTATGCTTCGTATCATCGTATATAATATCTCTGCTCATCATTCTCCGTAGGCCCGCTCACCGTTCTAGTAAAACGATCGCTCAGTATCACCAATCCCAATGCCCAGCCTATTGCCTTCAAAGTGAAAACGACAGCACCGAGGGTGAGATATCGACTTTGAGCCAGTGGTATCTGGGGCAACTCATGCTATTCTTCTAGCTGTACTGCGTGCGCCCTAATTCTGGCAGAGTGGAACCGGGTGAAACAGTCGAGGTGTCTGGTGTGTGGCTTCCGTTTTCCAGTAAATCTATGTGTTTATGCATCACTACATTCTAGTGATGCTGCAGGCGATGAAGGAGGAGCCCCCGATTAACGCCAAGTGCAAAGACAAGTTCCTCATTCAGAGCACGCTCATTACCCCCGAAAAAGAGTCGAGAGCGTTGCAAGATATAGTACCCCTTTTTGCCTTGTGTATCTTAATATGAATACTGAATTTGTACACTTTCAGTGGTCGGTCACAGAAGGCGCTACAGACGACACAAAGGTCTTTCAACAAAAGCTCAAAGTCACGTATCTGAGACGTGAGGGCGAAACATTGGAAGAAGTAGATGAAACCCTGGCCAACCAGAGCTCCATGATGAATACGTCAGATTCGGTGAGTACCACGTAGTGTAATCAATCTTCCCTCCTGACGTTATCCACGCCAGCAATACGACACCGTACGCCAAGTCCCGATAACAAATGACCACCCTGCTCTCATCCCTGAATTCAACCAATCGACGTCCGAAGAGCGCCCAGCTACGCCACCCAATGACTTTAGTGCCGCCCGTGAAGAAGAGCACCATGAAGAACCTCCAACTAAACAAATTCCGTCACCCCCCGTGTCTGTATTCGTCCAGCCTGCTCCCGAACCCGCCCCGCCAGTTGAACAACCGTCTACACTTGCACCATCGCCACCAAGTGACGAGCTCCTGGTGAAATACAGGGAAGCTGAGGCTGAGATTGAGCGTCTGAGAAGTCTGCTTGCAGCAGCAGCTCCCCCACCCCAAGTCCCACCCGAGACTCACGAGTTGCGAAGACGTACTAGGCGACTTTCTGATGACATGACCATTACGCCTGGCAGCGAGGTTGGTACGATGATTGGGGAAGAGGTAGCCTGGCAACCAGACGGCGTTCCACTACAAATCGTGGTTATCATTGCGCTCGGAGTGTTCATCGTGACGTATCTCTTCTTCTGATAGATACTTCATGATCATGACGCCGTTTTCTTCTGCATGTGGGTCTGGATGGTTTTTATATACATATACTTGGCTGTTGAGTGTAGCGCTATTCAGACCTACGACTGGTTGCCCATTTCGTTGCATATATCCTTTTCCTATTTTATGGTCGTAGTGACCGAGCGAGGTACATTAGTCCGTTCCGATTGTTAGGCACATTCTTGTATGTATTGAGGGTATACATCTTTATTGCGGCCGTCGTGTAAACGCGGCCTCGTTTAAATGGCGTGTTGCAGACGACGATTCATATTAGCAGACATGCTTTAGCAGTGACACAAAAATGTGCCCAACTAGCTTGCAAAAACATATACAATGGATACATGAGCGCTCACCCGAAACACAGAAATAAAACGTCACGACAATCACATTCCCCGCCCTCGTCCTCTCCCGCCACGCATAGGTGCTCCACGACCACGACCTGGAAGAATCTGGTAAGAAGGACAAAAATTCACACAAGTGAATAACGGTACCTCTGACAGGCGCTCCACGTCCTACCAGAAAGGGTTCAGGTGGCTTCTAAGGCGCAGGAACAAGAACATACCGCCTCTGCCACTAATATGCCCTCCCCTTGAATTACTCCTGCCCGCCTCTCTCGCTCTGTTCTGCTCATCCTTCACGACGTCTAACAGGTTCTCAGGTATGCGGATGTATTTTATCTGGATCAAAGAAGTTGAGCATGCCATCGAGGAGAAAATAATGAATTATATGCACAGTGCTCCCCCGTATATAACACTCCTTCAACTTCCAAAACCGATCACCGTCGGGATTCGTTTGGTATACCTCTTTCAACGTTATGTTCATAAAGTTGTCACAGTTGATAAGATGGCCGTTGAATGTTTCGCCGTTTTTCAATTCAACTAACTGCTACGGGTGAGGAAGATGTCTCGTAGATCGATGACTATGGTACGCGCCATGGGCTTGTTCTGCGCAGCATTTAATAGCGAAAGAGGAAGCTGTAGCAGAGATTTTGTCAGAATATGATGCTTTGTTCTCATACGTGGTCTCACCATCGTGACGATATGGGAGAGAGCGACTACTGCGTCTCGACGAGGTGATGGCAGGAAACAGAGCACGTCCGGCAAATACTTGCACTGCATTAGGTCAGCCGCGGCAACTTTGCGGCGATAGCCGGTGGCGGGTCTGAATGGTCGTCGAGAAGCCCAAGAGTAGTCATAATATTAGTTCTTTCCATTCACGCTGTGTTCGTAAACTGATATATTGTGTGGAATTGTAGGCTATGCACCACTGCGGTGTTGTATATCTCGTCTTGGGCATTTCAAGCGGCCGTTTTAATCCTGAAGGCTGAAACGTCCCTCTGTTTACCGTGCACTGCGAAGGCCTTTGTTGATGGCTTCCGCAAGTAATCGGTGCACCCTTTCTGTGGGATGACCGGTATCTGTAGGAACAATGAATTGAATTTAGTGAATGAAATGGACAGGTCGAGCTCACTGTACCAAAAATACCCAGCAGGATCGGCACAGGTGCAGTAGCTACAGCGATTATTAACAAATAAACTTCATTTTTGTGGAAGTGCTCACTCAGTCACGTCATCAAATCCATACGTAGCAGGATAGTCCAACACCGAGTTAAACCACGTATTTGCATCAAATATAAGAGCAATCGCATCTATACTTGTTTCAAAAAAGTTTTTATATGTGACTAGAAGAGTTATTACCTTGATTTTGGCGTGTGAAGAGCTGCACATGATTTTTTAGGGCGGCATTGTAGCCGTCGACGTGACTTTTGAGAATTCCCGCCTTGGTGGTATTTGTATTGGCGGCAGGAGATCGTTCTTCGGGAGGTACATTAATGAAAAGGTGTTGTTTCAAACCATTGTCATACGCTGATTGCTATAATCGAAATACAACCAGATTGTACGAATAGCGAAATGTTCACCTACCACAGCGCCGAAATAGGAGCTCATTTCTGCTTCCCAGAACGCGTTTATATCTGTAATCTGAGGACTGTAAGGGGTACGGCAATATTCAAAGAAAAGGGCAACTGGGGAACAAAATCTCACTGTATGATTGTCAACTGTATCTCCGGTATCGTTGATTCCTATCCACCAGGCTGTCAATGTCTCCCGGAGAGGATGTGGAATAGCCTCAGAAGCATATAACACCCATTGATTTACTTGGTCAACAAGTGGAACCGTGAAATCATGATGAAGAGGGAGCCTAGCTCGACCAGAGGTCAGGATCCGTCCGACATGAAGAGCGTCCTATTACTAACAAATTCCCATCAATATCTGATCCTGCGAAAGCGAAATCCCAAAGCTGTTTATCGCAAGTCGCAGGCGATCCACTGAAGCATCCGGTAAGAAATTCGAGCTTATAACGGCGCCTTCTAAGATGTTAGTTTCTACATTGTTTTTGTTGTGCAATCACCCAATTTGAGCCTTCGGAACTGGTCTGTCTACACATGAAGCAACACGCAAGAATGTAAATGATGGAGCATACATTCTTGGGGACTATCTCGTTCGACAGAAGCTCTTCAGAAGAAAAGGAATAATTGAGTGCATCCCCAATGAAGCTGGTGCGCTTATGATGAGTGGAAGAATACCTGGGTAAAGCGCCACTTCACCTGTAATTAGCATGACCTGCCGTTCCCTGAACGAAGGTATAAGAGTCCCCGAAAGCATATACGTATTTGATAGCATCCCAGTCCAACTTCATTGCACCATGACTTGAAGTCGCCTGAAGTACGGGAAAAAGTAAAAGTGCCCCAACGAATAACTTCAAGCGAAAGACGGACGACATGAGGTTAGTTCAAGGTCCTCGTGGTTGGCATTCTTAAATATGCCTGGAGCAGGTGAAGGTCAGACGATGGGAAGGTATGACACGGCGGGCCGGTGACGAGCTTCGGGGCCGAAGTGGTAGCCAGCCAGAAGCAAGTTAAGGAAATAAGATCTTGTGTTGATACGTGTAGCTGTTGTTTGTACCAGATGGATATCCTGTCGGGATTTACCTATTGTGGTCCTTCGTCTGATTCCGAGATTGTTCCTTTAAATTCTGAACTGAGTTTATGCTCAGTGCACTCGAGTCCACGGAAAAAAAAACCAAACCTTTTAGTTCTGGATATGCTACAGTAGTTCCAAAAAAATGATCACGACTGCACGAGGTTAGCAAGATGAAGCTCACGAGCATATACAGCTAACCGCCGAAATTCATCAAGGCTAGTATTGAACCAGGGTCGATAATAAGGAGCAAGGAAAATCAGCAATGTCACGGTCTTGCACGAAGTAATGTGTTCATTCAGGATGGTTGTATACCACCAGCTAAGCCATAGGCTGTCCTTGTCAATCCTGTGTGCTTTCACTTGGAGTCTCAGCACATCCAATGCCGTAGCGATCCATGCAGATTTGGGAGGGGTTGAGCAACGAAGCATCTTTCCAGATATCGGCTGACGACGAATACCGGTCATCCTTCTAAAGGCCGTTTTTCTTTAATCATTCGCCTTGGGAAATGAAGCACTCGACAACGGTAAATCATTTCGTCGCTCGCTATAGCATATTTTGGAACGTCCGAGTCTGACCAGATCTATGCCCTCTTGGACAAGGCGAGCCTCCGTGGCCAAGAACCTTCTCTCAAGGCCTTTGAAGATAACTGGACTTCCTGTCTTCGATGAGCTTGAGTGGAGGCAGGCAGAAGCTTGCGAGTGAACTCGCACATTCAGCCAAGAATAGTATTTGGCGGAAGCACTACTCACTCTTCCTGATAATCGATTTCATTTAACTCAAAAGACACCATCATCATGTCGGGTTTTGGGTGGTTACTGGTAGAGGTATTGATGACTCCAGATAGCTATCTATTGGTTGGTCCATACTTGCCTCGTGTTATTGCTCTGTGTCAACATTCAAACCTTTATAGGAAATCCTTTCTTCCGCCAGCTCCAATGTACTGTTTGATTCTCTTCTTTAACGCAAGCCATACAGAGAAACGAGAGATACTTTGTGACTTCATATAGTCGGAAAATAAAGCCACTAAGGGTGTACCGAAGCACAATCTTAGCTTGGTAAATCTATTCCACTTTGTTCTTCTGAAGACTAATGTATAGTGCAGCCATACGAACATGAAACCTCCGAGTTCCATCACAAGCTATTCCATAACGTCGCTTGCAAGATATCCCGTCTGCTCCCAATTATTCTTGTTGGGATTTTGCTGGAAAGTTCTAGAAAGGGCAATCCGGCATCATGCCGAGAGTTGATGAGTAAGCCCGAGAGAAAGAGAAAGTTGTAGTAAATTCTAGATACAAGCCTGGAGAGTATAAATACGAGCTCTGTAGGAGCTGCAGAATAAGAAGTTCATACCATCTGGCCTTACCAGCCTGGAGTCTACCCTGCGCAACACCGAGGATTTCCAACAATTCTCGAGCTTCATCTTCTGCCACGATTTCATCTTTCTAGACTGACAGATGCAGCGTCATGTGTACGATAATAATTCCGATGACCGCCTCCGATACGTGTGTTCTTCTACTTACTTCTCAACCTCGAGGATAGATGATCTACCCTGCCCGTACCCTCGAAGCGCAAAAATGGATTAATGATCGCACCGGAGGAGGCCACACACCGATTTTGGCTCCCTAGCATTGTTAGTCTCTCAGAACGTTATAGTAAGCTACAGATCCCTGCCCTGCAAGGCGTATGGAACTACACGAAGTGGATCCTCGGTGGTATCACCGTGAATAGCGCGCATGTCCTACAATTCTTAACCAATGGTACATCAAGGCTACTTTTCCTAAGCTATAAAGTCTGAATAGAATATGATTTTGTTGACTTTCGCGGTTCAGACCGCGTTATTGGGCCTCCTGAGGATCATTGTAACATAGATCATCTTGAACTCTGTAAGGTCATGGCTCCTTGGCAGCATCGAAGTTAATTTGTCTGTAACTGTACTTCGTGAGACCAGGTGAACATATAACGTCTGTTCCTAGCCCTGTTAGAAGGTCTACTGACACAACAGGGCAAGACGAAAATGCAGTGTTATGGTAAGTGACATCTCTACAAGTTTGTTATGCACAACTACACAGACGTAAGCATTTCTTCAAAGGAACACATTGATCTACTATGAAGGCTAGATGTTTCACTCAGTGGTCTCTTCTCCCTGTGCGTGGACATGTTGAAATCAGTATGGCTTTCGATATTATATATCTGCGGAAGGAGTATGTGAAATAATCTATCATCGAAATCGTGCACTGGAGTATCAAATATTACCGGATCGAAGTGATTAAGGGCATCAGCACAATGGGTATCTAATTGTTCCGATATCATCCTACAAATACAATAACCATTACCTTAATCCCTCTTGCTCAAAGCTTGTAATTGAACGTATTCATAATAGTCGCCTTTCCGACTAATAAGCTGGTCATGCGTTCCGGATTCACTGACGCGTCCTTCTTTGATGAAATATCTAATCAAGACGTCATTAAACGTAAGCTTTAAGAACCGTATCGAGACTCACATGCAATCAGCATTCTGAATTGTCGATAGTCGATGCGCAATAGCAACTGTTGTTCTGCCTTTCGCCGCTTGGTCGAGGGCGGCTTGTACAACCTTTTCAGAATTGGAATCTAGAGCTGATGTTGCTTCGTCAAGGAGAAGAACTTTGGGGTTACGAAGCAAAGCACGGGCGATTGCTATACGTTCTGAACACCAAAGTCAGCCAATTGTTCTCTAAAGATGCGTAGTAATCACGTTTCTGGCCACCCGAAAGCTGAGATCCTTTTCCGCCAACTTCGGTGTCAAATCCACTGTGAATACATGTGAATCTTCTGCTTCCACATAAATCAGCGGATTCAACTCACTCAGGAAGTCCGTTGATGAAGTCCAGTATGTTCGCGTCCCGGCAGGCAGCCTCGATTTCTTCTTGGGTGACTTGGTCCTGGGGCTTGATGGCTCCAAGAAGTATATTGAAGCGTATCGTTCCCGCATAAAGAGTTGGCTCTTGAGAAACCAAAGCAATCTGTTTACGGTACTCCTGTATGTTATATTCCTCGATTGGTATTCCATCCATCTAGAGAATCAAATAAGTATCGCAATTGAAATGCAAGTATGGGACAACTGACATAGATCTGGCCTGCCAACGGCTGGTAAAATCGCTCAATCAATTGGATGCTAAAACGTATCGATCAATATGTTGAATTGCTCAAAAAGGGCCGGTCGAACGTACACAGTACTCTTTCCGCTTCCGGAGGCGCCTACAAGGGCAATATATGTGCCTGGCTCCACTTGAAGCGACAGCTCCCGCAAAACACGAATACCAGGCCGAGTAGGGTAACGGAAATGGACATTTTCTAAACGAATATGCCCTTGGGCCTTGGCGACATCGATCTTCTTGCCTTCAGTCGACTGGGCATCAATTTCCGGAATAGAGTCGAGCAATCGAATGATGTCACTGCCTGCGCCTCTCGCAGAAGAAACATCAGGTACAAAAGAGAAGACGTTTCCTGCTTGAATAGCACCAAACATAGTAGACTATGTGCTGTATTAGCAAGAAGATAGAGTCAGACTAGAGAAGCGCACCATGAGACCGACGAAGAAATCGAACGTGGAAAATTCTCGTCTTGACACTAGGTCTGCTCCAAACCAGAAAACAAGAGCAATGCAGAAGAAAATCGTGGACTGGGAGAATGCATACAGCATGTTGCTCCAGATAGCCGTCCTGTTAGATTTGCGAAGGGGTTCTTCCAGGCTCAAAGCGTATTGGTTGCAGCAGTCGTCTTCCCGAGTCAGGGACGCAACGGTTCGAATCGCACCCGCAGCTTCGCAGGCAAGTTGGGCAGAGCTCTCATGAGCTTTCTTGTTCTTTTGATCTTTCAGAACGACGACACGCTATGGGGCAATCGTCAATAGCGCATGTCTGCTATATAAACAGACTTACCAAGCGAATATACCCCATGGACACAAGAAGAGGTGTAACCGCTGCGCTGCGATCAGTATCCATTCTCCTCGTTATCCATTCGACGTACCAATACCGACAAGGCCAACTTTCCAGATGAATATTAGACCGAGGATAGAACCTACAATCAGAGTCGAGATACTCTGCACGATTCTGAGGGGGAATTAGCTGAATCTGTTTAATCTGAGAGAGGTACTGACGCTGCGAGAGTAGCACCTGCCAAACCAAAGACCTTTTGAGGGTTATCACTAAGGTTCGCCACCAAGCTACCGGTCTATAAAAAGGTCATGACAACCCGGACACATTTTGTAAGTAAACTCACGCTGTGCTCGTCGTTATCGAAGTACTCAACTACTCAAATTGTGAGGCAATAAATATATGGAGAAGATAACCAAACCTACTATCTTGTCTCAGAATAGCCTTAAAACTCAGAGACCTTAGTTTCGCCATCAACGCCGCTGCGGAAGACGAAAAGAGGTAGTTTTGCATGCCGATAGACAAGGTAGAGATAATAGCGATGATGAAGAACCTGGACTTGCGGTCAGCAATGTGTACAGAAGTAAAGATAACAACGCTGACCAAAGGGCGTTCCGGTCCCCAGAATGTCTAAGCTCCGAGCCGGTGAACGAGAAGCCATTGATTGCTTTGGCTAAAACATATTGTTAAAAGTGGTCTATGAAGATAAGGGGTAAAACCACGAACCATAGACGACACCGAAAGCCGGATACACCATTCCAGTCATAGTAGCGAAAATCGTCCCGAGAAAGTACTTCCTCCATTGCGACTTATTGATTTTGCCCATTCTTTTGAAAAGATAATACATGCTATGGGCCGGCTCTTTGTCGCCCTCACGTTCCTTCTTCTTCTGCTCCAGGATTTGGCTAGCAAGGGACTGACCAGTATTTCGTCTACCAAGAGGAACCTCTTCACGCGCGACTTTTTCCATGTCCTTGGGTGCATCCTCTTCCTCATCAGTGTCCTCGCCAGCAGCAACGGCGGCCGCTTCATCGCTTTCACGAAGCTTCTGAGCCTGAACGAGACGTGCGTAGGCGCCACCTTCTTTGGCAAGTAGTTGCTGGTGGGTTCCCTGTTCGATGACCAGGCCATCCCCCATAACGAAGATGACGTCAGCATCTTTGATCGTCGAGAGACGATGAGCGATGGTGATGGTTGTACGTCCTGAAGGCAATTCATTCTCGATTGAAAATAGACGGAATTATTTTTTTGACTTACCAGCAGAGGCTTTGTCGAGGGCGTCCTGCACGATTCCCTCACTCTGAGTGTCCAGAGCACTGGTTGCCTCATCGAGAAGAAGAATGCGTGGGTCCGACACGATGGCTCTCGCGATGGCGACACGCTGCTTCTGACCACCACTGAGCAGGAATCCTCGTTCGCCAACCATAGTATCATAGCCCAGCGGTAGCTTAGTTATGAAGCCATCAGCGTTGGACTTGACACATGCTTCCTTGATCAGCGCGAACTTCTCCTCCTCGGAGGCGTTCTCATACTTAGTTCCAATAAGCCCATGCTCAACGTTGCCTCTAATCGTGGTTGCAAACAGTGTTGGCTCTTGCGACACCAGCCCGATCTGCGAACGTAGCCACCGGACATTGAGAGACTTCAATTCCCGTCCATCCAGTTTGACAACCCCAGATAAGGGATCATAGAATCGTTCGATCAGAGAAATTACCGTCGACTTGCCGGATCCTGAGGCACCGACAAGAGCAGCGGTTTTACCAGCTCGGAAGGTGAGGTTGATCCCTTTGACAACGGGGATGTCGGGACGTGAAGGATAATTAAAGTGAATGTCCTCGAGCGTAACTTCACCGTAAACGGTTTCGGGCTTTTCCCCACTAAGGTCGGCAGAATCTATGTCTGGTACACGGTCGATTGTAGCGTAAAGTTTCGCGGCTGCACCTCGTCCATGAGTGATGGCTAGATTATATCGACACGGGTAAGCACACATGTTTGCTGAATGCATGGTGCATGGCACATACCTTGCATTTCGGGTGCTAGCAATGCCAACGAGAAAGAACCAATTAGGATCGCCATGAAGACGTTGATGACAGTACCATCATTGGCTATGGACCAAAATATTAATGATGATATTTTGAGTTTTTCACTGATGCGAACGCACCATCTCTGCGCAAAATAAGGGTTGTACCGAATGAAAAGGCTAATAGAAAGTAAGTGAAATGGGTAAGGACAAGGTTTTTGTACGCACCCAAGGCATACGATGAGTAGATGCAGAAAAAGACGACCGAAAGACTTCCACCGAGTCATATTGCAGACTTGACGTCGACCACCTTCGACTTGTCAACGTGCTGATCGTACAAGCTCGACAGAATTCGCTGCGTGCCAAAGGCTTGCGCAGTTCGAACGGTAGAGATGACTTCCTCGGCGATATTGCCAGCATCTGCAATGTGCTTCAGGGAAAGCCTAGCAGAAGGTTTATGCCTGTTGAATAATGCAGCATAATGCTAAATGAACGTACTGCATATATTTGGATATGGCTTTGTTCATAACCGCTCCGGTGATACCAATACAAGGCAGCAAAGATGTCAAAGCAAGTGCGAGACGCCAACTCCGGATATAGGCCAATATGAAACCGGTAGCGAAGGCCGACAAGAAGGACACCACGAGCGCAACCTTCTCTGACATTCCCTGCTGTACTAAGTCTGAAAAGCATTCAGAAAGGTCGTAAAGAGAAAGGAAACGCGCGTAAGCTCACGGGTGTCAGTCTGAATTCGGGTAGCAACCTCTCCTGCCCCAACTTTGTCAAAAAATGGGATGTCCTGACGTAAAACTGCACGCAAATACCGTTCCCTGATACGCTTTGCGTTGACCTCGGCAGTATAAACCCAGACATACATATAGAGATATGTGCAGATGAACATGCCGATGCCTTGAAGCTTGATGAGCAAAAGAAATAGATGTCACTGAGGATACACACCTATAATGACCAGATATAGCGCGTCCTTGGAGGCTACATGGCGGAATGACGCTGCGGCAGCAGGCAAATCGTTTATAGCTTGTTGGTCGCCCTCATTCACTTTATTAACGACGGATTGGAATATGACGAATTGATTGGTGAGGTTTCCAAAGAGCAGTGTCATTAACGGCTGTCGAGAAGATATAATAATATTGTGAATTGAGGCGTATGTATGCGCATGTAAGACGAACCTGGGCTGAACCTGCTGCAACTGCTGCAACCAAAGCAAGTCCATCGATGATAAGCTCAAATTTCGTGGAGAACCTGCACGACGTTCAGCTGCATTAGGGCAAAATGCTACGAATTTACACACCTGAAAAGCTCTGTGAAGGACACAGGAGATACTTCTGGCTCTGGTGAGATGACAGCGACCTCTGAGCCTTTCTCGTCGATGTCGACAGATTTGGGGTGCTTCCGGCGAGAGAACCAGCCTGCGTTTTTTGAGTCTGGGCCAGTAATCGTGAGCTTTTCGTTGGCAGTACTGGGTCGCGAATCGGACATGTTGGTCGGCGAGGAGAAAGGATTAGAGCCTGGCGGCCCTTTTATAAACGAAAGTGTGTGTAATTGTAGTCGCAGCCGAGAATAGAATCAGCCTGACTCGAATCTTTTTGTTGACAGGCTGTGCTGAGTGAAATGTTTGCACTTTTATACCTAAAACTGTGGAGAATTGAGGACAAACGCCTTTACCGTATACTATATACCCAATTGATAGTGATCAGCCTGCCGCCTGTCGTGTTTTACGCAGTTCTTGAAGAGGGAAGCCGGAAGCCGGACACGTACGCGGATTTGCCGGAAATACTCAGACTGCGCTGATTCGATTTTCTTGGCACGCTGACGACGGTGGCGGCATCTCTATTTTTAACTCCACGGTTCTCGGGAAAATAACTTGCTTTCTCTAGTAGAAAAAAATATGAGCAGCATTTACAAGAAAATCCAATCGAGTTCTTGAATAGCTGGCCATGTCGGTAGTAGTAGTTGTAGTCGTGGATGGAATTCTCGGATTTACAGTTGACCGGAATGACTAATGATTTACGCGTAATGTTTTCCGGCCGTGAATATGTGCCTTGATCCATTCCCGGATCCCTAGTAGCTAATCATGCCTTCAGAGTTTCAGGGACAGATACTTGAGTTTTGAGTCGGATTGACGTATCATAAGCCTTTCATTGGCTCGCCTTTCTATACGTGTTAAACGGAGAGAATTTTCAGCTTAGCAGCTCAACCTAATATAGTCTATATGGCGATTCAGATTCTGCGAGATGGCAACAAGTAGGATAGAGGCAAGATTCATCAGATAAAGGTATGGAATGATAGGTCGTCCCCAGTACTACTGTATCCATGAAAATTTTGTCAAGTACTACAGGTGGGAAGCTCGGAGTCAGTAGTGGAGGCGGACGCATCATGTGGGTTAGATCAAAATTTTAAGCGGCGCTTCAATCTGAATCACGTGCACAATAATGAAAATGTCGATCATGACAACCATGTGACAGAAAACGTCGGAGCCTCATTTTCTAGCTCTTCCACTGACATCCATAACGGTCTTTCATTTTTAGGAAAGCAGGCTTTCTACACTGTCTTTAATCTCATTATGTCTTGGAAACTTGGCAGGAGCAAGAAGTCTTCAGTCTCCAATCTGTTGACTGAAGACGTCAATGCTCGTTCCGTCACCCCCACTCCCGGAAATCCCGACGGCATTCCCAGTTCAAGGTCTGGCCTTCTTGCTATCCGCGTTCTATGGGCAGAAGGTTTCGCTTTGCCTGCTGGCACTGCTACTCCCGCAGCAGTCCAAAAGGCATTGTCATCCCAGCAAGCGAAAGTTGCTTCATCCGTTTCCCCCTCCAGTGTGCAACAATCGAGACTTGCCAAGACCCGAGGGAATCGGTGGGTTGCACACGTTTAATGTCCGACATGCTTTAATATCATCAACAGGGATAGCATCCAGAGAACTCAATGTTGGTGGCTTCCTTACCTCGTAATGGAGTACGAAGTAAACCAAGTTCTCATCATACCCCTCGGTGGCGACCTCGAGAAACCAGTTTACATGTATCAAGTTCATTTGTAAGTTCCGATTCATTAATGTCCTAACTCTTCTTCCGACGCCCGCGGTATCACAGTGATGTATCTCGAAATGCCGAATTATCCTTACAATGCTATCTCCGAGCCGATGAGCCCAAACGTGGCATTGACGGTATAGCTGACGATCTTGGAAATGATATATTTATGGGAGGAATTAAATTTGTCCCGGACTTTGAGAATATGGGCACTCAGGACCAGTGGTATGACATCGTTGGCGGCACGGGCAAGATTCAAATTGGCGTCGCTTATCAGCCCACTTATGGAGGATCTCTGACCGTTGACGATTTCGAACTTATCACCGTCATTGGAAAAGGCAGCTTTGGCAAAGTAAGTTTTGTGGAATGTTTGATGTGATCCTATGACATGGAATTTTCAGGTAATGCAAGTCCGAAAGCGAGATACGTCACGTATCTATGCCCTCAAGACCATCCGGAAGGCACACATTGTTCATCGAAACGAGATAACACACACTCTCGCGGAACGACTTGTTCTCACTCAAGTGAACAGCCCATTCATCGTGCCTCTCAAGTTTAGCTTCCAATCCGAACAAAAGCTTTATTTGGTGCTCGCATTTGTAAATGGGGGAGAACTCTTCCATCATCTCCAGAGGGAACAGCGGTTCAATGAAGAACGTTCTCGGTGAGGAGAATACCTCAGAAGGAAATCTCATTTTCATATTTCTATCCCTCTAGATTCTACAGCGCCGAACTTTTGCTTGCTTTGGAGCATCTCCATGAGCTGGACGTCGTTTACAGGTACGTTGTCAATGCTACGTCATTCATTAATATGAACGACTAGTTACCGTTGGTCAGGGACCTCAAACCGGAGAACATTCTTCTGGATTTCACAGGACATATTGCTCTATGCGACTTCGGGCTTTGTAAACTCAACATGAAGGCTAACGACAAGACAAACACGTTCTGTGGAACTCCAGAATATCTTGCACCAGAGATCCTGAACGGTCATGGGTACAGTTGAGTGTCCGCTTCATGCACCTGTAACGTCAGTCTGACATTGGGTCTCAGATAAGACGATTGATTGGTGGACACTGGGTGTTCTGCTCTACGAGATGATGTCCGGCCTTCCTCCCTTCTACGACGGTAGGCTTGTGCGGCATCATTTCCAGATTTATTGCTGATATTAAGGCAGAGGTGACGGACAAAATGTACGAAAAGATTCTCCGAGACCCGCTTGTGTTCGGTCCAGAAATCGGTGACGAAGCTAAGAGTATCCTAACCAGCCTTCTGAACCGCGACCCTACTCAGCGACTGGGTGTTAACGGTGCGGATGAAATCAAGAAGCATCCGTTTTTCCACAACCACATCGATTTCAAGAAATTGGCTGAGAAGAAGATTCATCCCCCGTTCAAACCCAGTGTCACCAGTCCAGTGGATGTTTCCAATTTCGACACGGTCTTCACAACGGAAGCTCCTGTGGACAGTGTTGTAGAAGATTCCAATCTAAGTCAGACTGTTCAAGATCAGTTCTCAGGTGTGTGTTCCTTCGTTGATATTGTGAGAGTGTTATCGCTGACCAGCTCCAAGGTTTCTCTTACAACGGCACTAATATGCCTATCAGCCCGGTCTGACAGCCAGTTATTTACCCATTTTAGATTATCATATACCTCGTTGATCTGCTTACATGCTCTGCGCTCTTGATTTATCTATTGGCCTATATTATATTCCCTGTCCATCATTTGTACCTTATGGCATCTAGTCTTGCATTGTCGTCACTCCCTGATACCCTCGTTTGCTCCACTTACATACATTTACTGTTAATTTATAAATCTATTGTCATTTGACCTTCACTAGGTTTTGGGGTGGATATATCTCCTGCTAGTATAGTCTAACACAGTACTCCCATTCTGCCCACCGGTAACCGGTACAGAGGTAGACTGAAATACTGGCGAGTCTTTCCCCATCGATCCTTGCCATCGCTAACGTCAACATCCTTCCACTCCACATCAATGCCCACATCAGCCAAGTGCAACTCAGATACATGTGTATATACATCATAAAAGAGAGGATCTGTCACGAACATTCAGCCACCATGGATCTACAGTCTTAGGAGACGGAGAACTCACTAGTGGCGCCAAGTCCATTGAAAAAACCGAACAGGGCACTGGGTCCTGAGAGTAGATCTGGAAGGTGCTCAAAAAAGCGGCGAAGATCTGAGTAGTCTTCTGAAAAGGTGTCTGATAGTTCGCGTGAGCAAAAGATACGGTATGACATTGTTGACTCCGGTACATACCCGTGTATATCACATCGAATCCCCCGTATTCCAAGAGTTCGTCGGAATTGATCCAGTCCTGCCATTTGCCCTGCAGCACTCTAACTCCCGGTCGATCCAACCAACCAAGTTCCTTCATGTGCTGCAGAACATCAGGGTGGGGCTCGATGATGACATGGTCGGAAGGTGGGATTGGGAGGGATTGGAAAAGCGAATCAATCTACGAATTTATGGTAGGGTAAATGCAAGGGCACGATATCAGACTTACAATTCCCAGTCCAAAGCCCACGTTGAGCACCTTCAATCCCTGCCGTCCACCATCTGGACAGAGGCAATGAACTGTCTCTTCCATAATGGGCCTCTCCCAGCCCATCATCACGCCAACCTCTTCATCATTGTCCAATTTTACAACGCAAATTTCCTGGCCGGTTTCATCGGCTTTGAATAACAGATCAGAAGCCAGAAACATGTCCGTAGAAGCGGCAGCCGAGACATCTGTATTCCTGAGGACCAGGTTAGAGGGCAGTTCTGATGTCGCCCGAGAAGCCAGAAGGGCAAGGAGCATTTCTATAGCAAAAGTGAGTTCTCGAAATATATTGGATAGGGATCCAAGTCACGCACCGGCACGGATGCCCGCATCTCGTATTATCGTGTATAGTTCTTGGCTATTAAAAGAAAGCGCAATATCTCCCGCGGTGTTGTTTAGGTGGTCCACTACATGATAATCAGCGTGCAGAAAATAAGAAGAGTATCAATCACGTACAGACCTGCATTCCACACGGCTCCCTCTTCTAGAAACATCTTGGCGAGACTTTGATTCTGCATGTAAACGGCAGCATGCAGTGGCGAGAGGCCTTCGCTGTCGTTTTGATACCATACCGGTGCGCCTTGGTCGATGATTTCCTTGATGGTTTCCTCAGAGCCACCTTCCAGGATGGTGTTGATGAGATGTTCTCCTAGGATAGCGAGGGCTTCGACAACCCCGTCAGAAGCTGCGTCGTCGCCAGCAAGAGACATTTCGACTTTTTAGATGGTAGAAGATAAAATGTAACGTGGGTAAATATTTTGGACGCGGAAAAAATGCGATCAACGATCGAGCTTAGTACGCGCCGACTACGACTAACAATTTATAGTTATTGCTACTGAAGACTTTATAGACCCATACAACTATCACTATTTGCTCCCACGAAATCCTGCAGCGTCTACTTTCCCGTGGCTTTTCCTGGAGACAAGAAGTAGCTGAGTCGAACGATCCGATTCACCACTGTCAATCAATGAATTACTTCATCAACATTCGATTGCCTTCCCTGCATGTTCTGAAAGGCCTGAGGGTCATACCAATCGATCTTTACTCCTTGAATGGCTTTACACGACACCTCTAACGTTTACGGGATGCGAGGAGGACTGAGTAATCAACGTCGAGGACGGTTCCAGAACTGCCTGCGATAAAGACAGACATAGTGAAAGCAAGACAGTTGTGTATCACAGGACTGTTCATTTTATATAAAACGATCCAGTTCATTATGAGTTTAAAAAGTATAAATACTCACTTATTCGAAACGCAAGTCAACAAGTAATTATTGATCTCGGTAGTGTATATCATGGCGTGCTGGGCGAGTACTGTACATGAAAGACAAATTGTGACAGCTGTCACAGGAACGTGACATTGCCTCTCTGTCGCTACCCGCCATCGAGCTGGCCATCAATGGCTACTTCCAGCTATACCATCTACTCTCATTACAACCCAGAAGACCGCGAGGCTTTGGAACGCGAGACTGGGCAAGTATCCTCATCTTCAGAAGACAATGCTCAGCTTTGGGACACAGAGGCTGCAAGCGCCTACAAGTGTCAAACGGCCTCTGCTCCTCGTTTCGTTCCTGCGACCTCGCAGAGTGACGAATGGGGCCAATGGGGTCGAAATATATCATTTTCAGAGACAGCTGAGGAGGGAAGAGATTCCGCGGTCGCAGATTGGTATCGGTCTCTGTCGAGGATGTCCACATCTTCCACGTCTTCACTCTCACCGTCGACCGTGAACCGGGCACCAGCACTACCAGAAAGGCGGGAACGGAGGAATAAGAATAATTGGTTCATCCAGAATGCTCTCAGGTCGGAACTATCTTCTTCCTCTTCTTCCACCTCTTCTCTCGCTGACATGTTGGCTCGAGACCCTCCACCACGACCCTCTGAAGCAAAGTACAAACCACCGGTTTGGCTGGCCATTGGACCATCTAATAAGGGTTTCTCGATGCTGGAGAAAAGTGGTTGGAATGAGGGAGAGGCTCTCGGAGCTGATGTTGTCAGACGTAGACGGCCAGGACATGCTTTACAGCCTTCCATAATGGTTAGACGGCACCATGCGGAATCTATCGCTAAGGACGATGTGATTGAGGTTGAAATTGGACATGGGGACGGCGAAGTAAAAGAGGTTCGAAAGGTGCAAGTCGTGGACTTGACCCTAGACTCAGATGAGGAGTCAGATACAGCCTCTGATTCTACTGCTGCGGATTCTCTTGTTAAGGAGGACCCCGGAGACGAAGAAATACCGCCATCTGAAGATTCGCCATCATCTGCGCCGCCGTCGACCTCTGAACGTAAAGCGCTTCTCACCCCCATTCCTACTATCTTGAAATTCGATCGCTTGGGCATAGGGTTGAAGGCCAAGACCGTTGGTCCGTACAAGGTGTCGCAGAAACGGGTTTCGCATAGTGCTGCTGCGTTGGCCGCGCATTCCCGGGCGGCAGAGGCCCTGAAGAAACGTCAGAAACTATTTGGGCGAGGACATCGAGGATTCGCTAGAGCGCGAAAGAAAGAAGAGACAAGCAGACGAGATATGCTGGCGTATATGAACACATGACAGTATTATCTTCTAATAGGTTCATTTACTTCACTCACGACCTCCGATTTATCCTTTCCTACTGCGACGCGACATGTAGAATGTGAATTCCGAAAGGTAACTTGTTGTAAATGCCATTCTAAAAATACAAATAAGGTTACAGCCTCGAATAAAAAAGTGTGTAATGCAGATAAAGTGCAGGATAGCAATAATATGTATGCAAGAAAACTTGGCCCGAGATCAAAACTCCGAGAGACAATTAAAAAAAAACGTTTGGCTGTTGATCTGTGTCTCTTCATCGGATCAAGGTATCATAGGTTCCCCCCAAACGCCTTTTGCTGGTTCGCATTTGACATCGGGAACATACATCCGCAGCCACTGGACCATCTCCTTGCTCATTTGATGGCATCGTGTTATATCTATTGTTTTCAGGCGCTGCGGCCCTAAGACTGAAGGAGATCCCCGATTTTGCGGACGGACGCGAGGACGGGAAGCGCTTGAGGCGGATGTAACAGGCGGATGTGCGGCGCGGAATGCTTGAGCGTCCTGGAAACGAGGGTATGAGTTGGACGGAAGACGAGATTCGATGAAGGTGCGAAGAGAATCCCAGTCGAGGGAGGTGCAGCCATCAAGGGAAAGAGACTCAAGCTTAGGGCACACCCAGGGCTGTGAGGATGAAAGACCCTAATGCTGGCCGTTAGTGCGGAAGATAAAGGGAAAAAAAGAAGTGAGCTCGCCTTCAAGAAATTTGACGACGCATCTTCCACATCCACCAATTCCAGAATGACCAGCGATGGTAAACGACGCAAGAGACTAACGAACTTTATCTCGTTAAATAGGCAGGACTCTATACGCAGGCATTGTAAAGGTAGCCGTGTCAGCGCTTGAGAATACAGAAGCTGTAAGATGGGAGTGACATTCTCGAGATAGCACATCTCAAAACTTTCTAGGTTCGGGAAAGTGATTTGACACATGATCTGGCGTGCTAACGCGATCCCCGCATAGTAAAAGGTTATCTTCCTGAGTCGAGGAAGAGGGACGAGTTTTCCAGTGGTCTGCGGAGGCCCATATTCCTCAACGGAGGCAGAGGGATAACAGGGATCCGAGTCAACATCAGATATGTTCCGCAACTCCAGCTCCTCCAATTCTGGACACTGACGGAGAATTCCAAGTAGCACTGGCGCTGATGGAGTAAAACCGTTGAAGTAACCTTCAAGCTTGAGAACAGAAAGCCGGGATACAAGTCGATGGTCCCATCCGAAGTTGAAGGACGTCAAGGAACAGGAACGTAACCGCGGGGTATGACCATTGAAGAGGGGAAGAGGGGGGCTGGAATACCGGTCGTCTTGCATGGATCGGTAAATCCGTATGGACAATGTTTCAAGGAGTGGAGCATCCTCCTGGCACCGAAGAAGTGCAGCGTGGGCCTGTGGACGATTCGGCACGCTGAGGCTGAAAGACTTGGTTCGCCACAGCGCCGGACGAATGAGATCCATGGCGTGGACGACCTGTTCCGTGACGTTGTTCGTGTACTCTGTGCGCGTCCCGAAATTAATGCTGATGTCGAGAGGACACGACTTTGAGCGCTTGAGTTTCCGTCTGGCCCTTTCAAGAGAGTCATGGGGACCGACGGCGATCTTGGACCACAGAACAGGCGTGTCGAGAACAACATCTGCCCAATACCGGCTACAGAAGTACTTGAGCCTTCTGAAGTCACGATGAAAGACGGCACTTACCACACGAGCATTAGCGTCGAGACCAAAACTGGGTTCTCGTCTATGCCTAATACCCCAATGACGAAGATAGACGCCAAAAGTTCACTCGGTAGACGGTGAATGGGAGACTGCAGACGGACTGCTTTCTCGAGATGTGACTCGAGCTCGTGTCGCTGGCTCATGAGAGACGCCATCTTGGAGTCGAGGGAATGGATAGCCTCGCGCAGGTCCGGGATAGAGACATGTTGCATTCCCCCCCGGACCTGACTAGACGGACGCGTGGTGGCATGGGAGGCAGGAAGGGGGGTCCGATTGCGGTGAGCAGTAAAGGCGGACGGCGGAACGCGACGAGGATAGGTCGACATTCAGCAGCGGCCAGAGGGACGGGACAAAGGGACTCTGACCGCTCCTTTTATAGTGAGCCAGGGCACGGACAGCACGAACAACGGTTGAACAGCCTTTAGGCTCGACGGGGAGAATTAAATGACGAGGGGGCGAAAGAGAAGCTGGTTACAAGGGGTTATAAAGCAACTAGCGATGGATTACGATTGCAGAGATAAAGTTGAGCCTCCACTTTGGCTGCCCACCTGGCATTTCTGTTCCGTTACTGCACACGAGGCAAATTTGCATGCCGATGTCTCATCTAAACTGCCGCTGTCGCATCGAAAAGAGGACCAGAAAAGCGTGATGGCTGACCTGCATCGTGGGGCCGTGGAACAACACTGGAATGAACATCTCTGACACGAGTTGACACGAGGGCAAAAACGAGGCGGAGGACCAGGCTCACTTTTTGATCGATACAAACAAGATACAAATTATCATACTTTCTTAGTACATTGATACAATGTTCATCAACCCCCAATCAGATCCTCATGTTTGTTTTCACTTCGTCTTCGACCCGTAGTCATGCCCGCCCCGCTTTTCTGGGCCGTGCCATCCTGTTATACGATCTGACGGCCGATAAGCTTTTCCCCACTTCCATCTATTGTCTACATTTGTATACAATGTTCTATCTTTTTCCGTCGATCAGCTTTCGGGACCAACGTGTGCTTTTCGTAAGGCGGGCAGATACTGGAAAGAGAATATCTGGCACAGTATCTGGGAGATCGTCAGCTGGCGTGAATATCTCCCCGGCGTGACTCACGATGATATCGAGGAACACGGTCAGCCCACTTCCTGCTCCCGGGTATCAGTCGGACTATTTTCAAATAAAGAGACCTTTGCCGAAACCTCGGGCCTTACCTGCTAACCAACTAGCGTTCGTCACCAAGTAATCTTTGTCCATACTCTTTGCGCATATCGACAGCGCGTAAGTGACATTGCCAAAGATGGAGAAGAAGAATAGCGCTGGCGAAAGTCCTACACACCGTGTCTGGAAATTTTTGGCTATGACAGGCGTCAGTGTCATTGAAATTCATGCAATTGCATCATGCCCACGGTACGAACCTATTTGTGGTAGACGTGCACCCAGCTGTACTCGGAGATTAGACGACGCCCCATGAAGAAGAATGCGGACTAACGTATAATACCGCACTAGTCCAACCAAGAATCTGTACGGTCCATTTAAGGCGGGTGGGTATATCACGGGGCTCTTCGTCTTCTGCAGCCCCTCCACTTACCCACCAGGCCAATATACCGGTCGCAAATACGAAAACGACAGCTCCCGCGTAACGAAGAACTAGGACCCTCATGGGAAGGGCGACCTCTATTCGGGCATCTCCGGGCAGTAGAGGGGTAGTTTCTTCGCGGGTACCTTCATCTCGAGAAGTGAAGATAGGGCGACCATATTTCCAGCGGTAGTAATAGACCTGGCATAGCAGAGCGAGGTCGCAAACAGAGTACTGGTCAAGGCGGTATTAATATGATGCTTGAGGAGAATATATGTTGCTGCTCACATAAACTGCAAGAATGATCACTGTAGGCAATAAGCCGGCTAAAGTTGCGCCGACAAAATTACATAGGTCCCCTACCAGCCAGACGAGTACGAACAAAATACTCAATCCTTCCCCAGACTGCAAGGCATAATTTTCATACAGCTGAGGCGAATAGACTATGATCCTAATTCAAGACGAATCAATACCGCAGCTACGAGCCGAAACTCGCTGCAGACTCACCAGCATGCGATGGAAGTCCAGCCCAACTGTTATAGAAAAAAAAAGTTGGTATTGGAGCCTGCAAAAAGACAGAATGGGACATACAATGCTGCTTATTGCACCGTTTGTTTCCAAGTTCATTGTGAACATAAAACGGAGGATAGGCAGAAAATGTGTCACCTGCCAGGGGTCGGCATCTTCCGATGCCGACGGTCGCTGTCTTCGTCTGGTTTCATTGCTCAGCAGTTCACCACGAAAATGGACGACGAGACACTGCGAAGATTTGCGAACCAACTGCGAAAGACTGCCTCTGGAGGTCCTCGTCCACCTGCAGGATTTTTTGCTGGGACAGGCCTCCTTGTTGCCGTCGTCGCGGGTGGTTTCGCGCTGAACGCCAGTTTGTTCAACGGTGCGCGTTCTTTGCCGTTTTTTTGGATAGCGAGCTCATGCACGGAGGACAGTCGATGGTGGTCACAGAGCGATCAAATATACTCGGCAAGTGACCCTACATGTCTCTAATACACTATACTGACCACCCTTCTCAGGTTACACGGTATTACAGAAGAGATCTATCCGGAAGGGACTCACTTGATGGTATTCACTTGGAGCCCTATTTTTGTATCCAACCTGCTGACCTTTTGCAGATTCCCTGGTTTGAAAAGCCGATTCTTTTCGACATCCGTGCAAAGCCGCGGAGCATACCCAGTTTGACGGGCACAAAAGGTCTTCAGTCGTCCTTTAACAATGTTCACATATCTTATGAATCCTTGGGAAGACTTGCAAATGGTTAACATCACTTGTCGTGTCCTCTCACGACCCTCAATACAAGATCTGCCCAAAATATATCGACAGCTTGGCAACGATTACGATGAGAGAGTATTGCCGTCCATCGTCAATGAAGTCTTGAAGAGTGTTGTTGCCCAGTTCAATGCTAGTCAGCTAATTACCCAGCGAGAAAACGTGCGTGTTGCCTTGCTTATCCTTGTCCACTTGGTCAACGTCGATCAGGTTTCTCGACTTGTGCGAGAGCACTTGACAGAGCGGGCGACCAAATTTAATCTTATCCTTGACGATGTTTCCATCACACATGTCGCATTCTCGCCTGAATTTACGCACGCCGTGGAAGCAAAGCAGGTCAGATGCCGTTCGCTTCTGTCATTGGCTGTGCTTATGATTCGTAGGTTGCGCAACAAACTGCATTGAGAGCAGCTTTCCAAGTCGACCAAGCTGTCCAAGAAAAAGAGGTAAGTGGAATGATCTTTGCGAGTAAATGTTCTTCGGTTAACAAGGGTTGCCAAGTCCATCATTGTTCGAGCGAGCGGAGAGGCTCAGAGTGCCGAACTCCTTGGAGAAGCCATGCGACAGAACAAGGGGTTCCTCGAACTTCGTCGGCTAGACGCCGCACGGAGCATTGCAGAGGTGTTGGCATCGTCTGGAAACAGGGTGTTGTTGGACTCCAAGTCACTCCTACTTAACGGTAAGATTATTTCGTTGTCTGTTTGGTTGTCGCACTCAATTGGTCTGAAGTGACTGAGGACATGAAGGACTTGATGTCACCAAAGAAGTAATACAACATAGCAGTTATTCTTATCCTCATACGCAATTCTCAATGCAATCAAATCCTCCCTCTACCTAACATGCATAATTCCTTCCTTCCTTCCTTCCCTTCCTTCCACATCTATATCGCCCAGGGTCTAGGCTGAGAGCTTTGACATTGCCACGGTGCGTCTGGGGTCCGTTCTTCCACTGTTCGAGAGCTTTTTTTTACCGTGAGAGCACCCCGAAATAAAAACCGTGTCTTCAAATCATGATGTCAATCAGTCTCGACGACCTGAAGAGGCCGCTGTTTCTGGAACGGACGTTGATAAATATGATCTTTTTCCGTTCGCCGGAAAGTCATACACGGTCTCAAGACACTTCTACAGAAGGAGAACTGGATGGTGGGAAGTGCCCCTACGGCGAGTAGCACCTGTTACGTTAATAAGCCTATTACTGCGGCAGTATTACTTACGTGTGGACGGCCTCTATTCGACCATGACTGACACACTCAGATTGTTCAGTGCTTTCGGGTGACTGTTCCAGTGCTCGGTCGACGTTCGCCCGCCTAGGCTCAAGCACGTGACAGACGCGTTTTGATCCGTTGCCACCACTGGTCCTGGACAGTGGACACTCACTTCGATTTGACTCTCGCATATTTGGATGACGACGACGGAAAACTGATCCTGCCATGCGGCGTTCGCCAAATCACAAAAGACCAAGAGTACAGGTACCTGAATCTGACGCGACAAGGGATAATGACCTCGGCTACGACTCTGGTGATTCTAAAGGCTCTGGAGCATCGCCATCTAACAGGAAGAAAGTGCGCTGGGAAGGAAATGGAAGTGTAATAGAGAAAGAGATTGGAACCACTGAATCCGACGGTGATGAACTGTCGGTCCCCGAAAAGGTCACTTCGGATGTTTCCCCGCTGATTCGGTGTTGCTAATTCATTTATTAAATAGATATGTCTCACGGCATGGTGTCAGCAGTAAATCTCGTAGAACTTTGTCATCCGCCAATATCTTATTTTGTCGCCCAGTGGTCGTGTAGGGGCGGCGTACTATGATCCTGTGAAGTGTATGGTGTACGTCCTGGAGGATACTCAAGAATCTCAGCATTTCGACCTGATTCAGATAAGCACGTCGTAAATTACATCCTCTATGTCGTCCTTTCTCCTTATCTGTACCCCAGTTCTCGACCAAGCAAAACCTGATGTCGTTCTTACAAGTTCTAAGGCAGATGATTCATTCATCGATGCCCTCCGTGAATACGGTCAGCCCTTTCTAGCCCTGTGTGCGCATATATTGAACGAAATGAAAGCTGACCGATTCGGGGGTGTCTTTCAAATTCGACCTCACAAGGATTTTATTCCCGCTAAAGGACGTGACCGGCTTTTTTCTCTCGAGCTGCTGTCTGAGTTGCCTTCTGCCGACGACGTGAATCCATCGAATATAGGTCCTGACGCTTCACGTGCCAGGGATGCCTACGAATTTATGTCAAAACGAAGAAATCAGGAAGGCGACCCGACTATGAAGCGCTGGAATGCCGCAATCCGATTGTCCAATTTCGCTCTTGTTGATTCCTCTCCTCTTTGTGTAGGTGGAATCGTGCCTTAGTGTACGCGAACCATTCATGATTTGCAAACAGCTGGCATCTATTGGGGCCCTGCTGGATTATCTCGTTCGAGAACGAGTTCTTAATGATCTTGAAGGAGAGGGTACACACGGTCTAGACATCCGGGATATTGAGATCTTGGCCCTGTTTGTCTTCTTCTCCAATCGCTTCCCACTTAATAACCATTGTGGTAGTAATGAAGTCATGCAGATAAATGCTGATGCTCTACAGCAAGTCATCCATGCACATCCGGTATCAAACCTGACATTAGCTACCAGCTCGCTTCAAATCTTTGAAAATGAAAGCCATGCTTGCGCTCAATCCGACAAGACGAAAGAAGGCCTCTCGCTTTTCGGTGCGTACTCCGGATCGCTATAACCTCCTTCCTTCCTTCCTGTTCGACTGTCCCTGACTAAATTCCCTTTTAGGCATTCTTGATACAACGAAGACAACGCTGGGACGAGCTCTTCTGCGCACCTGGCTGTTAAGGCCTTCACTTTCCCTCTCTGTGATTGGATCACGCCACGATGCTGTGGAATGCTTTATGCGGCTCGAAAATATAGGGTTGACAAGCTCGTTACATGGGCATCTGAAGGGTATCAAAAACGTGCCGCGTATGCTCGGAATTTTGAAAGATGGTCGAGGTAAAATATCCGAGTGGCAGGGTCTTGTCAAGGTACGGGTGTCATGAATCTTATTCCATTTGTCTGAAATCTTAGTGTAGTTTACGTTTCATTGCGCGATGCTCAAAGACGTCCTGACCGAGTTACATGCAGCAAGCCATGTCGATGTTGTTAAGAAGGTAGACATTTCTTGCGTGACGCACGATTTACATGAGTAACTTCTCACCTGTTAAGCTTTTTGACGTCTTGGACATTGCCTGCTTTCGCGATGTGGGCAACAGAATAAATGAGACTGTACGATAGATGCCATCGATCCTGCAGCAAGAACGCACTGCTGAAATACCTGTCAGGTCGATTGGGAGGAGTCATCTCAGGCTGGCCGTGTTTGCGTCAGGCCCCTTATTGATGAAGAGTTGGATAACCGAAAACTTGTGTATTACGGAATTGACTCTGTGCTGGTAGGTGCCATTCCAGTCACGCAGATCCTACTGAGCTTCGTCCGTCAATAGTCAAAGGTGGCACAGCAAATGAGCCAGCTAGTACCAGCCGATTATGCACCGTCCCTGAACATAGTTTATTTTCCCCAACTTGGTATACCAGTCCTTCAATCCAATCCAAAGCACGTCCTACTATCGATCTCTCAGGTTTCCTCGTGTGTATACCGATGTTAAAAGAGTGGCGGACGGAGGCTGGAATTACCGTTATCGATGGATGGACGTTCCAGGTACGTCCCATTCAGGCAACTTTAGACGTCGCACGACCTACTCTTAATTCCCCGTTTTTTTAGTTCTCGTCCGAGTGCGTGTAATTGTTTGCGAATTATACATCTGTTGACACTTAATCAGGTCCCACGTTTATTTCAAATCTCAGGAGATGCACGGTAAGAGCCGTTAGGAAAATGCCGACTCTGTTAACACTAGTTCCTCCAGATATGGACGCTCACATAGGCGATCTCCACTCCCTCATCGTAGACCGGGAAATTGAAATTATACAGTCCCTCCTCGGGGACATTTTGGTCCATTATGATATCATGACACATGCATGTGATATTTGTGCTGAACTCGACTGCCTTCTCGCCTTTGCAGATGCTTCTAGATTATATGGATACCGGAGACCGACCATGGTCCAACAGAATATCATCAACATCAAGCAAGGAAGGTAAGCCGTTTGTTTGTTTCCGTTGAAGAGACTCAAAAGACATGTAATCAGACACCCCTTGCAAGAACAAGTTGTTGACACCTTTGTTCCCAACGATGCGCATTTAGCTGGGGGTTTCTGTGATCCTTCTGACCTCCTCTCCGATAATATTCGTTCTAGCGATATAGCGTGGAATAGCGTTGTACTTTGCACAGGCGCAAATGCTTGTGGGAAGGTATGTATCTGTTTGTCGGACCTCAAATTCTTTAATTCTATCTATTTTCAGAGCGTTTTCTTGAAGCAAGTTCGTGCCTCACTTATAGTTCGGAAGGTAATTCGCTCGAACTTCGCATGAACAGATTGCGATGATCCAATTCATGGCCCAGGTCTGGTTTTACCTTCATAAATGCATCGTGTTTAGTGGCTGACAGTAATTCATCTCCTTAGATAGGATGGTAACTTCCGCAAATCCCTACATGCTTTTCGAAGCTCACGCTTAGCACAGCTTCGTTCCTGCAGACTCCGCCACACTTGGAGTTGTCGACAAGAGTAATGCATGATCTGTCCTGCCAAATTGCTGACACCTTATACGAGATAGTTTTCACTCGTATATCGACTACAGAATCGGTGTCCAAAGTAGCTATAACTTCTGCTTCCTCCTGGATGGACGTCATCTATGCTCTTGGTTTCTAGGTGCAATCTGCGTTTATGATTGACTTGAATCAAGTGTCTCTAGCTCTGCGAAACTCGACTGCTCGATCGCTGATTCTCTTGGATGAATTTGGAAAGGGCACTCTTTCTACAGGCTCGTACTTCCTTTCCTCCACTCCTACCCAACTCTACCCTCCTATGCTGTTTGACTGGCGGGCTTGCTGATTTAACGGTAGCTAGACGGCGCCGGGCTTCTGTGCGGCGTGCTCAAGCACCTCATGGATCGCGGAGCGAACTGTCCAAAAGTCCTCGTAGCAACTCATTTCCACGATGTATTCAGAGAAGAGCTCTTGGATCCAGATTCGACGCCCATTACTTTTCTCCATATGCAGGTCCTCTTCACGTCAAGCACTGGAACTATCCTCGGATCACGGGAGTCAACACCTTCGGCTAAGACGGAGTGGGATAGAAGTAGTATAGACCGACAGGTCAATCCTGGGGAGAAGATCACGTATCTCTATAGGCAATATCTTCTTGTCGCGCTCCTCATTGTGAGGCTGATCAAAAATTTCAGAGTAGTGGAAGGCCTTTCGCTGGTATCTCACGCTGCTAAGTGCGCTGAGATTTTCGGGCTACCTAGTCGGGTTGTTGAGAGGGCGCAGCACGTGAGGTATTCTTCATCTACTGTGTAGATGAAACGTCAACAATTAACAGCCATTTCAGCGATATGATATCGAACCACAAACTCAGTAGATTACTGGACGAAGAAATGACAGAGGAAGAACGTAAAGATCTGAAAGATGCTGAGGCCGTTTGCCGCAGATTTCTTACTTGGGACCTCGAGAATGAAGACGGCAGCATCAAAAGGCGATTGGCAGAAATACTCGGGAGACCGACGGACGAAGAATAGTAATTAATAACATACACTATACGGAACTGTACTCGTACTGGAATATAGGATCTAACTGATAGCGAGAGAAAATGGAAATTTATGCTGCCTTGTGGATTTCTACCCCAGCGGGGGCTCCCAAAGCTACAGAAGGAGTAAGTAGTGAAGCCTGACAAACTCGGAGCAAACTTACCATTCTTGATTCCTCCGTACATGAGGAACTGTGAAGAAACAAGTCCAGCAGTCATAATCATTCTGGGTCCTAAACCCGCAAACAGGCCTTTAAACCCAGCTTCTCGAGCCAGGACTGCCAAACGATGCGTCATGGAACCTGTCGGACCGTGTCCTTTATTGATCTGGCTTAGAAGAGTATCGGCTGGCTACATAATCTCATTATCGTCAAGTTATTTGTAGTAGAGGGCAAAAAACTTGCATGGCTAAGAATAGCGGCAGCAAAGCCAGCGGTAATGCCGCTGCTAAGAGAAAGTCCGAATTTATGGGTGTCAGACAAGGAACGTTTCGTCTCTTCAGACATGCTCCGGTACGCTAGCTCGTGACAAAATTCGTTCACAGTGAATTGACCGATAGCGTATGGGATTTGTCTACATCCGTCAAACACGTAGTAAGAATGGTCTAGCGATGACTCACTTGCAGAGGATGGGAAGGAAACCAGCATAAAGCTGAGACACACCGGCTTCCCGAGACAAACGTGTAAACCCGCTGACAATACCAGTGGCGTACCCTCGTTCCGATACCATACGAATTCGAGTTGCTTCCAGGGGTGTCAAAAGGATGTCAGCAAAGAATCTGATACAAATTCATAAAAATGCTGGGCGGAAAAGAAGCAAAGAGAAATATCTCACTCGGCGATACTCGCTGCACCCAAATAAATTGCAGTACGATATTTTATCGCCGTCTCTTGATCTCCGGAAAACTTGACGAGGGTGAGTTTCCAGAATTCGTATCCAGCAAACTTCACCCCGCCCTGGGCGAAATAACCGAAAGCTGTTGGACCGAATCCAGTGAGAAGGGTTGATACTCCTTCATTCGCAATGGCATAGCGTGTTCCAGACACAAATCCCAAACCCTTGTAGGACGGGTCGATCTGTATACGAGTCTTCACGACGTCGATAGCTTGATCAATAATCAGTGTCCGATAGATACAGCAGTCCAGTAGATAGACTTGCGGGTCATTGCACCATGACTTATCCTATTTTTCTTTTTCGTCAATGCTCTTCAAAAAAGATGAATTATCACTTACGTGCAACACAAAGCACCCGCAAGAAAGAAGGAACTGTAATCCTTCGACGAAAACTGGGGTAGTCCAGTGGACTTGACAAATGCCATTATGAGTGGAAGATAAGAAATAGAGGTGTCGTATATACCGGTTTGCCAATATTTGTATGGGGACCATGACGGGCATGAGCGGCAAAGAGATAATTTTAGGCGCAGTGATGTCATTGCAACACGTCAAAAAATTCCAAATTTTTTATTATAAATTTTTAGAATCGCACTTTGCTTTCGTTTTCTTCAAGTCGAGTCGTCCCGCCGGTATTTTCTCCCTTTTCTTTCATGTTGTCCGGTACTGTACTGATTTCTAACAGCTGATAGAAATCCAAACACCGACTGAGATGGAAAAGCCCGGGCCGCTGGTTCGCTAGCAGCGGCCCAGTAATGACCTATATATGCTGATTGACATGCTTTCATCTTCGCCTCGGCAGCGGCCAGACGAGGACCCTCGACCTATTATATGAAGTCAATGCGGCTAACCAGAGGATGTATGAAATAAAAATTTCCTCATCATTGCTAGATGAATCATGCTGTGGTGAGTGAACCTGACCACATGGACCAATCACCGTATACTCATTGTTGTCTTGTCTTGATGGCAAGACGGCAGCACTTTCGGCGCGTGTATATGTGGCCTAACAGACACTCACTCGATAAGTCTTAGAATCACTATGGCTACCGCGTAAGAAAACAAGCACGCGTAAAACATGCCTCCAAGCCTTCCGTTCTCATGTCTTCCTATAGCCTAGAACTAAGTCCCCGGTGGCGTTGACGAAAAGCTGAATGTCAAGTTTCAAAGGTTCCGAGAAAAGAAGCAGATCTCGGCGCTCGGTCTTTTAGTGTTTCAACGGTGAGAACAGATAGTCTCTCTGGCCTCATGTTGGTTTCCTTGATCACACAATGGAAAGCATAATGCCATGCTGCTGTCAATCTGCCCTTAATTTCCGGGTCTCAAGCCCTGGAGATGCCCTCTGATCTCATTGTGAACCGCTCGAATTCACAATACGTTTACGGGCGTTGCAGGCGACCGGCCTTGTCCATTCGGCTGACCGTGGGCGTCTATTAGATGCTTTTGTTATCCTTTTTTGAGGTTGTTCTCTCGGAAGTCACAGGATGTCAGCGTGGATTTGTCCCAAAATGACCTTGTGTTGATATTTTAGAATATAAAGACGCGGTCATTCAAGCTTTGCTATTATCACCGGACCTACGAACGCAGACATGTCGCGACGACCTACAAACTATTATGCGATGCCTCGGTCTTCTACACCAGGAAGGCCTCCCCCACAACAGCAGCAGATGAACTACGCGCCACTGCACTCTCCTCCTCCTGGACAGGCTTCGATGCAGCCTTCCTATAATCACTCCCATTCATCCGGTAGTGGAGACTCAGGTGACGAGGATTCGACAGAGATATACAATAGAGGTATCCATGTCTATTTCCAGATCGCTTCCTTCGAAGCCTCCAGCGAATACTTGGCCAATCCGAAGACTGCGCTTGGACCGCTTGTTTCTACCCTAAGAAGTCATGGTAGCTGGCTCGATGTGTAAGTTTATGATCTGTTATGGCGCCTTCGTCTCTGATAGTCGTTTCATAGTCTTCATTATGGTATAGAAATCGAGAACCCTAACCGCGGGTTTATTATGATCGGTGCAACCCCACTTCCCGTCTTCCCACCTTGTGATATTTCGATTAATAAGTAACCTGTAGCATGGCCCGATCCTGATGCCGCCTTGCGAACCAATGACTACAACAGCGTTCTCAGGATAGCCGTCAGGCGCAACACTATTAAGAAAGAATATTGGCTTGAGGCTGATACCTACCTCTGGGGCGTTCTATCGGCGCCGACCGTGTCTTTCTCTGTTGTAAAGCGCAGAAGAGGCGAGTCAAGGAGGCTCATTGAAAGCACCGCGGTATGGTCGAGTGACGTTCGGCGGTGCCCAGGATACCGAGACCACTGGTTCCAGTCAAACATTCTGTCCGAAGAAGGAAGAGAATTTATCGTCATGATCGGATGGGATGGCATTCGGGTAAGACGTTTACGCGGGCGCTGAGCATATTCTGATTTATTTTTCTATGTATCTAGGCCCATCAAGATTCAAGATATATGCCTGCGTATCAAGAATACTACAGATCTGTTGAGGACTTGGGTTCTGTGGACACGATACATGTAAGGTTGACGAGGTACTCGGTCTATATTGACTAAGGAGGAATTGTTGTCCCGGTGCTGCGTTATCCTAAGTTTTAGGGCGGAATATTCCCTATATATGTCCCTTCTTTCTCTCTTTTGTGGCTCCCTGAGTCAGTCGACGTACACGCTAATACATACTGTGATCTGCCGAGCTGTCCTCTGCCTCTTCCAGGATGATTCTTCCGGTTGTAAGTATAGCCCATTGAGAGTTGCTACACAATATGGCACCACTAACATACACATGCTTAAATTACCCTTCATAGATGCGTTCTAGATATATGTAGTACATCAGTGCGACCTTTTTTTTGTCTGTTCCCCGAAATTCGGAAAAAAAACACAGGATATTCTGTCTCGGGCCTGCTCTTTCTGTTGAGTTGACGCCGACTGAATGTTTTCCTTCGTATGTTCTACTGTGAGCAAGGCATCCGAGTCTAAAATGACGCGTGCGAAGTTGCCTTCCACTCCAGTCTGGCAGCTTTCCCGTGATCCACGATGCGGCGTTCCCTCAACATTGTACCGCCATCATCTCTTAGTTGGCAATGCCAGACTTTGAACTAATCATTTTCTCTGCCTCTGAGGCTTACAAGGCCAATCCGGCTGAGTCCATAAAGCCAGTGGTGGAATGGATAAAAAACGTCGAGGGTTTACTCAGGCAAGTATCGCACACACCTTGACGTCGGCGGGCTTGATTAATTTGTTCCTTCCTTCTGCACTGTCAGCTTCCAACATGGCCTCCAGGTTGAGGACAACAAGCTCGGTTACTTATTTCTTGGTGAGTCCTCTCTCGTCGGGCAGTGATTGTCAGTGATCATCGATCATCATTTACATCTTGTTTATTAGGCTGGGTGTCCATTGAAAGGCATAAGGCTATGATGGAAGCCGAATCGTACAAGGAAATTATCTCTTTACTAGGGAAGCATGTCCTCGCTCCCGGGGCGGGAATCGATATGCAGCACGTCACCTACGCAGACCTTCTCGAGGGGGTTGTTTCTGCCCCAGTCACCGAGATTGCGATCTTCAAGCGCAAAGAAGGAAAAACAAATGATGAGGTTCTCAAGCTTTGGTCAGAGGTCTTCCAGCCAACCATAAGGTCCATGGAGGGCCACCATGCAGAGGCACTGGGTCCGAGTATTGAGAACGAAGGAACCTTTGTCCTGACCGTCGGATGGGAATCCGTTGAGGTACGTACTATATCTGGGCACATGCTGTATGTAGCTCTTGCTTCCTAACGTCCGATTCGGCGATAGGCCCATAATGTTGCTATAGCCGATGAAAATTACCAGGCTAAAGGGGCGATAATGTTCGGCGTCGTCGACCTTGTTGGCTATGGTCATGTCAAAATCTTAAAGGAGATTTAAAGAGCGGAATTATGGTGGAAGATTGTTATCTTTTGTATAATCGGATATCTGATCAAGCATGAATGAATGGCCTGGGTGCATTCCCATCCATCTCAGATTTCCGAGTCCTTGTGGTGTTGTACTCTGGTCTGTACCAGATGATCCACCTGCAGTTCATTATCCTTGCAGGTGCTCCATTTTCCCGGTACTCAGCGTGTAGAATGTCCCTTTTCAGATAAGGGGGCCCAATCTGATACACAGACGGAAACAACTTTGTTCCACCGAACCCTTTCGACTAAAAGTAAAATTTGTTTGAGGTCTGAATTCGGGCAATGTCTGGAAGTGGGTCCAAGGTGGACGCGACGCGATAAGATATGTCACGTGATATGAACACCGACCTTGTCTGTCTTTCTTTCCCATGGCGCCAATGTCAGTGTCACTTCCCGGCCACCCGATCAGATATTTATTAGATCTATTCATATAGACGGGACAAGTTCACGATACACTCCAAGGCTGTAGTTTGCCAGGATGTTGAGCTTAGAGGAGACATTACAATTGGATCCGGTGGGTTCATATTTCTAACAATATGGTCTTTTGTGTCAATTCCATGACGATAGGAAGTATTGTGCATCCGAAAGCGACCATATTCGCTATCGCTGGCCCTATTGTTATTGGGTCAGGTTGTATCATTGAAGAAAGTGCCATCATAGTGAATCGGTGCGTCGTGTTTGTTCGTCTCTTTCTCTTCATCACATTGAATGACTGTGCGTAGACGAAAAGAAGTCATGCGTATCGGGGACGATAATCTCTTTGAGATTGGTTGTCGTACGTTGTCACCACTTTCCCAGGAACCAAACCTTTTACATACCATCTAGGCGTCGAATGTCCATCAATAGGTGACTTCAACACCATTTCGACACGTTCACGAGTTCACCATACTATCCGAATATCCTCATTTTGCGCTATTGGTGCAGGATGTCTCCTCGTGCCCACCGAAGATGAAGTCCTGGAGGATTACACCGTCGTTTACGGACCAGCAGCCGACCGGAGAAAATGGAGCGGAAGAGGCAAAGTGCAGGAAATTGATCTGAGGAGAAAACATGCAGAATACTTGAGGGAGATGCTGCCCAAATTCAACCGGTTAAGAAGGGGAGATGGAACGTAACGCTATCGCAGGCACTCGTTCGTCGCTGTCGGACTCTATTCATGGTTATGTGTTCTCATCCCTTCTGCTTCGTTGTTCAAGAACATTGTGATTTTTCGTAAGCGATGTCTTCAACAACGTTATGCCAGTCGTTTAACTGGACATTTTCTCGGTTGGTGTGCATGGTGATCTCCGTCATCAGTTAAATCGTCAAGTAGGATTGAACTTAGCACCTTCGATTGCGTTCAGATTGAGGGTGACGAAGCACCGTCGGTTTACATCATTATTTGTGCGTGAGGCGCAAGTACCTTGACAGTCTATCACATTAAATTTCATTTAGTTTGGGAAACCTGTGAGCATGCTCAAAGCTACAACGTTGCCACTTCGTTGGAACCTCGGATATGGAAAGAGTGTCTTCAGACGTATTATTTTCAGATCAATCTGGTCTCTATCAAAGCTCTGACTGAGCCAACGACTGAGATTGTTGTGATGCGCGTCAAGGATGGGAAATTCGTCAAAGATCTCATGGGAGCGAGTACGTTACCTGGGCTAAACAGCTTAATGCTGCTCCCAAAGCACATCCACCGTGTATCCAGAGCCAGAGCCTACGCGATGATCGAACTGTCTTGATGTGCATTGGATGGGACAGCCGGGAGGTATGACATCTCTCTGATGATATATAATGATAATATTTAATCGCCATCTCACAGCCGTCGGACAAGAGCCTTTTGCCTCCATTATCACATCTATTGTTTCCATGACGGATGCATCGATTGCACATACACACGTCAATACGTATTTAGCGCTTCCAACTAGCAGCCTTCTTCGTCATATATACACAGCTGAAGTTCTTCACGCGCCGCCTGAACCACGGTAGGTACTCCGCGTCAACCAGAGGGCATCCGTTGACTATGAGGGTATGAATCGGGGCGAATGCTGTTTCTGCATCTGTCGCATTTTCTCTGGGTGGCCAGCGTGCTTTGACGATACGCGATAGAGGCCCAGACCGCACGTCAGGACACTCTGACAAGTCGACGTAATGGAGAGATGGGCATGATGTCTCTAGAGCATCGAGAATGGGGTCTGCGATGTTGTTAAGGTTCCGAAGCACGAGTGTTTCAAGACTTGGAGATGATTTCAGAAGCGCTATTAATGGTGGCGCCGTGAGGACGCATGACGCAATGTGGAGGCGGGTAATGCATTGGCTGCAGAGTGTCGTCAGAACGGCGTTAATTGATTTGCTTGATCGTGTCAAGGTAAGATCTTGTAACGAAGGAAGGATAAGATGTTCAAAGATGTTCAACATGGCTGGACGGCAGACGATGCTGAGCTTGGTTAGGCGCTCCAGACGAACCGGAGGTACGTCCCCTTCGTTTCCGTATTGGAAGGGTGCATCGAGCTCTATTATCTCCAAATTTGGATTCTGGGCAAAGAAGGGTATAAGGACATTGCCTGTATGGAACAAAGGACTCATTCGAATAATTAGGGTGGAAAGTTGAGTTGGCGGTGAGGTTATGTGTCCGGCGTCGAAAAGCGCAAGGTCAAGCACAAGGCGCTTTAAGTTCGACTTCGGACAGAAGAGCGAGCTTCGACGATGATGTTGACCAACAATTTCCACGTCCTCCCACTGCTGAACTACACGGCCCAAACCCCAAATTTCCAGCTGCGAAGCTAGGTCGAAGCCTTCAAACTTGCATACTCTCAGATAATCCCATTGTAACCCAACTCGCAGGTTCTCCATCTTCCACGCCGATACATCTAGCAGCGGTTTGCGAAGACAGAGCTCTCGTATCCTGCCATTGGAGCGTTCAAGCCATACTTTAGTCTTGCGGACTGGACTTCGGTTCGTCAGTGCAAGGGTGCGCCATAGGGCGGAGGTGCCGCGTGCTACGTCGCGCCACGATCTGCATACTGCGGAGATGGTGAGTACAAAAGTCGCGTCATGAGACACTACGATGTCGAAAATGTCCACCATGAGCTCGACGGGGATCTTGCCGAGGTGATATGCGACGCGTCGTCTGCGCTCCAGGACGGCGTCCTTCAAAGAAGTGACTTGGGCGCGCCTTTTCGCGTCTTCTTGCTTGATACGTGCAAGGGCCATGTCCGCCATGCTAAGAGACTGGTCAAGCTTTCGCATGTCGTGGAATATGTGGGCAGCACGCAAATAGCCCTGCCACCGCGTAGGTGCGAGGTCGATGACCTTTTTAGCATCGCGAAGAGCAGCCAAAGGATTGTTGAGCTTGTCGTATGCAGCGGCTCTGGAATCAAAAATGAGAAATTGCTGGTCGCCGCCGTTATCAATGGCCTGGAAGCAGGTTTGAACGCGTCGGTTGTGTCTGGAGTTGGATGCGCACCTCCGTGAACAATTGCACAGCATCTTGGTATTTCGACCTTTTAAAGTGCGCGACGCCGCTGTCGAAATTGGCTTGCCAGATGGTGGCCATGGTAAGCTGGGAAAAGTTCAAATACAAGGAAGATGGTGGTTGCAGGTGAAGAAGCTGCAACACGTGTAAATCGCATATCGACTTTAATATTCTAAGCTATTTATTTCAGTATTTCTTCACATATTCAGCTCTAAATATCCTCCAGCCTTCAAAATCAAATAGTATATAGCTATCGAACCTTCGCCGATGTTCCATGGCTCAAGTGCCATGAGTGATCACTACCATTTTTGGATATAGCGCTTCTGCCAAAAGCAGTGGCGGCGTCTATCAGCCTTTCTTTGCCGTCTTGTTTTCTATCCACTACCATCTATTCCTATCTCTGCTTTCCCCGTCGTACTAACAGACGACACTGATGCCTCTCAATTACTCTAAGTGGGATCAGCTCGAGGTGGGGTGTCACGCCGTGAATTTCATTGCGATACTAACCATCTTTTCCATAGCTTTCAGATGATTCCGACATCGAGGGACACCCCAATGTCGATAAAAAGTCCCTGATACGGTGCGTTTTTTGAGCAGGCGCGTCGTTGGTCACCTAATTGGCCCAACCTTAGTTGGAAACAGCGGGACATCCACGAGAAACGAGAGAAAAGAAAACAACAGATCGCCTACCTTCGCCACCAAATTACCATGAACAATGTTCTTCTTTCTCGTGTCGAAGAGATTCACACTAAACTCACATCACCATCGACCTCGTCTCCATCTGCGTATTTCAATACATTGGTCGAAAAGCTTGAAAAGAATCCGTCCAATGAAGGACCCCCGGGAGCCGATACGTCGTATAGTGAGCAGACTTATGACGGCATGATCTTGTCATTGTTGAACCAAGTCACGGATGAGGTCAAGAGTGGCTTGAAGGACCCGAGCATTGTGGAGAGTGAGAAGGACGAGAAGCTGGTCAAGGGGCTCTCTGAGGGCGTTCTTCGTCATGTCACGGGGCTGAAGGAAACCATTCAGAAGGAGGAGAAGGAACTCGAGACAGAAGAGAAAGAGCAGAAAAAGCACATCACCATGGATGACCTCCATGATGGCTTTGACACTCATGTGCGATATTTCACCTGTTTGCCTTGGGACGGACGAACTGATCCCTTCACAGTACGTTGCCCCGAAGCCGACTCCAGCATCGATTCCCACTACAAAGATCGAGAATCCCAAGAAGAAGACAACAACAGCAACCGAATTTGAAACCCTGAACCCTCAAGCTTCAAGTTCTGCGCTGCTCCCGCCTTCCGATGATGCTGAAGATCTTGAAGAGGGGGGAGAATCCGTGCCGGACATGACACTTACACTCGAGGAATTTTCCAGGCTGCCTCTTTTCGCTTACGAGCGCTCCTTCCGGTTCATCCAAGACCATCCGGATGTTATCGTAGACGGTGCTTCTGACGCGCTCCTCGTTGCTGCCTTCAGGGCCCAGAATGGCGCTAACCCGAAGTATGCCAAACAGTGTGTGCACCAGAGTCTTCTTTTGCAATATTGCGAGAAACTGGGAAGTGATGGAGTTCGCGTATTCTTCAAGAAGTATGTTATCTCTCTTAGCACTCTCCATATTAATATTAATGTCACTTCAGAATGATTGCCGGAGACAAACGTGCCGAGAAGGTTTTTGTTGAGGATGTCGAGAAGACCTATGCCCTTCTCCAACATAGGGTTAAAGTCAGTAACGAAGAGGAGGCCGCTGTTGGTGGAAGGGAACAGATACAGCTTGTTCCCGAGAGTGGCGACCAGTCAATCTCGTTCAATGTTCCCGACGGTCCTCCTCCAGAGGAACTCGTGTACGAGGGTCCCGATGCCGAGTCTGTTGACATTGAAGAAGTCCGGAAGGCACTGCAACTCCGATGGGATGTTTTCCAGTCGTTCCCGAAGAAATTGCAAAATGCGCTGAAGGAGAACTCACTTAACCATGTCAACAAGGTACTTGGAGACATGGAAGTTTCTGAAGCAGAAAGCGTCGTCCAGCAATTAGATATGGCGGGTATCCTGAACTTTGCAGACGGGGGAAGTGTCAGGGACGAGACTGGGAAAAGCGGGCCCACCGCTGCTGATTCGATTGATTAATTCTGAGGTAAAGGAGAAGTATATCTGTACATATGTAATCTACCAATGTCATTGACCGTTGTGCTCTGCTTGTGTATCTAAAAGCCATCTTAGTATCTTCCCACAGGTCTTTCAGAGAACCCGTGACCCAGCGGGCATGTCTACATTAGTCGAATACAGAGCCGAAAATGGAAACGCGAGGCACGGGAACAAATATGTGCAAAGAATATAAAGCGTCGACGATTCTTCTTCCGCATCTTGCTCTTTTACGACCATCTGCTCTCTGTCTCTTCCTTCATCTCCACTGCTCACCAACCTTTCTCGTTTTTATTGTCCATTGCACAACTGTATCTATCTGTGAAGGATTTCACACCTGTACCAAGCATCCTGTATCCTTATAGCATGTAAGCGCCACAATTCTCATGTTTTTGTAGATCCCTGTATCCGCGTCTGTTGTCTTCATTGAAATCATAATTATCCTTGACTAGCGCTTAAGACTCTTTAAATTTGTATCGCTTCGCAAGAATTCGCGGTTTGAGTCTACAACGTTCCTAATCATGGCCGAGGACGACTTTGACATCTACGGAGAGGATCAGCGGGTTGCTCAGAAAGTGGTACGTTGTCACTGAATTCTGTGTATATACTGAATGTGAACTATCTTCTTGAAGAACCAGCCGGTCACGTCCTCGCCCGATCACAAGACGGGTGAAAAACGACAGAGGGAGGATGACTCGCTCGGGGAACACCAGACTCGACCTCCCGCATCGCGGCCCAATGCCCAGAACGGTAGCAGCACAATTGGAAGCGGAGGGAATGGCATGAACGACGCGTTGTATCTTAGCGACTTGCAATGGGTGCGTCTTTGCATTCGTGTATCGTTAAGTGTACTGAGGCTTTGTGCAGTGGACTACCGACGAAGACCTTCGGCAGATTGCATTGAATGTCGGAGTCGCTCTTGATCACAAGGATATAACTTTTTCAGAACATAAAGTTAATGGGAAGAGTAAAGGGTGTGCTACATTTTTGTCCGTATCCTCGAATCTTGACAGCATACATCCACTAGGCTTGCTTATGTGGAATGTAGCAACTACGACAACGCCGTTGCTATTAAGAATTGGTTTGACAATAAGTGCGTTTCCCGATCATAGATGAGGCATGGAATTGACCCCCAAATCAGCGACTTTCAAAACCGTCGGGCAACCGCCACCTTAGGATCGTCGAGTAGCGGCAATCCATATCGTACATTACCAAAAGGTGCGCGCTACATTGTTCCTCTGGGTGCTTAAAATTGACTGGATCTCTGCAGAGCCTCCTCCGCGTGACAACCGTGTTCCGCAACAGCAACAGCAGCAGACTGCTGGAAATGTTGGTGTCGGCGCCGGACGTGGTGGCAATGCGAACTTCCGTGGAGGCATGATGAATGGCGGTGTCATGCGCGGTGGCATGGCGAGCGGAATGATGCCCGGTGGAATGCCCAACATGGGCATGGCAAACATGGCGAACATGGGTATGACGAACATGAATATGGGCATGGGAGGCGGCTACATGGGCGGTGGATTTGGCGGTCGCGGAGGCAACATGATGCCTCGTGGTGGAGGTATGATGCGAGGCATGATGGGCGGTATGGGTACGAGTTTCTAGCTCTCCCTTAGATTATGTATTGCTCGTTGTCGTGCTTACTGTCCTGCTTTGTGTTTCTGTTTTTGTTGTATCAGGTATGGGAATGATGAATAACCACCAACGTGGGGGAGGCCCTGGCGCCGTCGGTCATATCAATCCAGCATTCATGCAAGGCAACATTCCGGACGGGCCGAGGAAAAGGGCAAGATTGGACGGATAGCAAGGTGTGGGTTGTGGTGCATTTACCAAGCCTCTTGTTCCTCACATATGACTGCTTTGACTGCTGTTCTTTACATTATCTCTGCCCATTCTCGTCATGCATAGGTACCTTAGTTTATACTAATACATCTCTCCTCGCAATATATTATATTCATACCACTTCTGTTGTATAGTTGGGTTGCGCCACTGAAGAGGCAAGGAGCAGAGTAGACGACAGATATCGGTCAATCCTTGTTACTCAGTGATCACGACGTGTCCAACTGCTGGAATACTTCCATTAAGAGCGGAGTTGCACGTCCTGAATATTCTTCAATTTGACAAAACAAAATCAGGTGACCGTGGTGTGCACTCTTGGCCAGAAGAAACATTGAGAAAGAAAATTATACAGATACACATGTGTGATGCTTGATAACTGCCAAATGTTCCACAAATGAAAAGACGCCTCGATTTATATCCCTTGCCCGACAATACCTGGAGGTCCAAATAAGAACCTGACAGTCCCTTCGTTCTTCCCTAGTGCCTCTGATGCATCGTCGATACCATTAGGGTCAAGACTATAGCGGTATCGAGGGTGGTGGTCCGATTCCCTCAGGTGTATCTTCAACCGGAGCAACTGATCAGCGTTGTAGGGAAGCGGATCTACGGCTTGGGCAGTAGAAGATAAGTGATGATTTCGAGGTGATGGATGAGGAGATGGAGAGGAAGGAGTACGGGGAGATGTGTTGGCAGAGGGGCTTTGGGCGGCTTGTATGAGAAGGTCCAACATGTCATGGGCGATAACTGAGGAAGCATCAGCTGAGCATGTAAAAGCCACGGAGCAGACTGACCATCCAGGTCTTCAACATGTGCTTGAAATCGTTGCTCCCAGTCTCCGTGCCGACGGAGTTGGTCTCGCAAGTCATGAGCACTTGACGAATCAGCCTCCCGACGAGGAGATTCGGGCTGTTCCCACGATAGTAAGAGGGAAGCGAGGTAAATGCTTGAGAGCGCTACTGTAACTGGTGTATACTGGATGGGAACAAGCGTTCTGTGGCTGTAGACGGCTTGAGATGACAGGATCAGCAGGAAAAAGAGCGATACGATACCTGTCAACAGCTAGCCGCCAAGCCAGCTTTATTATCTGTTTCTTCGCTGTTCATAAAGTCAATCTGTAGGCGAATCGATTCAAAAGTCGGCTCTAACCTCCGAAAGCCCTCCCTATCTTGATGACATACGGAAACGGCATTCTGGATGTGAAGTTGAAGCAAATTGTTTCCAGCATAAGCCGTTCAATTGCAAGCAACCGTTGTCGATCGTGTTCCACAATCTTACTTTCGAGTCAGAAAAGATGAGAAGCTTGAGATAGGGTAAGGCTCACCGCTGGGTCCATTGTGTCAAGATCTACCTCACCAGCAGGGTTCTTTGACTTGGCGACCAGTTCAGGAAAACGAAGAGCGTACGACAGAGCCTGCAGTTCCCGTGGTTTCTTCAACGTATCGTGCATCTTAGTAGAGACATATAACGCGGCCAAGCAGACGTCCTACGAGAAAGAGGTGAGCAACGCATCATTTGTCATTCAACGAGAATTCTTGCATGATAGTTGAAGTCTTTTCGAGGAAAGAATAGGTGAAATCGGTGGTAAAGATTCTGTGCGGTCGCAATTGTTCTCCTGGGACTGCAAACGAATATAAGTCATACCTCTACCGATGGTTGTTGATAACATACAAGCCCATTCGTGATCCCAGCGCCTCCAGAAACCCACAAGCAGTTTGCCTGACTTTGTCTTCTTGGGTGACACTGAGCTTGCCTTTCTGCTTTTCTGAAAGGATGTGGATTTCTTCGGACGTGAAATAAGGACGATAATATTTGGAGCGTGAGGCAGGGAACTGAGATGGAGATTGTGCACGAGAATGCAAGGGATCCATGATTGACTCGCTGTGGTGAAAGGGTAAAATGCAATTTGACCTCCGACTGCCATCATCATTTAGGACGTCCCCCTTTCTTTTCCTTCTTTCTATCGCCGTATCTTTGGTTCGGCGTCAGTGATACGTTCTGAAGACGCGAAGCTTACCCAACATTCTTCTCTGCTGGTCGCAGATATTTGGTGCCTGCATAGTACGTCTTCTGATTCCCCCCCCCCCAAGGAACGTTTTTCACTGCTCTACTTAGTATGACCTACCTATGAGTCATGGATCATCTGTCGGAAGCGTTCGCTTGACTCCTCTCTGGTCAGCTTCAACCCGCGGCGAGAGCAAATACGCCTATATAGCCCCCAATACAGCGGAAGATCCTTGTCGAGGGCCCAACTCTTCTTCACCGATGATGCTAACATGCGCCAATTATGTCTCATCCTTACTCCTCCGAGCGGTCCCTGGAAGGATCTTTCTCTCCATTTTGACGTAGAGCTACCTCCTGACTGGGCGAGCCTCACTGTTTGACTGTGGTGGCATGTTTCCCAACGTCTTCGTTGCAGCCCACTTCTCCAAGTATCAAGAGCAGTGTCAACGGCATCCAGCATCCAAATCTTTTCTCTTCTTTCATTTGCTGCGATCTCAGAAACAATTCGTATAGAGAAAACGGTTATACTGGAGGGTTCGTCGTCACTCATCATCTTCTTTCACACTGGTCTCATCATATTCTCATAGCTATTCCCCGGCATTGACGCTCCGTGGTTTTTTCCTCCAGTTTCTAACATTCTTCTCCAGTACAAAGGTGAGTTTATGCAATGTCCTGCACAAGTCTCTCTATTTGAATAAGCACCAAATGTCGAACAAGACCACGGTGATGCCATCGAAATCGGCGACTTCATTGTCACTAGGTACGTCCGGGAGACGGATGCGGCCCGACGCGCCGCCGACTTGAGTTCGCATGGAAATCGTTGGTATTGCGATAATTGCCTTGATCCTTTCGACTCCTTTCGACCAAGCGCTCTCGATCCCCCGAGTAAAATGGAACAGGAATGGGCGTCTAACCCGTCCCCAGAAGTCATCGTGAGCGTCTACGCCACCGAGGATCAGGAGATTACACACAAGACGAAAGGCGGAGGACAGCCTGATCCCATGCGTGTGCACATGATGGAATATCAAATGGAGCCAGACCCTAAGGCAATTTCGAATTGGACCTGGAAATGCCCATACGGTTCACAAGCTTTCCCTCATTACCTACTGTCTGCACAAAAATCTATGGCCATGGACATCGGTGAACCTTCGCTGTTGCTCGCTCATTCAGCCACATGTGTTCTCGAAAACATTCCTGACGATATTTTCTTTACGCTCGCCACTTATCTCCCCTCAGAGACTGTCCTCATCTTTTCAGAAGCTTATCCTCGCTTCCGCACTATTGTGGAATCAGCTCACGAGCTCCTTCGGCGGGAGCTGCAGTGCTTCTTCTTGACGCCTCTCACCAGTTCCATCCTGGGCATCGGTGTTGCTTGGGATCCCCGACAACGTACATTAACATCCGATTTTGATTGGCTGAGCGAGGAAGCGTTCATGAAATTTGGCGTCAGGAGGAGCATTCAAAAACGGGCGTTCCAATATTTTCTTCCTCTGGCGTTCAGTCGTCTGCACTTCCTGCGGGTTCAGGATAAGATTTTGGGGGCATTACTGGTAATATACAGGGACGAGCAGCAAGTAGACGGCGCATCACTTCAGCGGACGCAAGGAGCCTCTTTATTCAGACAACCCGAAACGCTCAATGTGTTGCCATCTGAGCTGCTCCTTGTCATCTACAGAATGATGAACAACATTGTTGTGGCACTCATGAAGTCTTGCGACGACGTCCTGACTACTCGCAATGGTGCTTCATCGACGACGACTCTCCTCCTTGCATCCGAGAAAGCCGTCTACTCGTACTGTCATCTCTTCCATCTCCTCTTATGCCTCTCTCGTTCGAACCCAAACATTCAGCAAGACGCTACGAAAAAAATTTCCGATTTTATCACTCAGCCGGGCACTCGTGTCAAGGCCAGCATTCCTGACCTCGGCGAGTTCATTGTGCTTGTAACACTTGCCCTCGCTTCTGGAAAAGGCGATGTTTCGTGGAGCATTCTCAATGGCCCTTTCCTTGAGGAAGCCATTGTGCGCAATGCACGGTAGGTTCTTAGGGACCATCCGGAGCTCGAGGAGATGGAAGAGGGCAGAAGCGATCATCGCCTGAACACGACGTTCAACCACTCCAAGACTAGCCTGCGACTGATGATGTTCCAAATCACATTCTTGACGATATTTGTCGAAACACATTCTTCTGATTTGGGACGTTTGGATGACAACCACGGATTTGCAGAGGAAGAAATTCCGGAGAAGATGGTTGATGCGATCAAGGACATATATAAGGTCGGAGACTGGCCTACATTTTTTGAGAAGGTTCAGTATGTGCGAGGCAAGTCGTTTGGCGCAGTGAAGCATTCTCAGTTATTGAGGGATGCCGTGAGGGTCAATGCTGAGCGTGGGTATCACAAGCCTGCGAATGTACGGAATACGAACGGATTGCCGAATTCCAGGAACCAAGGGGATAGGAAGGGGGGAACGAGGGGAAGTAGTTACAGGAGATGAAGTGTTTTTTTGCTGCGTTACAATGCAAAAGCCAGTTCCTTAACAAGAAATACCAACTGGTAAGACAAAGTATCAACAACCGGCATCTTTCGGCAAAGAACGTGTTGAGCACAGCCACATATTGATGTTCATTATCGAACCAGGAAGAAGCACCTTTCCTCTGTTCCACCTTCTTTGAGCACTCGAACAGTCATCGTGACCCATGAAGGATACGCCATCTTGTCGTATTTTAATTGTATCATCCTCACTGGATGTATCGGTGAACCTTGTACAACGTCAGTGAACGTCAACCTCGGATACGAGCCCTGACCCGAGCCATCTTTCAGGGATCCAACGATTGTCTCATCCGACGTCAATATATGATAATTCTGTCTCTGTCTTGTCCAACGAAACTGAAAAACACTTGCCATGGACAATCTCGAATAAATATTACACTGCTGAGGTCCATTTCTTGGCACGACAGATTAAGGGACTCGCACCCTACCATTTGCAAGAAATTCCTGCGTTAATATTTGTTTGGGAAAAAGGGGAGGTCTGTACTGAGATTTTGGGTTCAGGCATTGCTTTCTAACCCAATAACTCATTAGGCCTACAAACACCATATTCAACGACTCTCTAAAGACTTTGGTGGCTCAGAACCGGAAGTTTCACTTGCTGTACGTGTCCCGGCCTCGACGACGCCTCCCGAAGAAGATAAGGAAGATGAAGAAGAAACTCTGGAAGATGATAATGCCGTGGATGAATTTGTATCATCTCGTGGTTTCGAGTTCGTTGACGCCTCTGGCGGAGAACACACTGAAAGCACAGAGGAACTTGAAAGCATATCGAACGGTCTGTCCTCTGTTTAATATTGTAACCATTATCGTATAGGCTAACTTGGAATATAGGTATACCCTCTCTTCCTCGTGTTCTTGATGCTCTGAGCACAATTATGTGGCCTTCCATGCAAACATCCCAAAAATCCTCGCGTATCGCCACTCGGAGTTGGAAAGGCAACGCTGCGTTCCTTGAATGGGCGCAATCATCGTTTGATACGTCCGACACCTCCCCTGACGAAGACAACGTGGTCACCCGCGACTCTGACCAACAAAGTGACCATAAGACGAGACTTCAAAAGGAAATGGACGAACTTGCAAAATGGCTTCAGGATGGCGAAGAATATACGAAAGATAACCCTTGGAAAGTTCCGGGTGTCATCACGTCCCCAGCAGAGATCGACGACGACGTATGGGGATCTAGAGAAAAATCTACTATCACAAAGGGCGCTGTGGACGCGTTTGATGATGATTTCTCTGTCTTCGTGTCTGCTCCCGCGGAGACAGAATCTAAAGGAAATAGACAGCGCTACACAACTGAAGCAGACAGCAAAGTGTCTTTCGAGACATCCTTTGACTCGTCTTTCGATTTTGATCGACTTGGTCCATCGCCACTGGGAGTGACGTACCATGCGTTGGGTAGTGCGTCCGACTTGGGTGACCCTCAGGAGTCAGGGATTCCACATCCTGATACAACGGAGAGCGACGACGAAGACTTACCCTCTCAAGACGAAATCAAGGAGAGTGCTCAACGCATATTTGGCACCCAGGGAACATCAAGTTCTGACGATGGCATTGAAGGCGATGATTTCGAACTTGCGCCATTTGACATTGGCCAGGTGATGAGCGCTCTCCAAGGAATGAAGGCTGAGATTGCTGGCATCGAAGAGAAAAGTGAGAGGCGGAAGGCGGCGGCTAGAATTACGCTTGGTTTGGTTTATGGCTTGGAAAGAGATACAAAAGTAGGAGGGGATTTTGATCTTGATCCCGAGACAGAAAATTAGATTATTCTTTCAGTATATCACTATATGTTGTCAAATTGTTGTGTGTATTTTAGTGTACATATATACACGCGGAAGGATTCAGTAAATCTAATCGCAGAATTTGCATTGCGTTATGGTGGACAAGGAAACGCCTTGTTTACGAGAAATTGTACTGCATTCGCTCAGTTCGTGGGACCATCTTTTGGGGTACTCCCGTGCCTCCCAGGGTTAATGTGGATTCGTCCTCTTGTTGAGCCGATGCGAATCAGAAATTCCAGATGTTGGAGACGATGAACTAGAAGATAAGACAATAATATCGACTTTGAAGTTGAGATACTTACCCATGGTAATACATTATATAGGAAAGGCAGGCGCGCGCCAGACCATGCATCCCATTGAGCAAATCTCTTGAATTCCTCTCCCGAAGTCGTTGATCACCACTTATGGCCGACGATCCCTTCATGGCTTAAAGCATCCGCGACCAGCGAAAAACAACAAATATCTCGAGGACATTCGGATTCCTATCTTTGAGGTCCTAGAAGCACAAGAATATGTAGAAAGCTGAGGAAGCGGCTCTATAGTCCTGAACTTTCTTAGCTGAAGGACAGAACATGTACATTCATAGTAACTTGTTACTTAGGACTACCGTCACAAAAAGCGGTCAAGCTTACAGTTTAAGCAGGGCACTCAACAGACTCGGCCGCCTTGGAGGATATATGGTAATACTCCCATTCTATAACCAGTAGTATTAGCCGTCCACGCTGCGAGATGTACCGATCGATCATCTGCTCCGTAGCATCATAGCAAAATCTGAGCAATGTTCAGAAGATATCGGTGACGTAGAACGTTTGAACAGCCTTCAGAGCAGTGGCAGTCCTTAGAACACAGCCCTTCCTTAGCTTCTCACGCGAGGGAGAGGTAGCTATTGTTCACCACGAGTGTTGCTGCGGGCAGTGACTAGTAGACGTCCTCTTTGGCATTGGAGGATGGGATCGAGGCTAGTCTCAGAGTCATAACGGCAATGCTGTGAGGGAGTGATGTTAGAGGCCAACTTGAGCGTGACGAAGGCACATATTTATATAGATAGCTTGTTGAAATATGAGCGGCTCAACCGTAGTGTCTTGGAGCCATGAATATTCAGAAGCAATGACAACTTGAAAATGACGGGTCAGGTCGCTTCAATTTGCAGAGATGAGCTCACATCCAAAGCGAGTTTATGTGTCTGCTATCTTTGGTACACGAGAAAGTTTGTGAGCGTTTCCTAAGACGCATATAAACCGCCTCCGAAGGACCCAAAAGCATGGAGGAGGGAGGGACGAGAGGTGAGCGACACATGGGCCACTGGTAACCTTCGCGACGAAGTACTGCCACCTAAAATCATTAGAGGAGTGCGTTGACATGGACTGTTCCACACCAAAGACGGGCGAGATATTGAGTCGTTTTGATGCTAAGAATGAGAAGACCCGCTCGACCTTGTCCTGGGAGGACTCGCAAGCAAGCGACCAGTCTAAAGTCATCCGACCATACCCAAGCAAGGACCGGTGAGCGATGTTTTGGGAGCTCTATTGGATAGATGGACGCTATCAGGACGGTCATGAGTGTTTCATTAGAGCCGCCCGAATCTAGTACAAGTTCCAAGTTCCCGTAATGGCTCTTGGCCATTCAGAGACGTTCCGAGACGAGGGGTGAGTAGAATTTGTCCAATAAGGTGAGAGAGCGGAACAAGCGGATATCATTCTGCGGTGCTGTGCGAACACTGCCAAATGGACCCCGATAGCCCGCGGAGAAGTCATCTGATTGACCGTTCGCAATGCTTCCCGCCAGAATCTAAGTATCAAGGCGGTTAGATAGGCCATTCTCTTCTGTAGATAGAATGGAATTGGATGTGGCGAGCAAAGATAGGCGGCCACAAGGGGAACGGTGGGATTTTAACTGGTCAGACTTGGGGTGTCGAAACTGATGGTCAAACTTGCTAGCTGACCAGCCCATTCCTACCTATTTGGTGCAGTCGTGGTGTACTGTGGACACCGGAGAGTGTACGGACAAGAATGCGTTTCAATGTCATAGACTCGGAACTTATGCAGGACCGTCGGCGGTACAAGATATAGCGTGACAATGCTTAAAGATGTTATGCACTCTTCGAAGCCTGATCCAATTCAACGCGTGTCCGTGAAGCGGACGCATGACTCACCTCAGCAGACATACTTACTTCCCCTTTCATGCCCTCATCGGTGTTACAATGAATATACACCTCTCTCTCTAGGAGACATAGCATTGCTACTTCTTCAAGTTATACCTGCTGACACTAGGAGGCCCTTGTATGGGAACAATAAGCGATGAAGGAATCGGAAGATAAGTTGTACGTACATATTGAATACGTTCTGGTAAGCATCATTCATCTCCAGTCACTAAGAGTCACGACGGTGATTGGCAATCTAAAGAAAAACAAAATAGAAGTATCAACATCTGGATCATGGTGGTACGAATCTGAAATCAAGGGTAATTCACTACGAACGCGAAAAAGCTGCGATGACCGGCGTAGATTGGGCGCAGACAACTGGAAGGAGAGAAAAGGTGACTGTGGAAATCAACAGCGCCAAACATGGATCTATGACGCATCAAATGTTAGTTCCTACTTATTTACATGTCATGCTCCCAACTTTGTTGACAATTGGGTGAAAGACTCGGAACCCTTGCCTATAGCCCAATAGCTATCGCAGAATTGGATGGCCGCGCCATTGCCCGATTCTGCCTATCGAACGCAAATCACCCATCAGAGGCGTCGGCCCTGGACGCAAGTGCTATCATCGGTACTACACTGACATCGCTTAGAGACCTCAGCGTATGAGCTGCAACGTCGCGACCGCAGAAAAGCATGAGAACATAGATACAGGAATGATTGATCTGCTCACCTCCATTCGGGTGGCAGTGGGGAAGGAGGGAGAAAGCTTTGCCATATACATACATACCCAAGACTATTCAGGAGGGAACTCTGATGTGATATTCCGAGAGCCAGACGACCCTGGCGAGCAAAAAAGACGATCAACAGGCTTCAACAGGATGTCAGGAGAGAATTTCGATTCCCATGGCTTCGAGATTTCGAGAAAAGACAGTTGTGGTACGTTATGTACAAAAACCTGTGATCTTCGGAGCCTCGATTGGGAGATCTACAAATTGTTAAGTATATATATGTTTCAGCCTGAAAATACGAGCAAATACAACCTGGCGTTTGTGGGTGCATGTACGGATTCTTTTCGTAATGGTGGGCTGTCGGTTGAAGAATCTAGAGCCCCCGCCTTTTGGTCTCGATGTGGATGTAGCGAGACGCTATATGACGGGGCGCCGAGGAGAACCAGATATATCAGCAGCCAATTAGGGCCCCGCACAAGCTTACTGTTATACCCGTAGTTTTGGATATAGACCAAGGTGGAGAACAGAGAACGTGCACATAAAGTTCCCTTCTGAAGTTCTGATGCTCAGCAAACGACTATCAACGCCTTTCAAGAATCCAGGGGCGAGGGTAAATTTTAATCCTTCACGTTGAACCGAGACGAAGCATGCACAAGTTTAATACAGTACGTGACTCTGGTAATCTCCTGCGTGCCGTTGATGGGGGTCGCGGACTACGGTAGAAGACACGGATTTTGGGGATTCGGATATAGCAGCATGCAAGAGCGAGATATAAGGGAGAAGAGAAAGACAGAAAGATGGAAGTGTATCGCCAAACGATAGAACCAGACAGATTTTGAGAACAGCAGAGGATGCAACATACATACAGTGTAACATCAACATCAGTACTACAACATCTGGACCGGCGTCTTTAGGGCAGCAGGCACGGCACTGATCGGTGCCTCAGACCCCACACTCTCTCTCTCTCGCAATGGCCCCTATCTAGGTCGTAGTAGCTGGCGGCACACGAGCAGCGCAGAGTGGACCAGCGTCAGAACATTCAAGGCGTATAAATCAAGGTCATCACCAGCACGATCCCCTCTTCGGCCGAAAATTGGAGAAGAAAAAGTAGATAATGCTGAATATAATAGGCAATAATGCTACATCTATGCAAAAATGTCAAATTCATCGGCTTTCCTTTTACGCTCAACAGTTGGCTCATCTGTCCCAACATGTAGCTAATCCTTCGTTTCATTCCTCCATCTAGATGCCCGTCCCTTTCCTTCGTCGTTGTCGTTCTACACAGTGAGCAGCCTCCTCTCCTCATCGCCGTGATGTCCATCGACCCCCCTCCACACGCTACGACTCCGCCTTCTCATCGTCCTCTTCTGACGAGATCTCAGTCTGACAATCCTCTCGTGGACGACCAGCCTTCCGACCGTCTGCCTTCTATTCTTTCGAAAAAGCGACATTCTACTTACATTGCCGCGCCCGAGACGCTCTCACCTTCACCCTCTTCCATTCTACGGCCGTCCCGCCCCACACGCGTCGGCGCACCACCCATGGCGCTTTCGCCGTCGCGATCAAGCAAGGTCAAGATCTCGATCCGACCGCGGACAGCGACGGGTTCGATGGAGGACGTGACACCTTGGGAACTGTACCCCGCGCCAGGAGACGAGCTCGACACCAGGTGTGTAGCCATTGCTGAGCCGTCACCGCACAATCCGTCTCGTCCTAGCATATCCGTGAGTTCTCAGGCCATCTATTTTCATTAACTCCGCGACCTTTTCCTATTACCACATTGCGACTTGCTTTTCTTTTGTCTTTCTCATGCGCACCTTTCACTCACTCTATCTCTGTCTAGACCCGTCCCTCAAGCTCCGGAGGCCGTCCCTCCGGTCGAACCTTTGCTGACCATCTCCGGAGAAGGAAGTCGACAGGCAGTAAGACTCCTGCAAAGAATCCAGTCGGCAACAACTTCGCGCCATTCAGACTCCAGTCATCAGCTTCAGCAGGCCCACTGAGCACCGAACCTTTTTCCAGAACCTCACATTCAGGATTTCCATCAAATCCTCACCGTAGCCATAACCAGAAGAATGTCTCAAAATCACCTTCAAGGTCACCTTCAAGTTCAAGTGCATATATGTTGTCCCGAACCCAAATATCAACTCCTCCTGTACCTCCAGTACCCCCAGTACCTACACCATGGTCTGGCATCATTCATGCAGGGCCCTTCGTTGCACATCCTTCCACTTCTCAGTCTCGTTCCTCAGCCGACAAGCAAAGGGGAAAGGGAATTGGAGCCGCCAAGTTCTCCACTGCAGATCGGACCGTTCTCGAGGAGCTCAAACGAAGCCTCAACGCACGAGCTGCGCAGTTCGTCGTGAAGAACGGGTCACATGGAACTGGGAAAACCGCCCCCGGCCCCGGTAATGGTATCTCTTGGGGCGCGACCGGCCTGGGTGCCGTAGGCGTATTCAATGGTAAAAAGCACCATCCGTTCGGAAAGGATGAGGTTCCTTATCCCCGCTGCTATGAAAAGGACGTCTTGGATCTGTAAGCCTCTCCGCCCGCTCTACCGTCGTCTGTTACCCTCTTGATGGTGGTTCTTCCACCATGAGAGGAATTTATAGCGGCCTATCGTGATTTGTTTGCTGATGATGGTGGCGTTCTATATCTGTAGGGACATCTGGGACACCCACTTTTGTCGACAGATCTGTGAGAGTCTTACGTGGCATGTCTTTGAGAAACCGCCTACCAAGGTTCTGGACATCGGATGTGGTATGTTTTCGAGAGCTTCCGTTTCATTGTCAATGATCTCAGCATCCAAAGGTACCGGCGCATGGATACTGGAATGCGCCCGAACATGGAGAGATTGCCATTTCGTGGGTATGTTGGATGCTGTTTTGGTTGTGGTCTTAATGACGTAGTAATATGATTGCAGGGCTGGATTGCGTGCCTTTACATCCCGATCTTCTTCAGGTTGGTTCCAGTGACCTTGCGCATCGTATCACATGGACCCAGAGTAACTTGTACGTGACGTTCGTCGCTCAATCGAGACCCTCTCCCACATATCTTGTACACAGCCTCGAATTTCTTCCGTTTCCCAATGAAGAGTTTGATTTTGTGTGCGTTGATCTGTCATGGGATGGTGGCGCGAGCACTTACTAGATCTTAGTCATATCAAACGAATCGCATTGGGAGTTCCTGAGGACAAGGTTAGTCCATCCGTCATGTGCTATAGGCTACGGGATTGAATACGCTTCTTGCCAGTGGGATCAACTGTTCGAAGAGATTGTCCGTGTGATGAAACCAGGGGGTGCCTTCGAGGTGAAGTATTTCAACAAATAGAATAAGAACATCCTCTCATGGTTTATCCCGCAGATGATTGAGGAAGATCTGTTTTTCCCTGGATGTGCTCTAGACGGAGACGAAGTCTATAGTGATTTCGGCTCAGAAATTCGTTCATCTGATAGGCCACATCGGCGTTTATCAGGACAGGCCCTCATTTCATCCCCAGAAGCGGCTCGTAGTTGCGACCAAGACATAGATGATGACACAGACTCGACGCATCAGAGTTATAGCTCATCAGTCAGTGGACGGAAGTCAGAAGAAGCTGGGTCCCCATTATCGACGAACTCAAGTCCTAGTTTGCTGCCTACGGGTAGCACATCGGGCGCATCAAATTACAGCGCTCCTGTTACGCCTCCTAGTATGATGCTTCCGCTACCGCTACTCCCTATGTCAAATACGGCCATCGTCGAAGATGATGAAGGTAAAATGACACTCAATACCATCAAGGATTGTGACGCTCGAAAGTCGCTGTCGTCTCTGACGCCTCAAGCTTCTTCGCCGAACAGTAAACTGGCTCCTGATGTGGTCAAACTTCTTCCCGCTCTGCCACAACACCAGCCGAGGAGGTCAACCACGCCAAGTGCGTTCAAGACTACTGCGCAATCACCATGGACATTGCCAAATTCTGATGAGAGGTTGCCGACTCGACAGCCTCCAGTAGCATTTGGCGCTGGTCGCCTCCAGCGCCCGTCAACGCCCACGGGTATTGAAGGACGAATAAATCCTAGGAAGGCAAGTGTATCACCTTTCTTGACGAGGTCGTTACCCAAAGAACCTCCGAACCCGAGAGATCACTCCTTGCTTGAGACAATATACAAGGAGATGCAAGCGTCCCGATTCATCAACATCTCTCCCCTTGCACTGCTGCCTAACGCCCTTGGTCTACATTTTAAAGGTAATGTGGCATATTGCCCACAATTGTTCTCGTTTGCTGACGCCGAAGCAGATGTGCGATCTCCGCCTCCAATCCGGTTCGCGTTCCCGCCATTACAGTACAAGCAGACGCCACTGGAAGAAGACTCCGATTCGGATCCGGACGAAGAGGCCAGAAATGCTATCAATCCGTACCCTGCACAGCGTCCTCATTTAGCTTCTAAAATGAGCACAGAGTTCAGTCAAGAAGATCGGTGGGTATCCGCGCAGAGTCTTTTGTTCAAGACGTCGGCCTATGTATCTCTGGATGACTCCCGACTTGCTGGATTCTCTCCTCGAGCAATCACCAAGTCGCCTCCCACAAAGACCGTCCCCCTATCAGAGGATACCGCTCCGGTAAACCCTGCGAAATTATTGCAAGGAAACACTCTACCCAACTCCAATCTGAACATTGACGTACAAGCTCTTAATTTGAATCTTGCTCTCCGCGCGGCCGAGATACTGGGTTGTTCCGAGGAGATGTGGGAGTGTGTATTGGAATACCAGCGGGATGTGCGCCGAACGAGAAAGGATGGAGCTTCGAGGAATGTATTGAAGATGAGGTCCAAGTCTGTTGATGCGGCAAGGCATCGACATAATAGACACTCTGGCACTGGCGTCTGGCCAGAACCAGAGGATCCCACAACGTTACTCGAGGACCTGACGAGAGAGGAGTTTGAAGGGTTGCTGGTCCGATTCGATCTGTGAGTTGTAATCTCCACTTGCCACCGATTTCTTATTCACATTGATACGTATAACAGCGATATGCAGGACCATATGGCGTTAGGGTCCCAGATGGAGGAAAGATTTTCGTGGTCGGTCTCTCCTTCGCTTCCCTCTGTGGAGCGTAAGGCATTTGACGCTGCTTGGGAGAGGTGGTGCAAATGGGACGAGGAACACCGAAATCTACCCCCTCCACGTGGACTGAGACCGACAAGTCTCATACTCACCAACCCTAGTGATGTTTCCCGAATGAATCATAACGAGTACAAGCTCCCCACTCGCGATCAAGACTTAGTTTCCGGTGGATTTCCTGCGCGCCGACTTGAGACGAGAGGGACCACTTCACAGTACTCTCCAACATCGCGTACCAATGCTATGACCCCAAGCAAAAGGCTCAGCCGCACCCTTGGCGTCTTCGTCGCTTGGAAAGCAGAAGAAAACGCGTCGGCGCCTTGATATTGTCTTGTCATAATGGCCCAACTTAAAAAAAAAACCTTACTAACGACAACTGATGAATTATAGAGGTGTATGTATTTAGGGTCTTCTCCCATCTATCCCGGTTCTTATCTATTCCGCACGAACATTCTAACATTATTCCTCTCTTCATGTTCTTGCATGCATATGTTGTACTGTTCGCATTTTCCATTATCTGTTCCAACAGCATTCTGTCCACTGATACGCGTATATTTATTGTAGCATCTCCATAGAGTTACTTATTATTAACTATGCGTGTATTCAAAGAATGCATTTCGTGTTTTTGTATCAAGATCCATATCTATGTTGCGAAGACATGTTGAGGCCTCTCCCAACTTTGAGGCAAAGTTGTTCGTAATAACTCAGGCTACACATCAATTTCCGCATCTGCTTCCAGGACCCCAGGCATAGCGGTCGCCGTGTCGTGACCAATAACCAAACCCGTAATGACGGGCAAACCCAGGGGTGCCAGAGTGTAATCAACTAGCTCCGGAGTCATACAATTCCATGTTACCATCCGGCAGCTGTCCGATAGCAATGCCCACTATTCCAGATAAATCCTCACTCCGAAGGAGTGTTGTGAGCATATGGTCGAGTCTGTCTGTAGTTCAAGATGTAAAATAAGTCTTCAACGAGGAGATTCTCACAAGCAACTTCTCCGGTGTCCTCTACAAACAGAATAGCTCCCTCGTAGTTGGGCAGGAAACAGACCACACCACACTCGCCAATACGCTGAAATTCCAAGGAATTTCCCCCTGACGTTGCCCTTGTCTCTACACCATATCAAGCCGCTGAACGACAATTCGGTTACCTGATGCGAAAGTATCCCAAACGCACTTTCCGTCGCAGCATCCGAGAGAGACTGCACATTAGATCTCATGGGGCCCATGCAGGCTCAGCACCACAGCACGGTTACAAATCGCATGCAACGCTGTCAAGTCAGAGTGCTCGACAAGCCATCGTGGCTGTCTCTGCAAGGAATTGATTGTTGTAACAACGTCTTGCGTGGATTGGATAATACGCGTCGTGCTATAACCACCTTCGTCGGTTGAGCTAAATACAGTCAAATAACCTTGGGTCACGTAGGACGCATCCCTCGCAGCCCATGCGGCGGCCTTCACGCTATCTTCGTGAACAGCTTCGATGACACTACGAGCGTGCACCTCGTTCGTGTCCGCGTAGTACAGACCAGTGTCAAAAACGGATTTATCCTGATGGACTTGACGACCGTATGTATAACGATCCCGTTGATAAGGGTCGACTGGGTGACTGCGCTGCCTGTCGCAATGATTCGGATGGTATCCCCAGAAACCAAAGGTGGTAGCTTCTGCATCGCCATTCCACGAGTCAGAAAAGACTAAAATGACGAAGGTGTAGATGCTAGTGAAAAGAATACATTTCATTAGACGTGAATGAACAGTTTATCTCCTGTTCGCACCTTTTATCTTTATGGGCAGGCGGCACTTGCAGCCAATAGTAAATACATACAGTACGGTCTGCGTGTTGATTTGCAACCTCCAAGCCGAGGCCAAATCTTATGCCATGATGATAACTCTGGATGGAAGGTTAGTATCAAACGTCAGGTGAACCCTAGCTTCATCTTATCAGGCGCGCACCAGAAGGACATTGCAAGCAGTGTATAAGTATGTCCCGAAATTGACAGGGAGTCCAGATGGATCAAACCATATATTACTCTACATTACATAGACCAAGCTTTGCGCTGGAAGTCCAATATAATCGGAACGAAGTCGAAGAGTCCGAAATCAGGCCAGTATGCAGAACAAAATTGGATTTGCGTATCTTCGCAGCACTACCGAGAGATTCTGTCAGTTCCTATCCAAAGAGAACAGCGGGGTATACAAACCTGCCACAAGAGGAAATCACTGAGACGCTTGACACCACTGGTTCGAATCATAATGTCTAACGGCGGGCTCCCGGCCTTGCTCGTCATGAGGTTATCTTGAACATCCTGGGTCGATATTCGTAAGTCTAGGTCGTCCTTCGCAAGCGCTTTCTTCACGCAAGCTTGAACAGCGGCAGCCATCTCGTCCGTAGATGAATACGGCATGCATATATTCAGGATGGACCTTCAAACGAAACGAAACGAAACGTCAGCCGGGAGAAATACTGCCATTGAGTGCAACAAACCGGTTATGTGTACATGTCATGTTCTCCGCCTTTCTTACCGCCTCTTTCACGGAGTCCGGCAGGAGCTCTCTGTTCCCGAGGACATTGAGCCGGACGCCATATTCCTCGAGCAGGTCTCCGTGTTCACAGAGTTCCGAGAGCTTCTCTTGCACCAGCGCCATGAGAGCTTGCACTTCATCTTCTGAGCGCTTAAAATTGTCGATGGCAAACGCATACACCGAGACACATTTGATGTTCAGGCGAAGACATATCTCCAGTATCTGTAATGTAAATGAGCAATGTAAGGCAGCAACGGGCGGCAAACGTACCCTCCTCAACGCGACGTATCCTTCTGCATGGCCCTGGGATATTTGTTTGTGATTCATACGGGCATATCTCCTGTTGCCGTCCATAACGAAGGCGACATGTTGGGGGATAGGTCCGGCAGCCAGGACGCGCAACAATAAGCGTTGCGCCCGAACACTTAGTTTGCCTTGCAGCCAGAGAAGACAGTATACTGCAACATTGAGAAAAGGGGATATTGGAAAGAGAAGGCGGAGGAAGGAGTGAATTTCTGAAGGCATGTTACGGACGAATTGAAGAACACGTAGTCGGGAAAAAGCTGAACTTATACGTCATGGTGCTCCTCTATATCTTTGTAGAACTTCCAGACTCTTGTTCTGCAAAACTATACCGATACATTGGTAGGCTACGTTCTACAACTCATGAATCAAACTGACTTATATATATATACAATCGGTACCATTCCGTACGGCAATAAAGCCACGATAAGTACTGAAATGGTCAAGAAACTACTGAGAGACTTTACGACAGATAGAGAGAACAAAAATCAGAAATCACAGTCGTAGTACACATTTTAGTGAATAGAGAACATCGGGACAAAAAAGGCTTGCATAAGTGACGTGAAAAAGCGGGCGTTTCGTCAAAAGAAAAAGCAAAGTTGAGAGTACCAATGATCACCGACGAGCATAATGGCCACTTTGACCAACCTGCTGCTGCTGCTGCTGCTGTTGTTGTTGCTGCCAATGGCCCTGCTGCGCGGCGGCGGTATTTGCAAGAGCTCCAAGTTGCCCGCCAGGCGGGCCACCGCTACCCGGAGGAGCGCCATAGCCATATGCAGGCATCATGTGTGGATACATGTCCCCTTGGCCTGGATGATGGTGGCCGTAAGGTCCTGACCCATACTGACCAGCCGACTGGGGCGGGACCTGCGCATGGGACTGGTTCGGAGACGTCGGGGACCCCAGCGGAATTTGTGGCTGCTGCTGGGGTGACTGGGGTGGAGGCTGGCCTGAGGAACCAGGAGGAATGGCAAGAGAAGGGGGGATGGTGCTGTTGGGAGAGTGGGGTGAGGTGCCGCCACCAGATCGAGGAGGAGCAGAGGTAGCGCCGGCGTTGGACGAGGCACGACGACGGCGCTTATCTCCAGAGTTCGCCCGACCACCATGAGCAGCTTCGTCATCGTCATGGCCACCATCGTCGTCTTCCTTGGCACCTGCCTGTCCACTGATGGACAGGCCACCTGGAAGATTACTGGCGCCGGCTGCTGGGGGAGGCATAGCCATGGGTGGGCCACCCGACTGACGTCCAAGCGGGGTCCCGACTGGCATGGACGATGGCAAGGTTCCATGGGGGGCATTGAGACATGCCTGGATGAGATTCTTGCCCTCTGGCTGGGTCACGAGAGGCTGGAGCTTGGCGGTGGTAAAGGTGTATACAAGACCAGTCTCTGAGACGACGAGGAGCAGAACCTGGGTGCCGGTGAGGGTAGAGAGCTCGTATGCCTTTAAGAGAAGGGGTCGATAGAGGTGAGCAAGGGGCTCGATAAAAAGGGAAAGAAAATTACCTTTTTCATTATGCCTGGAAAAGGGAATGTAAGAAGAGACGCAGATGTGAGTGCGTGGGGGTACATACCAGCTTTCCTTTTAGAGAAGGTTATATGACGTCTCGATTTATCCTGGATAAATTCGATCTTGATCTTTCGTCTTCCTGCCTTCTTGTCAGACTTGGGCTTGTCGTCGTCGTCATCATCGTCGCCCGCGCTGTCGACGGCGTCCTGGTCATTGATGAATGCGTCATCACTCACAGCGGGCGGGCCTACGGGAGGCGCTTGTTGGGGATCATTCTGGGGTGCAGCCAAGTCCATAGTGCGTTGGCGCTTTCGCATAGCAGTGGAGTCAGGCGCCGGGATCGACTGCGTCGTAGCTGAAAGGCGATTTTTGGCAAGCACGACGTGTTTTAGAGGGGCAAATAAGTGGCAAAAGGCAACATTGAATAAGTGAGTTGGCTGTTCACGACGACGAGCAAGCTGGACGACAAACCTTGTGTTGGAGAGGGAGGGAGAGGAGTCGAGTGTGGCCGTAAGAGGAAGTGTGGGCTAAAACGGAAACTGGCTCTCACTGGTTCCCCCAGCCCTTCCCTTTTCAACCGGATCTCGCCAAACATAACCAAATTCCCACGCCTCATTATCTCGGCTCTCAACAGGATCCAAATCAGGAACTGCTGACTCATGCTTGACGGCATAAATGCTGATAATAATAAATCAACAAACTGAAACGCTTATTGTCGTAACTGTTTCCGCATAAATCTCCAGCTCAATGCCGTTCAATTCCAGGGTAAAACAAAAGAAAATGCAGGTGAAACGGACCTGGCAACCCGCAATCAGCATCACGCGTTGCTCTCTATCTGCGTTCTACAGCCTCCATCGCCCGTTATGGCGAACAATGCTATGTCGGCTAGCCGGCTCCGTAAACATCATCATTTCGTTCCAGTCATCCCCGACTGCGCAGCCTTACGGAATCAGATCCGTTTCTCCCATAAATGTCAATTTCTTTTCCTTCTCGGGAACACCGTTCTCACCTCACCCATCGAAATGCTCCCGCAGTTGCCAATCACACAACATTGCATTGAACGGAAAGAAACACTATCAACACATATACATCACAAACGCAATCACAATTTCCCAGATAGTAATAGCCGGAGGACAGCTCCTTCAATGATTTGGCGCATTGCGCTCTTTACATCATCATGTTTTTCCAAGTGGTTTTTTTTTTCTTCCTTGGAGGGCGGGCAGCATCGCAGAGTGCTGTGCAGCTCGCCGTGTGGGATTCTGTCGAAAAGATCCGCACATCCGTGGGCATCGTGCCGCTGGCCTAGACAATAAGTCATTCATCCAAGTTACGGCGGTTGCGTCGATAAGATCTCCAACGTCCGCGAAACACGTTCGTCGAACACCATAGCAGGATGCTCAAGCCGAAGTTTCTCAAGGATGCCAACAATCTTGCTAGCGTCAACACCTAATGGTAAGACTACCACCGCGCACATATACGCGGCAGTATCTTCATCTACGATCCCGTCCCGTGAGCCAACAAGAGTGCAAAACACGAACCACTCACCACTTGGCTCCGCACCATCTCCCGTCAAAGATTGTTGGTTATTCAAACGACTTGGATGTACATCTTCGCATCCCACATCCCGACATATCCCCCCACCCGGAATCTCATATTCGCAGATCCGTTTGGATGGATCTAGCTGTTTGCTAGCTGTGGCTGTTTTCAGTAGTCTCAGGTCTGGAGCAGGCAGAAGGCCATGGAAGTGCATATCTGAACGGACGGAGGAAGCTGAAGAACTGGGTGAACGTGGCATGGTGGAAAAAGAAGAGAATGAAGTCATAGAAGAAAAAGAAGTAGACGTTATCGAACTTAGCGCCCTGGTTGTAGACCGTGCCTTCGGGGAAGGAACTTGCTCAGAAGTCCTCACTGCCGAGCCGTTCACCGTGAGCCACGATCGTAAGAGAGGATACGAGCTGAACAAAGATGCGTATGCCGTGAATTGATCAGCTTCGCCTCGATGCTGCTCCAGCAGGTCCAGATTTTCTTCTTGTCTTTGGATGTTCATTGAAAGTGCCACCTAAATCACAAGAAACAAAGAGCAACGTATCAGTATTGACACCTTGTGATGTGCATAGAGTCTTGTTGAGACCCCATACACAAATGAAAATGAAAAGAAAACGAACTCATATGACGCACCTGTGTCGACGAAGACGTTGCGACGTCGACGTCGACTGCTTCGGTCAGAATGTCGACTCGGTCGCCGCCATGCGTAAGATCTACACCATTCATTATCGATACCTGCTGGAGTTAACCAGAGAGGACAAAGAAGCCAGAGGTAATAATTCAAATAATGATGCCGGGAAAAAGAAACAGAGAAGATAAGTTAGGAAAACACGGAGGTTGCTCTGAAAACAGGAAGAGAAAAGATCCTTGCCGGTTGTTCTTGTACAACTGCGAAGACCCAATGCGGACACGATTACAAAAAAGAGATTGAACAGAAAAAGAGACAGTAAGAAATGGTTAGTAGGAGAGATGAGGGAAGAAAAACAAATTTAAATACTCGCCTCCTTCATCAGCAGGTTCAGCATTTGCGTGTCCATTGGGAGTCGAATTAACACCTACAAGGGTACAGGGAGAAGGGGAAAGCAAACAGAAACGATGCACAGTCAGCCATAGTCCGAGGAGCGAATAACCAGGAGAGTAGAGAACCATGTAGAGGCATCGCAGATGTGGAGGCGATGGCCGCGGTGGCCGCAGCGACTTGAATCCGAGCTTTGCAGAATCATTAGGTTTCCGATCCATGGCTATACATGCTGTAAACGTACGGAGATTGGTGGTGGGTATTCGCTCCCCAGCGGAACCATTTATGGGGATGTCAAGATTGGGATCTACCTCTTCTTGTTTAACAGGAACTGGTTTCTCCGAGACACCGTTTGCGGGTTCTTGCATAGAACTCGTTCGCTGCGACGTTTCATCGATGAGCCCAAGGTCAGATAGAAGGTACGCAGACGCACCATCAGTTTCTTTACTCGATTCTGCTCTTTGTCGGCGATCAACTGTCTCATTCTTGCAATCTCCATCTCTTTCTCCATCAATGTTGCGGGTGACTGAGTACGCGGGCCTCGGCTCGCCTTCGTGCCGAAAATCGTAGTCGGATAAGAGGAAGTCGAGCTGGAATATTCGCCGGCTTCGTGCATAACATAATCCTCATCCCCTTCACCCTCGCTGTCGCTCAAGTCGATGACCAGTCTGCGCATCTTGCTGACATTAGCGAATCCAGTTCCCATTTTCCGCCTGAGATTGTGCGGTGGGTGAGAACGGCCGTTGGCTAAGCCATTCCCGTTCCGAGAACTGCCGTCCATGTCAACAAAATCCGCAGCTACGGGTCGTCTCCGGACTGGTTGGCCATCGAGACTGATCATAGACGCACTTTTCTGAAGAGGTGTCGGAGTAGGTGTGCTGCTATTGGAAGACGACGATTGCTCGGCGTTCATCGAAGGAAGCGAAGATAAAGGAAGCACCACTCGACCAACCATGAACGATTGTTGATGAGAGATCGAAGGAGACTGGGATACCGGATGTGATCGCCCAAGACCTGGGATCTCGTCGACATCCATTGCCTCTCCCTCCGCCGTGGGTTCAAGTGTCTTCAAAAAGTCATCCACCGTCTCCGTAGCCATATCCATGTCCTGGGGTGGATGTTCTGGGGACACATATCTTGAAGAAGCAATAGATGAATTGGGAGATGGCGGAGGTGGCAGTTTCGCCTTCCGAGAAGCTTGGACAGCTTTCCTTGCAAGCAATTCTTGCCGCCGTTGTCGTTCCATATCATGTAAGCTTGTCAAGGGTGATGGCTCCGACACAGATGGAGAGCTAGTGGCAAGGGAAGAAGGTAACGCTGAGCTTGGGCTGGGACTCTGTACATCGGACAACTTCAACGGCCTAGGCGGTAAATTGTGATAATGCAAGACCGATGGAACGGGAGGAGGAGGCATTGAAGAAGACGCTTCTTGAGCAGCATCTGAGTGGTAGAATGGTGGTGGGAGATAAGGTATCAGACCAGCAGTGTCAAAGTTGTCGGGGAGCCGAAGATTGAACTCATTGAAAACATAGTATACTATTTCCCGGCTGAGCCCACAGTCAACAAGGTATGTTGGGGGGATGCCCCAGCCAAGAAGATCCAGTATGACGTCCTTCGCGGTATCGTATTGAATTTGATTCACTGAAAGTACATCAATACGCCACACTGGAATATAGGAAGAAAAACAAGGGGAGGGGCGTACTCTGCAAACCAGGCCTAACATGATCTGGACCGACAGCAAGATATACATTGTTGCTATACGATTCGTCAACGTCGACCGCCATGTTGGGGGAGTCCCCGATCTCAAGAGGGCTGGACGAAATGTCAGTGATGCTTTCCAACAAGATGGGCGGTGATTCCTGTTTAGCAATGGCCATTCTTGAAGGGGAGGCCAAAGATGGTTTGATTTCATGGGCAGGTTCCAGCTGTGGGGGCTGGGATTGAGCTGCCTTCAAAGGCAGTGGTGACGGCTTAGTTAGAGGCGCTGCTGTAGCCAGCTGTTCTTCTGAGTCACTTATTTCGCCTTCTTCGCGAATTTGGCCATCTTCCATATCTACCGGATGAGGTTTCGATGAGCCAGGAGTTGGGGCTGAAGCTGCGGACGACACTACATCTTCTTGGCCATAATCGAGCTGGAAGGAATCGGTAATGGGAGGAGGTCGAGCAGGCAAAGCTGCGGTAGCAGACTGTTCGCCAGCGGCTTTGCGACGCTTGGATTTGAGAGTCAACAGAGCAGCAGCACGTAGAGATGACGCTGAATCCGACGGAGAGCCTGTAGCGCTGGTATTCTCCTGATTTTCAGGCCCAGTTACAGTACCAGACATTATAAAGCAAGAATCGCAAATAACGCGTCTGTACGGCTGACTTGCAAAGGTGCAAGAGGAAAAGAAAAAGGAGGTATCGTCGATGTGGGGGTGGGAAGAAAACGAAGCCGTCGTTCTCGCTCTGCTTATTATGACAGTTCCCACGTGGTCGCGCACGGACCCAACATAACATACCATCATATCTTTATGCCATTTTCTCTCTCCCAGGTACGAAAAATACGGTGGACTAGTCTAAAGAATTCTTGATCTTTCTCTGTTCTTCCTGATAGCCCAGCGCCCGCCGTACCAACCTGCGACAATAGTTACGAAGACCCCAACAATCGCAGCACCGATATATCCCGAATTATCATTCGCCTTGAAAGAGAAAAAATGATCAGCATGATATTCCACAGGTTGAATATGTCTTACTTTAGCCCACCCTCTCCACCATTTCCCAGCAAGGCCTCCGTCAGCCGCGTCAGCCGCTTCCTGGCACGAATTACAGTTTTCTCCAATGAGACCCATGATAGTGATAAGCGAAATGCTATGATACTTTTGTTAAGCCATACAATGCAGAGATATGAAATAAAACCGCACCTGAATGCGACGAGAATACTCATTAGAGTTAGAATGATGCTCAACCCAGACATCATGTTTATCTTGACTCTCATGTTTCTTGCCCTTTGAGAAAGCACTGACCCACTACCCGTCTCGACAGCTGGAGACACATTTTGTGGCTCGACCTCAGAAGAGTCAATATTTCCAGACAGTTTGGGAGAAGACGCTCTTGACGCCTGTACTGCAGGGGACCCAGGAAGTGATTCTTCAAGGGGTGATGAATATCTTTGCTTCTCGAAGAGGACGAAGGAAGACTCAGGAAAACCAGAGTACGAGTAGAGCATTATAATTGAGTCAAGGGAGTCTATCATCGTCATACCGGCAGTGAAGAGCAGCTATTGATAATATCAGCGTTGTTTAAAAAACGGGACCAATGAATGGATCTGACCGGCAATATAACAACCTCTGCGGGAGGAATAGTACTTCCATCGGATCCCTTTTTTGCCAAAGCTGAAACAGCTAGAAGGGCAATTGAAGAAGCGGTATCGAATCCTAGATGTATGATACGGTCAGAAAAATCGGGAAAAGGCTTTGAATATAGCGGCCTCGCCAAATCCAAAAAGAATGCCAACGGGGTACATCTAACGGAAAGACATTATTTTTCACAGATTAGACCAATCCATCGCTGTCCCACCTTCCAGGGCTTGTTGACGAATGTTATAATGGGTCCCAATATTCTCATCATAAGCATATGGCCATGTTTGGGATCTTCAAACGGATCTTCTGTGTCCCGTTGGGCGCCATTGGCTTGTTGATGCTCCCTCATCTGTTTAATATGTGAATGATTTATCTCTTGAACAAGATAAGGGCCACACCTTTCGACGCTGCCGTATCGCTTTCCACAAAAAAATTGAATTCGCGACTCCGACAATAAACAAAAAGGAACCGCTGACAGCTGCTCCTGCTTTGGACTCAGAGATATTCCAAATCAACCTGCGCATTCGAAGCTTACCCAGAATGCCTCCTACTGTCCCGACGCCATCTATTTTCTCGTAAATGTCGGTAGATATGGCGATGGCAACGTTCTAGGAGAAGATGATATGAAGAAGGCCGAGAAGAACAGACTCCACTCACCACAACCACTACGATTGTACTGTGCCCGAGAGAGAAGAATAAACCGCATGTAACAGGCAGTTGGCCCATACTTATCAGACCTCTCGTTGCATTGTCGATAGCACTTCATTGAGGGTCAGACCTGGTGAGACACTAGCGGAAATTGAGCTTCTGTAACTACCATGCTTGAACCTTGCTTACGGATATTACGACAGTAGGACCTTATGTGATCAGCATCCAGGGCTATATTTTGCATGAGACTGACATAGGAGAAGCTGAAAAAACCAAAATACCGTGTCGGAGGCCCAACGTCTAATGACCATTGTCAGAAGGGGAATGGGTTGCATGAAATATGGCGGCGAACCCAAGCGAGTAAAGCCAAGCTTAATATTGGCTGTGTTTCTCGGCTACGACCAAAGAGAATGCCTGCGATGATCCAGCATATCGCATTGGCTATGAGCTCGGAAGCAACAAGCAGTACAGAACGACCAAAGAGGGTGAGCCCGGGAAGGCGCCAGGGTACGCACGATCTCATCTTTGTATGAGGAGCTTGAAGGGCAAGAAAGGCGGATACAGTGTAAGTATGAGCATCGATCTCCCCGCGGCCGTTATCGGACTAGGACTAAGAAAAGATAAGCCCCCGCAGGTCAGATGATCGTCAATATATTTCTGCTGACGATATTGTTCTGACTGATGCGAGCGCGGGGTGAATTAAGTCCTTACCCGTGTACTTCCATGTACTCATTTCCGCCCGCCACGTCAAGAGCTTGCGTGTAGGATATTCACAATCATCTAATCTTGAACGCATGCACGATTAGCATGGTCGATTTCTTTCAAGAGTACGTGTTCTGTTATTGATGGGTTTATGGACTGCTCAATTCTCCGTCAGGCTGGGTGCTGGCGCATACCAGGCATTTCGAACGATAATACCAGAGCCACAAAATCGAATACCAATATCTTTCGATGCGATACCTTCCATTCTCATGTCTTATGTGCCCTTCCTGTTTATGGCATTTCTCGCGCGACAGGAAAACACCTATATCATAAGACTGCTGCTGCTACCGACTGTCATTACTGCATCTCTTGGAACCTCATTCCGGTATTACTGGACAATACCAATGATGAATACGTGCAACTGGGGCTCATGTGCGTTCTGATGTTAATACTAGCATTAGACGCTCGGCTAACTATCCTGTAACAGGCCTGAGTTCCTTTGTCATCATTGGGAAAGCCCTGGAATATGCATTTCAGAAGAAAGGCATGCTCAGAGTGGATGAAGTACGTCCCGGCCAATACAAGGGCAAAGTCATCGCAAATGGGTCTAGTAACGGACACATCAGTCCACCCGTAGGCGGTCGCTCGATTGCCCCGTGGTTAACGGATGTCGTTCAACTCACTACTTCCATGCGTGGTGTCAGTTGGAAGTTTGGCCAAGAAACTTTCGTACCTAAAGAAACACGTCCATTAGACCGCGGTCCTTTCGTCAGCGCCACTATATTTGCCATGGTAAAGAACTTTTTTATCATGGACACCCTGGAGTTTGTCCTGAAGCTTTTTCCGGGCGTCGGGTCAGTCTTTGGGGGCTCCATGTTCTACTATCAGCTTCCACCCATCTCACGATATGCAGTGTCAACGTTTATTCATATTCTGTCCGGTCATTGCCTCCTAGCCGGGTTTGAAGCTATCTACCATGTGGTGACGCTTGTCGCTGTCGGAATTTTTGGTGATTCTCCCTCGTCTTGGCCGCCCATCCTAGATTCCCCCTGGCTTTCAGAGTCCATGCATGAATTATGGTCCAAGAGGTGGCACCAGATGCTTCGTCGAACATTCATGGTGTATGGAGGCTATCCAGGAAAATGGATTGCGGGTGATTTTGGTATGGTAACGGGAATCTTCATTGCCTCTGGACTGTACCACGAGTTATCGATGTATGCAATGGGCAGAGGACTCGACCCAGCTCCTGTAATTTTCTTTGCTCTGCAAGCACCGATTTTGGTCATTGAACGCCTCTGGCGAAAAATTACAGGCCGGAGAGTTGGTGGATGGTATGGACGGCTGTGGGTGTACTTCGTTATTTTTGTCCTCGCACAACCAATGAGTTCGTTTTCTGAATACTTCTGCGATACGATGCTAATATTTGTTCTTTCAGTCAATTCATGGCACAAGCGTGGACTAGCTGGGGGTTTGATTTTACCTCCATTCCTGAGCCCAGCAAGACTACTCATGCCTATCTTTTTGCGATTTATGAACCTTTCTGACTGAGGTAATAATACACATGTACATCTGAGGATCTTGAATATCACATATACTCTAATAATATAATAGGAACTAGATGGTTGGGTAGTACAAATTAATGAAACCCACGTACACTAATACTCTTCAGTTGGCTCTTCGATTAGTTCCTCATCGTCATACACCCGCTCGCTATCGTATTGAATGCTTTCTTCCACATCGCCTGATTCATCGTCGTCCCGGCCCTCACTTAGGTACTCTTCTTCACCTGAGTCCTGGTTGCCCTTACCCATGCCACCAGAACCACATTCCCTATCACCGGTCTCATCTGACTCAGGGCATTGGAGTGTTCTCACAGTACCGTATTCATCGTCACTGGTATCACTTGCGGTGGAGTCAGAGCTTTTCAGCCGGCTCTTCCTTCTCGTAAATCCGCTCCCAAGAGTATCACTCCGACTCTGAGTTGACTTCTCGGGTATCAAGCCGGTATCATCTTCATCAGGATTGAAGGCATCATCAGATGTGCTCGTGGTAGGGTCGGTAGTAGGTTCATCGAGAGTGTCGGACGTGGTTTCTGGGTCATCAGAACCTAGTTGAACATCGTCCGAACCAGTGGCATCATCTTCGCTACCGAGTGGTTCCTCATTAGCAGATTCAGAATTATCTGAACCTGCAGCGACAACCATAGCTTCAAAGTAATGATCTTTGCCCTGTTGTACAAGCGTCTCGTCAATGGAGGTCTTTGACTTGAGCCTGAGAAAAGTCGATGAACAGAACCGTCGCAATACATTATAGATGTACATACCCACCGAGCCTCAATTGTGCCCTTGTCCTTCTTTGAACACGACCGAGCCTGCTGATATGCTTCTTCCATGACTTTCCATACGGCAGTCGCGAACTCCTGAGCGAACACTTTCTCCGGTTCCTGGACTTGCGAGTTGGAGAGGCATTCTGCTACGCCTATATCTTCATCGGCAGACTGGGTCATAGAATAAGTTGTAGATGGGTACCAGTCAGCGCCTTTATAGCTAGGGCTTTTCTCTAAATTTATGTCATGAGAATGTCCGTGCAGGAATAGTTGTCCTCACCGATTTATAAACGCTGGGTTCGACCTTCCAAAAGTTATTGCCTTCACCGATATTCTCCATACCGTCAGTGCCACTGGCAATTAATCTGCTCGTCAAACCACTTCCCTGAGTATTGGAATCACTAGAGCTACCAGTTGTTGTACTGCTTTTGACTGATTGTCCGTTCGCGAGAGCGATAGAATCTTCCAACCATATCGTCATGAGCGCCTTGGCCTTCTTTCTGTATGGATTCAATGAAGGTTGAATAGCCTTGGAGAAAAAAATTAAGGCCTGACAGTGTTTGTTCTCTTGCATGACTTTATTAATAAACGCGAAGTCAACTGCATTGTCTGAAGACTAAGGTGAAGCCCGAGTTTACAAATACCCATCTACATGCTTACCACGGGTCGATGTTTGTTTCTGCAGGCCGAGAAGTTGTTTCTTAGCACTTGCCGTTGCTTCTCTAGCAAGTTTAGGATCTAGAGGTATGTAACTGGTAGAATCGCTATTCCTCCGCGTCTTCTGAGTCCCAGAAGAGCCAAAAAACTAATAAATCTGCTCAAAACTGGATCTTGAATACTGGATCAACGTAAGACGATTTACCCCTCTCTTACTGAATATACGGTCTTTGGATGTGCTTGTTTCGTCGCTGCTTGAGACTTTATCGATGCTGAAACTTTTGCAATTTTGTTGAGTTGGCGCAGCAGTCACACCACAGATAGTTGGTTGACTAGAGCCAAATACGATGCGCTTGACAATGTCAGTGTTAATGTCAATTCCTCTGGTCGTAGTTTTTTGACACTGTCTGCTCTAACAAGGTCCGTCAGTACTCCCCGTCACTTGCAGCATCATATAAGTATTGATTACTCACGGGCGAGGACGACCCCGTTCTGGAGGACTGGTATATTCATGGGATACTACAGCTTCACTTAATTGGGAAACGCATACTTCCCTACAATGGTTCTTGTGTTTTGAGGAACTAAAAGGGAACATCTAGCTGTAAGGCATCACTTGATGGCATGCAAAAGCCGCATTTTGTGACCTAACTTCTCATCTTCCCAAGTCGTTGCTGGCGCCGATTTCGCGGTGATGGCGTACAATGTGATCACAACACAAGTCAACCTGTGAATATCATAATAGTAGCAAAAATATCAGTACAAGAAGGAAAATTGTGTCTGAACCGTCCCGCAGTCAGAATGCCAGTATGACTTTATGAGGTCGAATACCAGGTTCTACAGGTACGTGGAATAGTCGGAGGTTGTATTCATACCCAAAGGACGATGATTCGAGACGTTTTAAGGTGTTAGGTCAGGTCAGCCAAGCCCGCCAGCTTCGATACCGCCCGGCTGACGACTGATGGAAACTCATCCAGGCAATACGTCTCAATGACAACACCTACAAGCAGAAAAGGACAATATGTTGATGAGCGTCCAGACTCGGTTGAGGAGAATAGAATCAAAGCTTGGTATGATGAGTCCGTAGCGACCTGTAGTGCGCCCTTGTACGAGCAGGCGAATCACATCGATCGGATACCAATATGCCTTTACCAGATCGCGTTGTTAGCGATGAGTGTCCTGTCGTCGAGACGCTTTCAGACGGCAAGGAAGCTCTCCTCGTAAAGACTTGGCGCTCCCAACAATCTCAAGGACTGTACTGCCATGAGATATCGTTGGGCATGAAGCCACTGAAGTCGGACTGACAGCTGCATCACGTTCTTGTACGGTCCGTGAGCAGAATTGGGCTGACAGCAAGGCACTACTGGAAGGGGATTGAAAGCCAGAACGATACGGTGATACTAAGCGAGGCTGCAGATGATCCTCCCGTCGATACTATGCTAATGTCCAAGCAACATTCTTGGTCCCGAGTGCAAGTCAGATATCGAGAAGCAAGAAGAAGCAGGGTAGTGATAACACGGCAGTATATGGCAGAACTTGAACGGGGATTCAGAAATCCGGGCCGGATTGGGGGATGATGCTTGCCGGTCTACGTTCCTTCTCTTCTAACCATCATCACTAACTATCAACTCCTGGCGGCATCTCCACTCTCCGGGCCACTGCCTCTTTTGCCACGCATTCTATCCATTCTAGTTTACTCCTCTGGACATTTCCGTCATTCGATGTCTACCCTGAGGGTGACACCATCGATAAGGTTGACTTCCATGCTCAACTGCTCTCAGCGGCGACGGTGCACATGAAATCTCTGTCTAGACCGGTCACGGTGTATCAAATGCTTCAATCAAAATTGGTATCGCGGACTTGGCTTCAGATAGTGTGGTGTCTGGTGACAGATAGTAGGGCTCACCAGATAGAGCCACGGGTCTGGGTATTATGTTTGACTGGACCTTTCATTAAAGATTGGTTACGGTATTCACTTGGCGCTATCGTTACTCTCAGCTCAACAAATATACCTTGACAAGGCAAATGCCTTCACCGAAATAGAAGTTCGACTTCTTCATAGTGGTATTACAATGGCCCGGGCCTCTCGCACATACATACCGAGAGGCTTCCAGTCCTTTGCCTCCGAATACCTTATTTAAGATCCGTCGTGCTCGTTTCACGTGTATACACAGCGCATCTTGTCGTACTTGGTATGTCTTCTCTGCTCGTCATTAGCATCAGCTGATGTTTTCTATGTATTTCGCAGAATCACAGAGGATTCGTGCTTCTGAGGCAGCGCAGTTGCCTCACTCTAAACTTTCTTTTCTCTTGCATTGAGACGGCAATCTATATTGAGATCTGTAGATTGTTGCCATGTATAGTTGACGTAACTATGAATTGGTTTTCGTGGAATATCCTTCTGTTAGGTGGCAGGGCTGTGCCAGTTAGAGAAATATTCATTATGCGGAAAGAGCAAGGTGCCGGAGAGAAGGGTTATTGTTGACAGGTATAAGGTTCACTACCGCCAGCTGAGCTTACCCCGGACATCATTGACGTTAAGTGATCGGCTCGATGATCTAGTAGTGTCAAACAAACCACCATTGTACTCTACCGTCCCCTATATTTACATAAAGGACACATGCCCCGCCAATGCTAGTAGCTATCTTTGACTGGCCTTCTTTGCTAAGGGAAAACCAATTTTTCAATGATCATGTCCTCGCCAACGGGAACGTCTTCAATGCCTTCCGCCTTCCTCGCCAATGAACTCCAACTCGCCCTCTCGGAGCAACATTTCGGCATTCGATGTTTCTCCATACTTGGTTCTTCCACGCCGCTGGTCGCCAAAGCTTCTGTGACGTTGTTGGATGGTGAAAAGCTGCAGTTGGTGCTCACCGGGAGAGGGTATTTCGTGAGTCACATTCAGATTGCCGCCGTTGTCATTCTTGTATTCATATACCTGCCAGATTGAGAACGGTTCTAAGAAAGCGAGTTCTTTGAACCTGAAGGTCTTTGAGACCGTCGAAGAGTTGCTACAGTCCGTAAGCGACGTGTACGCCGAGAAACGAAGAGAAGTTTTGTGGAATAAATTGGAGAAGTTAGCCTAAGTTTTCGAACGCTCATTCTCATAATGTCAGGTGCATCACGCGTCTTATTCACTGATTAACCATACTGACGTTCTAATTGCAGACCATATAATTGCACACGACCAACTGTAATGGACAGGTCCAATGAATACCACCTTCCTAGTTTCATTCCGAGTTCACATCTACAACGGCTCGTGTTCGTTTCTTCCCGATACACTCGGGTCATCCGTCCGTGTACTTGATGCTGTTCCATAACGGTTCCGTTGATCCAGTGTTTCTCCGTTGCCATTGACAATTGGGCTATAATCACGCTGTTCGTTGGACAAAATTAATCGCGCCGCGAATAGAATTGAAGGAATGCCCGTTTGACATTGCTTGACGAACGTTGAGCGTGCCGCGTTGAGTGGCCGCCCCAAAACCTGAAGGGAACAATGACCACGTCAGTTGGGATCAAGTTGGCTGCCAGTGCCAGAGGCGTTACATTGGCGCGTTTGGCTACCATCTGACAGCCGTGTCCAACAACTTCTCGCTTCCTGCTTCACCGCCTTGACTTCAGCACGACGTAAGCAAATGAAGCTTCGCGACGAGTGTAACGCGAGTGATCTCGTTGAACTGATGCTAGTACGACTGTACTGGCCGGACGGAGGTACACAAACCCAAGTAGATATTCGAGTCCATAACAACCACTGGTTGTACGTCACAGGAAAAGACGAAAAAGACGCTAAGGATGGAGACGAGTATAAGTACTCTTACTTTAGTATCTGATCTTAACCACGGTGAACAGGCATCTCTTGGCGATAGAGTGAGTTGGTATTTCGTCGCCGGTACTGTCCTCACACGAAAACTCAAGAGACTGAACTTATGGCGTGCTCATACTTGCTGTTTCTCTGGCACTCTTATTAAAGACGACAAGCTGCCGATTCTTAGTAGCGTACCGAGTATTTTTGAAAAGACTCAAAAGTACACCGTGAACCTGAACCACGAATGCAGAACTTGTAGTCGGGTTATTATATGCCAAAATAAATGACCTTACACGCAAAACATGTCTGTTTTAAAAGGGATTTTCTAGTGAAAAAGTCAGCATTTCTATGCGCCCATCAACTTCACATTCGCATTTACGTCCTCGTCCTCGTCGTCGAGGCCCAAAGAACCCCGCTCATTTCTCCTCTTTAAAGCCCTTTCGTACATCTCTCTTGTAAACACCCATTGGCCTCTCGAGCTCCTGACTCTGCGAATGATCTCGGCGACCCACTTCCTCTCCTCCTCATTTCTGTTGCAATTTGCCCACCAACGATCCATGCTCCCCTTCAGCATTCCTGTTAACAATTCCTTGTGTTCGCTCTGCTCGTTGAGGACGTGCAGTACGAATCCCGCATTCAAGTGCTCTAAACCCATCTCAGAGAGGCATTTCATTATCCGGGATATCCGAAGGTTGTTATGCGATGACTCTACAACAAGTTGGGAATCTTGATAAAACTAGTACTAGGGGAGACATGCTCACGAACGAGATTTCTGTACCGCCTTTCAAACGTCCTTGGCGGCAACACACGACCCAGCAGTCCTGACTTGTCGTCCAACAACCTCATTCCGTAGAAGTCAAGCATAAGTTTGTACGATCTTATGACGCGCTGTCTGATCTCAGGAGAAGATCTCATTGTTTCAAGTTCGTGTCGTTGTAATGGCTGGGACTGGGAATTCATGCCGTATTCCTGGATAGGGAACAGCCATTGGACAAAGCCGTGTTTGTATTCGAGGGTATCATAAGCTCCCTCCCACCTGGATAAGCCAATACATTGTCAGTTTGCGATAAGCAAAAACATGCGCGTGACGACGGTACCTTTCATGCAGCTCATCGATGGTCAGTCTGTCAGGTCTGCACTTCAGTTTGTTCTGGTAGAATAGGAGATTGTCTGATTGTGAAGGGTTGTTAGAATTCGAGGGATAATTTGAAAGAAATTCGAACACGTCGCAAGGAATGTCCTGAATCATGGGTGGCAAATGAGTCGAAATGACAAGTCGCGATTTGGTCAAGATGGATATCGCGATGTCAATGCCGGTTCCGCCGGGCCGTACCATTGGCAGACCAAAATCGGATTCTGCTTTGTGCTGGACGAAAATGGCTCCGAAGAATGTCTAAGTAGTTCAATGTGGCTATTGCATTTTGCCGATACTGGATAAAGCTGTATAACTCCGTGTTCCTCATGAACATAGTGATGCGCCAAAGGGTTGGAGATCGTTTGCTACAGAAGTAGGGTCAGTAAGTACTAAGTAGTACAGTTATTCATTTATACTGATGGGGCTTGAAATGCGACCAATGAGAGAAACGTGGGGAGGGGTATACGACCATACAGTAGAACTTCGGAGGTCCAAGTTTTCAGATATGTTATATAACCACGAACATTGCTCAGATGCCAAGGTGACGCACTGCCGCGATTATAATAACGCTGATTGAGCGCACATTGCGTTCATAGAATGGTCTTTGGTCCACGGAATTAAGACTTGCATGCAAACAGAACCCTACAAGTCAGTACGGTCACGGCGGCATTGCAAGTCCCCGTGATATGTACATGTATCAAGGCATGCGACATCCCAAGGACACGACGCTAGCATTACCACCTAATGGAAACGACGAATAAGACGGAATCATGACGAGTACCATCACCTGGGTGAAAATGAAGCGGTCAGTCGATCACAATACCCGGTGTGGAGGATAATCAATTCATTCCCACCAATCCTCGAGCGGAGTCAAACGTTGCAATCCGGCTGCTTGGGTGTAAGAGTCAATATTCAGGTTTCAGAAGACAGAACAACGTCCTTTGACTTCTTCGATCATGTCGGAACGAGTGACTCGCGTTGTAGAACTCTAAATTGTGAAGAGATTTGAACAAGTTGAATTAGGAATAACTCTGCGTCCTTGGGGACTTCGAGAGGCTTCACCGCGAGAAACGCAGAAGTAACACAATCAAAGAAGCTGATGACCACAGAGAAAAGATTCCGGCTATCACCCTAGTCAGCGTCGCGAAGCCCTGACAATATTGGGAGATCTGAGTGGGCGATAAGTAAATGGCAATACCGTTCGTAAGTGACAGACAACGTTGCCTGTTTGATCCATCCGTTTGTACTCGCCATTCTTCCTGCCACCATATCCAATTCCAACGCCGACACCCATTTCACCAGACACTCTGCTCTGGTTAAGTCTAGATAATCTCAAACTAGCCCCAAGGGTATCCCCGGTGTACGTATCTGGCTACATCTGGCTAGCGACCGTTTCCTCCATTGTCCCCTTCTTGATCCGGGCACCGTCTTCTATACCATCGATATCTTTGTCTTTGTTATCGGTGTCGAGCGTGATCCTGCGTGATCCTGCGTCAATCCTCCCTTATAATTTCTGGATTCGGAAAGCCAAGGTGATGCACCTGTGGTCATGATGGGGAAAAACTTGATACCCGTACAGAACGAAGATAGCCGTATTCTTGGATCTGCTCTTACTTGTATACAAAATCCCACATCGGCCATGTGCTTTTCATAGTGCCTTCCTGCACGGACTCTGCCCATCACCTTATTTTAGAGAGGATGATATACCTAAAAGAGATGTATACAGAAGGCATTGTCTACGGTCCAAATGCATCATATGCTGATAGGAATTACGCGTAGCTGTCAACTTGAAAATGTTATCACCTCCCATCGCAGACATCGATAACAAATTTCTGCATTACTGTATTCTGGGACTTGGTCGGCCCAAATACTGCGATCACGAGACCCATGGATCTATATAATCAAATTTGATTTCCATCGCTTTTATAGCGCTCCCTCTTGACTTCGTAGCGTCCATTACACCATGGTTGGTGTCCCCCACTTTTCCCTCCTCGCCGTGCTGACTTGTTCCTAGAGTCTGTCAATCATAACGCTCATTCCTGGAGACGGTAAGACGTATCCAAAACCAGGCGGTAAGTACTTGCCCAAGTTATGTTAAGCTATGACCTTACTTATCGACCGCTACAGACACCGTCAGCATCCACTACATTGGTACGCTGACAGATGGATCCAAATTCGACTCGAGTCATGACCGGTAGGCTCTTGTAGCGTCGCTCTGTGGTCAAGTGTTGATTGTAGAACTGTAGCGGACATCCATTCAGGGTGAAGATCGGTGTAGGTGTGGTTATAGCGGGTTGGGATGAAGGTCTGTACGTTCTGATTGGAATTCATCGATATTGACTTGGATCTTGTGGCGTTCGCAGGTGTTCCGAAGATGTCATTAGGAGAAAAGGCTCTCCTCACTGCTCCCCCCGAATTCGTTGGTCTTTGCAATCTATTATCTCTCTTTGACTAACTCGTCGTTAACCAGGCCTACGGACCGGCGGGCGTGCCGCCAATAATACCGCCAAATGCGACACTCAAGTTTGAAATGGAGCTGTTAAAGATCGAACCTGCGTAAATGTCCAATGGGGTTAACATGATTGTTGGAATATTGAAGGCATATCTCTTGTATTGTTCTGTACCACTCGCATTTCTCATGGCTGCTTTGATATATTGTTTTTGTGTTCCGAACGTTTTGGCAATCTAGAACCGTTATCGATAATCAACGCAAGTGTCGCGAAGTAGTAAGCGACCGGCTTATACAAATTGCACTGTGCCCGGTGTTCAAGATAGCCCGAACGTATTAAATAACGTACCTGTGATATATGATATCACTCCAAGTTGCTTCCGTCAAGGGTATCTCCATCGGTTTTCATTTGTGTTCTACTTGGACTCACGAGCGTACACAAGTCCAAAGCTATGTTTAGTGTGAGCGTCATTTTTACAATATTATAAGACATCTGCTTCACGCTGGGCCCAAATACAACGAGAAGGCCCCGAGTCTCGTTCATTTAGTCGGTCAAATGCTTCACTAACAAAACGCGACTGTTCCTGCAGCTCGAAGCTTTCCGTCGGGCTAACCCTTCGACGTAAGGAGAGTATTCTATACACGGTTATCAGTGAAGGTGGCGAGTAGATGAGAAGGACAGGACTTGCAATCGGCATGCCTTCCAAATTTCAACGATATGATTAGGCTACAATATCTACGTATGACAAAAGCTAGACTTACCATTATATCTGACACTACGAGAGTCAAAGGAAGCGTTATTCCAGTCCACGAAGATCGGCTAGAGCAAAAAGTGAATACAAGTTTGAGAGGGGAAGGATATAACGTGCCCAAAAAAAGACATTGCCGTGAAGAAATTCAAGGATGATATGACCACAAACGCTCCAATGCCTAGAGACGAATGAGCATGAACAATCATATTTTACGATCCGAAATACCTTGTTTCAAGAAGGCTTTCCCTAATGGCCCTTGGGCACTCCGTGTGCGTAGGTAATGCTGCAATAAGAGTAAGAATTCAGTTGAAAGCTGAGGAGAATACGAAGATGCATACCACGATACAAAGTACTATCATCAATGTGTCAAAACCGAAAGAGACCATCTGCATTGCGTTATAGTCATTTCAAGCATTGGTCGTTTAGACACTGCCTCACCATAACAATCTGCGTGAGAGCTGTCAGCAACAATACTGGCGATATGGAACTAGGATACGTACGCCGACCGGGGTCACGAATAGCCCGCTGTCGTATGAGGCTTCGGAATGTCTGTCGTTGCCAAAACAACTTGACCGGTTTCCGGTGATGGAAAATGTAAGGTCGACGACTTAAATGTAGTCAGCGCATGGTCCCGAACAGGGACATTTTTAACTCACGAATGAATTGAGTGAAAAACATCCATATATCCGCGCCCGCCAATCCGATCCAACACGTGCATAAGAGTATCAGGATGCACAGGTATTGGCCGCTGAAAGCATGAGATCGTATCAGGACCACTGCTTTGATAGCAGTCAAGACCTTGGAAACCGACTTATAGACTATGCGAATTTACCTTGAGCTGATAATTGCTACGGAATATAAGTGTAAGCTTGTGATCGACTAGAAGCGCAATGTACACGTACAAAAACTGTGCAAAATCCGTACAATGGAGATATTAGTTTTTCACAAAGTTCTTTGCTATGCACCGGGATCCATGCCCACAGATAGAATGGATAGAACAAGAGCGGAAAATATCTACATAACGTGAATAGTATCCTCATAGAATTCCACGAGGATGACCATATCTGCCTGAGATGTCAGAATAATGTTTTCGCCATTGAGTGGTATACATACTAGTTCGACTTCATCTCTCCAGCATATCAGCCATTCATAGACCTGAAGAGCATATACGGCTATAGGCGCCGGTAGATATAAGTAAAGGTCAACGTTCCCATAATCAGATATACGAGCCCACGATCACTCGTCGTCCACTAATGGAGAGAAACAACGTCCTCAGTGTATTCTTGTACTGAAGGAAGTGGATCTGACATACACTTGAATTGCATTCAGGACCGTAAGCACCGCCTCGTACGTCAATGGAATTGTCCAGTTGGGCATTCTGAGTAAGAAGGGAACTTGAAGTTGAACCGTTGGGAGAAGAAGAGTCGGTACATAAACAGCAGAGATATAGGCAACTAAGATGGCCCGCCCTTGTCAGGCCGGCGTGTGGGCTAAGATATGAATCTCAGCATCTGTAGCATTATGGCGCAGCGCAGGGTCGTACTGATCGCCTTGACTCAAAACATGGGCACGCCGGGGGCCGCGCTTCGACGTGTATGCGACCAATGGAAAGAGGGCAAGGAGTGATATATGATGACAGAAAACCATTCGACACCTTTCCGTCGAGTAGGCCGTCCTATGAGGACAGATCCCGAACTGCAGGGAAACAATGAAACCCTACGACACTGGTTTACTTCTAATTGTGGTCCAGAATATCTCAGGTTCAACGGAAAATGAGTTCATTAATTTATCAAAAGGAAAAAGACCAACAGATAGTCATATCATTTCAACGAAAAAAAAAATACGAGAAAAGACGAGCCGAGGCTAGAAGGAGGATACCAGTGCGGGTCATCATCTGCTACGAAGCTGGCTTACTTGACTTATACCGTCGCTACGCTCAAAGGCCTCCAGTGTTCCATCTCCATCCGGGTTAGGGAGGAGTCTGGACTTTCCTCGGCATTCCACATAGATCGCTCCGTACGATTCGCGATCATCCTGCGTAGTCGACGTTCTCAAATCTAGGGAATTATCTACTGATTGGCAGGGGAACTTGATGTCCTTCCTTCACCGTACGTTTTAAAGCTAATGCACGGAGGCCCAGAGCTCTGTGTGAAGTCCCGTCTTCTGTTTGATCGCGAAATAGACTTTGACTACCACGGACAGAGTATGGCCCGCCGTTATATATTCCTAAGCATACGTCGATGCTCTACGAAATTGGTTTCGAAATAAGTAGGCCTGGGCCAATATTCACAGTTAAATCGAAAACTTGCCATCCCGAATAGACGTTAAGAGTTTTTATTTGCACCTCATGCATAGCATGTATTTCTTGCAGAACAGCTTCGGTGTCGCTCTTGCCTGATAGACGTCAACACGGGTGCTATGTGTGGTGGGAAGAAAATGTATACGCACACAGAACCTTTCGATTTCTATGTTCGTCTTGGGCCGTTTCGACTACCTTCGAAACGGTGGTCAAAGTTTCTTTAAACTCCTTCATCTTCTCGTCCTTGTCCTTGGCATGCCAATTGCATTCCTCTTTAGGAGAATCTATGAACTTTACATGCTCTTTGCATTGTTGAATATGTCCCGGGAGCATATCTTCCAACTCTTGTAGCCGATTGTGGAAGGCCGCAAACTCGGCATTGGCTGATTGCGTCGACTCTTCGGTCATGACGAAGTTGACAAAGCTGTGGTGGAGTGTCAAGATGTATCACACGTTATGCACAAAAAGCTCCGGAATTGATCTAATCGATACAGTTACTCAGTAGATGAAAAAGTGGTGCGCGAATAATATTACGGAATTATAACCTCATCCATGTCTTCATCATCGTCCTCGTCATCCACAGGCATGGCAGTGTCCGATGACGGAGGAAGTTGCTGACCTGTATCCACGCCACTATTACCGTGATGTGACTCTTGTGCATATTCCGCGAGTTGAGCGGCCAGTAATGCCAATTGTGCTTGTAAGTGGGCGCGAATGCCTGCTTCCCACTCCATGTCATCATCATCTTCGTCATTCATTGTAATCGCTTCACCTGCAGGGGCAGCTACCGATGTAACTGGCGCTGCGGTATCTTGGAATTTCTTTGACAGGCCTAATAAGCTTTCACCAAAGTTGATCGTTTTGAGGATGTGCTGTGCAGCTGCATATGCGTCACCGATGTCTCCTGTTGAAGTGTCCACTGTCGATGCAACTGCGGCACGATTGACCACAGATGGCGTGAACGGCGCAGAATATCCTGCAGAGTATGGCGTTCGCTGGGATGCGGTGGCGCCTTTTGTACCATTTTTTATCAAAGGAGCATGAGTGAACGGCGATGAACGCGGTTGACTGGAGGAATTTGATGTAGGCGCACTGTTAACCGTTTGCGGGCGACGCGTAGGACGACGGGAAATAGTCTAAACCAGTTGAACAATCTAGGTGACGCCAGGCTCTAGACATAGGAGAATAAACTTACATTATTGCCCTTGTACTCAGGATTGAGTCGGTATTTCCCACTACTGCTCTTCTTGAACCTACCCCTTCGATAGGCTTTCTGCAAAGCCTGGCTCGCAGAAGGTCGAAAGTTGGCCTGGACCGGATAATGTGCAGCCATCCATGCATACACGTCCTTGGGGGCAATACCGTCTGAATCGTTCGCATCAACGAGAGCTTCCACGATCATGTCCTCGTAACTTGGAAGGTTATCTTCCAACACTGTCTGGGTAGGTTCGGACGACGGCGGTGGGGGCGTATTTTGGTATGATGTCTGGGAATACGCTGGGGTCACGGGGGGTTGATGGTAAGCACTGGGTACCTGTGCAGGCGGAGGCGGTGGGTAAGGAATATGAGGATAGGGCCAAGCATGTTGCGGATAGTAAGAGGCATGAGGGTAGGCGTGGTAACCATACGGCTGATGTGGATATGCTGCTGGCCGCACTATCGGTGTGGGTACCACTGTTGCAGCTGGTTTGGGACTTTGCGACACCACTGCCGACGTTGCCATTGTCGTTGTTGTCACTGACGTTGCCGTTTTTGATTCCGGCACCGGTGTCGGTGACGGATGCCTTTCATGGGTCTTTGATTCCTCTGCAGAAGGCGAGTCATCTTCTGAATTGTCTTCGTGCTCTTGGTATTCTTTTTCTGGTGGTTCGTCAGCCTCTGTAGGATACTCTAATGAGTCCATCAGCGGTAGATCGTCGTTCTTTGGGTCACCCTCAGGTGTTCCATTTGATGACGGTCGACCTTCTATCGTTGCAATGGCAGCATTGATGTCAGCCGGCCAGACTGAACTCTTGACATAGAGAGGGACATGGAATTCAAGGGTTAAACATATTTCGATTATTTGCTGGGGGGGTAGAAGAGCCAGATAGCGTCGTTTGATGTCATGGTCCGCGGCTGCAAGTCATGAGAATCAAACAAAATCGTTAGACAAATAAGCAATTCTTATCTACCTGGCGGATGAGGAAGAGAAGAAAAAAAAGGAATTGCAGCGGTCGCCTGCATTCTTCCGGGGAGCTGCACAGTTTTTCAGAACAAGGTTCAGATTCGGACTCCGCCCTGTGGCTGAACTCGAATACCGGCAATTTCCGCTACTGCTTCACGGCACCGATAAAGCCGACACATTTAATTTTTGCATCCTCGCGGCAAAGCGCTGTTTCTTGATAGGCATTTTAGCATACCGGCAATTCTGTTTTCCCTAGGTCGCAGAAAGAGAAGACCCCAAGAGAATCCTTGGGAAAATCCCTTATCATTGGCCACACCATGCGTGACGGCACCGAAAGAATATCATATATAATTTCGCACACACGACATTTGAAAAGACGAGAGAGACCAGCATATGGACGGACGACATAATATCAAAGCATCTGATGTTGATAAACGTTTCAACCAATCAATGGGACGCATAGAAATTGGTACCGGCGTTACTTGGGGGTCAACGTTCCAACATTCATCATATCCATGGTCCTTCGGCTGCTTAAATAAGCTGCAGAACCCCGGTATACCTTGAGGCAAACGCGGGGTGGTCGATCCTGAAGGATGAATCTATGGGAGAGGCAGACAACGTCCGAAAAACTATTCATCTAGAAACAAGACCGGCAGCACAACCAACTTATTCGGGAGCCTATTGGAATCAGACTTGCCTATCAGGACACGAGTGACTGGACGTCTTGGACGCATGAGAATCCGGAGGACCGAAATACACTGAGCATTCTCCGTTGAATACATGCATGCAATTTATACATACAAGACTGTACATCCCCGCGAGTCCTCGGAGTGCATGTTTACGGCATGACACAAGTAATTGAACAACTTTGACAGGATGATCATCGTGGGTGCGAGCTACCTCTTTTCTTTTTCTTTTTTTTCGGCAAAATCTACAAAATTCTATGCGCAAGTGCTCATTTCACTACTGATTTGACAGTTGAAGGAAACGAGGGTATGTATTCGTATCCTTGCCAATGTTTGTTAGGGCAGTGATCCGTGTCTCCAACGTTCTGGCTATGTACATAAAGAGACCGGTTTGAATCAGCTGGTCATACGACATCCATATGTTGGAACTTGAGAAGCGCGGTCCTTGTTCTCTGTTAGGTACCTGGAAAATCACCTTCGAAATGAGTGCAGGTACAGCTGAAAGTTGCCTGCTTGTGAAGGTGCAAGTTCTGTATGGGTCTGCAGTACTACGGTCTGCGAAGTTAAAGATGGAAGATTTTGACCGGTGATGGCGGACATGCACCTTGGAGTACCCAATTTGAAATTTGTGGGAGGTGCATCTAAATTTGGAAATGTTATGGCAAGTTGAATTCTGTCGGTCCTGTTGGGAGTTCATTTCTGCCACCTTCCCATCTTGCCGTCGTACAGCCACCTGCCTCTCCCTTGGTCCACTCACTCCCGCTCCCAGTACCGTCCTTACCCGCTATTTTTCACTTTTCTTCGTTCCTTCGTCTGGGATTATCAGTAAATTCATTTTGTATCTCGTATTCTCTTCTGCTCCATTTCAACCGCATCATATATCTCGCGGTGTCTAAATTTCGGCTGGCCTATCCTACGCGCCATTTTCCGACCTCTTGCTCGATTAGCGAGACGGTCTCGCTGCGCTGCTGCGCCCAACTACACATTCCTACCGTCCCTGATCAATCAGCCAACGGTCGACTGTGCCTTTTGCACAGTACCAACTACCTACATCTCTTGTCTTGCGGAGCGACTCTAGGATCGGATTGCATCCATTCAATATCGTGTTACGGGTCTCGGTATGTTTTATCTTGTTCTGGCACCTTCTTGGCGCGTGCACCCTGATCACCCTGGTTTTGCCCTATATTATTCCAGGAACTACATCGCTCGATCCCTGACACTCATTTTCACAACAATATGTCCAAGTTTCAGTCTCATCTTTGGATAGACACGTCCGTGTCGTCTGTAGCAGGATCCTCTTCTGGCTCGCGGAATCCATCAAGTTCTCAGCCAATGCTATCTCCTCTTGGTCCCAGCTTCGGGAACAGAGCGCGTAGTAGCTCAAACGCTTCATCATCATCCACCCTGTCTCTTGTTTCTCCGACATCCTCCTCCACAAATGCTTCCTCATCGTCCCTTTCCGTCTCAGAGGTTACGTATGCTCCTCACAACTCCCCTTTACGTTCTGCGAGTCTTGACCTGGACGAGACGTTGGGGCCCATGTCGGATTACGTCCTCGCCATGCATGACTACAGTCCTCAACACCAAAGCGCGACTTGCCTCTCATTCAGGGCTGGACAAGTTATACATGTGCTTAATCGCGATGCTAGTGGATGGTGGGATGGCGAGTTAGAAGGAAGGCGAGGATGGTTTCCCAGCAACTATGTCAACTCAAGCACAGATGGAGACGAGGAAGCAGAAGATGTAACCGAAATTCCGGTGGTGAGCGTGCATCTCACTACATGATCACAGTGCTGAATCCTCGCATGTAGCGTTCGCAAACACACATACACACTAAATCGCCTGCCTCCGCCAAGTCTTGGTCACCCTCTACACTGCATCATCCACATTCCCTACAAGAGGCATTAGGGCCAGACATCGACTCATACTGTCCCCCACTGATGGTTCCATTACTTCATGGACTATCTCTCCTTCAAAATGCCGTTCGCGCCAACCGCATTAATCACTTTCAACCGTCCACAGCATGCATCATTTCATGTGTACGTTCCATATTCTCTGCCACGGACACCTTACTCCGTGACGGTCCCATCCTGCAGCAATTTCCTGTCTTAGCTCAGGAACGCCGAGGTATTCTCGCGGTTCTTGCCTCACTTGTTGCGCAGGCAAAGCGGGCTTCTGAAAGATACGTACACGACGAGACGCATGAGTTCGAAGTCGATGCAATGCTGCGATTAGGCGGACAAGTATTTGCCCATGTCCGCAGATTCCTTGCTGTCGCCGTGCAGTGTGGAGTCGAGCTTCCCGAGCGTCGACACTCATCCAGTTCATCCTCCGCATCTGTAGACATTGAAGGACAAGCGTGGAATTACCGAAATGTGCTGTACAATCCCTGCGATGGTAAGGAATCGCATCCAATTTCACCGACATCTCGCCCATATCCACGCGATGCTCCCATGTCGCCAACTCACTCTCTTCGTGCGAAGAGTATGAGTGAGCTGCGCAGTCGGCCAAATCTCGACTATTCCGATTATCCTATTCCTGTGCTACCCAGTCGGTCACTGGACTCCGAGACGCGCCAGGAGAACCTGCCGATAGTACCACCACGCGCTCTTCGTCGACACAAGCCCGCCATCAGCACCTCCTCTTCCTCCTCCTCATATTCGTCGTTGGAGTCATCCACTACACCTCCGCTGCCACCCTTTCCTTCTGGTCCTTGCACAACGTCACAAGTCATGGAAGCCTTGCGATTTACTCACGACCACTATCTCTCCACCATTGCTGCTTTTATTGGACATGCTCATTCATATTCCCGTTCGTCTCATGCGTCAAGTACGGGACATATGTATGATCTCGTGCGAGAAATAGTGGAGATGGTATGCAAGCTCCTGACGATCGTCGAAGCTGTTCTATCGCACCCTGCTCCTAATAACAGGATCGTTCAACTCAAGTCTGCAAAGGATGGGTTATACCGTGTGACGAGCTCTTTGGCGGAGTCTGTTCGACTGCTGAATATGCCACTACCTTCCTCTATGACTGATGAGGAGGAGAAACGAACCCTTTTGCAGTCGGCGACAGGAGCGTTGAAAGCCGGCACGGATTGTGTCGCAGCCGTCAAATTATGTCTTAGCCGATCGTTGGGTGAAAGGCCGTTTATTCTTCAAGTGCTGACGTTAGAAGCACCTGTTCCTCAACTATTCAAGCCAGGCGAATCTGGAGAGCATCAGGTCTCCAAATCAATTAGTATGGTCGAATTAAATGGACATCAAACGGATGACGATGACCGCCCGTTACAGAATGGCCTGCTAGGAGACGAGTCTTCAGGATCTGAAAGTAGCAGTGCCATATCGAAGTCGTCTTCGATCTTCTCAGGAGTTACAAATTTGACGACGCCTGACGGTTCTAAATATCTATCTCCTATCATCGTTTCTCAATCACCTGTCGAACATGATATTGGTTCGCCATCATCCTTTATCGGGACAGATGAAGATGAAACGGCATGGGAGGGCAGCGTGCACACTCTGCCTCGTCGGTCGGTGGAAGATAAGATGATCAATGGCGATTTGCCTGTGCTACCTTCGGAGGCGTTTCAAGCAATTCCGGAACTTTCTCCTAGTCCTATTGGATGGTTGCCAAGTCATGACTATGCACTTGATGACGTCGCGTACAACAGCGATGGACATCTAATTGGTGCAACTCTTGACGTTTTAGTCGAGAGGATGACACCTCACGACAGTATCGTTGACGCTGCATTTTCCGCCATTTTCTTCCTTACTTTCCGATTGTTCTGCACCCCTGTCGAACTCACCCATGCTCTGGTCAAACGATATACACTTGAACCACCTAACGGCATATCTGAACAAGACCTGCAGCTCTGGCACCAGCGGAAAATATTGCCCATTCGGATGCGCGTGTCAAATTTTATCAAGAGCTGGGTAGAATTATATTGGCGTACCGGCGCAGATGATTCGGCAATTCCAGAGCTTGTACAGTTCGTCGAAATGACATTGCGTAGTACCTTCCAGAAGCCAGCTGAACGCATCTTGGAGCTCTTGGATGTTCGTTCGACCACCAAAGACCTGACCATAAGTCCCAAGGGAGGCGACCGCGTGCGTGATCCCGGAATGTCGATAAATCCTCCGACCATTGTCTTAGCGTCTGAAATCCCTCGGCCTACTATGACGAAGACTCTTATGGCGGCCCTACGTGCGAAGAACTTTACGTCGATATCTATCACTGATTTCCATCCACTGGAGCTTGCGCGACAGCTCACGATTATGGAGTGCGCCCTGTATTGTGCCATTCAGCCAGAAGAAATTCTCGAGAGCGGACAGGAAGGCGCTAAGCATCCTGTTAACGTGAGGGCGCTGACGTCTCTCAGCACGGTCATTACGGGATGGGTCGCCGAGAGTATTCTGAACGAACATGATATAAAGAAGCGAACAGCTCTCGTCAAATTCTTCATCAAAGTAGCCGATGTAAGTCACTTTGCAATTTTCCTTTTCTGATCCTTGACAGTCTCTCTACAGCGCTGTAGTTCACTTCATAATTACAGCACCTCTCGCTCGATGTTGGCCGCGTTCGACTCATCAACAATATCTCGGCTACGTCAAACATGGATGGTCTGTTTCTGTCTTCTAATCAAATGATCTGATGTTCACACTGTCACTATACAGGGCCTACCTCAAAAGAATAGACTTCAATTAGAAGCTATGCGTCGTCTGGCCGACCATGGGCGCAATTACCACGAGTATCGGACGAAGCTACGGAATACCGCACCGCCTGCTGTGCCTTTTCTTGGTGCGCTTGACTTGTCATACGTGTTTCTTCCGCTTAACGGAATTGTGTTAAGGTTTGTACTTAACTGATGTGACCTTCTGTCGTGAAGGGAATCCATCACATCGGGTATTCCCGTTGAACGCCGACAAAAAACTTCTTAATTTCAATAAGTATCATAAACTAGCCAGAATTGTGCAAGGTTCGTCTCGATTTTCATGCGGTCAAGGACCTTACTGAGCTTCTTTCCTAGATATGCAACGGTTCCAATCACCATATAATCTCAAGGCAATACCGGAAGTCCAGGCATATCTTAATTATGTCTTTGAGAATTCACGGCATCATGGAGACTTGCAGGATCTGTATCGTCGGAGGTCTGTTCCTCTCTGTACCTTATTGTGCAAGTTGATATTCATTATATTACTAGTTTGCTGGTCGAACCAAAAGAGCCGGCAGATACGACCCCGTCTGGAGATTTGCGCCATATTTTTAATTGGCGCTCCCAGCCCCCTTCGAAAATTTTCACACAACCGACCATCGTCACACCTTAACAGTGCATTGTTGTTGTTTTGTCTTGGTTTATTTTTCCCATTCATTGTATGCGGGATTTTCGTTCTGTTATCATCCATCTGTTTTTACTATGTATATCACCACATTCATTGCATTTAACTGGCATTTTATTATTGCTGTATACTTTCCCCTCGTGTTTGTAATGGGAGAAGTTGTTCCGTTGTACATTTTCCTCCTGCTTTACGGAGAAGGGCATGCTTTCAGTCGCTATCTCATAGGGCAGCAACAGATCTAGAGACAGATGGATGTTCTCATTCATCCTAGGCCATCTTCGGCGTAATGCATGTCATTGAAAAGCAAAGATTGAATACTTCGTATTTACATAACCTTCCTTTCTAGCGGCCGGCGAGTTCCGTCGTGGCATAGTCCTTATCACTACGCGGGCCCACAAGTTGCATGGGTCGCAACTCACGCCGGGTCCCTCCAGCTTGAAGAAGTCAAACAGATGTCTTAAGCTCAGATGTCTTCGTTTCTTGTTAAGTTTATTTTTATGTTGAGGTCGTTGATTAGATTGGCCCATCAAATTGCTTGTCTATTTACAGTGTAGCAGGCTTGGATCGATATATTAATGTTCACATCATCCCACCCGCCCCAGGTACCACGTTGTCGATGGTATCTGCCAGCATCCATGAGTCTGAAAATGCAGAGGCGAATCTGGGACTTCTACAAGCCAGAGTCAGCTGCTGAAGCTCCAACGTCGCGAGCCCCAGCTGCTTGCGCGCGATGAAGTCGTTCACGTAGCAGACCCCAGTCGTATATGGTATTGGTATTGTTATTGGGTGTGTTAATTGTAGGACTGGTGAAGCCATTTTTGTATACCCTGACGGGGAATCGGGTGTCTGTCCGGCTCCTAGTAGAATCGCAAGGCTGCTACCCCCATTTTCCAGATGATGGTCCATACAGAAGAAAAATATTCCTCGCTTCCTCCTTCAACGGATCAGAGAATGTTCAGACTGCTCTTCTCGATAGTCCCACTCCCAAACCATCCTTGACCACCCCTTTCCCCCTGAAGCCTTTGCACGGCGCAAACCAATTCCCCCCCTAAATCTTACCTTCTCGTAAGAATGTAAGGCGTCGTCTACGGAAGGATTCACAAGCATTCACTTCCATTGTATCAAAGGAAAGATAACGTGACACTTATTCTTGCCACGGTAATGTGTATCCTCCGCGCAACTGCACAAATACTTGACTCTAGGGATGGAAATCGAGTTCTGTGTGTTATGAATGACTTTGCCACCAGAAAAATGAGAGGGAACGTCTCCGTGTGTCAGCGCTAGCAAAAATGAGAAAATCGGTGGCAGGTCGTGCCCGAATCTCTAAGTGGTATCGTTCTTTTACGACATTCTATTCTCATGTTTGACACTGATAAGAGCCTTTTGAATGACGCGCCAATCCGGTGCAAGATTCTCTTCAGAAATAGAGGTTTCCGCGCTCCGTACTATCCACCTTAAAGGATTGATCTGTCAGTAGTATTAGCGCCATAAAGGAAAGACATTTCTGCCGAGACGTAGAATGAATGGTGGCCTATTGTGCAGACACCGTGGCTAAAGTGCAGTCAAATTCCTCAGCGATTCGCCGAAGGGGGAATCTCCTCGCATCAATTACCTGACAGCTCTCTTCATTTACTGAGTTGCACGGTAAGAGTCCTGAAGTACGTCTGTCGTTATTGTGTCCCAGTAGGAACACTCATTCCAGAACCAAACTCTGCTATTCTTGATCCTCCGAGGGAGAGGCACCGGATGTCGAAGTCAGATAAAAGCGTTTGTAGAAGATCCATGTTCCCTGAGCTAGGGGACCGCGTAGCTCAAAGGCAGAAAGGGTGAAAACACCGTGTATCTAGATCACGCACAATTTCCTCTCTGACACAACCTTGATGGACGCTGCGGCTTTGTATGCTGCAGGGTATGTCGAAAAGTCGTGCCAATATTATGCGATGCTTGTCGTCTAAGTGAAAATATCTCGTTCTACTCGTCACTGAAGAGGCCGCCACTCTATCCCGTCTCAGGTAGTCCCGTCCCTTCAAAATCCATACCTCTAGGAAAAACGGACAAATTCCTGGCCCTACGCTGATGGTCTGTGGATGTATTGAGTGACATAGTATCCAAATTTTTTTCCTTTCTTGAGGCCATCCCGTTCGAGACGAGGAATCTGAGGGTAGGTCCTTGAAGACACACCGGGCCCCTTAAGAAGCGGCAGTTTTAGTAACTACTCCAGGTACCAAGCAGGTGACTTACAAAGTCGAAAACGAACGGTCGGCTCTGCGTAGCACCGAAAAGCCGAGAGCTTTCCAAAATTATATCGTAGACGGGGGATGAATCATTACCCGGGGCATGGACACTCCATCCCTTCGCAGGGGATCTAATATCCCAGAATGACACGACGCTATGGCGTGCCGAGCCTGCTGCGACGTGGCTAGAAAAACCACCACCACATGAGACGGAATAAATAGGCTCGTACTGTAATGGATCGGAAAGTTGCAAGACGGGCAGCAGGGGGGAATGTGATCCTGAGATGGTAGGACCTCTAAGTGCCGATCGGAGGTCGTAGCACCGAACTTGTCCATCATACCATCCGGAAACTATGATCTCAGGAGAGGAGCCCCATGGAGCGGCTACGGGAGCACGGCAAATGCCATAGACAGCCGACGACGGTGTCGTGGTGGATGTACCCTTCATACCCAGGACGACGGTAGGCGTCTGGGTTAGGCCTCCATTTGTAATGGAGTGAATGGCTAAAGGAGTGGCCGAGGAAGTGCCATATGCTGCATAGGGGGTAGACGACTGCATGCATAAATGAGACACCCAACTTCGTCTCTGTAGTTCTACGCCGAAAGAAGTGCAAGGCGTCACCGAAAGGTTCGTTAGAGCGGCTAAACCATCGGAAGACAGGGATAGAAGCATATTGTTGTCATAGGAAAGGTGTTCAACCAAGGCCCCGAAATGCAAATCTGACAAGACATGGGAGAATAGCTTCACAGTGTTGTCCTCGAATACGACCTCTTCTATCTCTCCGTTCTGAAAACCGACAAGCAACGTCTCATTCAATCCGCTGATGAATGTCATCGCCGTGATGTCGCGTCTCTGGTCACCACGGCCATTCAAGACAACCGCTCTCTCGAATTCGACGGATGGCACTTCGTCACTAGTTGATGCGACGAAAATGTAGAAGTATATCGTGGTTCCAGAACCAACGACGAGCCGGGAATCATTAATGGCGAGGACAGGTTGTAGCTTTCCTTTCCAAGGGTGCGAGAGGGGTCGTGCGACGAAGTCTGTCTTGCACCTCGAGTGCTTCCATGAACGGTCTGCCAGCGTGTCGTAACGAACGTGAAATTTGGAAGTCCACAGAGACTGAGCAGAGGCAAGACTGTGGGAATGCCTTGGATGTCTGCGACGATAATCTGCCCAACCAAAATTATTAACCTAGAAGAAAGTTTTCATTAAAAACAGACAGTCTATGAATAAAGAATATAACTGACCAGCGCTTCCAGTGCCTTACATGTTCTCGATACAACAGAGAGCCCGGAGAGTTCGAGCTCTTGGAGGATAGAAATAAGAATGTCGTTGGGTAATTCGAGTAACGGCATTGCAACGACGCCTAAAGGATGGTTAGAAGTGATGGTCAGTTAACAAATGAACCTAAGGCCGCCCAAATTAAACTCATGAGAATGCAGGGTTGATGAGATGATATCGAAACAGGAGTACTTTAGCTCGGAAAATGCCGTGCCAGACCATCGTCGAAAGAGTAGTAGTACATTGAAGGACAGCCTGGCTTTGCTCATTTCTTTGAATTTCTCCGGAACCTTTTTGAATATTTTCTTTACAGTGGTAAAGCTGGTGAGAGCCAAGATGAGGCTTATATCCAATCGGGTAGCCGTACAAATTTGGTAATTTATTGTTGATCAAATCGGGCAAGGCCAGACCCTTCCCCAGATGTCCCAAATAGGAGTCTTTCCCGACAGCGCGTTCCAGGCCGGCATACAACGCACGATAATTGATACACTCATCTCTTCCGTCCCGCATCCGTCGTTGACGCACACCTCGACATGCGACGAGATGTCAGAATACTTCTCGTCGGCGATGGTATGTTTTCATTTCTGCCCTGAAGCCACAGTCTAACCGTGACAACTATGCAGAGGGCGTCGGAAAGAGCACTATAGTGACCTCTCTTATAAAAGAGTCATATGTGGCGCATGTATGGATGTCGACATTCTTCTGCAGATTACAACTAAAAGGGTACATAGGTTCAACATATCGTTCCGGAGGTGACAATACCTCCAGAGGTTACCCCGGAAAATGTAACTACGTATATTGTTGATTCGGGAGGTGCGATGCTTGTTCTACAGACGGAGAATTGTCACATTAACTCTGCATTGTTAGCTGGGCCACAGGATCGGTCACATCTCGAGGCAGAAATACGAAAGGCACATGTTATTTGTGTTGTATACTCTATTGACAACCCCAACTCCTTCGATCGAATACCGACCTATTGGCTGCCTCATTTTCGACAGCTCGGTGTAAATGTGAGGACAATACGTTTCTAATCCTGTTTATCAAGTTTCATGACCATGCAAAGGTTCCTGTCATTTTGGTCGGCAACAAAATTGATTTGCGCGGTGGTGAGGTGACGAATGAGGCTTTAGAGGACGAAATCATTCCCATTATGAATGAATTCAAGGTGCATGTTTGTATGCATTGCATCGCGTTCTCTTCTGACCCAAGTGAACTAGGAAGTAGAGACATGCGTGGAATGTTCGGCCAAGATGCCATTGAACGTATCTGAGGTCTTCTACTTTGCTCAGAAGGCTGTTCTTCATCCCACGGCTCCTCTCTACGATTCTAGAGATCACGTACGCGTCTATGTGTTTGTGTGAATGTTTCTTATCGCTCAATAGGTCCTAAAACCCGCCTGCGTCAAAGCTCTCAGGCGAATATTCAAACTGTGTGATACAGACAAAGATGGAATTTTGGATCCTGCAGAGCTCAACGAATTCCAGGTGCGAACGTATCCGAATGTCCTAGAGGTTGTTTTCATGGCGTGATTCGGACAGCGGAAATGTTTCGACGCACCCCTGCAACTTCAAGAATTAGAAGGAATAAGGGAGATGGTTCGGGAACACGCTGAAGGTGGTGTCCGTGATGGAGGCCTCACTGAAGACGGTTTTCTGTATCTGCATACGATATTCATTCAGCGTGGTCGACTCGAAACAACGTGGACAGTGCTCCGAAAGTTTGGGTACGCAGAAGACCTTCGTCTCACAGAAGCTTTCCTGTCACCCAAGTGTGTCCTGTTGCCGTTCCTGCAACTGTAAGAAGCTTGACCACCATTACTCTAGGTTTGATGTTTCTCCGGACTGTTCTGTCGAACTGAGTCCGTTGGGCTATCAGTTTCTTACTGACCTCTTTGAAACGTGTGACAAGGTAAATGCAATGATACTCGTCTCTATTCGTGCTGACTATCATTAGGATCAAGATGGCGCTCTCAAATCGTCTGAATTGGAAGCCGTATTCAGTACAACACCGGGTAATCCATGGGCAACACAGAGATTTCCAGACACCACTCTTACTGATGATACCGGTGCTGTCACTCTGCAAGGTTGGCTGGCTCAATGGAGGTGAGCTTTCATCGCGAAATGTGATGATTCGCAATAACGATAGGTAGCATGACAACCCTTCTCGACCATAAAACAACATTGGCATACCTTGCTTACCTCGGCTATCCTGATGAACCACGTACAAGTGCCTTGCAGATAACCCGGGCACGAAAAATTGATCGGCGGAAAGGAAAAGTTTTGAGAAATGTCTTCCTGTGTTTTCTTTGTGGTGCCGCAGGCTGTGGAAAGACTTCGTTGCTGAGGGCATTCATTGGGAAACCATTTCGTGAAACCTACGAACCGACAACAAAGCCTATTAGTGTAGTCAATGCAGTTGATATTGACGGATCGGAGAAATACCTTGTGGTAAGCTCGTGTTTGTCCTCGTGTTTCCGTTTCTTCAATGTTTTAACTGTACGTCAGTTGCAGGAGTTTGGTTCCAAATATGAGGCGGAAACGCTTCGGAATTCAAAGAAAACAGATTTGGTAGATGTTATTGTCTATGTCCATGATTCAAGCGACACAAATTCGTTTTCGTATATCAGCAATCTTCGGGTGTGTAGTCGTGGCTGCCCGATTTTCTGTCGCGTACTAATTGTTACCACATAGCAACAGTACAGTCTTGACCATATACCAACTTTATTTGTAGCCACAAAATCTGACCTGGATTTGGCCCAACAGGTACACAATAGAATATTCTGCCCGTGACGCAACCAGCTCTGATGCACACATTTACAGCGACATGAAGTCCAACCAGACGTGTATTGCAGACGACTGGGACTTCAAGTACCCGTTTCTGTCAGTGTCAAAACCGGCCAGATCGCGGACGTGTACCATGCCGTGTGCGGTATTGCCATGAATCCGTGCGTATATTTCACACATAACATCCGATATCATACTGATCATCATCCTCAGGTATAAATCGATTCCAGGGGGCGCTGACCGTGCGCTGTCGTCAACTGCGAGGCTAAGAATGATTGTTACGTTCACCGCCTTGCTAGGTGGATGTACGGCAGGTCTGGTGATGATGTATCGGAATCTTCTTCGCCCAGCTGGGTTTCCTCAGTGGGCGACACACTGGGCAACTTGGTTGCTGGGTAGACGGGGGAGCTGAGAGATATATAATTAATTGTCTAATAAAGATTTAATTGCTCAGTACGAGTGTCAGAAGGAGAGAGAACGCATTCCTGAGTCATGGCAAACACGTGGAGGCAACGGGTCACAGCATTGTCACCCAGAATTGGCATAAGATCCGTCTCTGATTATACACTTTCAGGTTCAACAAGCGATTTTCCTCATTGTTGTTGTGACGGCCTCTTTCTGACGTTCTACTACTCACTTCAGTATTTCTGAAGGTGTGGCCTCTTTCTGAACTCGAACGAACCAACGCCCTTTCGTTTCATTGTCAATCTTGAACTATTGAGTGTCATCACCATGGATGAGGACATGATTTTCGAGTCGATTCCCGTTTCTTTGTCGCAACCTCAAGGCGATTCATTTCATTACCAGCAGATAAATGGCTTGGATCCTCATAGGAAAATGCTGTGAGTCTGTCTTTTCTTCTTTCGTTCTCCCCTTCGTTATTTAATGGCCTCTCTTCTTACCGCAGGGACTTGGTATTCGTGCAAGATTGTACTGGGAGCCAGGGAAGTTACATCTCTTCTGCTACCAAGAATATCGAGCAAATTTGTGGCGCCATCTATGAGTCTGGACGACTGCAAGCGCTAGAGGACCTTCGGGTGGGCTTGGTAGCGTTCCGGGACCATCCTCCACAGGACCACACATACATAGTCAGGAACTTTGGGTTCTCCTCTGATATTAGCAAGGTGCACAAGAACCTTTCTGGCTTGTATGCTTCCGGAGGTGGGGACGGACCGGAAGCTGTGACCGCTGCTATGGTCGAGGCTCTCAATATGGAATGGAGGGAGAACGCGAGTAAGATGGTTGTTCTCATTGCTGACGCCCCTCCTCATGGCATTGGGGAGTACGGAGATGGTAGGATCCATCCAATCATTTTTAATCAATGCTCATGTTCCTTAAGGCTTCGATGAAGGGTCGCCAGATGGGAACGATCCCCTTGTTGTCGCACGCATGATGGCTAGTCGCGGAATTACTCTGGTATGTTATCCTCTGATCCCAAACACGTTTTTCTTTTTGTTAAGCCTCTTTAGTTTTTTGTTGCTTGTGAACCTGCTCTAAGCGGATATCAGGTGAGTAACCTTGCGCACGTCTCCCCACTGATCCTCAGGTGGGACCTCATAGTATGCGACCGACTTCTACAAAGCAATAACTAATATCACCTCGGGGTTGATGTTACCGTTGACAACAGCGGACCTGCTCTCTCATGCCATCGTCGGAAGTGTTCTCGAAAACCTCGACATGGAGAGATTAGTGCGCGAAGTGGGGCATGCTGTTGCTCAGCGGATCATTGGTAATAACGAGAGCGTCGATGATGTCGCTAGGGAACTGCATGAAAAGCTGCTACTGCGAAACGAAAGCACGAAGAAGGTGGTTATAGAGAGCATCTACAAGGAGTCAGAAGAGTCCCGGCATAATGTTGCTGTGTTCTCAGACGCTCCTTCGCTGGCAGAAGCTCGTCCGCTATTGAAGAAGGTAGGTTTTCATCTGTTGTTAGACGATCGTTGCTCATGATGGGTTTTCAAGGTGAATGGCACTCGTTTCACAGATAAATATCTTCAGGCCCGCGGAAATTTAGCGAGAGGCAGCTATGCTTCGTATACCCCGGCAACACCCCCACGCTCTCCACTTAGGTCGCCTTCCACATCACCCTCCTCCAAGGGGTTCACGACGGGCTCTCCGCCACGCAAGGTGGTCACCGATTTCGCTGCATTTGGCGCTCCAGCAAACGCCAGTGTCTTCGGCACAGCAGTGGCGTCAACGCCTTTCTCGCTGGCTGGTGGGAAAGCAGCGTTTGGTGGAATGCGAACTGGGCGCGGACGTGGAGTCTTTGATGACGATGATGATGACGATGACGATGGCAGACAAAAGGTCGAGTTGAGAGAAGACTCTATCACGCTTGATCAGGTTAGCATTCATATCTTATTGCTTTGGATGTAGTATCTCATTTTACTGTAGGCCCGCCGCATCGCTCTGCAAAGTGCTTGGAGGGGCGCAGGTATCTAATCCGCGTTCATGAAATGTTTTCTGATGTCTCGATCTTCCTTTGTCATTTGCAACTCACGTCCATCTTTCTCCTCACGCACGCATGTTTTTTCTTGTCTAGTACCAGTATTGTTTTAGAAATCTATCACCTGTTCAACGTTCTTCCCTTTCAGTTCAGATTGCTCTTCGACCGTCAGGTCTTAATTCGGAACCTTGTAGTAATAAATGTGTCAAATATAATCCATTACTGTAAAACAAACGATTGCACAAGACTATGGTAAACGAAATGACAGATTTACAGCGAAGATTCTTTTCGTTTCCGCTTCTTACCCGCTCGGACCTTGTCAGATCGACCTGCATTGTCGGCGACATCCAGAGTATCATCGGACTCTCGCATTTTCAGTCGTCTTTTTCCTTTCTTCTCTAAAGCCTCCGCTTCCTCCAGCTGGTTTGATTTCTTCGGCTTCTTGCGTTTATCTTCGTCATCCTCTTCCATATCTCCATCCCTGTTAAGTACCGCCTGCGACTCTTCTCTCTCCAATGCCCTCAACTCTTTCCTTAATCTCTTCCATTCCTCCTTTGTGACATCACCATCAGCCCGTTTCTCTAGCTTCCGACATTTCCTCTCACGCTTCTCGTCCCTCGCTAATTTCGCAGTTTTCTTTTCGGCTTTCCGTAGTCTTCTCTGTCTTCTCCCCTCGGCATCCTCTTTGCAACCCATCTTCTCCTTTTCCTCATCACCTCTTTTCCTTTTCTTCTCTGTTTGTATGTCCGCATCGGTCTCTTTCGATTTCTGGGACAACAATGTGGGTTCTGCTTCCACGTCTTCCTCCGGCTTGGAGAGAATGATATCGGGACCTAAGATGGGGCCTCGGAAGAATCTAGCATAAAGACCGCGCTTGGCCGCTTCGCGTTTCGCCATTGCCAATAAACTGAGTCGCGGCATGAGGACGGAATCCAGCGTATCTGTTCCAGATGAGGAGACCAATGTTCCACCCGGAGGTCTTCGATTACATAGTATCCCGGTCGTGGTTCGTTTTAGCGTTAGGGTAGCTTCAGTAGATATGCTCTGGGCATGATATGAGCACGATGTCAATAAAGTGAACATGCGACCTCACAGTCTTGCCCTCCTCGTCATCATCACTAGATATTTTGACTTGAAGAGATTTGGCTGCGGCTGAGAACAAGCTATATGTGCGGGCGTCGTCAGCCCAAGTTACGTCGAAAAATAATGTATTCTTACTGATCCCAGAACGGAAAGGCTTCGTCGCGGTCTTTCCCTATACCTGAAAGCGTCTTTTTCTGATTGACTATAACTGGCCGCGTTATTGCGCCTTGCCTCAGCCCCGTCCCCTTGCCAGACCATCCTTGGGAGACAAGAAACGAGTGCCCATCCAGCGGCATCAATGGAGCCAATGAAGAAATCTGGGTCACGCTGTCACGAAGGTAGTGACTGATTTCCAGAAAGTACGGACGGCGGACCGCATCACCGAACTCTACCTTATTGGACCATGACCTCCACGGATACTCCTCCGAGGCGCAGTATCGTCATCATTGGCGCAGGAATAATTGGATGCTCGACGGCCTATTACCTCTCTCGCCATCCTTCTTTCTCACCTTCTACTACGGTCCGCGTTATTGAAGCCTCAATCAATGGTCCTGCTCAAGGCGCCTCTGGAAAAGCAGGCGGTTTGGTAGCTCAGTGGGCTTATCCGAAGGAATTGGTGGATGTATCCTTCGCCGAACACGTCAAGCTCGCGAAGAAGCACAACGGAAAGGAACGATGGGGCTGGAGATACGTTGAAACTGGCAGTTGGGAAGGTAGAGCACTTTTGGGCGAGGGGAGCGGATCCGGTGTGGGCAAAGGCGGGAAAAGGAAAAGCTTGGAAAAGACACTTGGACTGAATCCCGACATTTCTGAATGGGATCGCAAGTCTAAAGGCCTTCCGGACGATTTGCTTTGGGTCAGAGATAGCCTCACCGATTCGTATTCACCCATGGCTGCCACAGGAGAAACGGCCCAGGTACACCCGTATCAGTTCACGACGAGCATGTTGGATCTCGCCAAAGAAAAAGGCGTCGAATTTGTTTCCGGAAAGGTCACTTCTATCAAACAACTGGATGGACAAGTCACTGGAGTGGTTTACACCAAACTGGGAACCCAGGAGCAGGTCGAAATACATGCAAGTGATATTATCCTCTGCGCCGGAGCCTGGTCGCCTTCACTTGTCCCTGGACTTCCCATCACCGGAACACGAGCGCACAGTATCACAATTCGGGCCACTCCCGGCACCATCATTACGCCATATGCCTTGTTCACAGAAATTACGCTACAACAGGCCGGCAAGAACGTGAAGAGAGTTACCCCGGAGCTCTATGCTCGACCAGATAACGAAGTATACGCCTGTGGTCCGGGTGACGATTCTGCGCTTCCCGAGACTGTAGACGACGTACAAGTAGACGAGGCTGCATGTGAAAGCATTCGCAAGCACGTCAGTTTTATTTCTAAGGAGCTAAGTGAGGGGACGGTGGACAAGCGACAAGCTTGTTTCCTTCCGATTGTCAAGTACAACAGCGATCCCCTCGTTGGGGCCGCAACTAAGATCGCTAATGGTCTATTCATCGCGGCTGGCCATACATGCTGGGCAAGTCCTTCGCTTCTTCCTTTCTATTACTTTTTATGAATGCTTTATTACTAGGGGATCTGCAATGCTCCGGGTACTGCTAAAGCTATCAGTCAGCTCGTTATGGATGGCAAGATCCGATGCGGAAATTTGAAGAAACTGGACCCCTCGAGATTCTCTTAATCCAGGCCTGTATTACATGTATATGTACTGTTTGTTATCGCCTCAATTTGACTCTCGTACGTTTAAAACACTCGTTCGTTGCACAATGCGCTCACGCGGGACTTCATATCAACTAGATTAAAGTGCATTTTTTGTAACAGATCCGGCGTTCTTCGTCCAATCTTCAAATGTAAACGCATAAATCCCCCAGATAATGTGGGACCGCGATCAGAAGGTATGCAGCATTACATCTTGGCTTCCCTTTTTCTCAGCGACTTAGCATACTGACGCAACACACGTCTGAGCAGCTTTCCGCTAGGATTCTTTGGTATCTCCGAAATAAACTCAACTCCGCCCTTGAGGTGCTTGTAGTTGACCTTATTTGAGGCGACATGCTTTGAATGACTAGCGTCAAATCCCAAATATTCGCGAGTACCAAAATGGTAGAAAATATACCTTGATTATGGAATCTTTGATCTGTGGGCCTTGTTCTAGAACCTTAGAACTCGCCTCTTCTGTGAGGACGACAAATGCGAGCGGAACTTCTCCGCCTACAGAGAACGTTAGTCACACAAAACCATGGCAGAGAGTAGAAGCCAGACTGTATTCGTCTGGAACTCCGACCACACAAGCATCGGAGACATCTGGATGATCTAGAATGCATCCTTCGAGCTCTGCCGGCGCTACCTGAAAGCCTCTGACTTTCATAATCTCCTACAAAAGATGTCAATGCCGGAGGTTGGGGTGGCATCCCGGAACAAACGTTTCGCAAACCTTCATACGATCCAAAATCCAGACTTCGGCGTTTTTATCAACTTTCACTACATCGCCGGTGCGTACCCATCCTCCATCGATAAATGTATCCTCAGATCTGGTTCATTGCTTTATTTAGCTTCCTCAAAGAGGATGGATTTATTTAAACTGCACTCGCGCTTGTGCATCATTCTGGTACCGCAACGCGTTCGACGGCGACCAAGTGACCAACTCACCCGGGTCGTTGTAATTGGCGAGAGAACCATCCGATTTTATGACCCTCGCAATCACACCAGGAAGTAACTGTCCTCCGCCTGAAATTTTTATGAACAATAGTCACGACATGAATGTGGAACACCTTACTTCCGGATGTTCCACGTCTATGAGTAACCGGCCATGAGGATGTCGCTGTACAAGTCTCGGTCATGCCTAGTATATGCGATAATTTGTCGATAACACGCATGTAATTTGGAACAAAGAGATACCATAGGACTGGCCAATATGGGCATCGGGGAGCAGTTGGAATAGCTGCTGGTTCACTTCCCCCGATAGCGGTGCTGCTCCAACCATAATCATTCTAACCATTTGCAGTTTCGCTTTGTACTGTTTTACCACGGGATGCTGAGAGAGGCTTCGTAAGTGACGATTGTTCTATGAGAACATGAGTGGCTGACTTTGCATAACAGGACAACTTGAGGCGGAACAAGCCTAGGGGAAAATTACGTGCCGGCGTCAGTTAGCACCCGAGGAGGAGACTCTTACATCAAGTGTGTTACTCTATGACGGATGATACTGTCCAACATCCCAATGAAGGAATATTTGGGAACGATCACCACAGACATCTGCCCATGGTATATCGTGAGTCCGAGGAGCTAACTTCCAAATAGACTATTGGCCCCACTTACTCCACAAAACAAGATGAAATGCAGCTAGTTGGACAATGTCAGACGAACGCAGGATGATGACTGAACCTTACATTCAAAACCAAGCCATAAATATCTACAAAAAAATTGAATAACTTGAAACGCAGTTGACTTTGCACTTACGGTATAACGGGAGTACTAAGAGCATTTAGAGACGTTGGAACCCATGCTCTGGACTTCTGGAGACTGATACTCACTACACATCGCAATATCACCTGGTCTGTATCTTCTATTCTCCCATGAGGTGAATTCCTCGCTAATTCTGTTATGGACAGCCATTTGTATAACATTCGTTATCACTGAGAAATGCGGTATCGCGACAGCCTAATGGGTACTGAGAAGTCAACTTTCATTGCGTTGATATCGTATCATGTCCGACCTTTGGTTTTCCCGTTGTGCCTGTAAAGTTTTCCAACACACGTAGTTAACATCATTGCCGAAGAAAGAATGGGGATATCGTACCTGAGGAAAAACTCAGAAAAGCAAGTTTTGTCTTTCCGTTTATCTCTGGTTCAATGTAGGTAAGTGGCCTTAATAGGCCCAGCGCCACCAAGTCATCCAGATTGACATAAGAGGGTTTGGTAGGTTTGGATTCAATATTCCCGCTAAGCAGTACGATCCGGTCGAGCAGAGCTCCATAAGCCTCAGCTGCTGATACCGCGATGTCAAGTGCATCCGGATGTGTAATGATAAGGACTGCTTTACTGATCTCGAGCTGGTATTTTAGCTCTTGGGCGGTGTAGTCGGGATTGGCCCCGGATATAATGCCACCAATTCTATGAACCGCCCATATGACCATAGGGTAGTCTTTAATAACGAGCTTATCAGTACGACATCATCCAAGAATCGAGAGGGGCGCACCGATGTGATTGCGACTGAAGATAAGTACTACCATGATGGATTGAATCGGGCACAATCCTCAAAGACTGAGAAAAATGCCGTACCAACATCATCCTCGCCTGCAGATGGGTATGATCTATTTGATGAGCCGCATGGTATGTACGGGGAACTTTTTTTCGCACCGATACAATACTGATGCTTCAATCCATTAGCAAGAGCTCTTGTGCGTGAACGAATCTAATAAATAAACATCGTCGTTTGCATTGTATATTCGAATTTCGATCTATGTACTTGCCTCATCTAAGTATATTGCCTGTCCACTGGTATTTTCGACCAACCATGGCGTTTTCTCCTTTTGTATTGGCCTGGCTACATGGGGATGGACATCGAGAAAAAATTGTGGAATAGAAAGATTATCGGGAACCGCAGGCAATCCAACAGGAGTGCGTATCTCAGTCATGATTGAGTTCCGTGATGTCGCTCTCCAGCTATCTAGTGTTGTCGTGTTGATCTCCGGTGTATGGTCCTGTGAGATGCAAGGGAACCCGGGCCGTTAAAGAGAACGGCGTTTATTATTACACATTTCTCCACGTCGCCCGCACTATCGTACCGGTCCGACTCAACATAAATCAAGTTACAACCTCTCCACTTGGGTAACTGTTCATAACTTCGCCGTAGGAACATGACATAAAGCCTTTGACTGCTCGCGGAATTGTCTTCGGAGGATTTTCCCACTGGCAGTCTTGGGAATACTAGAAACGAATCTGACATCAATGAGGTGCTTATACCTGACTTTGTTTCTTGTGACGTGCTGCACCGTGTCTCGTTAACTTGTGCCCACGCTGAAAATATTGACAAACAGTTCACCTGTAGTATAGATTGCTTGATAGCTCTGGAGGCAGATGGATTCTGTCGAATAAGCTTGTTCGCATCCGACGACAACGCAACAAAGGCCAACGGAACTTCTCCACCTAGAAGACATTGAACTATGATATCCTGGAAAGAATAACCAGACCTACAGTAATCATGAGGGACACCAATGACACACGATTCAATCACATCTGGATGGTCTAATAGACAGCCTTCCAGCTCCGCAGGCGCGACTTGATAACCATTTACTTTGATGAATTCCTGCTTTATTGATCAATAGCATTCGAGAAGGCTGAAATGATGTCACACCTTTATGCGGTCAACGATAAAGACCTCTCGGTCCTTCGTTAATATAACTTCGTCACCTGTACGTAGCCATCTGGAAAATTTACTACCTTGAATAATTTATAACTGTATCGATTCACATACCCATCACGGAAGGTTTCCAGAGTGCTTCATCTGACATTTCATCCCGGGAAACGAATGTAAAGGGGCAGTTCTACGTACGCTTCTTCGTTGTCCAGATAACCGAGAGACATATTAGGGCATCGGACTTCCAGTTCTCCGGGCTCTCCAGGGCGTGCAAAAGTACCGTCGAATTTCACGACGCGCGCTTCAACACCTGGTAGAAGCTTTCCCGCGCCTGTGAGACAAATGTCGAAAATAGGATTTGGGACGAGTAATAGAGCACCTTACTCCCGACTGGACCTCTCTGCTGCTCAAAAGAGACATTGGCAAGCACGGCAGGTGTCTCGGTGGTACCTTAACATAAATATATTAGCGGAAACTCCTGATATCTCGGAGCCAATTAACCATATGCCTGCCCGATTTGAGCAAAGGGAAATATGTCGAAAAGAAGGGCGTTAACCTCCTTGGTCATGGGAGCAGCACCAACGATTACACATTTTACAGTCGACATGTCGTAAGATTTCGCCGCTGAATGCTTTTCTGCGAATCAGTACTTGGTGCACGGACGAAATACTGACCGCTTTTCCCACCTTGCATAGTGCAACAGCTTGCGGGGGAACAATTCTGCAAGAGGTCGTTAGCGGCATGCAGAGATATTGAACATGGTTGACGGACACTAAATCAGTTATTCGATAGCGAACGATACTTCGCAGCATATTGACGAAATCGTATCGGCCAACAACGATTACGGACATCTATGACATTTGCGTTAGTCTCAGCAGTATAGTGACCGGGCTACAGCCTCCTTACCCCACAAAACACTGAGAAATGCATCTGCACGCTTACGTTTCAGTGTTTCAGCCCATACATAGCGGCAGAGTGAAATGCTTACAGATAGAAGAAAACCGGCGACATCTAAGCGGTGTTAATATCAAGGCGTTTCGTCTCGGTCAATACGCTTCTTACGAAAGAAAGGTAGCACTGGCGATAGTAAGCAATATGAACAGCCTAGGAGAGTAATTTCGGCATACCTCCAAGTAAAGTATCCCCACACCTGAATCCCCGGCGTTGTCCTATAGGATACTTGTACACCTGGTGATGTATTGCTAGCTGAACTAAATTAGCAATGATAGCGCGGTGTGGGATTTTAACAGCCTAACTCTTTGCATCAGCCACGATAAGTACGTAGGAACATAGACGTTTCACCTTTGGCTTTCCGGTCGTTCCACTACTGAGCATTAATAGAGCCAATTTAGTAATTCCCTCCCCTGGCCTCAATGCCTTCGGAGAAAACGAGTAGTGATTAGCCAGGGCCTCCGATATTAGTTCAGGGACACTGTATAAGTCATAATGTTCACAATCATCGAGTAAGATGATTCGTGTCGGGGGAAACTTGAATTTCCGAGCAGCCGTTTGTGCGGTAATTACCGCAGCTGAATGGACTATGATGAAAGAAGCTTTGGTGATCTGAAGCTGATAACATAGTTCGTCCGGCGTCAAGCCAGGGTTGGCCGGACTACATATGGACTGCTTGAGAACGGTGTAGCACTCTATCAAAACGAAACGGGAGCCTTACGTGACAACACCACCGATCTGATGGACCGACCAAGTCGCAACAGCGTAGTCTAAGTGTTTGAAGTATTAGCCATCGTGACTGGCGTTGACCGACAAGGACGGGCCAAATGGTACTGACCGACATGATTGGGACTGCAAATCAGAACTGGAGATCAGGCAACTGTTGATAAGTACATCTTCCAGAAAGGCATCTATGAGGATCACAACTTACCGACATCGGTGTCGGCTACGCGTAGTTTGTGACGTTCAGTCCAGCAAACAACGTCACTAGACAGAAAACTGACAAACGTTATACCTGGTATTCAATGCGGCAGCCAATAGTTGAGTACGGAGCTTCACCTGAGTCATGGTCAGAGGTAATTACAAGGACAACAAGGACAAGGACACGACACTTACTTGGTCGAAGCTGACGATCTGACCTGAATCATCGTCTGTAAAACATGGTGTATCACCTCGTTGGGGTCGTAAAGGATGTTGGTAGTCCAACATAAACTGGGAGACAGATAAATTATCAGGAATAGTGAAGAGAGTCTCCGAGAGCGCTGTCGACGCCATATATAAGAACAGGAGACGGAAAGGAAGAAAGGGCGACAGGAGCTATTGGCGCCGACTGGAAATTTATATTGCACCTCACATCCTTTTTGCTTGGATCGGGGGTACCGGATCGCGCTAAGGGCCTGCAAAGCGAGGGGTGATTGGAGAGTTTGGTAGTAAGGTGGATTCTTCGTAATGGATCCGAGCGCCGTTGGATATACTTCTCAGATATCTTTACCCCTGCAAGCTACTCAATCCGACTGACGGAAGAAGCAATGGAGCGAGATGCTGGCTCTGGTCTGGATCTAAATACCAGCGGAATGCAGTCACCGTTTCGAAATACTGATGGGCATGTCGGCTTCTGGTCCTACTAGCCAAGACCCGGCGTTCGAATTTTAGCCGGTCCGGCATTCAATCATTTCTGATCAAAAAGCCAGGAACGATTGCTGGATAGGTCGGAGCTCGTCAGATACATATGCTTACTCTATCTGATGCTAAAGGATCTGATAGAAGATTAAATATTAGTACTCTATGGCAACAGGGCTCGAATCACCTGCACATACCAGACTCGACGCTGGATTAAACTTGGTAGCAAGGTAACCTATGTGGGTGCTGTGACAATATTTATTCTGCAAGGGGATCCGGCCTATTAATCAAAAAAGTATCAGACGCTTCTCTCCTCATGGCCATTGCAAATATTATCGAGCTTCGGGCCTTCGATGAATATATCGATATGCAGCTGGATAGCTCCGAACCCCAGTGTTGGGGACAAGATTGAAGATACACTTACAATGGATTATCAAGGGATGAAGTTGGATGAAGTATGGTTCTTGCTCCGCAATCTATGAAAGAGTCGTTCAATGATGAGGATCGTCACTTGCGAAGGTTGAACGAATTGTGTGAACGGTCTTCGTCCCGATAACTCTTCAGTTTACGCACGGTCGGTTCATGTGGAAAGTGGCAATAAGCAGTGGTGCTCAGTGCGGAAGCGCAACAGGTTATGCGAGATCACCGCCAACGCCAATCCCCGGACCGCGTAGATCAGTACCTTTTCAAGTCGCACGCCTTCAGATGCAAGTAGGAGTCAATGTGAACGTCATTGCATGAGCGACTGTCGGCCAGTTAATGGAAGAAAAGGGAAAGATTCAGGAAACGCACCCATGAGTACCCAGGGCCATTATGAGTTAAAAAGGCAAATCGAAAATCGATAGGTGACGTGAAGCGGTGACCGGTATCTTTGTAACGAGAGTTATGAGCTTAGATAGAGAAGTTCATCGAGGTCAATCCGAGCTGTGATCCCGGTGTAGAATCATCTGTAGAATCACGTTCATACAGCATCCTGTGATGTGTAAGAAACTAAGCTCCAGTGGGGGACCAAGCGCTCCAGTCGACGGACGTGATGCAAGTCATATAACCAATAAAAGTGCCGAATAATGCCCAAGTTTCAACTACACGAACAATCATAAAGTTATGCTTGCCACTGACAGTTACTCTAACCTATGTAGGTCTGACAAAAAAGATGCAGACACGTTTATATATATCATCGGCCTCGGGCACTCATTCAACGTCATCGTAGCGCCAAAATGACCCGCTCGAAAACGGGTGAAGATGCTTGGTGGCCAACTGTTCAGTACCGCCATCTGAAATACTCCGGTTTTAGCATTGTATCCGTAACAGATGATGAGAACGCGACAACGTGATAAGCCAATTGAGACCAAACAAGGTCGATGGCAGCTGAGATCACAAGTGGGTATGTTCTCAGACTAGAAGACACCCACATCCATGGTAAACAATAGTTCCGCGGAGGGGACGAAGCCCTGTCTTCATCAAGCAAACAGCATTCAAGTTCAACCTCAGCGAATATGACCTTTGTTCGGATTGAAGAGAGGCATAAAGTATGAAGGCCAAAGAAATGCCTTGTGACACGACCTCATGCACAGAATAAGTTCACTTGAGGTAATCGCTGGACATTCAACATTCAACATTCAAGTACGACAACATGGTAAAGAATACCTCAAGTGGGAACGTGGACAGCTGCAGCTGGAATCAAACACGTGTAGGTCCGAGAGCCGACAGAACAGCAACCAGAAATATCATACCCTTCTTCAAATGTTGATGATCACAAATACAGAAAAGTCACAACCGAGCCGACTCGGTATCTTCCCTATCTCCGGCCAAAGTTGCCCTATGCTCACTCCACCACCGGATGACAAACTCCTTCTCACCATCGACACCTCCCACACGATGAACAATCTCCTCTGCCAGCCTTTCAACCTCCTCCATGCGGTCACTGGCACTCACAGGTGGCCCGGTGCTCTTTCCCTTGCTCCCACCTAAAACGCGTCTAACCTCCACCAAAATTCTCTCAAGCATCGGCACGCCTCGGACAGCGGACACGCACGATATCAACCCGAGTCTCAGCCTCTTGCCCTTTTTCTCATCTGTCCGAGTCCCCTCGATCTCACGGATAAGAGAATCAACCGGGAACCATCCCAGCGCAGAATCCCCACTCTCACACGCGCACCGGACGAGTGTCGAGAAGGCCAAACACAATTGGTGCGTGTCTAGGCCGCCATCGCCTGAATTGTCAATTAGACACTCTGTGTAGAATGGCACCATACGTTCGACAACGTTCTTATTGTTGCTCAACATAGCGAGCACGACTGAATGCGCCGACTCGTAAGTTTCTCGATGGCTTGGTGCGGAGAGGTGAGGCTCGCAGAGTGACCATACGTCCCGCTCTATACACTCTGGGCTGAGCACTGGAATCAACTGCTCGACACATGCCAGCACAAAGGCCTTCTTCGCAAGGACAAACTCTTCTGTATCCTGGGACTTAGTATTCCGGTCTCGTAGCTCGTATACAAACCTCTCTCCCTCTCCATCGCCTTGGCTGGCGATGATATCCAACGCCAGATAGACAGTCTGTTTCAACTCCTTGAATCCATTTCCAGAGGCAGTGATACCACCAAATCGTTGTATCACGAATGCTAGGTGGGAGAGCGCGAACAGGGATGTCAGGGCAATGGTAGTCGTCGTCAAAGTTGGAGGCACATATATGATAGAAGAAAGAACAGATTCAGCGATCATAATTGTTGAGAAAAGGAGAGTTTTCAGCGTCGACCAGGCCGATGCTATGGATTCGGGTTCCTGTTTACATGTACGGTAATCCGCTTCAACGTGGGCACAAAGTTCACGCAGTGTCATGAGTGTGGCTTGTGCGGTCATTAGACCATCCTTCGGCCGCGAGTCCAAAAGGAGGGAATGGGCAAGACTCGATAATTTTGAGAGTGGTGCGATGGAGGCCATTAATGGAGATTCGGGCTGTTTAAATTAAAAATGGGGTAAATAATTGGTAGACGTGCACTGCCAATGCCCATATATATGAAAAAAGTGTAGAACCGTTCCTCTCATTTTTGTAAAATAATTTTGCATTCCCCATGGGTGTCGGCAGTAACGAGACGAGTAAGAATGACATACCAGTGGCGAGGAGAGGAACTTTCCAGCAAGGAAAGCGCTCGATATTGTCGACGTCAACAGCTGCAACAGTATTTCCAAAGGAAGAGCTTTAAGCTTCTCTTCCGAGATTAGAGGCAGGGAGCGCGAAGAAAGTATCAATGCGATAGATAACAGGTCTACTAGAGAGAGAGTGAGTGTGAGAACACGACAAGAAAGTGCACTCACGATCTCCCTGGGGCTGAAATTCCTTCTCCCATTCCCCGGCACCGCTCGGTGAGGGAAGGGAGAACGTGTCATGCTTGAAAAGGTCCATAACCTCGGCTAATGACAACACGACTTCATTCTCGACAAGTCCCTGGCATGCAAGTTTTACATCATTTATCCCCAATATTACACCCGTTGAACAAGCGAGCCTCATGATGGGTTGCCCACCTTGCAGGCCTTTAATAAGAGCATCGACCCACAAAGCGAGACGGGTTCTCACGGCTCGCGAAAAGACGGCGGACCTTTGTTCGGCATCGCGTTTAAGCAGGTCAAATTTGATATGCAGTGCATGTCGGAAAGCCGTCGAGAGCGCGTCGAGCTTGGCAAGGGTGAGCGGATGCGACAGAAAGAGCGGTGACGAGACAGCAGTTGCGGCCAACGGTGCCGGCAGTGGTGAAAGATGAGCAAGATGGTGAGCAAGAGCAGCCTGAACGGTCTCGAAAGGCAGGGAGGTCGTAGGCCTTGAGAGATGTGCTAGGAGGTTACGGTACATGGTGATCCTGACTGGCGTTGTGGCGGACGGAGGCAAAGGGGAACATGATGATTGACATCATACCGCAGAATCACGGTCCGATCACGTGCCGAAGACCCTGCACATTCAAAATTAAATTTTAATAATTTATTTGCCAAATTTAGCCTAGCTCGTTATGTGTTCCGCACCGAGGGCACCACGAGGCTCCACGTTTCTCATGCTATCAACATGCTATTCTGAGGTACTGTGAATAGAGCACTGGTATATACGGGATACCGAGTACCGTTTGGTTGTACTACGTAGCAGTAATAGGGCAATGGGCAATAGATATGTATCAATCACGTCCATCTGATGTCGCGGTTGTCGCTGTGAAATAAAAATGGCTGCGCTTACATACGCAGGGGAGGGTGACCGGGGGTCACGGTAAATATTGTATCATCCGTGAGAGCGTGGGCTCGGTCGTGACGACCCGTAACAGTCGTGACCTGTCTTGGACTCTTCGCTGCTCGTCGTCGTCGCCGTCCACTTGCCTAGTGCAAGTACCCATTCTCCTCCCCTTCTCCCTGGATAATGCGATATAGATCCTACTTTTCCTCATAATTCTTTGCTTTTCTCTAGAATTTGTCCTTCAATGTCTCCATCTCCCTCTGAAAATTCGCCCTGGCCTACGCAGACACCAGCCGATGCGGGTTCTTCTCATTCTCGCGCACCAAAACGACGTCGAATACACGAGCTAATGCCCTTGAATGCTCGGCAGATTGTTGACCAAGACCAAGTCGGTGCGTCGTCACACCTGCTCCTTGTTCATTCGCATGTAGTTCACTTATCCATCTTTCTTAGAGGAAGCCGAATACAATTGCGAGGTTAACTCTGGCAACGATGTCATTTCGTGTTTTCCTACAGCAGATTCCGTTTTTCCTCAGCATCAATGGTCGACCTTCGTCTGTACGTGTTCTCTTTTTTAGCAGTGTCCATATATATCCATTCTCAATGTCTTTTTCAGGGAACTCTGGTCTCCCCGAATTCACTCAGACGAATGAAGTCAATGTCTATCTTTTCCGTGCAGATTCTCGAGAGCAGCTGCTTTTCTTCCCCAATCAAACGAACCCCAGGAATCAAGCCGGTTCCCTCACTGCTCAAGTGAACGACACATGGTTTGGAACTGCAGGCGAGGATTGGAGTGGCTCAAATCTAACATACACCTTTTACTGGGTCGTTACGCGGAACGATACAGAGTTGGATGGCTCAGAATTGACCCAAACTCACTTTACTGCCGTTCGTGAGTTCTTATACTTATGACTGTCATTCCTCCGCCTTAGTTTATGATAGAAACGACGTATGCCGACTCCGTTCTTGCGACACTGTCCTCGACGTCCTCCACATCATCATCAACCTCATCAACGAGATCATCATCCTCATATACCAGTACATCGACAGCTTCATCAGCGTCTGAGTCTGGCAGTGGGAGCTCAAGCAGTGTCAGTGGCAATGGCAATGTCCAGTCTGGTGCAAGCGACTCCAACTTCCCACACTGGGCCATCGCCGTCATTGTCGTTCTGGGCTTCCTCGCCATCGCCACATCATGCATACTCGCATTTTTCATCCTCCGACGGATACGCCGGCGTAACGCCGAACTCGAATCCAACCGAAACTCTATGGGCTCTTCATCACCGATGATGGCGCATGTAGGCAATTCTCCTGGTTCGCCTCTCCTGGCCGCCGCTGCGGGCGAACCACAAAGTTCTGTCGGGCACGGGCAACGTGCTCCGAGCATAGTATCGCCCGATGGGGCATCAACGGTGTCAGGAAGCGCAGGCGATGCAGGTCCGTTTTCCGGCGCAGATGCAGCAATAATGGCGGATGCTTTCAGGAAAGCGCTGCGGAAGCCTGACTTCATGGACGTGGCCGTAGAAGAGGGGGACAGTCCTGGAAATAATGACAGACAGGGCGAACTGCTGAATAGGGAACTAGCTGACGAGGGACGTGACATACGGAGCGTAAGCTCATCAAGAGGCGTGCGAGTGGAGACGATGAGTGACAGTGGTGACACCGTGCAGGACAATCCACACTGACAGCACGGAACCATTCTTTACTGTCGTACTTTCTTGCATCTCCTCGCGTCTGTCCCTATATCGTCTGTCATTTCTTGGTCTGTTCTCATGGGTTATTTGTAGCTTCATATTCGCATCTTCACCTCCGTTAGTGCCCAACTTTCTGACTTTATTATCATATGTTCTCACCATCGACGTCAACAATGTACCCCCTCATCCGCACACCCTTCATATCCAATCCCGGCACCTCTTGGTCCTTCATTAGTTACTCTTTGTGCCGTGTTTATACGTACTTCTCTTTCTCACCGGACTTGTTTCCCCAAGCCGAATTATTACCCCTTATTCATGCATTGTGTTTTCTTTGTGTGCCATTACCATCATATCACTTTCTACTTCATTTCATACATCTCATCCTATTTTCGCTGAATGCGTCCACTCCTTTTGGTTTTTTCCCCCCCCCCCTCCCCCCACCCCCTTTTTTTTTCCCCTTCTGCCAGCAAAGTCTCAACGGTATACCCATACTTTTGCCAACGCTATGAAATCATGTATGATTGCATTGATCACCAAGTGACATTTGTCTTGCGAACATCCTGCACGGAAATCGCGTAGGCGGGTTGGCTTCTTATGACGCACGGTCCTCACCTTCCTTCATATTATGCCCCGTTATTTCCAAAGCGGTATTCGAGGGCCTTCAAGTACCACCCCGTTTCAGTGTGATGTGGCGTCTTTCAACCGAGGAAATATTTGTAGGATATGAAATGCGATGGTCGTATGGGCGGGGGCGCTCTGTCCATTATTTGTTCGCGCGCAGTGTTACCCGTTTTTTTGGCTTGAGTTACTTTGGTGAATCGATGGTTGGATACCAGATGTCTGTGTCGGGTATCGCGTGCGGAGCGCCGGGGGATTTCGGGGCCGCTGTCCGCAGTGCATTATCACCGCTACCCGACTCTCCGGCGCAGATACCACTCTTCATTTGTGCGTTCGATCTTCTTGTGCATGTCTCGGTTAAAATTTCTGAGGGTGCCCTTTTCGCTGCATGTCCGAAAATTTCATGCGTGAATATTACACAAAGACCTTGTGCTTGTTTGTGGAGAACCGTCTTTCAGATCCGGGTTCACCTCGTGGCTTTTAGCGCTTTGGCATGGATCGCGATAACTTGTGTCTATTATGAGGAACTGGATTACACTGTAGCCGCTTTAACGACAGGATCTTTCCGGAAAGGCTCGTTCCAGAAATAAAACTGGGACGAGTGCTACACCTCCTAACCTCATCTGGCACTCTTGTTGCTCTGCTGAGAGTGCTTTGTATATGAATCACCCAAACCGACTTCGGTGTTCTCGGGGTGACCCGTGAATGCTCCTTTAGTAGACCATCTCGAGGAGCGCTATTTAAATTCAGCTTTGGCAACCTGCACTCGGGAAGCTCTGGTTCTCTGTCCAACTTGGTTCCGTTCATACTACTACCCGGAGAAGTACATACACCGTCTTTTCGGGATACGAATTAGCATTGTCGGGAGGCTGAGTCTAGTAGGCGCGCGGATTTGCGGATTTCTGGCTGTAAATGCTCGGCCGTACAAATGGCTCATATATGACCGCGTGATTCCCCTGCTGCGAATGTGAATTGTCTCATTGCTGTGCACCCGTTGAACTCCGTCATGTGAAGCAGGTCCACTTTTGGTGTGTCGTTCTCGATGGATACTTTTGGATGCTCCTCAATTCCTACTAATGGTTCAATTAGTTGTGCCCGGCAACGTTGCGAGTGACATGTAACCATACATTTCCTAACTCCACACTCATGCATCTGGAGCCCATCTTTGCCAGTTACGTTCAAGCTTCCATTCTTATAGATGTTGGACCTTTTCGACGTGCGTCAGCATTCTGTAGACTTCAAGGCAGACCTACCGTTATGTTATGTGATGCAAATTAATTTGTTCGCTCCGCCTTCTTCTATACACATTAAAGTTCGGACTTGGAAACGAAGGTAGTCTATAGCATTATTGTATTGTATCAGAGTAAAGTTGCACGAGAGCGAAATGAGAAAAATGGCGACAGGGATGCGCAGGTATTGTACTAATATACATAGTCAGTGCAAGTCGAATGAGCTGTAAAATCTTCACAGTCCCAGACTGATATAAACTGCTCGATCTAAGCAACTATCTCGTAACCATCCTGTATATGCTGTCATCCATAAAAGGATCTGTTACCTGTATACTAATCAACGGCAAAGCTACTTCAGGGCGTCCGTGATGTCAATTGTCTCATCAAAAGCTCATACCTGTAAAAATTATGTCAGTGGAGACAACCAGAGAAGAAGGAAACGAGACGCACGTCAACATAGTAACAGCACTGTTTGGGACAGTGCGGAGGAGATTGATAGACAGACCTCTATACAAGGCCGTCCATCCCTCCTTCCGAATAAGTTTCTGTGTCATATAGATAATCCCGCCTCTGGGGTATTTCTTAATCATTCCATCAGATGAGAAATCATCCGCTAACGGCCGCCGTTGGGTTTGTAGTCGAGTTCGCACAACCTCATGAGGGTAAGTCGCGATGGACGCAGTCATTTTAGCAGCCGCGGAACAGAGCAATATCGCTCGGCCCGACAACGCTTCCTCCGAATCTCGTTCTAGAGGAATGGACGATGAGAGCAATTAGAATCGAGGATGCAGGGGTACTCACGAGCCCAAACTTTCAGTTGCTCATATAGCGGAAACTGTACGGCGACGTGTGCTATCCCGAGAAGGCTCGGGAGAAGGCCGCGGTAGAATGCTCGCAGTCCTTCTGTCCGATAAATCGTAAGTGCAGCATCAACCGTATGGCGGTATCTGACTTCGTCACGAGACTGAGTCTAAGCAAGCAACGAAGTATGTTCAGTACACGCGGAGACTAATATATGAGATGCCGCACCATGAATCGCGTCTTGATTACCCATAGAGGGTTCGTACAAATGGTGCTCGTTGCACCAGCACACATTGCCGACAAGATGTGCAATGACCAGGGATGTTCGCGCATCACAGGCTGGTATCCCTTGGGTTGAGCCGCAGGATACAACCGCTCGTGAGGTTGAGTCGGAAGTCCCAAAGGCACCTCCCCAAACGCACTCTTGATTCCATCGTACACCGCAAAGTAGATAGCCCAAGTCGGGAGATAACCCAGTATTGTCGGACCAAGTCCTCGATAGAATCCACGGAAGCCATCATGAATCCATATAGTTCTGACCGTCGCTGATACGCCGCAACGTGAGCCAAAATCGCCACGAAGCGAATCATCAGAACGCACCGAATATACCCTGATAGGACGCCTGTCCCTGCACCGCTCTCTGCGCCTGCAACTTGGTCTTAATAACGTCGAGCGGACATGTAGCAACGCTCGCAATGAGACCACCACCGGCACCAGCTAAGGGCTGGAGGTCAACGACAAAAAAGCCTGGAATAGCAGGGAAGGGACGCACCGATCATGCTGTTTGCGGTCCATTTTGCCTGACTTGACTGCATATCTCTGCCCCGCCGGTGCGCGGGGTCCTTAGGGTGTGTTGTCTTGCAGTCGTCGTGGTGCTCGTCGCAGGACGCCGTAGAGAGCAATGGTTAGCTGGATGATGACCAGAGCGTTCGGACCATCGGGTTCGCTATCGGGTTCGGCCGGCGGGTGTTATTTTCGGTTATTTCCCTTGACTCATCAGATGATTTACCTGCTTACCCGCGGCCGCGTTTGCTTTGCGTGCGTGAACCCGTAAATCTCCTAATCTTCGCCAAGTTCGCATCAAGTAAATTCACTACAATATCTCAAAGTACTGCCATTACAATAGAAGTTCATACTACGGACACAACTTCGTGGCCACTTCTTCAACCAATTTACGAACCTCAGCCTTCTTGACACCGTCTGGCCCACAACCTGCTTTTTCGAGCTTGCTCCTCAGCACATCACGGGCCTGAAGAACTTCAAGTAATGAAACCAGCTGATTTTCATAGAACGGGGATACTCGTAACAAACACGCCAGGGATGCGGTCAGCCGATGCACTAGCGGAACAGCGTCAGAAAAGCACTTACATAGTCAGAACCAATGAATGTACATACCAACATCTTCATTTTCCTTTTCCCTTCCTAGCATCTCAATGATTGCGCTGACCATTTCCACCTCCCAATCTTCATCCTCGTCCTCCGCCAATGTCCTGCCACCGCTTCTCACCTTGTCGATTCGGCCCTTCTGCACAAACGCGGAGGCATTGAAGGCCAGGCTTGCGGCAGAAGTCCGCACCGTCGCATCTTCATGCAATAGTGACGGTATCAGGAAAGCCGTGAGGCTGGCCTTGTTAGCGCCGATCAGCAATCTCTGCGCGAGAAGAGGCGTGGAGAAAGCGTTTGAAAGCATGCGTATCACCGTCAAGGTGTAATTACGCGGGGACGAGTTTGTAGCTTTTGATAAAAATATGGGAATGGGGTCTAGGGGGTTCGTCGCGCACCAGGTCCCAACAACTGGATCGAGGAAGCCAAGGCGCCACATATCAACTAGGGGGAAGAGTGATTCGGGGGACAGTACGGATGCCAAAGCTGCTGTTATTGTTATCCACATGTTGATCAAGACCGGCGTAGCAGATGGAAGAGGTGATTTGCTTGTTGTGTTGGCCTTTGATGCAAATCTAGACTTGAGGTATGGTACTATTGTGCCCGCAATTGAAGCCTTTACTTGCTCCTGTGATTGTGGCGAGTTGGATGGCCATGGTGTGGCGTCAATAAAAGATGCGAATTTGGTGCTGACGGTATCCAAGGAGGGAACTTGTGTGAATAAGATGGGATTCAGGGACAGTGCCTGAACAGCAGGAAGCGAGAGCGATGTATGAGGGTGAGCTAAATGACAGTTATTGAATAGATGGTTAATGAATCAGGGAGAATACTCACGAGGATATGCTTGGAAAATAAGTAAATCAATTTGTGTTCTAAGCTCTTTCTCGTCTGCGCCCTTCATTTCATGTACCTGTGCACAATTTTAAGTCGCAAGTCGTGACACAATGGATGCTACGAAAAACATACCTTTTTGCCATCCAAGAAGAAGATAAAAGTTGGCATGACTCTGACGCCCCATTCCGACGCCAACTGGTTCCCCATCGGTGTGCTCATATCTATCTTGGTGAAGGCAGCACCGACGCCGTTATTGCCCACCCTTATGCCCTTGTTTCTGGCAAGATCCTCATAGATTGGAGCGATCATACGACACGGCATGCAGGTCGCTATATTGGAGAAGTTGGCTACGACGGCGCGGTGGGTGCGGAGTAGATTACGAAACGAAGCCGAGTTGGTGCATGGATGCAGCGGCGCGGCTAAGGATTCTGTGGCAGGAAGGGACGTAGAAGCTCGGGCAGTCGAAGGACCTGCGCTACGCTGGGCTTGTTCTGCAACGGACTGGAGAATCGACGCAGCGAGAGCCGGGTCAGGCGCTTGGGCCGAAGTAAGCGGAGTAGGAGCAGGCGTGGCACCGGGTGTGGGACGACGGTACATGGAATCGATGGTGGGCCGTAGGGCTTGTCCAAACGGAGTGGAAAGGAAGTCCGTTGGCAGATCTATGTCCAGGCAGTCAATGACCGGTGAATCGGGAAGGAGAAGAAGTGACCTTTGATCCAGTCAGGAATGGAATTCCCAGTGAGGAAGCCCGCGACATCGTTGGTAAACGAGTTGCAATTAAAATCTAAGGCAGCCGTTAGAGGATAGTCGGGGAACTGTGGTGGGCTAACCTAGTAGATGGTACTACAATAAAACGAGATGGGGAAGAGTACCAGGCAGAGTGCAAAGCGTGACTTACTTTATCCGCGGTGTAATGATCACGCATGTCTTGTATGTATTCTACGAAGGTGTCTTCATCTATGGCAGTCTCGCCTAGGTCTATTATGTGTAAGGGCGAACCATGCTGTGAATCGTCAGAATTGGGGAATAGATACATACTGCTGGGCCTACTTACGTGCGAGCGACCAGGGGCAGTCGTGTTTATGCCTTGGCCGTAGAATACTTCTCTGCCAAAGACTACAATGGAGGTATGCCTGTGAGAACGGGTTGAATTTACGGCTCTGGGTCCAGTATAATATGCACCGCACCAGATGCCATCAATCTGCTTGCCGGTTAGCTGGCGGGAGAGCTGCCCCGCCATCCCCTTGCTGAGATCGTATACATATAATTTTACAGGTTGCATAGGGTACAGAACGAGAGACGCGTCAGTGATGCACAGCCATATGATCCCGACGGCATCCGCCACGTGGAGTGAGTGGAGGGCCGGGTACGGAAGCAAGCGGAACCCGGAGTCCCTAGGCGCAGGCATATAATAGGGAGCGCCCCCCTCCTCCTAGAAGCCCCTGACGATCGCTGGTGGTCAGCATTCGGGCACAGCCACTATTCCCGACGCTCGACCTCCATCCTCATGATATCGCCCTCCCTAGCAAATACCTCTCGCTTAGTATGTCGTCGTCCTGTCAGTCTTGATGTTTTCAATTGACAGCTGTTCAGCGAACTATATCGTGCGCGTCTTTGATACCAAGAGTTATGTCTAAACCCAGTGGAAAGGCTGGATTCAAGTCCACTGCATCCTCCAAGAACACAGATCCCCCCCCAGGATACGCTGTAGATCCCTCTGCTGACCCAATGCTACGTTACCAGGCATCTTTACCCCGCCTGCCCGTCCCTACCCTTTCATCTACCGTCCACAAATATCTCGAGACTGTTCGTCCCCATGTGTCAGAAGCCGCATACAAACAGACAGAATCTGTCGCCAAGGGCTTTCTCGCTTCGCCTTTCAGTGCCCAACTCCAGAAGCGCCTTGAAGCCAGAGCCACGGATCCCAACGTCACCAACTGGATCATCGATTGGTGGAATGATGCCGCATACATGGGTTATCGTGACCCTGTCGTAGTTTTCGTCAGCTACTTCTATGTCCACCTCGACGACAAGCTGCGCCGGGACCCAGTCAAGCGATCCGCCAGCTTACTCAAAAGTATGTTATCTTTCAGGGAGTTGACGGAAAGGTGCGCGTATATCTATCCTGATCAATCAAACCTTAACAGACGTATTCTCCCAGTCGTGCGCTAGAACCCGAAAAAGTACGGGGCGCACCTCTCTGTATGGCGTCCTACAAGTGGCTGTAAGTACCAATTGATGATGATGGCCATCGGCACATTCTTGACGCGTCAGCAGATTCCATTCATCCCGATACCCGAATAAACCTTCTGATACTGCCCACAAATTTGACCCTGCTGCCCACAATCACGTCGTCTTCGTTCGCAAAAATAAGTTCTTCAAGGTCCCTTTAATTGACTCCGCCGGCCGAGAGTTGTCTGCGGCAGAGCTCGAATTCCAGATAGAAAAGGTGATAGAGAAAGCCGGTTCATCCTCGGGTCTCCCTATCGGTGCTCTTACGTCTGACAACCGTGATCTTTGGACCGACGCTCGCGCGCACCTCATAGCCGCCTCTGCCGATGGAACGAACGCAAAGTCTCTGGAGGAGATTGAGAGCGCTATGATTGTCGTCTGTTTGGATGACACGAAGCCTGTCACCAGGGAAGATATATCGTGGGCGTGCTGGGTCGGAGACGGCAAAAACCGTTTCTACGATAAACATCAATGCAAGTCGCGTCGCGTTTTCTAGTATTGTTGTTTCATCATTTCATTTTTCTCCAGTGATCGTATTCGACAATGGTCGCTCGGGTTTTTTGGGGGAGCACTCGTGTATGGACGGAACCCCGACCTTGCGCTTGAACGAGTTCATATTGGCAACTTTGGCACATGGTAAAGTCGACCTCGGGCCAGCTAGATCTGCCGATACAGGGAAAAACCTTCCAGAACCGGTGGAATTGCAGTTTAAGGTTAACGACCAAGTGAAAATCCTTGTTCAAGGAGCTGAGAAGCGGTTTGAAGAATTGGTTACAAGTCATGATCTCCACGTACGTGGTTTCTATTCGTTTTGTCGTCTGTTGACCCTGACAGACCCGGTGTTCTAGGTTCTTCACTATGAAGGTTATGGCAAAAATACCATCAAGAAGTTCAAAGCCTCCCCTGATGCGTGGGCACAATTAGTGAAACAGCTCGCCTTTCATAAGATGTTCGGTCGTCCCGGTGTCACGTACGAAAGTGCTCAGACGAGAAAGTACCAACTTGGGCGAACTGAAGTCATTCGTTCCTCGAGTTCGGAAGCAAAGCAGTGGGCTGAGGCCATGCTAGATCCCGACGAGACGGTAAGTTGTCTGCCACGTTTCGCTTGTGCGGGTTTTGATTCAGGAAATTTTATTCATTTGTTCAGGACACTAATCGCGCGAGCCTGTTCCGTGCGGCCGTTACGCGGCACCTACAATATGCTGCTTGGGCGGCTGATGGTCAGGGTGTCGACAGACACTTCTTTGGGCTAAAGAAACTTCTCAAGGAAGGCGAGCAGACGCCTGAAATTTATAACGACCCTTCGTTCTCAAAGACCAACCATTGGGAGCTGAGCACGAGCAATCTCAGCAGCCCGTACTTTGATGGGTGGGGGTACGGCGAAGGTATGTACCAACGTAATTGTCAAGTGCGGCAGCTGACGGTGATCTACAAAGTTGTTCCGGATGGGTACGGACTGTCATACGCGATCGGTGATGACTATATTCGCTGGACGATTACTAGTTTGAAGAGGAATACTGCCGAGCTGAAGCACTACCTTGCTGAGGCAGCCACTCAGACACGCGTCATGATGGAGAAAGCGCAAGCTTTGGAGAGCAAACTGTAGAGAAGAGCAGATAATTTACAACAAGAATTGTATCTCGGTTTTCAAAGTTCGGCCAACTGATCCGAGCCAAGTGGAAATTGCTATTGGGTGAGCGGTCTTTCAGCGGAAATTAGAAATAAAAAAGATCCGCTGGACCAACAACGGGTCGCAAATCCTACATCGTATCAAGTATCCTTGACGGAGATTTGACAAGAGACGGAAGGAGATAGGATTCAGTGCTGAGTTTAGAACACCGGTATGCGGTCACATTTAATGCTGCCGTTGCATTCCTCGAGGCCTTCTTTCAATATGCTTCTGATTTCCCCTTCACAATGTCAAATTCCACCACTACGGTCGTGATGGGGCCCCTGGAACTAGAAAGAACAACAGAACGGTATCAGGATGCCATAGAGAGACATTCCCTTTTATGTCCCAGCATAAAATACTGCCGAGCCTCCGACAGGTCCCTTTCTGCCCGATTCTCCTCATCCGAATCCCTCGCATTCCAATGTCTGTACTGACCGGTCATGACCATCCTGAAGAGGACGTCGACCGCCCCTCAAAAAGGGCTCGCTGTGCATCCGCCGAAAGTGGTACTACGATGAGCGGAGATGACGAATCTGGACACCACCACAGCCACGGTCATAGCGCCAAGGAGCACATCTTCATCGCTGATAGCGTGAACGGTACCAAACGATCCTCTGGGAAGAAGGTGGGCGTATTATCTTGGAATATGCTGCAGTCGACTTAATTTGCTATGTAGACGACCTTGTCATGCCAGGAATGTCGCAGGTTAGTCTGATTTCTCACTCGCGCTCGGTGTCTTGCTGAGTGGGTTTCTCCTCGCTAGGCTAAAACTCAAGGTATAGCTCTCGTAACGTTGCAAAATCGTGTATTTACCGGTAGGTTTTAATTAGTGCGACCGTAATTTTCCCTGGTGAGACTCCTTAAGCAATTGCATTTGAGCCGGTCAGCTAAACTTGGGTCTCGTCCCTCTCAGTGGTTCATGCAGGAAGAGAGGCGTCAGCGATATCTGTCCCAATGGCAAGTATAGCCTTGCCTTTTAATGCGTGTTATCACTTTGACTTACACTCCGCAGGTGCTCTCGTTTCTGGGAAGGGCACGCGGTCAGCGCCCGTCATGCGTGTCGCACCATTTCTCTATTGACATTTTTTCATTCGCCAGGTTCATTCTGGCTAACACCGAACAGTTGCATAGCAAGATCAATGAAATGGGTGACCGTATCCGTGACCTCGAAGAAGCACTGGCGAAATCCACCTCCACCACGGATACGCACCCTCTTTTGCAACCTACTCTTCTTGGTGTAAAGAGCACAGTCAACCTCTATCGCACGTCCCGGGCAAGCCCAAATTCAAGCAGTGACGCCCTTTCCGACCCGGAGCATGAATCAGCATCTGCTGCGTCGCCACAGTCCACGAAAGGCGGAGCGGACATCGACGCCACATTGTCTCTCTCTGACACCGAAATGATGATTGTATGTCTAGACCATTCTTCTTTCGTTATTGGAGACTAACGTCATTAGGATGAGCCACTCACGGATGGGAAGCAGATTGAAGCGGAAATATTGCGCCTGAGCCATAGCTTTCCAATGCCTCACAAGGATTCTCCGGAACCTAACATCCCGTTACGGTCCTATATCAGAGGTATGCTTCCTCCGCAGGCTGAAGCGGAATATCTGTGGCAACAGGCCAAAGGAAACGCTCTCTGGCAGTATGTCTCTTTTTTTCCTCATTTGATTACTCCAGATGGAATTCATATTTTATTATGTACTAGGTATAATCCGCACTCGGACGAATCGTTTTATTTCCACCTCGTTCAACACTGTTACAACAGTCCGATCGAGGACACATGTCCGCGCCGTCTCGCTCTGCTCTTCATGATAATGGCGGTTGCTTGTCTCGTGGATTTGAGGCGGCCTCCGTATTCTGCTGTGGCTGAAACGTATCACACGGTCGCCCGCGCTGCTTTATCGGAAATTTCCGTCATGGAAGATACGAATGTTGAGACTGTTCTTGCGCTCTTCTACGAAATCTGGTATCTTCTTGTCTTCTCTGACAAAAAGAAAGCTGCGGGTTATGCATGGGGATTAATGGGACTTACGGCAAAGTTAGCCCAAAGTGTACGTCCTGATTTGTTGTTCGTCTCGTCTGCTGCTGTTCTGAATGTCTGCATATAGATTGCCCTTCGTAGGTCTTCGTTGATCCAGTTTTTCCTAGATGGATGAATTAAGTGATGTACATAGATCGGAATACCCCATCAATGAAGCTTCAACCTGAAGAGGTTGAACGACGTCGTTGGTAAGCCGCGTGGCACCTTTCATTTAATGTCTATACTTACTAGGTTGTAGTCTGTTCTGGGAACTGATGTATCTCGACGCCCGACTATCTTTGTCCCTTGGCAGGCCGCCGTCGCTGTCATTAGCCCACATGGATTGTCCACGCCCGGTATATACCCCGGACCCCAGCGCCCCTCCTGCGGAGGGACTTCATCATTGTAAATTACATTTTCGGCTCTTATTGAGTTCATTATCACTGACGTATTTATCTTGTAGTCCAGGAGTGGAAACATTCATGCTATGTTCATTGTTTGGCACCCGTCCTTGAACTCATATCTCAACCTAATTGGGAGTACACGAAAGTCCTCGAACTGGACGCGAAGATCCGAGACTTTTCCGTCCCAACAGCTTTACGTGCTAGAAACCCTCAACATCGGTCATTTTTGATGCAAAAGGCATCTCTGACAACCGCTATTGAAACCGGTCGGTGGCTTATAATTGATTACGGTTGACATTCCCAGGCTGATATTTTGTCGTAGTCCTTTTACAGCTTCATCGAAGCTATTTCACTCGGGTCGTCAGCGGGGCAGAAGGAATTGTTAACCGCCACCACCGATACATTCCATCATGTGTAGCCGTGTTCCTCAGTGCCTCTCGTATGATCGCAACTATCCAGGACCTATACGACCGTGAACCGGAACTGACGTCGCGTATTTTGGGATACTGGTCCAATACTTTCTCTGCTGCAGTACGTTATTGATGTTCGCCACGGGATTGATTCTGATTATTAGATTCTAAAACAAGGTGGCCCTTTGTTTACTCGTTTCTCGGGCCCCAGCTGCGTGTCTCGTTCCCACATCCTTGCAGGAGCTGGAACGTGCTCGCTCCCTGTTCAACTCAGCAAAGGAACAGTGCCCCAGGGCCATGGAAATTACTGTGAGTACAGCCAAACTTGGGTTCACAAGGATGGAACTAAGGTGTCGATGTCATAGCCTATCCTTGAGACGCTAATCGATAAAGCCAAGCACATCTATTCTCGCTGGACGACTGCTCAGAATGTGCCTACTGTCTATTACGATGAAGAGGATGACGATCCTGACTTCGATCTTTCGGAGGAGGAACTGGTTGAATTGATGTCGACCCAAGGTCCGTTCGCTTCGGCACACTCTAGCCTTGTTCAGTGCCAGATCGAAGTAATTGAGCGTGGGAGATGCCGCACGAACTTCCAGGCCAGTTACCGCGATGTTTCGTCTCTGTTTTCGACTTCGTTGTCTCCTCCGCCGGTGCATGTGATTTCCCCTGTGCTGCCCCATTCGAGCCCGCGTGCTCCCAATGTCAGTGACCCTGTTGCCCTGCGTACCTCTGCGAAGTCTATTGGAGTGGATACAATGAGTATAGAGATGAGTGCAATGAATTTGGGTGCCGACAGCGTTATGGCGTGGTTCTGAAGAAGGATACTGTCGCAAATGTTTTTATCTTGAATATCTACGTACTATGGCCTGTCTTAGTTAATAGAAATAACTCCAACTTGCAGATCCTTCACAAGCCTGTTTTTCGGACTTGGGTTCCGTGTCGCTCGGGGTTGATGGTCGATCTAAAAATAGTTACCGCTAACATAGAGATACGGGTAAGAGATTTCAAATAAAATAGAGCAAGGCGAATTAGGAGAGTAGGACAGAAAAAAAGACGGATATTCATACGAACTGAGTGGAGACAGCACCGGCCAACCTGAGGGAGCGGAATTCGGCGGTAAATATAATGGGACTGTTTGCCTTGGGCATCAAATCAACCTTCCACAAGCTTCAACCCCGAGGACCCTACGGAGTCCCTTCTGATTCATTCATTCTATACTCTTTGTCTTTTTCATTCTTTTTATCTGATTTTTGGTCCGTATGTATGATCCTAGGGCAACCTCCAGCCTCGTTTTGCATGGCGACGGTGCGGAAGGCAGTCGTCCTCCAAAAAGGCCCCGTAGCGGCTGGCCTTACCCACCAGACGACACGTATCAAGACAACTTCCGCCATGTACCCCCCCACGATGCCCCAGAAAATGCAAGAAATAGTCGTCAGGATCTGCCAGCTCACAAAACTCCAGACAAGGAGCGTGGGCGGCGGTTGTCCTGCAGAGAGTGTCGAAGGTGAGGGTTTCGCGTCATTCTCGGGATTTATACTGACGAAAATACCTAGGCTTAAGCTGAAGGTATGTTTATCTCTGCAGTATGGAACTGAGAGTTGAATTTGCATTCGCAATCCAGTGCGATCGTGTCTTCCCCTGTCAGGTCAGTGAGATCGTAGCGGAATGTTCCTGAGCCCTGATTTTCTGTCTTCACACAGTCGTGTAGAAAGAGAGGGTGTAGTGATATCTGCCCCGAAGGTCGGTGTCTCTCGCTATTTTTGCTCTAAGATATCCCAACTCTCTGCCAAATTTTTAGGTGCTTTGACCTCGGGCCGTGGAAGTCGGTCAGTTCACCGTCTTGATATTGTCTCCTTTACTATGCTGACTGGACCAGGTTTATTCTCGCGAATACTGAGCAGCTACACGAAAGAATTACCCAACTCAGTGACCGTGTCCGCCAATTAGAAGATGGACTGCTGACCCTTCAGGCTTCTTGTTCAAATGAACCGCATCCGTTGCTCGCACCCGACCTCTTACGCATTAAAAACTCTCAGCTGCGCCAGTCTCCTACTACTGAGTCTCACGGTCGTGACGATACACCCAGGAATCATGTGGATTTCCCTAATGCCCTCCGGAAGCCCGAAGATTATTCCATGGATGTGAGTACTGCGGTATTCTGCACATGTATCAGGGCTAATTTTTTCTCTACAGCGACCTAACCTTATTGTGGGCCTTTTTTTCTTTGATCTTGTGATCCTGACTGACTCGAACGTATGAAGCCATACGGTGCATTGGCAATAGTTCCTGATATTAATATACCCTCCGACATTCTCCACCTGAGTGTCGCCTTTCCCTTTCCCTGGTCGGTGGACATCAGCATCCGGAAGCGCATCAGAGACTGCCTTCCGCCTATTGAGGAAACCCACCGTCTTTGCGACCAGGCATGTCGCAATGCTCTTTGGCAGTAAGTATTTTGTTACTCGCTTGCTTTCATTCGGATCTCATCCCGTTGTATAGGTACAACCTGGACGCCTCGGAAAGCTTCTTGCAAAATCTTATGCATCACTGCTATGCATCATCTATTGAAGATCTAAGTCCCCGCCGTCTCGCTTTGCTACTTATGATTCTATCGATTGGGTCCTTGGTCGATTTACACAAGCCTCTGGGCTCGTTGCATGGCGAAGCCTACCACCATCTTGCTCGTGCTGCCGTTTGTGAAATACCACTGATGGAGGAACCCGATTTTGATGAGCTGCACGCTTTGGTACGTCCGTCCTTGTACGTCATATCCGTCGTCTGGACTCAGCGACCGAGCAGTTCTTTATGGTTTTGTACCATTTAGTGTTTTCGGATAACAAGAAAGCCGTGGGATATGCCTGGAATTTACTGGGATTCATCGCGAAATTAGCCCAAGGGGTGCGATCTAGGTCTCTATCCATCTTCCTCTTGGTACTGATCTTTGGTATTTGCGTCCCTAGCTTGGTCTACGTACGTTCGCCTCGTTTTTTACCTGTGTCCAGAGTGTGCTAACTTTAAATTTCCAGACCGGGACGGCAGCAGATTGAAGGTCATCCCTGAGGAGGAAGATAAGCGGAGGTTTCTGTTTTGGGAACTACTGAATCTAGATTGCCGACTGGTTCGTCCCTTAAAACTCTAATAAAGTCCACCGATCGTTGACTTGTACGCAGAGTTTGTCCTTGGGTCGCCCACCATCCATTTCTCTGGCTCATGTCGACGTTAAGCGACCCAATTACCGTGCTAAAGGGCTGAGCGTCTCTCGAGAAGAAATACTGTGTGAGTCGCGTTACCGCAAATTCATCCTCCGATTTGATTACGAATTGCACTAGATCATGAGTGGAAGAATACTTTCTTCATCGAGTGCTTGACTCCGATTTTGGAAGCCATGATTGCTGTCACGCCCCCCGATTACTCTCGTGTGATACTTCTTGACAGATCTGTCCGGACCTTTGGTGTTTCACCGCTTCTAGACGAGAGTAATACCATGAATGGAGTCAAAACCCGTCTGTTATCGATGCAGCGAGCATTTGTTGCTACTAGCAGAGATATTGGTGCGTTCAGTCTTTTCGTGCGCTAATTATGGCTAATGGCGCTACGAAGCTCTTCTGCAACTCCATCGTCGGTACTTCACAGACGCAATGAATAATTGTCCTGAGCCCTTTGACTTTTACCATCGGTTCGCACCATCTGTTGTGGCAACATATCTTGGAGCATCCTCTTTTATATCTACTGTCTCAAAATTATATGAGCAAGAGCAACATTTAAGTGCCCGTTTTCTATGCTTCTGGTTCAATGCCTTTTCGGCAGCTGTACGCTTCTCATCTTTCAATTGGCCCAGTATTAACGGCCTTTCCTTCAGGTTACATTGTCATTATTCATATCAAGAGCACCATCGAGTCCTCTAGCCACGTTTGCTCTTCAAGATCTTGAACGAGTTCGCGAATTATTTATACACGCAGCGACTATTCTCCCGTTTAGTGCAAAGGCCCTCGTGAGTATTTCGCATGTGAATTTCGGACCTCAGGTAGCTGAATTATTTTTCTTTCTAGCCCCTGATAGAAAAGGTCACGGAAAAGTCTCGCCACCTGCACATGCAAGTGCGACGAAACTCCTTGCAGGATGGCACCCTCGAAAGTTCTATGACGGAGACGTCGCAAGGCTCCAACACCTCCAATATCATATTGCCCTCTTCTTTCACTGATGCACATCCATCCTTGTGCCAATACGCGGAGCGGATCATCTCGACACCAACGCTACCCATTTCGCGGATGTATGTATCCGATCTTCAGAATGTGGAGGACGAAAGGACATGGTTGCCAGAGGTATACCGCTTCCACAGTGCTGGAATAACGATCGACGACCGGTATAATTTTGCGTCGGCGCAGCCAACACCGTTCTCCCCGTCAGATCCTCGTGTGGGGAAGCACGAAACAGTAAATTTCGATCACGGGGCAATCACAGTTGATCTTAGTGATACCAGCTATATGGCCTGGTTCTAGTATAGGGCATATTATTTGCGATGTAACTTGGTTTATATTCTGCAGTGTACAGTAGGACGATTATGTAATCCGACCCTGTTATGGTCGACGGCATGACGAACCTGTTAACTTATTAGACAGCTGCCTTGTACTCTCACCTTCTCACTTTCTTCCGCTCAATATGTCTCGAATACGAGAGGTATGGGCACTGAATCTTGAAACAGAGATGCATGCAATCCGCGGAATTATCGAAAACTACCCATACATTGCCATGGTTCATCCTCATCGTTTGTGCCACTGCTGGCGCTAGACTCACAGCTTCTCATAATTCCAGGACACCGAATTTCCGGGTGTTGTAGCACGCCCCATAGGAAATTTCAAGACTTCTTCCGACTATCACTACCAGACAATGCGCTGTAATGTCGACCTTCTCAAGATCATTCAGGTTGGCATCACCTTCGCGGACGAGGATGGCAATTTTCCACCGGAGACCTCGACGTGGCAGTTCAACTTCCGGTTCAGCATCAAGTGCGGTATTCTATTCCTTTGCTTCCCTTTCGACGCTGAGGTCGACGTGGTCTATTACAGTGACGACATGTACGCCCCCGACTCAATAGAATTACTTCAAAAGTCTGGCCTCGATTTCCAGCGGCACGAGGAAATTGGAATCTCACCACAGGACTTCGCGGAGCTGATGATAACATCAGGCATGGTTTTGGCTCCCGACACCAAGTGGGTGTCTTTCCACAGGTAAGCGTTGTATATCCTGTCGCGGTCATGGACTTGCATGTCGATTTGGAGCCATCATCTCCTCATGGGTACTCGTCTTTCTCGCATTGTCTAGCGGGCTGAGTGATTGAATACAGTGGCTATGATTTTGGGTATTTCGTCAAGCTCCTCACGGCGGTCTCCCTACCAAAGACAGAAGAAGAGTTCTTTGACATCCTTCGGATATGGTTCCCGACTGTTTACGATATAAAATTCATGATGCGGGCATCCAAGGTGCTGAGGGGTGGACTGCAGGACGTGGCAGACGACCTAGGGGTACGTCATCGCATATTGCTCCGTCCCAGAGTGCTCAACTTTTTCTAGGTTGTCCGTATTGGCAATTCACATACAGCAGGCTCCGACTCACTCCTTACTGCCTCTACGTTCTTCAAAATGCGCGAAATGTACTTCAACGACACAATTGATGACAAGGAATATTCGGGGAAATTGTACGGCTTTGGACAGACGTTCCCGCTGACGAACGGTTTGACTGATCCTGGGCGAGGTGGAGTGACCATTGCAGAGAGAGAGGACCGGGGAACGTTGGCTACGAGGGACACGCACGCGCAGACACCGGGGCAAATCGCTGCTGGCATCGCGCAGACACCAGTTGGTATGGGCATACCCATGTCCATACCAACACCCCTACCAAATGGCGCATACGGACCACTAACAGCGAATGGGCCATATATAAGGACATCGCTTGTCGGTGGAGGTCGTTAACTATTTTCTCCTTCGTCTCTCATTCGTTGCTTTGTGTACAGAGTAAGATGGATCGTCTGTTGTGTACTTGTCGTTATGTTTATTAGCATCCTTTAACTCACTCTTTTTTGGTTTCGGAGTGATCGATTCTGCAGGAAAACTAATCTTACAAGGCTGTATCAATATTTATGTCGTTCAAATTACTCCTACTCTTTTTCCTTCATCTCCTCAGTCGGAAATGTCGAGAACATATCCCTGAACTTACCAGTAGGCATAGCGAGGAATCCGAGGAAGGTTTCATATGGTGGCTCGTAGACACAGAAGGATGGGCGCTGGAAGAAAGCGACGGGTACCAGAGTACAGAAGTGATCACCTACCGCGTTGGAACGACCTTTTTGGTTGTTCGGAAGCTGCTAGCTGTCTTCTTACTATCCTCGACACCGAGCACAGACTCAAGGAGAGGGAGATCTTGTTTCCTCGTTGTCATTGTGCTCTTGTAAATCATCCATAATCTGCTTCAGCTGCGTTCGATGGTCTCGGGACCCGGGCTCCATGTATTCGAGGGCTCCCAGCATCTCTTTGACGCGCTATGGCCTAATTAATATATGATCTTTGCGGGCAGCCTTGTTGATAATCACATATCTGATGGTCATTGCGGTCTTCATCGGCCAACTTGAATCCTTTCTCCCCTCGGTTTCTCTATCAGAGGATAGACGTCGATTTCTTCCCCTACCGCATGGCGAGCAATTTCCCAAGTGAGTTGCCGAGACCAGCGAGCCTGAGCGTCCGTATTTCCGCTGGCTTTAATATAATGATTATAGTATTCATGCATCTAATGAAATACCTATTTAAAATGGATGAAAAGAGGAACGAAGTTCAAAGAGAAAGCTGAACGGCATACCTTCCCATGATCCTCCTTGATGGCGGCGGTGAGTGTTTCTTTTTTGAGCCTGATCTGTCGCCATTGTTTGAGATAATAAAAATGAGTTTAAGTAAGCTATATTTCTTCCCAGACGGCTGAGAGAGACCGATATGTTTCTAGCAAATAAGAAAAATGTAGCATTGACAGAAATAACGCTCCACATTTCGGGAACTATATATGTTTGAACCTGTCATTACGAACATGAATTGTTGCTCTGACGCGCCTTAGATCTCAGCGACGCAGAGCAGTGTCAGTTCAAATTTCATTCAATTTGCTGAAGACTTTTTGGGAAATCGTGGCATAGAAGACAAGGATTACAGTCAGATGGCGAGCAACCCTTTTGACGGCATCATCATAGTAACGAAGGGACTTCCTCTTTTGGTCATGGCCGCCATGGTGCGCGACCACGTGCAAGGTATCACCCAATGGTAGATCAGTTCTCTGTTACTAGCCTTTGGAAGTGTCGACGCAGTCAATCATCGCAGAAGTACCTTCGCCGTCTGCTCACAGATACTGCGTAGCAGTCCAGGTCGCGCCGGTACAAGCGACGCGACTGCAATCGACAATGCCTCCAGCCTGAGGAGAATTGACGTAACGTAAGTTATGTATCCCTGGAGAAGATGGAGCTGTTTTGCGGAACATTTGTTGAGTACACTCTTATCTGCCGCTGTTTATATACCTGCCAAAGTCAGTTCGGAGTCATCGTCGCATATTTTAAGTGCCCCCTCGTCGAATCAAGTAGTGAGGGCTCGGCTACGAGATATGCGCTTGACTAATTGTGTCATGAGCCTGTCGTTGATGTGCGCTGACCCTTATACCATGCTCTGAACCCGGCGCGTGGCCTGTGGCAGCAGTAGACCATAGATAACCACATTCATCTCAGCTGTGTGCTTATGTATATGCACGCGCCATATCGTAACGCAACCGGATTTCACGAGCTTTCTGGCCCAGAAGACCATAAGCCTACAAAACTGGTCAACTCTTGTTGTCCTCCAATACAGAAGATGTTCCTTGACGTGGATACTACCGCTCCCGATATCATTTCATGCAAACTTGGTGGATTAATGTCCGTTTCAATGATTTTGCAACGTTGAGCTGGGATCAACAACAGTCCTCTAGAACGGCGAATTTCAGCTCCGCAAACTCCATCATCATGCCGTATCTTTCGTCGATCTTTCATTCAGGACCACCGGCCCTGCACTGCAATTGCAGCTTGTCGAATATTCTACTAATACTACGTGCTGTAGTCTATACACCGTTGGTTCGGCGAGGTCTGCCTCGCCATACGTCGTCATTGCTGTGTGGTCAACGTTAAAGCCGCAACGGTACCACACTGTGCCTTTCGCTAACCGCGTACTCAGCTCCTCCGTGTAGAATGCGTCGGCCATCGGGTTGATTGACGGAATAAGTCTTGTGCATGCGACCACTTTCATTTGCGCTAATGTAGAAAGACACCTCAAGGCTCTCTGCTTTGATAATACAGATATGACAGGTCCACGCAACATCATTGAACTGAAATCTCCGCTGCCTGATAATCTCGGATACTTTTCTATTGCGTCAATGATGGTGATCTCAAAATGATAAGTACACTCCTGGTTTGCGCTATTTCATCATTGAGACTGAGCTCGAATAGAAATCACGGCATGGTCATTGATGCTAGTTAATGGATCTCCGCATGTACGTACTTATATATGTCCCCGCATCGAGCTAGACTCTCAAAGGTGTGGCAAAGTAACGGGGAACTACTGGAAAGCTTAAATACCTAACGTATTGTATATCTGAATCATCCAGGATGTCTGAAAACCATCACACCATTTCCACCTATGGAAATGGATTAGCATCTTGAAATGGCATGAGTAATGCAACGTACATAGTTGCTTGGGAAAATCCCCTTCTGACCTGTTGTACTGAACCCTGAAATTGATAATTAATCATTATCAGAAGATGCGGACACAGTTCTCCTACCTTCCCACCATCCATCACCGTAGTGCTGGCCTCCAGTGGGACCACTCGACAACTCAATGACTTCACCCTCTCTAAGACCAATCTCATCATGACCCCCCGCTTCATATTGATAAATCACCCTGACTGAATGATGATATAGATCAGACCACCTAAGTGCCTACGAGGGCAAATGGTATAAGCGTACCGTATCGACCTGACCCTTGTTCCTTGCCGTGAGATTGGAAAGAAGATGGGGTAGGGGTAGGGGCTGAATCTTCTTCGCCGTGCGCCAAGTATGTTGCAGGAACAAGACCGGCGTTGCCATGAGGATCGGATACCTTCACCCACCCGGAACCATCATCTGGTTCCAGAACATTGACAATGGTGCCATCTAACACAACAATAAGCAGAAAAAGATACCCGGTTTTTCATGACAACTCACCTGTAATACTCAGCTCGAACTCAGATGTAGCCTTGAAGTCAAAGATGGCCCGGGCCGTAGGATAAGAAACCTCTTCTTGGTGAGTGGGCGGGACAAAGGAAGAAGGTGGGGGGGTCTGCAGTACAGACGGCGCTAGAAAATAATATTCAGTATACATACTTGGAGCTGAGGAAATAACATGCTCGCAATGGTCGAACGTGAGCTTGCGCTTGTAGACTTCCGCGAAAGCATAGACGGGCTACGTGATGTGCCGCCACGCTGACAATCAGCGGGCACCTGGGCAGTTTAGGCATTGATTACCGCAGAGCTAAAATGCACAATATAGGCTCCTTACTTTGAGCTCGCACTTGGAATGGACTGATATCCCGCAGACTTTGCATGTCTTTCCCTGCTTACTGAGGCCCCATATAGACGTCTATAAAGCTTGAGTTAAGACGAAAGAAAGTCAGGGAGCATGCTATTAATCTTACCTGACAATAACCGCAAGTTGTGGGGATAGAAAAAGACGAGCTCTTGAAAGAATGTGGTTGTTGGGCCCCCAAATCATCTAGAGCCTAGATGAGAAGCGCCGGATAGAATGAAGTATATATACAGACCTCCGACGGCGGCTACGATAACCTCTATTTCGGCACTCAAGATACATTCCGACGACCAAAAATGTACCAACTGATGTCGACTTTCCATGTAACTCTATATTAAAACGTCAATTAACGTCATCCTTTCGTCAAAATATAATGACAGTCAGACCTCTGATATTTCATCAGCATTTCCTAGTGAGCTTTCTGCGTCGTAAGCGGCCTCGAGCTTAACGAATTGTTCCACTTCGCGTTCTATGAAAGTTAGCTCAGAAGAATGATAGACGGGTGACGATTATTACACACTCTTATTGTCAATCACAGGACTAAGCTCCTGCAACTTGCTTCGACTCTTGCTAAGTATGTTCTGCAAAAATACCTTTGGTGCAGGATCAACGCTCAGATTTTCCTGCGCGGCACACATATCATCAGGCGATTAGCGCCATTACGTAGAAAGAAGAATCTTACTGACGGTGTCATAAAAAGTTGCACAAGGTTCGAATTTCCAGTCACTAGGGGGACTGAAAGGTCGGATATTATGATCAATGAATAGATCCTGGTCCTTTGAAGGGTTGATCTCTGCCAAGGATCTCTCAACGGTGGCTAATCGATTTTTAAGGACATCCAGATGATTGGACTGAAGCGCTTGGGCATGCTGGAGAATCTTGGTAAATCGCTCGACGAGCCGGCTCTGAAGGATTTCTGCGATCGTACGCAGAGCATGTACATGAGCATTAAAGCTGTCAATCGGAACGGATACATACGCAGTTGCTGGAGGATAAGTCAGCTGTCGGAATCATGCCAAATATGCCACCGCACCACACATACATCTTCTAGAACTGGTAGGTCATCTTTGTAAAATTTGGCTTTTATCTTGTTCGACACCTCGATAGATATAATGTATGAACTGAGTCGATACAGGTGAAACCGAATTCCGGACACAGATACAAATTCATCCCACTTTTTGCAGTTTAGCATGTCATTGCGTTGTTGGTCTGCTTGTCTTGCAATACGTTCCGCATGTCGGTCGTCGTGTGCTCGACCCTAATGCGCATGATCAGGTGCCTGGAAGGCATATGGAAGAATTCGAACTCAACCTGCTTCTGGCGATGAAGGTCTACTTCGCCACACTCGTCATCGTACTGGAGACAAATCCTTTAGAGGTGTCCTCGGTGTATACAGCTTCTTATTACCTTTGCTTTATTCTGCCGATAGCCATTAGATTATTGATTCAAAAGGCCGATTATCAAGTACATCGCAGGAATAGTTCTGACCTTCAGGCGTTCAGCGTAGGTACGGTCCCTATCTGAGACCAGCTTCTGGAAAAATTGCATCTCCTATTCCGAGTCACAGAGGTGAGTTATTTGAAATCACTCGCGAAGGTCGGGACATCATACCTTCTTCTTAGTTTCCTCATTTTTGCGCCCTAAAGCTTTGAGAAGGTCGACGACCTGAGAGGTCAGGACTTCGGCCACATTTACGTGATCTTCGGCGGTGTTGGTCATGGACTGAATAATTTTGTCATAAGCGGTATTCAGGGTACTGCAAGGCTCTGTGAGCAACGGAGTTTGCGCCTCAGGGACAGTTATTACCTCTGCTTCAGGGTCCGCTCGTCCCACGCCTTGGTAGGATCATCTCCAACTACGAACGAGCTCTCCATTTTACTCTTCTTCTCTGCTGCTTTCTTTGTCAATGCCTGAAGCTTGGTAGCGTATTCACGCTCCAAAGCGACACGATCCCTATACAAGTCGCGGACCTAAACTGCAATGAGAAGAGCAAACAAGGACCGGATGACACCCACATCACTAATGACCTCTAGATGGGAGTCAAATAATGTCGCAATTCTTTCCACTTGATCCTGTTGAGTGCGTTGTTAGTCCGACCTTTCGTCGCTAACACGGAGGTAGACATCGATATTGACGAACAGGGAGAGTGGTGCCATATCGTTGGCCAATCGCCTGCATCTCGGTGTTCGGTCTTGTGCAGGGCCGCAGCGATTCCTGATGCTAAGGGCGCCAAAAATTCGTCCGAGAAGTAGCAGGACAAGGTCTGACAGGCCGTCGGTTGCTACTACTGAGGCTGATGTCATGGTTGTGGCGGTGCATATGTCATGGACAGTTCTTTTGTGCGACGCGAGTAATATTCGAAGCTTAACGACTGTGCAACTCACTCCGAGACTTGGAAGGGTAGAACCATCCATTCTTTAGTTCTGCAATGCTCAGGTGCAGTATCGATGGTCAAAATGCCGTCACCCACTTTTTTAAGCCTCCGCGGTGCAAGGTCAGCTACTACACGGAAATTTTGAAAGGAGAAATCGTCTTAACGCCACTGCATCACGCAGAGTACTAGTTCAACACAACCTTGAGTCTTATGAACATAGACTCCTTCCTCCGAGGTGGTCCAAGGCGCAGGCTACACCTAGAACGCGACAATTGAGCCACCGATTCGCGACCAGTGAATACATAACATTCGCAAGCGGCATCCTTGGGGAATCGGGTTCATTGAAGCAAATATTCACCGGCAGGAGTTTTTCGGAGAGATTGTTGCGCGACTTACCCTGAGAACGCCATGATTAAAATGATGATGACTCGGAATACGTACGTGTAAGGAACACGTTGCTCTGAATGGATTCAAGCGCGCAGTAGGAGCGTTCATTAATAAACGGTCTGATCCACATGGAAGCCTACGAAGCCAAGTAGGAAAGAAATCAGGCCTTCTCTTCGTAAAGAAGAACATTCTGCCGCCATAATCCCCCTCAACCGCTGGGGCGTGTGGTGCCAAAGTGGTATATGGGCGTCATATAATGGGACGGAAACTGCCTGTTCTCTCAATCAAGAAAACCGGGGGAAAATAAATAACGCGGGGTTCAGGGCTGAGTAGAAATTTTTCGAGGTTCACAAGTCTACCAACCTACTGCCGGATGGGCGCGATTATTAGGTAATTTTCTTCATCACCTGTGACTGATCGGTTTATGTCGCGTTTCGATCTTGGCAACTTGCAGCGTTTTTGTGAATCTGCAGGCAACGTGCCCTACAGGCGATGATTAGATCTAATAGGACTGGGGGGGGGGGCGATGCCTGGGCTGCTCTGTCGCTACCGCACTAGTTCTTCATATCATCTGTCGCGATTCCTGATGTGTCACATCTCCGCGGTCCGAAGACGGATGTGGCCTCAACTTCCCTCGCCGCGCCGCATTACTTGGCCTCACGACACGTCTGGACGCCAGTCACCCCCTTTCAGTTGTCTACTTCGTAAGTATAGCACCGTAAAAATATGCCGTTGTTTGTTTTTTTTACCGGGGAAACGGGGGTCTGAAATAAGCACTAGCGGGATTAAGTCCTAACCATTATTTCATGGATCGTATACACGCGGTGGAACTTCGCACAGGTATAAAAGCATATTGAAAATCCTGCTGATGTCGTTGTCGAGCTCCCCCACCTTACTCGCTTCACATCCCTCCAACGGTAGCTGCTCGCACCTTACCACCTCACGCCCTCTGTCATGTTCTCCTTCACGACGTCGCATGTCATTCTCGCACTGTTCGTGCTTTTCTCGTGTCTTTCAATAGTCCCTGCTGCTCCCGTAGCCCCCGCCGCAGAACTCGAAAAGAGAACTGACCACGAAGGTCTCGTCAGTGTTTCCCTCTCTTGACGATTTCCGCCCGGTCTAATTGTATTGGTTTCTTACAGGGAACATGGTTCTATCCGGGTTGGGGCAATTGCGGCTATTATGACGGCGATAACGACAAGATCCTTGCAATGTCGAAATCTTTCTACGATTCAAACGGCGGTTCCAACTGTAATCAGGTCCGTTCTTTGCAATTATCCCAGGTACCAACAGCGCCCAATGTTCCTCGTTCATGCAGTGGGTCGAAATTGTCAACGAGGATAACGGCAAGACAGCATATGGTCTTCTGAGGGACAGTTGCGAGAGTTGTGGATGGAACGATATCGGTACGATGCACGAGACGACTCAAGTGTACATCTGCTGACTCTTTCCTTCTTTGAATTTAGACATGTCCCCGGGCCTTTTTCAGGAACTCGACGAACTCTCAACAGGGGAGATCAAGGTCAAGTGGCACTTCATGGAAAAGTCGTGGAGCCCGTAAGCGCCTCCCGACTATCCCGTCCGCCTTGCCCGTCCGCCTTCTCCTTCATCGGATTTTACGATCGTTTTACGTTGGAATTATTTAGACGCAGCTCGTCAGGAATGTCGCAGGAATGAAGTTTTCAATTTATGTATCAGTATGTAACAGATACCTGGTGGTCTTATATTTTTACACACTACCATTCACGACTCGAGGCCTGGAGCCTATTGTTTGTTTGATGACTGTTTTATTCATGATGTGCATTACCTTTTTCACTAGATCCTTGTACCTACATATGTAGTTTTCTGTGGATACTAGTCAAGTGTTTATCTTGAATTGTTTTTATCATTTCGTTCAAGTTTTATCGTGATTGATAGATGTACAGTGATGCTAAGGAAACAAAATGTCTCGTAAATCGACCAAGTCGTAGGGATGCAAAACAGGGGAATGGGGCCGTTATGAGGGTTAGTAAAATGATACGACAAATGAGGAATAGTTCAAGACTCTTAAGATGAGACTCGACGTTAGTAACGGATCAAACGTTCAGCATAATAACCAAAGATGCAATGGCGAAATAGTAAGCTCTGTCATAGCCAAGGCTTAGACCCGCGTTGTCACTTTGGGTAGCCGATTGCGCCGTCGACGCAGCGGTGGATTCGGAGATGCTTGACTCGGAGGTAGACTTAATGGAAGAGGACAGCGCCAATGATGACGGTAATAACGACGGAGACGAAGTAGAAGTCGTAACCGTCGTAATCGTTACGGTAATACTCGTCGACACTTCTGAGGTGACAGATGGCCTGGCAGAAGACGGCGTATTGGTGGAGGAGGTTCCGCTTGCGATCTCGCTCCCAGTGATTGGTATGGGAGTGCTGATTAGACTTGTCAGGCTACTCGCACTGCTATCACTACTTGTAGTAGCGCCACTGCTGCTTGAAGAGGTAGATCCTTGAATTGTGAATTCCGGGCTCGTGTTACCCGAGTCACCGAACACTATAAAAGGCGCGGTGGGTGGTTGGCAGTGCGGTTAGGCCTCAGATGCATACGGAGTACTCACAGACAATAATGTAGTCATCACGGGGCTCAACATCAGGGACTGTTATGTTGACCTGACCGTCTGTGAGCTCAAAGTTGCTGGCGAGTGGATTATCTAGGAGATACGGCACGATAAGAGGGTGCGCTGAATAGGTATGCGGTAAGAACCTACCAATATCCAAGTTCAAGCTATTGTTCGCCTGGTATCCCAACACAATCATCCCAATGGGATTCGTTATTTGTGAAGCAGCCGGTATGTCCGTTGTATTCCTACGATGTATTGATAAATATTCAACTTAATTCTACAAGGAACGTACCAAGTGACCGTTACAGTCTGACCCACAGTCCATACATCACCTGAAGTGGGACTTGTGATAGGAGGGGAAATAACGTCGCGAGAGATAAGAGGAAGCGCATGAACCAAGGCGGAGAGGAGGAGGAGAAGGGCATGAGCATACATCATGAAATCCTCTTGAGGCCCGAAGGCGTGGTGATGGAAGTTCGTCACAAGCCCATGTCGCCTCCTGATCACTTTTGTAGCTGTCTGTCAGTGTTTGCTGCTCACATTGGCCGTGAGAACTTTTTGGTGATGAACGGGATCGACACGCCCACGTGAGGCTCTTTATCTTCCAATTACATTCACGACGCACTCCAAACTACTCGACACAACAGCCAACTACTTGATGATACTAGAATTAAGTATTATGTACATATTCAGTATATAGTAGTGCAGGGAAGGTGACAGAGATAGGCTCCAGGTTCGAATACATATTCAGGGCCAACTGATACCGATCATAAACGTTCTCATGTGCATTTTCGTTTTCGATAATTTCGTTGTTTTCATTGAGAAATGTCGTCGAGTGAGATTTATGCCTCTATGGTGAAATATGCGCCTTTGTTTCCAGAGTCACCCATCACTAAAGGAGAGCATCAGACCAATCACAAGACAGGTCATTGACCATCACTCACAGACGATCTGATACTGGCTCCCAGGTGCAACTTGAGGCACTTTAATCTCCTGCCTACCACTCGTGATATCGAAACCTGATGCCAGAGGATGGACTGAGAAAACAAGTATGGGCCTAGCGATTCAAGGGCCAAAACATGGTAGACATACCGACATCGAGACGCCCATTGGTAGACAGGAAAATCACTCCTTCTGTGTTCGTGGTGCTTGCAGGTGGGTTCGTCGCATCCCTACCATAGAGTTAGGCACACGGACGGACGGCAAGAGCGCGATTTGCCTACCAGGTAACATTGTGGCGGCTTCCAACCTTCCACGTCGTACCCTTTCCAGGGTACTTGACAGGAGGAGAGTACACATCCCGCGCAACCAGGGGAGCAGGGGCAACGACATTGAAGACAATGAAAAGCGTAAGGAAAAACGTAGTGATGAAAGAGTTCATGACGAAGCGTGAATGTTAATGGGAAGAGGACACTCTATGAGCTCGTAAGAGAGATGTTGAAAGTCGTAGGACGATGAGACACCTCTCCAATGCCCGCACCTCTTATATAGGGTAAACGGGGTCATGAATTGAATCAAGTCAAGACTTAGACCGGTTGTGTTATGTTTGCCGCAGTAAGAGCATGGCGAGAGCTTGAGTTAGACCAGTCAGCATAGCATTCATCGGAGCGTGCGTAGCATATGGTCTCTTTACGCCGCGAATCTTGAATCAATCTCGTCAAGTCCTCATTATCCTCACCCGCTGGTACCGCTGTGTTCGCTAAACATCAAGCCTCTTTCTCTGCGCACCTGCAATGTGTATTCAGCAATATTTCCCAAAATAGACTCCCCTTCAAGTCGCTGTGCTTTTGAACAACATACAACTGAAAGGGAGATTCAAAAATAAAACATTCGGGGAATACGCGCTTTACGCACTTAGTCAATGTGCATGTTCATTCCTCGTTTCAGTTCGATTGCGAGCCGTGCCTCCCTTCTCGTCGATTGGCTCTTCCTCTGTAACGGCACGGGAACTATTTCACTTTAGTGAACCACCATATTTATCAGTTGAGAGGACCGAATTCTAGGTACGAATCAGTTATTGTGTCTCGGGACGGTACTTCAATGACCGCCCAACAGGTGAACCGAAGTGCAACTCCACTTACATCGTTTTAGGATCAGTGATGTCTTCTGCTGCATACTCATGGCGGTCTAGGGCTTCTCCTCCTCCCCGTCTTTGACGTCTTATCCTCCCACCGACGTTCCTGGATCCCTACTACAACGAATCCTTTACTCTTTCGGAAGTATAATCCGTTCATTTCCGCATGGCAGCGAGGTAATCTCTGAACCACAAAGCCGCATGTACCACCATCGGTGCGAGTGAAGCGTCACTGAGGTCAGCTGCCTATCCTTTTCCCGGACCAAAGAGCGACTTGGTTCATTCCGCGACGCTGCTGCACCGGTCCATCGCCATTGCATTGTCTTCAACTGAAAAATTTGCCTAAATCTGGGGAATCTCCGTGAGAGGAAACTTTCATCTCCTGCTACCGGTATGATCTTGTCCATAGTTAATCTCTCGCAACTCCAGATGGCGAGTGGCACATAAGCTTTGCTGTCGACATTAAGAGGTTCGACATCATATGCACCTCAGTCTGCACCACCGATAATCTCCTCATACCACGGCAGTTGATGACGATGACGGGAAGGATCGTAAGTAGATCTGAGCTTTGATTTCGCAATAAATACAATTGAAACTTGGAAGAGAACAGAAGCAAATTGATGGCAGTAGAATAACTTAGAGCTTGATGCCTTGAACCCACGTACTTGCGCGATTACGATTATCGCCCAAACACCACCATTTCTCTACCACCTCGGGGGTGATCTTCATGGCATCGTCAAAGAAATCGAGGGCACCCACCCCGATACGAGTCGATGTGTCCCAAAGGGAGACTGTGTATTTAATTTGAATTCTAACCCCGACCGAAATGTGTGTATCATAGCTTACTTTGTTGGACATCGAAAGGTGCTCCCACCTGGAACAATCCGCAGCCAAAAGGGAGGCCGAGGGATATCGCACCTCCGCGAGTAGCAAGAAAAAGAGCCTCGATCCAGTTGATGGCCAAGGTCGATTCGGAATTGCAATTCATTATGTTTGAACCTTGGCGCATTCTGGATGTGACAACAGCTTGCCTCATGGCGTTCATGATATCGAGACTGTATCCCCCCGCCACGTCGGTGCCCAACCCCACCTTCAGTCCCTGATCAAGGGCTTCCCGGAGGCAGAAGGGTTTCGCAGAGAAATACGCATTGGACAGTGGACAATGTGCTACAGCCGTACCGCACTCGCGAAGCTGGGAAAGTGAAGGGACGTCAAGAAACGTACAGTGAGCTTGTATTGTCCGAGGAGTCAGGAGATTGCTCTGGGCGGCGAAGTCAAAGTTGTTATGCGATGAAGACGGTTGAACCTACACGACGAAAGACGAGAAGGTCCTCTTCCCCTCGTTCTGATCGCACCGCTTCGACCTGATCGTGAGATTCTGCGAGATGACTCTGAATTCGAAGGTCTTGGGACGCCGCCAAATCACCTAGGCCTTTGAGGAGGGTGTCCGAGCACGTAGGAACGAATCTCGGCGTTATTACTGGTTCTACAAGATGAGGGATATCATATACGGACTTCATCTTGCCAACGAAGGATCGGGCTGCGTCGAGGGAATTGTCGGCAGATTCTTCAACATATGATGGGCGAGAGGACTGGTCCATCGACAGTTTACCCACGAAAGCACGAATTCCTGCCTTGTGCATAACATCGGCAAGAATAAGACTGACACATATTCAATTCGATTGTTCACTAGCCATACAGGAGAAGAACGTACTTGGTTTCCTCCTTGATGGTACCAAAGAGCAAGACGGCTCCTGTACCATTCTCCACCAATCGTTCTGCGAGTCGGGTATAGACCCTTCGGGCTAGCTTAGGGTCTGCGTCAAGGCGTTCCTCGGCCTTGAACGCATATTCATCGAGCCATTCCATCAGAGGTAGATGGAGGCCATTTCCTTGGTAGAGGAATTGGGGCGCGTGTAGGTGCAGGTCGCAAAATGTGGGTAGTAGAAAGCTGCCTTCTGGTAGCTGCTTAGGCAATTCATCGATGTTAGTAAGAAACTGAGTCGACTGGGAAGACGCGGCGGCGTTGAAGTGGGTGATGCAACCAAGGTCATCGACAGCTGAAAATTCAACGTTTCGTCGATGGCAGCGCGTCGAACCAATTCGATTCGAACTTGCCTAGCAGATAATCATGCAAGATCTCCAAAGTAGAAGAATGCAAGCAATGTACGAATGTTCCTCTTACTAGCATGGTGGATTAGAGCGAAAAGCAGTTGATTTGCAATTTCATAATGGATATACCGCTCTCTAGATCAGTACCCGTAAAATAATGCCGATAAAATCTTAAGTACAAATAATAAAATACTCCTGCAACCAATTGGTCTATCAAATTAAAGGCCACGTAGCTCCGACTAGGAAGCTCAACACCCACAGCCCACTGCGGCCCCCCGAGCGATAACTAGAAGCACCAGATGTAACGTACGTTGCAACATTCGTCGGTGCGGATATTGTGACAAAGGTGGGGCCTGCTACTTCTGTCGTTGGCGTAGCCGTTGCAGGCCCGCTTTCCTCGACAGTTCCGGCTCCAATGTATAATTCTCCGAGAGCATTAAGACCACCGTCATCATTCAAAAGGTCTACGATGGCGGTCAATTACATATAGCAATATAATAATGCTGAGGATTGAAGGACCCACTATAATATGTGCCGTTCTCAGGTCTCTGATAGAGTATGAGTAGAGGCAATAAAGAAGCAAAATCTGACCTACAAAGTAACCAAACCATGCATATCGTTCAATCCAATCGAGACTTTCCATATACGTGGTAGTTTGGTTCATAAACTGGAGAACATCTACGAGCCATTCAGATTCAGTCGGGCAACTGGAGATAGAAGGCCTACCGGTGGCGTTCCCCTCGGTATCTGCATATTCGGTCACCCACACTTTGTAATTTGGGTAGTCACCATGAAGAGACCAAAGATAATCATAAAATCCTGCGGTGCCTTCACCATACCTGAAAAGAATTACTTACGGAAGACGAAGATTGGCAAGAATTTTGCTCACCAATGAACAGTCAGAAAATCAATGGTGCAGTTTCCGCATGCACTCATGAATTCCCTTAGCCATGGCATTCCTGTACTGGAACTGGTGATGGCAGGACCTCCGAGACGAACGCCCTCATCTTTCAGCGGATCGATATATTGCTGCCATAGCTCTGCGGCATATGTAGCATCTAGGTTCGATTGTGCGCTGTAGTCCGGCTCATTGAACGTCTACGGTTATCAAATATTAAACGAGATGCGACTAATTGAATAAACAACACACCAACAACGTCGTGGCATTTTGACTTTTAACGGCCGCTGCTAGATTCTCGATATTGCCTGAGCCCCACTGCATAGGGATATATTCGAGGCTGGTATTGATGAGGTAGGTTGGCGGTGTAAGAGCCCAGTCGTATATCCACGATACAACACCTTTCGTCTGATTAATGTTTAGAACATCCTGCGGGTTGTTTGTAGAGGGGAAAGTCAATCCTCGTTTGCTGTCTTTTGCAACCGACAGACTTGGGGCGATGATGACGAGCCAAAGAGCGAGGAGGAACATGAGAGATGGAGGTAAGAAAGGCCAAGGCGGAGGCAAAGAGATAGAATCGAGAACTATTTGAGTGACTGGCCCCATGTGGTGCCTCTCACCCAGTCGAAACTTCTTTCAGGGCGAACTGTCGAGTGCTATGCGCGTCGAAGGCACCAATTATCCACGTCTTATTCAGTACAGAATGACATCCGACGAAGCAAGATGTCAGCTAGGACTCGACATGTTCCTGTACGAATCTTGAGCTTGAATCTTCGAGTCCGTATGCGTTGTTGAGCTCTACAATTACGGAGCCCGAAAGATGTACGCCAGCAAAGGGCGGGTCTCGGAGGCAGGATGATCGGTGATGACAATCACCGTGTACCTAACAAAGCATTAATGTCAGATTGTTCCGTACGAGTTACAGGAACCAATTGAATGTTGATCATGAGAAAAACATACCCATGAGGAGGCTCCGAGGGCAATAAGGCTATGATACCGCTACGAACGCTTGCGCGGAGTTGAACGAAGAACGCTTAAAAAGAACCAGATTTTCGATGCCCTGACAGTATTTATTAAATTTACCCCTGCCATGGGTATCCAGGTATGTCCCATGTGCCTGCAAAATGATAATCTTGAAGTCCTCTGGCTCGTCGATAGAAAAGCAAGAAAATGGATGCCAGTTCTGTCTGAAATTCCGAGATAAAAACAGCTTGCGACTAGTTGACGGACGCAGAGGATGGCGTGCCTTTTGGGTGCCAGAAAAGAACAACATTCAGGGTCGCACTATTTGTCCGCTCATGATGAGTAATGGGGTCAAAAATGCCTCACTCCCCTGTTGTATATTTAAACAAGAAAATTACAGGCAGGCCACAGCGATGAGACCGCAGTGGGCAGGAATGAATTGGATGTAATGGTCGTCTCGGAAGTGCTCTCAAAAATACCAGTTTCTGGCTCGCCTATTTCTCGGTGAAGAGGCGTCAGGCCTAGGATGAATATTTCCGGCAATACCTTATTCGTGGGTCCGCCTCTTACGGAGCAGCTACTCGCTGATGGACACTGCCAAGTAACAGGGCTGATCCATTACTCTCACTTTGTCATCTAGACGATCCTCTAGCCTTCCCTGGAAGGATAAAAGCAATAGGATCATAGAGGTCAGCCCAGTCTGATTCTGTTGCGCAACGACCTGGAACTAAAGTATCACAATAAACATGAAATAATCTTTCGCTGAACCAGCTATACCTCTAAGGAAACGTAGCCACTTCAGGTGAACCACGTTTTCGTGCCAGTTCTCCACCTTATCCTCCCCAAAAGACCTTTTTTAATAAACGTCATCTTTCCGGCGACATGAAACGGTTGTCACTTTATCCTCGCGCACCGACCCGCTTGTACTCCGATTCTTTGAGCAGTCACCTGTCCGGTCCATCCCATCAGGTCAAACATTCTGATGGTCCCTCACAGCGGGCACCTGTCTGTATAAGGAAAAAATTCGTTCCAATCTCTGACATCTTTTCACGACGCGCGAACGATGGGTGAACATCTTTTGAAGAGCTGAAGACGTATGTACTTTTTTTTCTACCTCTGGTCTACACTTATTGTCGCACCAGGAACGACCTAATTGCCATCTTGCTGGGATCGAGTTGTCCATGGCCTATGAGAGCATCCATTTGAATGGGAATGTGACCAGACTCAGGACGGTCAAAAATAAGAGCCGAAAACGAACTGAAAGATCATACCACCGATGCCTGCCGCATTTACGCGAGAGGGTAGAGGAGCAGAAGAGAAGATGTTCCATTTCCCGTTCTCGTAATGGCACAGCTCCTGTACGCCAGGAAATATTCTTTGTGGTCGAGTCGGTGACCCTCGAATAAGTCCGCCGCCACACCCGTTCCAACCGAAGAAAGCCATATGACGGCCCGTACTAGTACGCATGCCGCCGCTTGTGTTACGGTACCGAACACTCTCCCGGATAAACACATTGCCCAAGGTCATATCGCAACTCTATTCTAGTAGAAGAATTCCCTCGAAGCGGAGATTGTAGCCGTAGTTCCAGGTGGGGGAAGGTTATTGGCAGGCACCGCAGTCAAAGGAAGGCGAATAGAGGTGAATCAAGGTCGAGAATACGAGTTCATGGGCACATACAGCACCTGGTACGAAAGCCATGTTGCTTGACCAAGTTTTCTTTGTCAGACTTCCACCATACGCTATTGCAAGGGTATATGGCCGGCTGTCTTGTCATCGCATGGCGCATGAGGTTCATCCGAGAATTTCGCTTCAAAAAAGCGCCGGTTTACCCACCAGTGCATCCCGGTTTGTACCTCTGTCCAACATCCTGTCTTGTGTTCTGTTCTGATTATAGATAAGATCTTTATTTATGCAACACTGTGACCACTGTTCTAAAATAAAGCCATGGTTAGCCCCCGGATACCCTGCTTGCAAGCAATTTCCGTGTACTCCATTCCATCCTAACCAATCAGCCTAGGTCTATAATGAAGCTTCTGAACCTCGGGGCGGGAACATCCTATCCTATTACTCACACCACACTTTTATTCCCACTGCGTTACACACGTTCTCCATGCGTGCTTATTGCTGTGCACATTTTCATCGTCCGGAAGCCTGTACATGCTCTTAAACAATCTTTCTTGTTACCACGGTTGCACCTCCAAACCTCCGTCCAGCAGTTCGTCCCACACAGTCCCAACTTCTGGATGCTCGTAAATGGATGATTTCCATTCCGAGCAAAGATCCAGATGTTGGAGGCGGGAAGCTTCCCCGAGCGTCTGGATCCGCACAGGGTTGCGCCGCAACTTCACCGTTCTAACGAGCACCGCCTGGTAGCCCTGAAACGCGAACGTCGAGCCGGTCAAGTCCAGGTATTCCAATGACGGAAGGAGGGACTGGTACATTAGACTGCAAAGGAGGTACTCGGTGATTCCCTTAACTGAGAGTTTCAGTTTTCTTATTCGGGGCGTGATTCGCAAGAATTCGACGAGGTGGATATCAGAACAAGAGTCCATGCATAGGGTGCAAGTTATTTCAAGCGATCGCATGTCCATGTGGAAGTCAGAAGGGAGCTGAGGGACGACATCAGTGTATCGCAAGCCCAAGGTTTCCAGTGCTGCAGCGCGTATGAACGGTATCTGCTCTTTGATCCCACCTCTGGACTCCACCTTCTCATACAATTGAAGATTTCTGACATGAGGAAGGTCCACCTCCATTGGCGTCTGGCCATTCGGATGTGGACAATGCAAGAAGATTGTCTTCGCGCTGCAAGCCTTTCGAATACCCACGCGATCTACGTGGTCAAACGCTAGATGCGAAGCATAGCTGTTTAACTGTGACCAGGGGATCTTCATGTGCTCGATCCATGGTGCTGGCCCTAGGGCGACGAGGTGCAAGTCTCTGAGGTTTGGAGCCCACTCAAAGGCGTCGATTTCGAAGTCTGGAGACTCGTCCTCTTGATCTTCAGGATCTGTAATGTCGAACAGGAAAAGATCCTTTAGCGCACCGAACGAACCCCTGCAAGCCGAGAAGAAATGGAAAAGATCCGATGGGGCTATGACGGCTAGTTGCGTGCACCGAGGAATGACAGACAAGAGGACCTGCAGTCCCACATAATGCGAAAAATCTTCATAGCCGCGGAACAGCAGGAACAGATCGTGTTTTTGAGATCTCTCCAGTTGCAAGCCGAGCATATAATAAAAGTTCTTCTCCTCATTCAGAGTCATTGGATCTTCATAAAACGTCAGTTTGATGGACGACCATATTTTTGCAGTGTTCAGCGCCACGGATCTCCAGCGACGGCATACTTGGGAGACCGTCCATGGTGGTTCATCGGAATTGAGCGAATTGCAATTTCCGTTGACGATTTGGCGATTCATGTCTTCCCAACAGGCGATGAATATCTCCGAGAGGACGGTATCGTTGAGTCTGCGTACAGGCCTGAGGGCAGCTTGGGCAATAGCAACGTTTTCAACCAGCTGACGTCGTTCTTGTTTAGGCACCTGTCTGAGTGTAAGCCGTCGGGGACCAGTCCGGACAGTCTCGAGGAGGAGGGGTTTATCATAATCCAAAGGAGGGTTGTTGTTGTTTCGGAGCTGTTGGATCCTATGCGGAAACGGGTGGACCGAGTGGGCTATTCTGTGGTGATACAACTGTGACTCCATGCCAGTGAAGTCAGTGAAGGGAAGTCTGCAACTGGATTTGTTGGCGTTTGGTGAGTATGACACTCGTTGTTGAGGTGTTAATGAGCTCACCGCGTTTAACCTAGGAGTGAAGGTTTTGAGTATACGCGCGCGATGGAATATAGAGGGTGTAAGGTCTAAATGCCGACGCATCGAATTTCATAGCCTTGGTGGCACGCCGGACTACTGATCATTGTCCGTGAATGTCCACAATAGAACCTAACATGTCGGGGTTCCAAAATCTTTTTGTCCAGGGAACAATGCTCTACTTTATATGAATCTTACAACCATGAGCGACAGAAAGCGGATCTCAGCCACGTTTTTTGTACGCCGCTGGGGGCGGAATGGATAGCCAAATCAACTTAACCATCTCAGTCACATAACAATTTTGAGACGTAGCAGAAACAGGTCGAATCTTCCGACGCGATTTGAGTCCTCAGGATTGGGCACATATTCCCAGCTAGAAGAGAGTCAAGCAGGCGTGCAGGATGTCGCGATCACGTTACGATGACGCCAGCCTTGGTTTACAAACATCAACAATAGACCATTTATAACTATTCGCACCCTAGCAAGCCATTGCATGAATTTTGAATTTTGACGACGATTCAATGCAAATTGGAAAAACAAGAGAATCAGGAAAGGGCACGATTCGTTGGGGCAGCCACGATACTCGGTGAAATAGAGAAATAAAAATAATTATTACAGCACACCCTTTCCTCCTGTGATCAAACGTGGAAGTATTTACTGGTTACTGGGAACACAGAGCCTCTGTGGTGGGTACTACCGATAGCAGCAACGACGATGGTAACCCATCCAGCACTCTAACTTGCCCTTCTGTATTTCCGCAAAGTCGTTCAATTACGCGTCTGAATAGGAGGGTAGGTAAGCAGACATTATGTATGCGCAATGACTCTTTGATTCGTATCTTTAGTTTGAATTACGGACTGAATATTGGAGCTGCCGAGACAGGACACGAGATTGCAGAAAGCTGACCCTCCAAGGTGCTTTCCACAGAAACCCTCCCAGACGAGCCGTTCGCGGATTCAAAATTGAGGTGGCCACCGCTCGCAGAAGTGGGTGGTTATGATCCACACAATACCCTCTCTGTGTTGCCTAAACGATCTTACCACGCAAGGTGCTCGTGAATTGAATATTGAAGGTTCCTCTGGCAGAAACTAGGCGTGAATTTTCCGGGGGTTTCGGCAACCATCACATGAAGCTCGTATATATGATGCAGTGGCGCGATGCACCGAAAAAAACTTCGAAAACCTCTGAGATACATTTACAACCGCCCATGTCTGTTGTTCAACCTCTGGGTATTAAATGATTATCTAGCACCCCCCAAAGGCTCAGCAAAGTGAACCTGACAATATCATCTGAGAATGCACGGATGTCCGTGCATTAAACCCACCGGAATTCAATACGGCGGCTCACCAAGTACTTTTGTCGTGCTCTCCTCTTCGTGACTCCATCAACAGTGGTAAATTGAGGCCGGACGGTGAAGATGCGGTTATTGTATCTTCATTGTGTGACAGTTCAGTCTCTTCCGTCTCAGGTCCAGCTTTCCTCCAATGATTTTAATCTAGGCTAACAATTAGTTACCTCTATTTCATATTTGCTCAACTTGAAGTCTCGAAATTCACTTCCATGACGATCAACACGACTTCCGTCCATAAGCATAATAGTATTTGGTTCCAACACCACGTTCAGCAACCCTCTGTCACTCTGTCACCTGCCCCCAAAAGCAGCGATGTAAAATTTGAAGAAAATTGGGCATAGCAAATGAAAGGTTCGAACATCTAATCCTAGTCGGGCGGTGTCGCGGTCACGTTATAGTGACGTTGCAAGTACGAACGGAGCATGATCACTACTAGTGGTGTCCTTACTACTGGCGAACCATATATAGATCTTCACTCGAGTATTAAAAAAATCTCCAGAACAAGAGAACCCGGCAAGAAATGATGTGGACGAAGAGAATTTTCGATGTTGGGCAGGCATTGTAATCGACCAGAAATCTGTGTCAGTGCGTCCTCCTAGAATAACGGAAGGGAAGTAGGATCGAATGTTCTAGATTAGCCGGCGTGTCTCCAAGACATACGTTCTTTACTTGGCGGGCCAGCAGGTCATAGGCAAGGTGCTGTTCAACTCTCTGTTTGGAATTACTGGTGAAAGCCGACCTTATATCGATATGCATTTCCCATCTTCTAGTGCTGGCATTGGGGCATCGTCCGTAACAACTATCTCCTGCGAAATCTGAGAGTTTATCCATTCCCTTCACATGCACTCGGGATGTGTACTTGGACGTGAACCTGGCCAGGAGACGGATTTAACTCTGGCGAATTGTGGGTCACCCAGTGTGACGATGTCATTCAGGTGACCTTGAATCAGATAAAGTGCAATGCTGAATTGGAGTGGATGACGGTGATACGTGAAAGGTCATTGAAAGGTACGCGTAGGAAAATGTCGTTGGACCCTTAAGTGGGCAATAGGTTCAAGAAAGTCTAAGGGTACAATAAGATATAAAGTGAAGCGTCGTCCAGCGTAGTTAAGAACGTCAAGGTAAAAAAACGCGGATTAAATATAAAAAGTGGCTATCTCGAGGCACTGGCACTGGCACCGGCACCGGCATCCCAACTATCATACGCAGGTGGGATCTCGCTAGGGCCTGCATCCTGGTGCTGGATGACACCGCTGGGGCCGTTAGCGAGGTAAGCGCTCCTCTCGTCAGGGTTGACGACGCCGAGTTGATTCTGGCGGACCTCACGCTCCTTGGCTGACATGCCGCCTCCACCTCCTCCCAACCCACTCGACGAAGAGCCGGGTGGCGGGGATCTCGGGGGAATGCTAGCCGCGTACGGGTTGAATATGGCGGTAGGATAGCCAGAGGACTCACCCGAGTATTGGGACATCGGGGGAGGAGAAGCCGGGGAGCCGGTGTAATAATTCGCATATGACTGACCCGAGCTTCCATGGCTATTCGTGCTCGCGGAGATGGGGAATGGGGATACGACGCCTGCACCAATATCCGCCCCGCCCAAACGCCCGCCCATGCCGTCGTTGTCGCGTTCATCGTCGAGATTGAGGCCGACGTCGGGTGGACGAGCGACGATACGGTCTGGGTCAAAGTTGCCATCGAAATGGGCGGAGAGGCGGTTTGAGCTGTTACGTTTATAAAGGAACCAGACGAGGCCAAGGAGGAGGGCGACACCAGCTATTCCGCCAATGGCTCCACCGACGATGGCACCTGTGTGGGAAGAGGAGGATGTGCTGGTAGCGGCAGTGGCAGAGGAAGCGGCTGCAGACAAGGAAGAAGTTGCGAGGACGGTGGAGGTAGAGGTGACCTGCTGGCCATTTGACTCGGTTATGATGATGGTGGTGGCTACGGCGGAGGTCTGAGAAGTGCTCCTTGTGCTGGTGGAGCTGCTGGTGGATGTGGAACTCGTCGTCTGGGTCAGAACAACCGAGGTAGTCGACGATGAGCTGGTCGTTGTCACCACTATAATGCTGCTGCTCGATGTCGATGTCGGCAAAGACGATGATGATGTCGAGGTCGAGGTCGATGTCGGTGTATTAGTAGTCAAAGGCGAAGTGGTGGTCGACGTTGGCTGTGTGCTCGTCGATGAAGTTATCGTCAGAGAAGACGTCGTCTCCGCAGCAGTCGTGCTGGACTGCGACTCTGTGGTCGTCGTAATGGACGATGTGGAAGCATCTGCGAGCGACGACACAGACGACGAGGACAACGGTGACGATAGCGACATGCACAGTTGGCGGTGCTCGACGGAAGGTGCGAAAACACTAAAAACGACGGGGTGGAGTATTCTTTATTACATAACCGCGATAACGACCTCAGGCCACTCGAAGCGATAACGTCGAATCCTTCTTGAATCCTTCTTGCTAGGTCTTCACAGTAAACAAAATCGAGGTCTGTCATTGTTACCGTGGTAACCTGTAAGGCGCCTCACATCAAGCATCAGCTCAAGCCGTAATGCGCACGAGCGAACAAGCGCCAACCATATATATTTTTACTAGCAACCTTTGCCGTCTCCTCTTTTTCATTAATTTCTATATATCAAAAGCTAACAACGTGATTACAACTGCGTTTATTATACGATAGAGATGTCCAACTAATAGTACGCGTATACGATAAATACACAGGATGAGATCATTATTAAAGGTTATATTCTGCGATATGCCGCATAATCATCAATGACGCCAAACATTCTGCAAAAACCATTAATATAATCCACGTCGCACTTTATATGCGACTCACCAGCAGCAAGATGACCATACGCTTCATCAACCGTCAAGGAACACCCAGAAGACCCTTCATACGGCGGTTCACCTGGCACTTTCAAGCTGTAATATGCGACAAGGTACCCATTCACGTTCGTGCACTAGCCCCAGGATCAGATCAACTTGCCCATTCACACAAAAAAATCACCAACCGTCCACTCTTGATTATCCTTTGTCCGCCAGCTCCAGATATACTCTTGAGAATCCGATGCCACAAACTTGCGCGCCCTGTCAGCCTCACATCAGCTTCTCACCCTTCTTCCTCCCCACAAACAGACTCACCTTCCACGATTCGACACCCTTACCAAATACTTCTTCATCGGAATCGTCACCCCACCCCAGCTGATCGTCCCCAGAGAATTCCCCGGTCCAAAATCCAGCGCAGCGATCGCCCGAGGGTGATACATCACAGCCGCAGCGGTGAGGTTGAAGATCATATACGCCGTATGCGTACCATCTCGAGCTGTACACCGATAACTGAATCGCATGCGATCATGGATGTCGATAAACTCGGATCCGGTGAGCTTGCCGCTCTTGTCCTCGAGGAAGATTGGTATACCGTACTTTGTCATGAGGGACGACTTGAAGATTTCTACCGGCCCCAGAGTTATATGTATGTATAAGACGAGAGCCACAACACGCGACGCGTTAGAATTTCAAAGAGGCTAAACCCAATCGAGACAGAGCCCTCGACGAAACATCCTCGTGGCATCGATGAACTGGTTCGCATGGCCTAGTCGACAAAGGCCAGTGGCCATGACAGGAAGCAGGGACGGCATGTGGAGTCATTCCTCCACGCCTTTGTCTGGGTCCCCGTCTCGTGTCCATGCTGGCGCGCACAGAGATTCTCGATCATCACCACGCCCCAGTTACAGTGCGGCCTATACGCGCCCACAGTCCAAGAAATCCGCTGCGGCCGGGACACGATGTAGCCTAGGACTAGAATTTTTAACACTCAAGACCAGAGATATCCAAGTTTGACTTGACTTCGATTGAACTGATGCTTTCTGTGACGATTAGGTCGATGAAAACAAGTTTGGCTTCCGACATCCGGCGGTACTTGCGCCAAACACCTTTGCCGCAGTAAGTATATGATCTCTGTCCCATTCGCTGAAAATGTTGATGGCGAATTCAAACCTTTTTTGTAGACATTAGACCGGGTAATTCTCACACCCGGATATATGAAAGACGGCGCATATGAACCATGGTCTGGGGATGTCTCTGTGTCTCGCATCAGTCCTTGAATGAAAATCGGAAAATGAATGTAGAGCTCACGTTATACGCTCCGGATTTGAATGTAGACAGGTCGGAAAACAGTAAACAAGAGTTCGAGAGATGAAGGTACGGCCCTCATGTGGAAGCAGCCGTCATCCAAGAGACAGAATGTCACAGCAAGCGGGCAGTGTTGAAATGCGATGGCAGGCTGTGATGGGGAGGTCCATTCAAGTTGGACCGTCTACGCGATCAGAGTACCCAGAATTCATTCATACGGCCGCTTGCGGAATTAAGCAGTCGGCAAGAAGACGCTGAATTGGTGAAGCTCTCCTTGACAACATTTACCAAAGATTGATATTATTATCCCAAACTCTACCGCCAGTACGGGATAGGCTGAATTGAAAGCAGCGCGCACCTATGGTCAGAAGTAAATACTAGGGTACGGCTGCAGATATTTAATGAGAACGTGGAGAAAACTTACGCTCCTCCACGACGCCCAACAAAAAAAGATGAGATCAGAATCGGGTACAGAGCTCGTGCTGTTACAACCAATCGCGAGTCTAAGGCGCCAAACAAATCAACCCTCCATTTCCCGTCTTCTGGTCGGACGTATCTGATGCGATCATGTAACCTCGAGGACTTGCCAGACCAGAATTCCATCTCGAAAGCGAGTCCGTGTCAATCGGAATATTGAGACCTACGACGCAAAGAACGACTCACTCTGGGATTACGCGCCAACGAGCCCCAGAATCCTGACATTTCTACCTCCTTTCCTTCCAAGCGCGCGCTCACTTTGTAGGGAAACGGAGATCGTGGCTTGAGTGTGCGACACAGAGCTCGTTGAGGAACCTCCAAAGACAAGATGAACGTCTGTCGGTGGTCATAAGAGGGAACGACGAGTGGCCGTTTGAATACGCTTGGATGGTCGTGGTATGCGTTGATGCCGGGTTGCCGCTTTCCCACGTCCCAACAGTATGCTTGCACGAGTGTACAAGTATAACTGGCCACCATCGATATCCACCACCATCTCCGAACTTGTCACGGTATTATCATCGCCCGTCAACGCAAATTACGCGCCTTTCTCGAAATTTTGGACTTACCTCTCTGCCGGCATTCTCACTGTCTACTCTCTCAGACTGACCTATTCTTACAGGTGCTAAAGTTTTTATGCGTGGCAGTTCTGATAAGTCGGATTTCCTCTCTTCTCTACGTACTCTTACCCAAGCGTCAAAAAGAAGAACAGCAAGTGACGTGTAGCTTTGTTTCTCCCCGAGCGCCCAACATGATACCAACAGTCAAGACGGCCCCGCTGCGGCCCGCTCTCGATAGAATATTTATCCAGGTCCTTGATGCTATGTTCTCTTGGAATAATGAGAACCTTCGGCATGACGAGCCCCACGAGAATTGTCCGACCTTCTCCTCAGTTCATCATTCCACCTCGGACATTAGGCCTCCTGTAACTACGGCGCCGAGTGTCGCAAACTCTACTTTCCCTACGATGAAGACCTCCGTTTCCTTAGCTGATGCTGCGCTTTGGGCTTGCTCCACGAAGCTCGGATGGTCATGACGCTTGACATATCTCGTCCTTGACATCCCTCGATTAGTATAGCGTCGCTCAAACCAGCCCTCCGTTAATCGATTTATTGACCCGTTGCCTCTTTGGAGCTTTCGGGATGCCGTTCCATTGGCAGCGATCCTCGATCCCGAAGTTGACCTCATCCCATCATGCATCATATTGGGAGACAGGTGTCGTTGAGATTGATGCAGCACGTCTTCTAGCCTTTCTCTTGGGGTGCTCGCTACGCATAGTACGAGGCTTGAGCATCAGTTACATGCTCTGCGTTCTATTCTGCTTTGGTATCGTGAAGCTGATCATCCCCAACGTATCATCTATGGTCTCGGGTGCCTCGCTTGTTACGCTTCCAAATCTACAGTCGACTTCGTGGATTTGCCTATTACACATGTACTGCTTTGCGGCATCAATCTGCCTGTGCCTATAACTGTTCCGACCACCAGATTTTTCAATTACTCTGAGTCTCGCCTTGCCAAGACGCGCAGAGAACGTCTGTCCACCGAGTATCATGTGTTCTTATCTTTACGATTGTGTATCGCACTAGAAGCTTCATGCTCCCTTCCTTCAAATGCCGGTGTGCTTCAAGTCCCCTGTGGTAATTTCGGTAATCTGATTCTCGCCCGCATCATCACGTACAGGTGATATGGACGACTGTCGTGGCGAGGGACGTATCAACCCCTTGACCTTACTCCGTGCTTCTCAAATCACCTTGTCCCTTGAAAATGATCCTCTCTCTTTGCTGCGAGGGTCTCCATATAGCTCAAGATGGTGTCCCTCGGCTGATAAGTACCTGAGATGTGTAATGGGTACATTCACTTATCAAATTGCTATAGGATAAGCGCCAAGTTCGATCTTCCCGCTTTATTTCGTTTATAAATGCCGGATGGTCATCATTCGAAATTCGCATGTACATACGATCCTTACGGAAGACTGGAAAGGTCGATTGATCATATCTTAGACACCCAAATTCCTTTCTGATTGTTAAGTTAACCCAAGGGCGAACAGATCGTATAGTTTCTTCTCCAGAACTAGAACTTGAATACCGATGACGGATATCGGTATGAGCGGCTTTAGGACCGGCCGAGGCGCGCAGTTCCCACTTTATAACGTGTGCGGCGATTTCACGTTGAACATGTACCTCAGCAGGGACTACTTCCTTACGGTCTGGATCTAAAATACATTTTAAGTTTGGGATTACTCACTACTGGCGTTGTCAATGACGATAGGTTAGCACATTGATCGCGGTAACATAGTACGACCTTGCAGGTTCACATATCTCGTTTTTAGAGCAATTTAAATGAATAGAGGAGATCCTTCGCAGAACACGGCTAAAGTTTAGGCATCGGAGACTTATTCGAAATTATTAGGTTGATGGAATAATCATGGAAAAAGTAATAGAGGGAGCGAGAGACCCGTGCAGGCGGTTCTGCCCAAATGGGGGATGCCGAGATCTGGGAACAGATCTGGGCAACTACCCTCTCGAAAACGCTCTTTTCTGACGGGGATACTATTTATTCCCTGTTCTTCCATCTTCCCAGCTATACTTCCGCCTGCAGGACGGACTGGACGTAGGGCGCTGTCGCGATGCTACACTCTATCTACGACCTCACCACGTCCTGTCGCAAAACTACGGGCAATGTCCCTGCAAAGCTTGTTGTGCGTTCTGCTGCATGTATCGAAATCATGGAAGAGAATGGGCTGATGGTTGCTGCAGGGTGCTTCGACCACCGTGGTGGGGTCAAAAATGTATCTCTTTGTGAGCACGAAAGGCCACTGCCGTTGTTCAGCACTAATACGGAGTATAGGGTGGCCGACAAGTATCAGAACGCAGGATGGTGTCTGACCTCTACGTATTTGATCTCAAGACACTGGAATGGGAGAAAATACCGTCTCATCCTGAGGATGATGTTCCTCGACCGCGGTACTTTCACTCGTCTGACTCTTGTGGGTCCCCCTGTCGGGCTTTAGCGTCTCTGTCACTGATGGAATAGCCAGGGAACAACCAATTGATTATATTCGGTGGAATGAGCAACCAGCCAGATTCTCCCAACCCTGACGAGCTCTGCGTTCTCAATGACGTTCGTTTCTTCGATATCGCGACCGGTCACTGGCTTCCATCGTCGCAGACAATCTCCCCCGTCAACGACTCCCTTATTCCTCGCGCGCGGTACGCGCATCTTTCCTCCGTCACTGCCGATAAGCTCTTCATAATAGGAGGCCAGGACTTTTTTAATACGTGGCTGGACGACGTATGCGTGTATGATCTCCTTGCAAAGACCTGGGTCCGGAGACGCGATTATCCGCGACATTGTGGGACTTATCGTAGCGTCGCGGTCTCTTCCCATCTCACAGTCAGGCTTCCTCAAGAGGAAGTCAGGGCATACAACTCTACTGCCCCTGTTGCGCGGTTCCGCACCAATAGTGGGAATAAGAATACTCCTCCTTCATTATCGTCCGCCAATGAGGACTTTACTCCACCGGAATCACTTGTATACCACCCGTACTCGACCTCTCCCACGAAAGATCACCCATCTGACATTTATCTATACAGCAATTATAACGTGAGTCCTATTCTTCCTAAATTTCCTCCCAGTTTTCGCTCACAGACCTTATGGGGTGTAGTTTACTGACGTGAAGCGTGAATTGGAAGTCTTTTCACCACTTCCTGATAGGGATTTTAACATTGAAGACAGATCTGCTGCGATGGGCGGAACAACGTTCCCTCCAGGTCTGAGGTTTCCCACAGGCGCGATCCTCGGCACGAACCTTATCATTGCGGGAACGTACTTGGCGCATAGCTACCAGTCATTTTCTATATGGGTCCTGGATCTCCTGACGATGCACTGGGCACGTATTGACCCTGGGAAAGCCGTGGAAACCGGCTCTTGGTTCCGTGGGTGCCTTTCTACAGAGAGTAACAAGTTCTTCATCTTTGGGAACCGCGATGGTAATCTGGTCGACGATTACAATCGGCGGTTGCTGAGCTGGGAGCATGTTGCAGTGGTGGATCTAGAGGCCTTTGGTATTTACCAGCCGCCTCCGCTTAGGATCGACCTGGAGATGCAAGAGTTAGGCTTAAGTGCCTTGGAGGAGGGTGTCATGGCCGACTTCGAGGTTGTGTGCGAGGATGGTCGAAAGATACCTTGTTCTCGACGGATTTTGGAGGAACGGTGGACATGGTTCAAGGATCAGAGACGGAAGCTGCTGGAAAGTGCGTTGACGACGATTGAGGGACTACCCACGAGTCCAATGCATGTGTCGCAGCCGGAGCTTCCGGGCTCGATTTCTAATGAACCGAGGGCAGATCCGAGACTGACGCCAAGAGCCCTCCATCTCTCAGAGCCGTATCCCATTACTCTGGCGTTACTGCAGTACTTCTATTCGTTGGCTTTGATCACACCTTTGCAGCAGGCCCCGGCAGTGCTGAGCCAACTGTTGGTACTCGCAACGAACTATCAGATCATGCATTTGGAGACGCTCGTGAGGCATGCTATGCATCGAGCACTCTCGAATTCGACGAGTGTGGGTGTGTATGAGGTCGCGACGCTTTGCAATTGTAGAAGTTTGCAGATTCGGTGAGACCTCTTGTTTCTCAATCTCACCGAGGTATTTATTTTTATATTCTTCAGGGCTTTGAAGACGGTTATGGTAAATGCTCAAGTCGCTAGTCTAATTCGCTTTATTAATACTTCTACAGTCTTACACGCAGAAGCGGCCCAAATCTAAATCTGACAAAGAGAACGGCGGAGGCGGACGACCTCCCGGCCCCGATGGGAGATCGCACGACGGACCAGCAAATGGTGGCGGCCATGGCCCTGATAAGTATGCTAGACCTCGTGGGACGTCTGACGCAAAATGGAGGACCGCCCCGGGTCTCGACCCTGGCCCTAGTAGTAATAATTATAGCTCGAGTAAGCGCTTCATATAATGCATTTTTGAGTGATTTTGTGATATGTTCGTTTTCAGATGTTTCACGACCTCACCAATCACCACCGCCTTCTGACAGTGATGATGTCGATTCATCATCACCCTCAGAAGATCATCTTGGCACGCTTCCATTATTTACGAAGCAACGAGTGCGGCATGATCGTACAGTGAGCGTCGTGTCAATGGGCACAGACAAGGATCTGAGGGATATGGTAGATCTGTTGACGCCTGCGCTGTCGGATCCTCCGAATCGGCCAACGCACAGCAGAGCTACCAGTGACGATGCTGATGATTCTGTCCTTGAGACACCACATTTGCCGATGCAGCTGCATCACCCCCAGGAGGCTGATCCGAGTGAAGAAGAAGACCCGTTCTTCTCTCGCTCCCTACGACTTCGTGCCCAGACATCGTCTGACTCGGAGTACGAGGTGGCTTCAACGAATGGTCAACAACACACGTCTGGGTATTACTACACCCCTTATCACCTTCCCAGCGGGAGACCTCGGCCAATTTATACGAGTTCCATGAGTGGTTACAGCAGCGATACACCGTCGTTGACGTCACGAAGCTCGAGTTTGAGCTTGTCGTCGAGGCACTTGTCACCTCGCACGCCAAGCTTGACAGAATTCCCAGCTCATTCGTTACCACTTATCGAGGAGAGACAAATGGAGGACAATGAATCGACAACATCTTCTCGGGTTCAGCATGTCTCTGACGCGTACGCCAGCGAGAGAAGCAGCGAGCAAACAACGAGATCATGGCCGAAGCAGAAGTCTAACGTCGAATGGTTGCAGAGGACGCACTCTGCGGATTCGAGCATTGGGACGATATTGCCTTTACCGGAATCGCCACCGTCGACGAGGAAGGGGCTAGGGAGGTTGTTGGGGAGGAAGGAGGGGAAGGATCCTATGAAGGAGTACGATGCGAAAGTTACTGCCGGAAATAAAGCTGCTAAGGTGGAGGAGAAGAAGCGGAAGACAGAAGAGAAGAGACTGAGAACCGAGAGGTTGGCAGCCGAATTGAAAGCAAGGACGCAGCAAAGGAAACGAGCGGCTCTGGAAAGCGCTTCTTTAAGTTCGTCGGAGAGGAAAGCAAGAGGACCAGCAAGCATGTTTGGGGGTATGTCTGCGGATCTAGTGATGTAGAGTTATCTATTCTGTTGACGAGGTGGGCTATCGACAACTTTCTTATTCATTTTTATCGTTCTTGTCTTTTTTCTTCTTTTGCTCTTATGCTTTGGTCTCAATAATTGCGTATTTGTTAACCCGTTTTCATTGCTTGTACCTTGCTTGTACCATGATATCCACCGTCGTTGATATTCCTAGCTCTTTGTTGTACTTAGTGATCGACTAAAAGCATGTATTTACTATACTTCTGCTTCTCGCGGAGGCTTTGGGTGTGTTTATTTGAAAATCATAGAAATCTGATGACAACACTGTCTGATCATTATGGCGGAGGTTTGGAGAATGGCGAATTTTCAGCAGACTTGATTAACTTTTGTTCTTCGGGAGTTAGCGTGAAAAAGGACTCTTTTTGACGCAGAAGCCATCGACGAGGCTATAAGCAAGAATCAGCTCTCGGTACGGTACTACACAACAGGCCACGTACTGGCTGGAACACATGTTCTTGATCGCCAAAATCATAGATGAAGACACCGTAGAGGGCTATAGCTGCAGTTTGGATTAGTGAAGAGCAATACATACTCTACGATCTGTCATACCCGGAACGACAAGGTAAGTGAGGAGCTTCGTCCCTGTGTAGACCCACGCTGGACGAAAGTCCTCCAATTCAAGTTCGTGAAGCATATCTTTTTCTGCTTTCTGTTTTGCGGGGTTCTGTTTCATCGGATGAGTCTGCTTGTTGCATCGTACATGGCTGGAGCATATTGTCCGCCGCTGAAGGGTACGAAACACCGAAAACAGAGTGATGGACTGTCTGTACGTTGCGAACATGGTAAAAAGATAATTGCGGAGTTCGAATAGTTCCCAAACGCGTCAGTGGCGTCGCCACCACCAGAATTCTTTGGAAATTCGATGATTCATTAGGGTTTATTTTCCCTCACAGGGTCGCCCGCTACTTAAATCTAGAGAGTTTCAATGCACATGTCTTTTTTAGTCGTACGTAACTTCAAAAGTTCTAACTTCTGATGCTGGAGCTGGAGGTTGTATTTGTTCATGTTTGCACAAAGTCACGTCATGCCCGTTGCACCTTGATTCGACCTTGAACAGAACGGCGACACTCTTTCCACATGGCATCCATTGCCGTCATTGCAGACTCAATATCGGCACTGTCCAAGTCGATAAATCAAGTTGTACGCTTCCAAGCGACCTTTCCTCTCATTTCTCGCCATAAACATTTCTTCAGTTCTCTGAGGCCGAAAAATCAGCCACCGACAAACTAGAACGCGCTCAAAATATTGCTCAAGATGCAAAGGACGAACGGGATGATGCCCTGAAAGCGCTCCATACAGCGGGGCTTGAGATACAGGAATGGAAACAAAAAGTCGGATCATTGCAATCTTCCTTGGGCCATCACTTACCTCTTACCGCCATTCTAGGTTAAGCAAGCAGAGATGACTGTACGTTGGCATTGGTGCTACTGCAGAGTAGTCTCAAATTTTCTTGCACAGATCACTCATCAAACGGAGACGATCGGCCAGCTACGACGCGAGGCCGCCCAGTGGAAAGATCAGTCACGAAACTGGCAAGAACATTTTCTTCGTGTCGAGCAGGAGCGATGTACTTTGTCCTCACGGCTTGATGAGATAGTGGCAGAACGACTTTTGGTATGATGCCTTTGATGTTTCTTATTCAGCACCACTTACCCTATCAGCCTGTTCATGCAGCTCCTTTAACGCCCATCTCTCGCTATGCCGACCATTCAGGCTCTCCCGACGAACAAACGAATTCCGCCCCAGTACGGAATACATTGCTGCCACCCAGTCCTCCCGAAGGCGACCCTCCAACACCACGTAATACGATTGCGAAAACACGAAAACAGGCCTCGACGCATGCAAAACCTAGTACTAAGTCAAAACCTCCGATTACCGTCTTGAAGACATCTACAACTCCAAATCCCTTTGCAGAACCATCAACATCCAAGCGAACCGGCGCGCGCACACCTGTAAGAACGGAGACTCAACAACCCCGCGCAAAGATAATAAGACGAGTGAGGGCTGTCTTCCATGTCAAGCAGGAAGATGACTCGGGCGAGGAAGAGGAGGGAGAGGAGGAAGATGAATTGTCCGAACAAGACACGTCTTATCGACCTCCCCGACACCCGTCCTCGCGAGTTGTCAAGGATGATGACAGTGATCTCTTTGGCGGAGACGAGGAAGATGATGATGAGGAAGATGAGCTAATGATTGGACCTGATGTAAGCTACTATACACTTTACCCTTTTCCGTTCCTTAACCTTATGGATTATGCCAGGATAATGACGATCTAGATAAACTGCCGTCCCACAAACGGCCTCTCCCAACACCCGCCTCACATGCGTCTCCAACCAAGAAACGCCGGGTTTCAACTGCAACCAGTCGACCTAGGGCGACGGGAAAAAAGTCATAATGTAGGCCATCACTAGGTGCGTATATTACTTATCATTATTCCAAAGGACAGACAATAAGCCGTGTAGCATCTGTAAATTATTGTCTTTTCTCAGCTGTGGTGGTGGTGCAAAAATGATACATTCTGCTAAATAGATGGTGTGATTTTACATGAGCTTTCCGCCTCCATACCCTACACTATTTCCATTGACATGATTGACACCCGTCTTTTTCAAGGCACGAGTTGTTACAAAGAGCACGCTATCGAGGATAGAGGCTACTGTGAGCACTCCTCCCACGATAGCACACGTTCTGGAAATTTCAATCAGTGCCAAGGACAAGCGCGACGGTGACGACACGTACGATGTGAGGAAATGTGCAAACGATTGCCGAGTATCGGAGTGCACCACCAGTATTGGTGAGATCTCAAAGTTAAAGAAAGCACCTGAGAGGGGATAACGACGTCATTTACTCATTGTGCCCATTGAGCGGTTGTTAACACCTACCAGGTACACCGGTAACTCCATGCTGCACATGCACTCCCTGAGGGGTGCCGGATTGCCCACCATCTGTGAGGTCACGTTCAAAGTGTGTGGCACTGTACTGAAGTGTGTTTATCTGCCATTATTTGAATCATTAGAGGTAAAAATGACGGTGGGGTAGATATAACGGACCGTCTTCCCATCCAAGGTTCTGAACTGTGTTGAGACAACTTTGAGGAAGTATTGGAACATGTATTGGGCTTTGTTCGTCTACCCATGACCACAAGGTAAGTACAGAATCGCGTGTTGCATGACAAACCTACCCGTCCAGCCGCACCGTCCAGCGGGTTATGTACAAGTCCCAATCTTTGTTTCATTTCCCGCCCGGATGCAGCCTTGAATATGTCGTATTCATCGTCACCTTTACATTTCATGAGCATACATCAAGCTAGATATTCGTTTAGCACACCTTCGAAGGAGAATTGATGGATCGTATGAGAGAAATCATGTCGATTGCCGTCATCCTTCAGGTATGGAACCAAGTCATAGACATTGCGACCACTGGTCTGGAACGACCTTCCTGGCGAAAGATGAATGTTGCCAATAACCTTGTTAACACGAATCCGCCCAGAAACATTACACCCTTCATCCGCTTGCTCGCGCAGTTTGTCAGCCCAGCCTTCGGATTTACACTAGTATAAGGGTTAGCGCGCACTTAGCTCCGGCGGCTGACACCAACCTACCTGCTCAATGGCGTCAGGATTTGTGAAGCTCCAGCCCCGGTTAACATATGCTGTTCGGACTTCCTCACAAGTGTTACAGCACCCACTTTTGGGTTCGAGACCTCCATAGCAGGATCCACAATAGTCGCCGGACGTTTGTTCGTTCATCTTGTCAATGTCGTTCCTCAGTTCGGCGCTGAAGGAGTTGGGTATAGGCTTGCCCTTCTTGTCAAGGCGGGCCTTGACAATATTGTGCGAAAGGTCGCGTTGTGTCTCCCCGCTAATATCCATCACATCCACGCTGAGCACTATGGGAAGTGAACAGGCTGTATGCAGTAACGCTGGATAGGACACGTACGATAGCAAGGCACTCTTGGGAAGGTGACATTCATGTTCACAGTTAGCTTCTCTCCTCTGCTCTTGTCTACGACAATTGACGTGTCGGTGTAAACTCTCCGATAATCAATGAATTCCATGGTCGAGAAAGCAAGAATGATTGCAGCAGAAAGGATTGTCACTTGAGTTCGCCCGTATTATATACGTGAAATCACGACTTTGAGTGCACTAAAGACTCACAGAAAGCTCCAGTGCGTGTCTTGACCTTTACATCGTCTGTTGTCTGCGAGGCCGGTAAGCACTGACTGGAGAGAGGACGCGGCAGTAGACAGTTACCTTGCCGAAAGCATCAATGCCCTTGAGGGCGCCAAAGAGCCCTTTCGCCATTATGACCGATACCGATACAGGATGAAAACCGTGAAATAAGAAAGAGAGAGAAGAATATGAATTTCAGGACGAGGCGTGCGTCAAGCCAGACTCGAGTCCCGTGATCATCGACGTGTCACTACAAGCAGTACTTTCCATCACCTACTTCCATCCCTCCGGACTCTTTTATGATTCTAGATCGCCCGCAGTTTACCCAAGGAACGCGCGGGATAGCTGGTCTCACCTAGTGATCGTGTGTATTCTTTTATTAACAGTTGTTTTACCAACTCTCGCAAGGTATTCACTTACTTTCAAGGCGGCACCCGGGACGCGTCGCTATTTAGACTCACTATTGGTAAATATTACAGTAGTCTTCTCTCTATTGACAGCTTGCTGAAGCGAATGATAGTCATTTTATCTGTCATCCTTAAGCGTCACACGACAGTCAGTCCCTTCTCGCCTCGCCACTGAACCCTAGAAGAATCAACCTTGATAAATGTCGGGAGCATAAGCTTGAATGCATTTATAAAGAAGAAACGATATTCCAATATTATATAAATGAACCGTCAGATTATTGTGGCGCAGCGATGCGATCTACACCTTGCTTGACCTTCCCTATCAGATTCATCATACCGTCCCGAATGCCATCCGTCTGCAGTCCCACGCCCTCACCACTCGTCCGATAAACGCCAGTTCCCGTAGGTCCGCCCAAGCTGACATTGACGCCTCCCAGATTCAAATTCAGTGCAGGAGCATTTGAGGCGGATTCCGGAGGAGGCTCATATACGGACGCTGGAAATGACTCTGCAGCAGATTTTATCATTTCCAGATACCTGCCGATCCAGCTCAATCTCAGATGATATGAGCTAAAAAAACATTTGCTTACGTCGACGAGTTGTGAACACAGGTCCCACCAAGGAGCAGTCTTACACCAGAAGGCGTGGAGGGTGGCTGGTTGAGAAGTGTCACTGTGCGTGCTTCTTCATAGGTGGTACCACCAATCATGAATATTATAACATCCTGCGGTCTTTCAAACGTTGATAAGATACGCACAAGAATCTGCAGTTCACATACCTTTGAAGAGAAGCATTAGGCCCCGGATTTTCGAGAAAAGGATAACTTGTTTCTTTTAACCGGCCTCTGAACACATTCTCCAGAGTTCCAGAAAGATGAGGTGTGTGTTGAGTGTAAACATTTTCGACGCCCTTGAGGTGAGATCGATGACCAACCGTATTAAAAGTGTGAGGCAGAGACTCACCTTCAGACCCTTCAATGCCGATCGTCCTTTTGCAAGAAGTGACTCGGTTGAAAAGAGGTCATCTTGACGTTGGTCAGATCCCGCGACGTTCAAAAAGACATAAACAAGCTACTAGGATGGTCAATATCTAGTCAACATTCAAATCGCCCCTTCCTTACTCTTGCTTCCTCTCGAGAAACACCATTCGCAAGCAAAAGATTGATTAGAGTAGCAATATTTGCCGTTTGGGTTTTCTGGTAACGTAGGGCATAGAGGATAACTAAACGGAGCTTGTTCCATGGTGGTATGCCTTTATTCGCGATCAGATCGTGTACACTCTATTAATGTGAATATGAAGTCTGAGGACTGTTGAATGACTGTTACCTTGAAATCAGTCCCAGCACTTGTTGCGAGGCCTTGCTCAATCTCTCCAACTTCTAAAAGCTTGTCTCGGCCAACGAGCCGACTCAGCTCGCCAACCAGGGCGACGTGTTTGCTGACGTTACCTCCCAGCTTTCGAAATTCGGGATACTCTTCAACGAAGCGCTTCATATCTGCGATTGAGTTGATAGACGATGGAGACTGAGCCATAGACCGCGACTGATATGACTGGACATAATTCTTGAGAGACGATCCCAAGTCACCGAAGGTTGCGAGATAATGAGCCTGAAAGAATGGATCCGTTGATGTGGTGAGAGTGATTTCCTGAAACAATTTAATACCCTGCACGTCATAAAATAGCTGGACTCACAGAAAGTTCGGGCCGAATGTCGGGAACCATGCTCAGGTTCACTCTACCGTTTTGGATACCAAGCAATTCATGGACCATTGCTTGGTAGGTCCATTGCGAGAGAAGCGGGGTAACAGGATCATTTCTGCGGTCAAGAATCAATAGTAGTGGTGGAACTTGGGTGAGACGAAATTCGAAGAGGGTAGATTCAGACTGTATTCGATGCTGCGCAGATCAATTAGATGAATGGTGTCGTGTCAATAGAAATTAGAATACCTGTATCTCGACAGCCAGCTTCTTTGCCATCCCACTCATTTTCTCGTATCGGATTACTGGTTTCTTCTTGAGGCTAAGTAAGACGGCCGTTATTCCTTGCATAGAACGTTCAAGCGCGTCGGGATGCCATGCATTCGGTGTGGACCCATACAACGGTTTAGATGGTGACGGAGTGTGGTTCAATGAGAATAGAGAGGGCAATAGGGGTGCGTAGTCTGCGAAGTATTCCTTTGCCAAACTTTAATCCAAGGCAGAGGACGAGAATAGCTAATGGCGTTACCTGAACCTCCCGAACAACTTCGTATTCGTCCACCTTCGCAAGAAGCTCTATGTTGGACTTGCTCAGGATGTTGGTAAAGTCTGCGTATGGTGCATGAGAGCAAAGCCTTAGCATGCTATGAACAGCTAGAGATTCACCGACTGACACAAGTAGTACTCTGAATACTTGGGTCCCCGCAACTCTACCTGTAGGGCTTCTAGACTCTCTTCCGTAGCCTGAAGGAAGCAAACGCATTTCATGTGAGGCATGCGGTCCCGTTTCTTGTTGTCTATCCGGTCAGTGAGGTAGACTTGATGAGAAAGCAGTATCGACTGCGTCGAAGCGAGAGAGACTATTGGAGTCTTCATGCATATTCATAAGATTGTGCCGGTGCATTATCGAGGAAACGTACCGTATGTGAGTCTAGTAGTAAGACCTTCATTGCGGATGGTTTGGAAACCAGTTTCGTGATATAGGTCTCAACGGCTTTGACGACGTCCATGGCTGCAAACAAGGGAGGTACCGATGAGAGCTGTAATCCTCAAGAGGGCTTTAAAAAGACCATCCACGGGGGAGAAAAGGAATTGGGGGAATAGATTTGGAGAATGGTGGAAGTAAGTGACCAAAACGTGACAACGATCTTCTCCAACAGCACCGATGACCCAGTAGACCGGTAGGTGAGTTTTGTTATTTTTCGATGGAAGAACCATTGCCTGATGTCAGATTATTATAATGCTTTCATCTGGACGTTGTTTCTCATGGCACTTAAGCGATACACGAAATCCATCGATTCTACCATCCCCCTTCCTGCTTTGCTTTATACTGATGAACGTCTCTTCTCTTCACAGAATGGTGTAGGTATATACGATGGGTGCGTGGTCCCTTGCTGACGGTATCCTTTCGCCTGACTATATGCCAGACAACAGAAATCTGCGAGTCATCAATCGGGAACCGTTCACGTCTCATCGCACCGCTTATTTTTCACAGACACCCGGGACAATTCCTTCGCTTTGGATCTTTCATACGTCGTGCAAACAGTATATTATGCAGGCCTATTCACCTCGTCATCCAAAGTAACTCTCCATCTGGCCTCCAAAACATTGCCCGGCACGCCTGAACCCGAAGTCTGGGTATGTCATGTCTGTGGCAATCGTAATCCGCCAGGAACGAGTCCGGCTGCATCTCGTATATGCACTCTGTGTGGCGTGCGACGTGAGTCTCCGTCCACGCCATCTACTCCTGTTCCTGCAGCGTCAGACGCCGTTGCGTGTCCTGCTTGCACATTCCGGAATAACCCTTCCAAGACGACGTGCGAGATATGCACGGCTGAGCTACCAGTTCCCTTGGCGCCCGAAATTTCTTTGATGAAACTAAGTTTCCGCAAGGGCGGCGATAAGGCATTCTATTCCAAACTCAAGTCGTGCTTAAAGACAAAGGCATGGGAGGTACGCCTTGTCCTTTGTCATTCGTGGAAGCATCTCATGTCTACTTTTAGCTCACTGTTGATGACCCATTACCATCAGGGTCAGGCATCAGTACGTGGACATTATATTTTGATATGGGAGCAGATGACAGATTAAAGTTTATTACAGATGGCATTCTTCAGTCAGTGGCAACTTCGAACCAAGGGGTAGAAACAAACATGAAAGATGCTCTTCAAGACCTCGAAGCTTTGATGTTGAAAGCCAAGGACATGGTTCGACTGGCGGCCGACCTGAACGAACGGCTTACCACATCGACAGCTGCTAATCCTGCCTCTGAACCGGAAGAGGCCACCTTCATCAGATCATCACTCTCGCAGCTAGGATTGCAGATGGATAATGTTCCAGTTACGCTTGATATGATGCAGGACGAACGGGAATGGATCAATCAGCTGGCGAAGGAACTGGCACGGGTGCTACAGACGATCATGAAAGACCGGGGCATTATTGCATTAGACGAAGTGTGGGGCGGATGGAATCGAGCTCGGGGTGTCGCACTAATACCCCCGACGACGTTCTTGCAGGTTTTGCCCCATCTTCCGGTGTATACCACACCTACCATTCAGAAACGCCAGCTTCACTCGGGGCTGACCGTCCTTCATACCCCCCCTTATTCTCACGCTGCGTTTTCAGCGCGTCTGGTTGGATTTCTGTCTTTGAATGGACCTCAGACAGCCGTGGAGATTGCACAAGAAGAGGAAATCACGGTCGGTTTGGCTGAGGGAATGATTGGTGCAGTCGAAGCAGATGGGCAGGTCTGTAGAGATGATGAAGCGTGTGCTCTTAATGGAAGTACAGTTGGAATTGTTAGGTGGTGGCCTTGGACGGAATTTGATAGGTATAATTATGACGGGCAGTTGTAATGTATTTTAAGCTTGCACTGCCACTGCCACTGCGGAATAACATTGATGCAGATCCTTCGCTTCACGCCTTGAGATGACGATTATTTCACGACGTGTCTCGTGTTGTTTCACCTTTTAGGCCGCATATAACACGCTCTCTCTCTCTCTCTCTCACTTCCCTCCTTTATGGCCAACAAGGACGCCTCTGACTCGGCAGACGGCCTAGTATCCACCCCCAAGAAAGCTCATACCAGTCACTGTCCTTGTCGTTATTGGAGCCGTGCTCGGTGGTGTCCTTGGTAGTCGAACCGCCGAAAACAATAATGGTAAAAGTTCGTTCAGCAGCAGCGCCAGCCTTGATGGGAACAGCCAGTCAGACCCCAGCGCTGCAGCGAGCGCAGAGAAAGCTATTGGAATTTTCGCGACGGCAACCGACAGCTATTACATGGTTCCGCTTTATCCATCTACTGTAAGTGCATTGTTGGCTTGGGTTCAAACATCGCGCTGACAGAACTCTAGACCAACACAGCAGCCTTCACCACGCCTACTATCATTGCTACCACCGATCCAAAACTCTCTTGGCCCAAAGATTCTTTCGCACCGTCTAATCCTAGCGCTATGTCCCTTAGAAGTGACCGCCCTCACCTCATTTCCCCCGCATACAAGTTGAACGCCCTTCCTACGTTGATTCAAAATGACTTGTATCTCAAGCAATGGAATGACACTATCTTTGGAAATGCTACGAGCTATCACACCCTCCCGCCCGTGGTATATCATATGGATGGTGCCACTCCTCACGACGCCCGAGAAATCAAGGCCTTCGCCTACGCGTACCGTATGACCAATGATACCAAGTGGTCTGATCGTTGTTGGCTAGAACTGAAGGTCCGTTTTCTATCGGAATCTTTACCATTCTTCGACTTATATCATGTTTTGTCAGAACGCTGCCGGAAACGGAACGACGGCCTTTGGGCCAGATGCGGACCGCTGGAACTCGGGTCATTTCCTTGATGTCGCCGAGTTTTGCTCTGCTTTTGGGATCACCTATGACTAGCATTATAACGTCTAGACCGATGACCAGAAGGCCCAGATCAGGTTTACCGTGAACAAGCACGGGTTGTCTTTGGGTGTTGCAGCGTTCAATGATGCTACCGTCTCTTACGGTTGGTGGAAGGATAACGTTGATAGCAATTGGAACTGTGTCTGTAACACTGGTTTGACATTGGCGTCGCTCGCAATCCTTGGCGACGACACGGAAGGATATGCCAATACTCTTCTGGGCCTCACTATTCTAAACGCCGTGCAGAATTGTGCCAAAGGTGTCTCTGACGATGGAACATGGGCAGAGACTCCCAACTACTGGTGCTTCGGGACTACCGGCCTTGCAGAGATGGCTTCGTCCCTTCTCACAGCAACGGGCTCAGACTACGGCCTATTATCCTCCAACTCCGATTTCGTCAAAACTGGCAACTTCCATATGCACGTCTTTGGCCCAACCTCCCTTTTTTGATTGCGGCGATGTTCTGGTACGATCCTGCCAGCACAGGTGCTTTTTGGGACGGGAAAGAGCTGGACTCGTTTTTCAGTAACGAGCTGGATCAATGGGTCACTATGAGGAACAGCTGGACGGATATCAAAGCGTTATACGTGGCTATGAAAGCAGGCCTAAATCAAGGTCACCAGACCCACAACGATCTTGATGTTGGCGATTTCGTTATAGACGCCCTCGGGACCCGATGGGCTGGAGAGTTGGGATCTGGCGATTATCTAGCACCTAACTACTTCAGCAGCGATGCTCAAGACAGTGATAAATGGAAGTATTATAGAAAGATGACCGAAGGACAGAACACTATCTTGATCAACCAAGCTAATCAGCTCGTTACTGCTAAACCGACCATTACCAGAAATGGAACGACCGGTAGCAAGCAAGGTTCAAGTACGGTCGTGTCGCTTGAGGATGGTTCAACAGCTTTCTGGGTAGCCGACATCAGCAGTGCCTACAGTGATGCGTAAGTGGGACTGTTATTGCATTTGATTGCCGCTGACTCCTTATGCAGTACTTCTGTTCAGCGTGGTGTACGAATGATCAATCAGCGGAAGCAAATTCTCATCCAAGACGAAATTACGTCGACCGCTGGGATCCAGTGGCGTATGCACACCAACGCCACCGTCACCACTAACGGTGCATCTGTGACTCTCGTTCGTGATGGCAAAACTATTGACGTTTCCATTCTGAGTCCTAGCGGCGCTACCTTCACGACTTCGGCGGCCAAGCGATTCGACACAGACCCTACACCTCCTGCACCGGACCAGGACAATCCTGGGATCCCCGTCCTCATCATAGAGCTTAACGCAGGGACGCAAAATATTTAGGTGTTGTTCAACCCTGAGTGGAACGATGGTACTCAGTTCAAGACTCCTAGCGGGGTAGCTTTGGATGACTGGTCTCTCACCAGTCATAATTGATGGACCCTGGACAAACTATGTTTCTACATTTCTTTCATTGTGGAATATTTGCTATACCAGTGGACTATTGATAAGCGTATGTGGTATACCGTGGTACTGTATCGATGAAGTTTTGATCACTATAGTTTTCACAAACGAGCACATACAGGATGGTGATTCGAAGGGATGGATCTCTCCAGCTACATCCGTTCATCTCGGATGTATTCCTGGAGAAGTTCGTCCGAAGAACCAAAGTATACCTTTAGCTGACATCCCTTAGGACGACACGGCTCCAAACACGATAGGATTTCGTTTACGTCTTCAAGATCATACAGCGGATCCCATCCAACCCATCCGAGCTTTACTGACTGGAGCCAATCTGTACCATTCTCAACAGCTGAAATACTCCAACGAGACATCACCATTTGAACGAACGTATTGCTTTTGAAAGATACGTCCGTTACAAGATGAAAGGTGCTCAGGAATGGAACAAATGTCTCGGGCTCCTCTTTCTCTCCTTGCTCCTTCCCCCCCTGCTCCCTTTGTCCACTCTGAATCCGTGTCCGACTCCGATTCTGAATCAGAAGAAAGCGTGAGACGTACGAGGATGTCATCTGTGATGGCCTCCTGGCCAACGTTGATAAACTGGAGACATGAGAGGGAGGGCGAGAACCGAAAGACTTCCAGAAGGTCATTTCCATCCACAAGTGCATGCCTGAACCGCAGTTCACGCAGTGAGCAGCGAGACCTGCGCAGTAGTTCGAGGATGGCAGGAAAAAGCTGCTCTCCTTCGTTGTAAGCGTTGATCTCTGTCTCCTGGCAATCAATGTCCAATGAGGAAAGGGACGGGAGGATGAGATCGTTGAGTAGTAGGTCTAATACGTTGCTTGCAGATGTTTTCGCGATAGACAATTTCAGGGAGGTTAGCTGTGAACAAGTCACTGGCAGAGGTACGCTAGTGCCGGGCGACCCTCTGCGGCAAAAATCACAAAGATATGCTATCTCAAATTCGACAATGCTAGGCATCTTGCTGAGGAGGTGTATGGTGTCCTCATATGGTAGTCGAAACTGTCTCCCGATTCCCCAATTTACGTTCTTGTACACAGTGATCTGATTCCACGGAAATGAAAATTTGTCAAGAGGCATTTCTACGTCCCAAAGCTCAATGTGTCGAAGGTTTGGGGCAAGTTGGAAAGCTTCAAGTCGTGGGTAGTCTGTGAACTCGTTTGGTAACACAATGAGTGTGCGCAATGATCGGAAGGCTGAATTAAGTGGCTCAAAAGACACCAGCATGGATGGTCGGAGGTAGAGGCAAAGGGTCTCCACCCTGTGCGAAGCCATAACCAGGAAGGCAAAGAGCTCGCCTGGAATGGAATCCTCGCCTTCGGCATTGCCGGAGCAATGAAGGGAGAGGGAAACCGGATACTGGCGTGAACGCTGCAGATGTAGGGCAAACCGAGTAAGTTCCCGAGGTGTCCTGCTCTTAAAGTTCAAGACATCTTGTATGATGATGAACGACCATAATTTCCCATGCGAAAGCAATGCCTCCCTCCATCGTCGTGACACCAGCTCGATGCTCCAAAGGGGACTTTCCTTGTGTTGGAATTCCCAGTGGCTTGAGTCATTTGCGGAGATCCAGCGTTTTGGAGGCATTATTTCGACGGTATAGCGAAATATCTCGGTAAGGACTTCTGCAGGTAAGCGTCGAATAGCACTCAGAGGTTCTCGTCTGACTCTAACTAATTCTCGCATTCGTTAGAATTCCTCTACCATCGATTCCCTGACAGTTTTTGACATTTAGTCATTTCATCCAATTGCTGTATATGACTTTCCAGCAGAGCAATGCGTTTCTCTGCCTTTGAAAGCATGGAGTGCAAAGCATGCACTTCTCCTGGGGAAGGTGGCTCATTGGAGTGCGTAAGACGTGTAAAGTCACCCTCGTATGATAATATTTCTTCATTCAAGTTGTCGAATGAAGGAGTGAGGTGGTTAGGACATAGACAACCTGTACAAGGAGCCCAATTGTCCTCAGCTGTCTGCGATGATTGGATAGATACGGCCTTTCACATGTACTGTACCGAAGAGCTTTGTGAACGAGAGCGTACACCAAGAAAAATTGCTAAAGAGAAGATCTTACCAGTTATTTATAGACCTGAGGTGGTAACCGAGCACACTGAACAGCAGCAACGTTGAGCAGTGACGGTTGAAACGGTACCACCGAGATTCGGGCCGACACCGGCAACTCTGGGCCGTACATACTAGCCTGTCTCCACCAGTTGTCCCAGATGTAAATATATATACCGCTTCATGGAAGCTTTGCAGCTCCGCCGCCTATGATACAGGATTTTCTTACCGTTACTTATGAGTCTCCTACTTACAAACTACCAAGGTAGATTAGATGACATTTATTTACCTGAATGGTGGCCAATCTGAAGTCTTCATGGCCTCCACTAAAATATACCACTATGCAAGACTACGATTACTACTACTACTACTATGTACAACACAAACAGGAGGAGGGACACAATTATCATGTGACATAGAATACATGATTTGTGAGAGTATATACTAGAATCATCATCAAAGGCTTAAGTAGGTTCAGAATTTTCATACATTTGTAATGAGGATATGTGGTATTAGATTGGAGCCAGGGGGAAGAAAGGCCCAACAAACAAAAGAACAATTGATTTTAATACAAAAATCTCTGGGAGGTGCTTAGCAAGCAGGATTCAGTCATCAATGTGATCAAAAGTCTCTGAAGAGACAAGCATCATATCAACCATAGCAGCAAGTAAGTCTTTCATCCAAACACAACATTTGTTAACCACCTTGAACTTAACTTGACTAGCAAAGTTTGTCTTGCTCTTCTTGGGTGAATTCCCCTAACAAAAATTAAAAATGAGCTTCATTGTTGTGGTATTCCATAGTTTGGCAATAGGATAAAGGTACTTGAATTGATCTCTGTGATCCATCAACTGCACCAGCTGGGTGATGGGAGGTACTGTTTGGTAAACAACTATTCTGCTAATAAATAATGTCATGTCTTTTTCTGAGGCATTCGTCAAAGAATTGTCTGGCTGCTTGGAGATAAACAGCCTTCAAAGTGTTGTTGTCTGGCATCATGCTGTAGAAATTAATTCCTTCAGGATTCATATACAACATCAATGATTTAACCTGTATAGTGCTATATCTTCAAACAGTAGTTATGAGTTCATTAAGAAGCATGCAGATAAGGGACACATACAGATAAGATTTTCAACTGGCTTCAGTTCAGACTGGGAGCACTTAGGGTAGATATGCATTTATATGTCTGCCTGTGGATTCAACCAGAGGGTGATACCATGAGCCATTATTTAATCCTTTTTATCTTGATATACTATAGCAACATGAGGACATCAGTATCAAGGATTCCATTGCAACTGGTAATCTTTTTAATATGACTTGTTTTACTTGAATGTATATCATAGTGAAACATCATCATCATTTATGCTAGTAGTTGTGAGTAAGAATGCTAAACAAATGTGTTATTGCTAGAATTTCTGAGATATAATAAGGCATTGAAAAGATCAAGTCAAGAATTATATTCCAATTAGATAAAGTTGATCTGTCCTCATGCATATGTCATGATTTTTGCCCCTAAATCATGTCCTGCCAATGCTTGATGATAAAGACATGATGACACTATAGCTACACCTTATTCATCAATACACAATAAGATGACAAGAAACAATATGGTAACCATTGCCATCTCACATTTTAAACACAATGAGAACTGTGGCATATGGGAAACTCACCATAGTGATGGTATAGCAGAGTGACAATAACAAACAAAAAGCAAGAGCACAGTCATTGTTATCTCAGACAATGAGCAGAGAGTATGAAAAGCAGACAATAGTCACCTATAGGACATAGGGTTCTTTAGACAGTATATAAGGCAGTGGTACACACTGATGTACTCCAGTCTTAAGCTAAGGTTTAATACATCTACTACACTCTCTGACTACCTGGTGTAAATACTCTTGCCACAATGGCAGACTATATCTATCAGCTACAACTCTCCACCCCTCTCTATGAAATCCTTATAGCTTGCCTCATTATACTTCTATATCAAAACCAGACTCAGACTCAGCATTTAGAATCAGACCCTGGTGAAAGCAGTGCTAGAGATTTGTGAGTATTAGTGGAAGCCTAACAATTAGCTTAAGACTTCACATGCCCTGGTCTGATGGCACTTTGCCTAGGACTAGCATATGAAACTCATGCTCAAAAACATCATTGCCACCTCTATTGCAGATGCTTGTCTGTTCATCACAATAACAGGAATTATCAGATATCATGTCATATAGTTACTGAGGGAATGAAGAAGAAGAAGAGAACTAGAGAAGTGGTAGAACCAGCAAAGAGTGGATTTTCTTTATTGAGCCCTCCAACCAGTGCTTCACACACTCTCAAGTCAGGAGAGCATCATTATTCAGCCACTAGCCTCAGAACCTCCAAACATTAGCAGCACAAATTATATCATCTGATCTCCAGGATCCAGAAGTGTACAAAGTGAAAGAGAAGGATTTAAATCCTCTCTCTCATTATCTGACTGGCCACCTTTGATAGAAGAGAGTCAGTATGAGGAGATGACAGTCATATAAGTTGACCTCCAATCAGAGATGTGGTCAGCCCACCCTGAAGCCCCTCAATCTAAGAGCAGGACATCAGTCAGATCATTCTTGGAGTCAATGCATATAGCCTCAGAGGAAGTGAGCTCCAGTCTGTTGAATCAGAAACAGTGGATCCATATAAGTCAGATAGAAGATATGAATATATCCTCAACTGGTGAATCTGCATGGCAAAAGAATCTGCTTGGACACTACTAGTGGCTCAAAGAGCAGCAGATGGCAGACACCTGCTAGTTAGATACTGGTAGACAACTCTAATACCTTGCACTGCCAGAATACACCAGAGATCTAGTAGACAGAGTATGGGTAGAGACTAGAGTAGCTAAAGTAGTATAGAATGCCAAGGAGTGCTGAGAGCCCCCATTTCCTTTTCTTTACTATGTGTCTGAATGACCACCATCAGCAGAAAGTAGCCTAAGCAGTTGGAGAAGTTGAAACTCTTTCTAGCAGACTTCTCAGCAAGTTTCAGCTGCATCCATCCATTTATTTGCTAGAGCAAGACCTGAGAATGCTGGATCTTGTTAGGCTTGAGTGACATATGATCTGTAACATGTGGTAAATAAGTGCTGTATCATGTTCATACAATCATGCTTAAGTCCACTTGATGTATTTGAAGATGTTATGTCCCAAAGTCAATGCTATAGTTGACTTGAGTAAAGCAGTAGAATAAAGGATAGTTTGAGACTAGAAATATATGGCATTGGCTACACTATTTATATACTATTTGTCTTCTAAATAATTATAGTGCTACTAATTGTGTATGTTTATACTATAGTGTCCATTATCTTAGAGTATTATAATTATCTACAATAGGGCAATTGTCTTATTGTCAGAGCATTGCTATATGTTTTAGAGCAGTGATCAGTATGCTGACTAAGATGTTTTCATGGTCCTAAGCACTGACCTAGATGCTTTGACTAATCATAAATAGAGGTTGAAATGTGAGGAATAAGGAAGAAAAACAGAAAAATCATAACATTATCTCCTTCTTAGGACTATCATCCTGATGGTTAATTTAGAAACAATTCATAGTGATATATGGCTGCATCTATATTCATTTGTTTTTTGTTTACCCACTGATTTGACTCTGGCCTATACTTCTTTCAGCTTATGAGATAGTTAATAGTTGTTGTCATGCTACTACTTTGTGCTTTGACTTTTTGCATTTTGTAGTCAAGAATTTGATTGATTTCATAGTGCTCTTTATTGTCAATGAGGTCAAGAGGCAGCAGTGGTAGTCATTCTTGGTTAGGAAAGATGGGAGCAACATATGGAATTAGTAGGGTTTTGTTGAATATGTCATGAATGTACCATGTGGTTGGAAGCCAGAGCTTATATGCTAAAGCCTCAACTTTGGCAAAGATTGGGAATAACCCTGTTTGCTTGTTGGTGAGCTTCCTTTTTAGCCATAGTAAATAGAGATTTGTTGTATTGAGTTATACTTTATCATTAATAGTATAGGAGTGTGGGAGGCAGTGATGTTTGTTGTACTGCACTTTCATAGTGGTAGTGGTCTTTTCAAGGATGGTCTAGGTTTTGAGATGGATTTTAATTATCTCAGCAGTAAAGTTAGTAGAAGCTGGTGTCATCATGTGAGATCTCATAATGATGGCAACCTTGGAGTGTCATTCATAGTTGATGAAGAAGAGAGTCTTCTCTGTTGCTAAGTGGATGTGATTGTTGTGTTGGAAGCTTACTAATGTGAGCTATTCTGTCTAGTTATCTTGTTGATAGTTGATGAACATACAAAGATACTTCTTGATTTCCTGATTGACATGCTCTGTTTGCTCATCTGTCTAAGGATAGTAGACAGTAGATGCATTGCTTTGAATCCTGAGCAGTCAGTATAAGTCATCAAGAAATTTGAATATAAATTGAGGACTCCAGTCTGAGATCACTACTTGCAGCATTCTATACTTAGAATAGACTTCATCATGAAGGATCTTAGCCCATCCTTTGGATGATAATTTAGTAGAGCAAGCAACCAGAATAATGGTCTTAGAGAATTAATCAACAATGATAATAATAGTATCATAGCCATTACAATCAGATAGTCCAGTGATCATATTGACTGAGATATAGGTCTATAGTGTAGTGAATATCTTATTTGGATGAAGTGGTGCTGGTCATACCTGCATAGAGGACTCAGTTCTTTGGCAGGTCTTGTATGCTTTGACATACTTCTCTACTTCCAGTTCTAACTTTGGCCACCAATACTTCTGCAATATTAATTCCTTCATCTTTGTGATCTCTGGGTGTCCAGCAGTTACATGATCATACACTATTGTGATAATTTTCTCTTATAGAGACATTTGTTGAGAAGTATAGATCTATCTATCATAGAAGAGTAGATTCTCTTCTCTCATAATGCCTCTTTCATGATTTAGAGATGTGGTGATCCTCTGATCTCACAGGCCTGATTGTCATGTCGCACTTCATATCTTCTCATGAATTTCCTTCTCTATTGGCATTATCATCACATGAAAGTGCTTCAGTTTTAATAACATCACTTTATCATTGTTCTTTCCCCCTTGATCATGATCA